GTGATGGAAGGCAAAGGCGCCAGTACGTCATCCACCACCACCACTACAAACACCAGCAGCATGACTAGCGAACATACCATTGAAAATGATCTACCTTCCGCCGAGACTAAAACAAATCTAATTGATTTGGATATTCAGGATCCGCAGCAAGCGAGGTCCCGGTCACTCAACAATGCTGACGTTTCGGGATCTAATGTTCATACTGAAGATGAAGATGTAGAAGATCCTTCACACCAAACAGATCCAAATTCAAGTTCAAACACAGAAACCGAAGCGAGGAAAGAAACTCCTGAATGGCAAAAATTTATAATCAAAGCCTCAACTTTTATAGGCTATGCACTCACGACATGTTTGTTTTCAAAGATTATATATTTGCATTATTTTTTCGTAAGATTGAGTTATGACGACGAGACAGCAATGAAAATGCTAGATGGAGTATTTAGAGCTCAAGAGAAAGCCATTGATGATTACCACAAGAGAAAGCGAAGCTATGAGACTGACGACGACAGTCCTCCAGAATATCAGTAGAGACTCCCCTCTCCCCCCCCCCCACCCCGACGCAACACCCATACCCATACCCATACCCTTTTTCTTTTTATTTTTTTCTATTTATTTTTTATCAAAAGTTAAGGGTATCTGATAAATGAGAGATATGCTTTGTTTCTACATCATGGAAACGCATGTAAGGATCTGTATGCCAGATAATCACATATGTACCAATTTTCAGTTTTTTTAAAGCTGCGAAAATTTAGTTGTGCTTTTTTTTAGTACCCACCAACAATGGAATTGGTTAATGACTGTGTAATAACTTCAACAGAGGTTAATAGATGTGAGATACTTTACTCCAAAGTTCAAGAAAAGTTTGGATAAACAGTAGCTTAAAACCAGAATTAGTACCGATTTTAATATATATAGTTTTTTTTACTCACCACTAGAGACACTATCGAGCGACACTATCGAGTAGAGCGACACTATCGAGTAGAGCACACTAGCCGCCACCACTAGCCGCCACCACCAGCCGCCACCTCTTAGTATACTCTTTTTCAGAGTATACTTTTAATGAGAGGTACTCCATGTGGAATACCATCTAGACAGTCCACCTACACACCCTTTACCTACACACAGTCTACCTCTCATTCACACACACTCTTTTTCCTGCTTTCTACTTTTCTCTTTTCTCTTTTCTTCTTCCTCCTTTCTCTTTTCTCCCTTGTACTTTCCACTTTCTACATTCTACTTTTCTCGTTCAATAAACCTTTTTTGTTCAACCATGTTACACATACATCTACACTACACAATTCCCACTGATCGCGAAAGTTTTACTAAAGCTCTACATAATAACGTCAAAATCATAATCAATAAAGGAAAAAAAAATACCTATACAAAGAAAATACGTATACTACGAAAACACGTATACAAAGAAAATACGCATTAAATTAAAGATGGAATTTTTTTTTTCTCTTCTCTTCTCGTGGGTTATCAAGTAACCATCTTTTTTTTTTCCACATCTATTATTGTTTGAAACAAGTTTATTCAAACACAGTTCTTTATCCTCGGCCCACATTTCTCTTTAAAGCATGTCGTTCGCAAACAAAGAAGACCCTTCAACTTTAGTCTTATTCGATGTTGATGGTACATTGACACCAGCAAGATTAACCATTTCTGATGAGATGAAGAAAACTTTAGAAAAATTAAGATCCAAAGTTGTCATTGGTTTTGTTGGTGGTTCTGATTTGTCAAAACAAGTTGAACAGTTGGGTCCTAATGTCTTGCAAGATTTCGACTATTGTTTTAGTGAAAACGGGTTGACCGCTTACAAATTGGGTAAACAGTTGGCCTCGCAATCGTTTATCAATTGGCTCGGTGAAGACAAGTACAACAAATTAGCAAAATTCATCTTGAGACACTTATCGGAGATTGATATCCCCGTAAGAAGAGGTACTTTTATTGAATTTAGAAACGGTATGATCAATGTCTCACCCATTGGTAGAAATGCCTCAACTCAAGAGAGAAACGATTTCGAGGCTCTTGATAAAATTCATCAATTTAGACAAAAATTGGTAGATGAATTGAGGGAGAATTTCAAGGACTTTGGATTGACGTATTCTATTGGTGGACAAATCTCGTTTGATGTGTTCCCAACCGGATGGGATAAAACATACTGTTTACAGCATGTTGCTGATGAAAACTTTAAACAAATTCATTTCTTTGGTGATAAGGCTTATAAAGGTGGTAATGATTATGAGATTTACGAAGATCCAAGAACCATTGGACACGCTGTCAAATCTCCTGAAGATACCATCAGAATTTTGAACGATATTTTTAAATTAGAGTAGAAATACTTATGAACAGAGAATGCATGTCGAGAATCATCCTTAATAAATATTGATTATAGAGTTTTTCTATTCCTTCCCCCCCATTCATTTCTCTCTCTCTCTCTCTCTTTATTTACATTTATAATAGATCAATGATGCATCGTCACCTGCAACTATAACTTGCTCAACGGTCTTGCGACCTACTGTTTGGCTATCTAAAAGCTGCAATCTCTTTGAGCTCGTGTCGTTGATTGATTTTGCTAATTTCGATTTATCTTGATTATCAGTTGGTGGCTCCAAAAGACCCGGCAACTTTGTTGGTTTGCATGTTTTTATCTTTTTTCCATTACCTAGTTGTCCATAGTCATTGGATCCGAACGCCATCACGTCCTTGCTGTCTCCTGAATTGTCCAAAGTTACAAACAAGTGATTGTTCCCAGCGCTTAATTTCTTAATTCCAATTTTCTTGACACGGTTCTGTGTTTCGTCAAACTCTTGTAAACCTGTCAAAGACTTGATTATTTCAGGATAGGAACATACCTGCATATACCTACCTCCTCCCAATTGTCCATTAAGTCCATTTCCTAAGCTTAGTATAACATCTTGATCTAGGTAATTCAATACTATGAAACTGGCATCCTTAGTGGCAAATATATCTTCAACGTTGAATAACTCCTCCTTGGTTTTGGTACCTAGTACATTCCTACATATCCTCTTAAAATCACTTTTTTGAAATATCCGTTTGGGCACTGGCTGATATTGAGTGGTGTTCAACATTCCACATTGTCCAAAAGAGTTATCACCCCATGCCCAAACATCCCCAGTACTATCAGAAACAATGTTGAAATAATCTCCACTGGCTATAGCAGTGAATGTTCTAGACTTAATAACTTTCCCACCGTCGGATGTCTTGGCAATTTCGTTGTTAAGTAAAGGCAAATCAATAACCTCGTCAACAGGCGGAGTTTTCTCATTGTCGAATGGTGAGTAGCTTGGACCAAACTGTCCATGATTCTCTGGCTTGTGAGCAGTATTAACAACCAGAATTTGACCAAATTTGTCAAGTAATAATAAATGGTTAGCACCAGCACTCAATTCTTTAATGTTTGTTGCATTCAATTTGCTGCATTCGTGACCTCTCAATAATCCAAACCACCTGCTTTTCTTTAGCATCGGCAAAAACCCAACTTGCTCATTTTTCGCTGTGTAAAGGATTCCACCTTTTTCAGTTAAAAAAAAGTAAAAATCCCTAGTGCCAACCACTTTTTTCACCTTCTCGGGAAGTTCAATCTCAAACACTTTGTTTGCGTCGTCGCCTTTTTTCCATTTAAGGACTTTTCCCTTATCTGTTACTGCCACGATGCATCCTCGTTCCACAAGAGCATCTCTAAGAAAAATATTGTCAAACCCGGAAACTCTAAGAGGAATCTTTGTGTTATCACCAAACATATATACACCTGGCACTTCCATTGAGTTCTTTAGGTTGGTCAAATTCTCATCGCTTAATTCCTTTTCTAGCTTTGCTGCTAAATATTTGCTTGTTTTGACATTTGTAGTTGATGTGTTTTCAACATTATCCTCCAAGTCGCCATAATAATAATCTTTCAATAGCCGGTTCTTTAAAGAGCCATAATTCATATATATCTGGTGTCCTGAAATTAGCCCAACTAACGCTATTGCCCCAAAAAGCACACCTTTCATTCTTTCGTTGAATTCGTGTTTCTTTTGGCTTTTTTTTTGATTAGCAACGTATTCTTGATGTAGCCGATACAAAGTTTCACGGTATTCATGAGATCCCGGACGCAATTGAGCTAAACGTGGATCCTGCTCAAGTATCGCATTGATATCCAACGTGTCTCTGTCTCTGTCTCTGTCTCCAGTTTCGGGGTTTACCTCTGTGTCCTTTTGTGAATCGAGCTTAGTGCCTGTTGCACTATCAGTTAATGAGTTAAAATTGTATCCAAAATTATATTCAGTTTTCAATTTGTTGAAATCTTCAATATTAGAAAACTTATCGTCTCCTGTAGATTTAAATCGTTGAAAATATGTCACATTTGCTGTCAGCCTGCCCAATAAATAAAGCCTCAGCCTTCCAATTTTGGTCAACATCATTCTCATTGGGGAGATAATAACTATACATGTGCGATGAGCCCTTGTGTGAATAGTTTTATTTTTATTTTTATTTTTTTTTTTTCGCTTGAAGGAATTAAATGATGGGGAAGAAAAAGTAACTATAGGAAAAAGGGATAATCAACAATAGACACACACACACACACACCTTACCCCACCACCGATAAGGCGGGCTAGAACTCATAACAACATGTACTCTTGGAATCTGATGCGGAGATATTCAATTGTAAATCATTTCCGGAGCTTGTCCTCAATAACCAAGTTCGATACACGGAAATTCGTACAAACGTTGCAGGAGAAAGGTGGATTTGACGCGAAACAAGCAGAAGCTGCAGTGATAGTAGTCAACGGAGCGATCAACGATGGTATTTACTCGATAACAAACAATCTTGTGAAAAAGGAGACCTTGTCGTCCATTGCGTACCAGCAAAAAGTTGATTTTGCCAAATTAAAAGGGGAGCTACAAACCTTGGACAAGTCGGAGTTTACCAGTTTGAAAAAAGACCAGGAAAAACTAAGAACGGATTTAACAAATTTGAAAAATAGATTAAAAGAAGAGATTACCAAGAACCAGGCAAGTGTTAGGCTAGACTTGAACTTGGAAAAGGGAAGAATTCGTGAAGAAAGCTCCCAAAATGAATTAAAGATTGAAGATACATTCAGCAGAATCGACGAGGAGATTGCAAACATGCAAATGCAGATCAAATCCGTCAAGACACAAGTTTTGCAATGGTTGATGGGTGTAAGTACTGGTACTTTGGCAGTGTTATTGGCCTTTGGCAGGTTCATGACATAGAGAGAGAAGAGAAAAAAAAAATAAAAGTAAGAGTCAATGAAATCAAAAATAAGAGTCAATGAAATCAAAAGTGACAGAGAATGAAATTTTGATTGTTGGTTTCAAGTAGATTACTATTTTGCTCACGTATCTTTAAACATTTGACATTGATAAACCCTCCATAAAATACCCTTTCCTATATAAGGTTGGTTACCTATTCCTTCTCTTGTTCTCTAATAAGGTTTCGTTTAATTGTTAAACGCGAAAAGAAATTATGACTTGATTGAACAAGTGGGAAGAAAAAAAAAATCACCTACTTACACTTGATGAATTTAGCATATCTTTACTAGCTATAGCCACCTCACGAAGCAGTACAACTTTACCAACAGATAACCTTTTAAAACAAGAAAATCTGCGTGGCAATGAACTCTATATATAATCACGGATTGAAACAGATACAGAACATCAATAGGGACTTGACCGAGTTTGAAAAGAACCTATCTACATCGCCATTATCGCTCCAGGGCGCGATAACGACATCTATCACTGCATTCAAAAAAACCATAAAGGAGTATTCTGATCTTCTTGATAAAAGTACCACAGACTCCTCATTTGCTAAGCATGAGAGCCGAGTTCTCAAATTCAATGAGGATTTGGATAATTTCACCAGAAAGTTTGAAAGTTTGAAAAAACAGCGAGACTTGGCGGTTCAAGAAACGAATAAGCAGGAGTTGTTAGGCAGGAGACACATATTGACAAACAGTGAGCCTAGTGACAATCCATTTGATCCTACTCGCCAGCAGCAGCAACAACAACAACAAAGTTACATGTCGCAGCGAGAAGGATTCTATCAAGAGAACCAAACGCTCAAGAAAAGTTCTCAGCAACTCGATCGTATATTGGAGATGGGACAACAAGCTTTTGAGGATATTGTAGAACAGAATGAAACCTTGCAGAAAATCCAAGCAAAATTCGAGGAGGGATTGATTACACTTGGGGTAAGTCAGGGAACGATAAGGAGTGTTGAAAGAAGAGCTAAGCAAGATAAATGGCTTTTTTGGTTTTGTGTTGTAGTGATGTTAGTGGCTTTTTATTATATCATCAAATTCTTCAAGTGAAAGGAAATACCGAGAATAACAAGTGTGCTTTTGATATTGACTTTTAGTTTTAGGTGCATTCTTAAATGTATAGTGATACGAAACTACTGAGTGCTGCTTCGAAAATAACTATATGTAGTAAGTGGGGTAAATGAACGATAAGCAACGGTGAAGAAGTAATTGTGCGTTCCGCGTGTAAGGAGAGGGGGAGGGGGAGAGAAGGGGGAAGGAGGGAAAGGGGAGACCAAGGGTAGAGGGGGCTGATATATCTCAATTTTCCTAGTATCTTTTTCTTATCCTTTTCTTATCCTTTTCTTTTTGATGCATCAATCAATGCTTTGACCCGGTACTAAAATTATTATATCATTGTCAATTTTTTTTTGTTTGCGAAAAATGCGAGTCTGGGTTTGGGTCAGCAGCTTTAAACCTTGACTTCTTGTTTTGGAAATACAAAAAAAATTACAAACCAAGTTTCATGGTAATATTAAATTGGTATCTTTTCCAATTATCAAAGGGATATGTGATTATAATCCCCGTTTATGGTAAATTAGACTGAGCCTCCCTCCCATCAATCTTTTCAGAGTAGTTTTTAGAAATCTTTTTAACACTATATTCTTATTAAACCCTTTATGAAATGTACTGACTTTCCTGGTCAATTCTTTAAACTCGTTACAGTTGGTGGGTGTCTCTGCAAGATAATAGAATCAGCTCAATAAGGAAACTTGTTGGCATTACCTTAATAATCATTGAAAAAACGTTAACAGCAAAAGTATATGCCATTGAAAAAACGTTAATAAGCAGAAGTATATGCGTAAATCTTTAGTTTTTCTTTATTGATCAAAGAGGTCGCAAACTTTATTACCCGATTAGGTAAATTAATTTTCCAAAAAGAAAAGAAAATAGAAGTTGTCTTGTTACACAAAATTGAATCTAAAGGGCATCAAGGTAAATGAATTTTTGATCTCCTCCCCCCCCCCCCCCCCCCCCCCCCCACACACACACAAGTCATCATGAACCTATTGAAGTACTATAACTTTATAATATATATATAATAATTCTTCACTTGTGTGAAATGAAGGAAAAAAAACCATTTTCCATTCAACCCTGTCTATCATTTCATCTAGCCTTCAAGGTAAGCATTAGGACCTTTCCTTCTTTTTTTTTTTTTTGCAACAATTCTAAAACTACTCATTCACTGTCCACAGTCTCTCGAGCTCAACAAACTTTATCGACATTTTTTATTCACAAAATTTACAAAAACTTAAAAGCTCCGCTCATTTCAAAGATACATGCATTTGGACTACCTCATACTATATCTTGCAATTGCATGTTTTTCACAGGCGTTGCCGGTGAAAAGAGGATTCTTTGACGATTTTTTCGGCTTGGATAAGACTACAACTGCAATAGTACCGGCTCCTACAGTAGCAGTTGCGGTGGCGCCAGTTCCTGAAACAACAGTAGCAGCAGTAGCAGCAGCAGATGCAGTACAGACAGCAGTACCTGCTGTAACTACTGTCCCAGCTGCAGTACCAACTACTACTGTCCCAGCAACTACCTCATCTATTGGTGTTTTTGCAAGCTGGTTGAATCGGATCATGGGTGTAACCCCAACAACTACCGCACAAGCGGCAGCAGCAACAGCAGCAGCAACAGCAGCACCTATTGTTACAGCCACTCCGGCAATAGTCCCAACACCAGCAACGACCTCATCAGTCGGTTTTCTCCAAAGTTTATTTAATCAAATTTTCGGTGGTAGTTCAGCTACTACTGCACAAGAAGCACCAATAGCAGCACCTACTATTGCACCCACTCCGACAATATCCTCAGCCGTAAATCCACAAGTGGCTGGGGCCAAACCTGGCACCACTATTTCCATAACAGTCACAGTAACTACTTTACATATACCATCAGCAGCAGTAATAGGCACCCAAGTTTCAAGTGCGCCAGCAGTAGCAATAGACTCTCAAGCTTCAAGTGCACTAGGAGCTATTTACACACAAACTTTCCAAGGCGGCTCACCAGGGAAATACACAGGCTCTATCAATACAGAAACAGCTACAGCTTCAAACGGAGGAAGTTCGGCTGCTGCCACGGCAGTTATAGGGTCCAAGGGAATCACATATTCTCCATACACTAAGGCGGACAAATGTAAGACTTCTTCCGAGGTTGCAGCCGATATGGCCCAATTAACAAGCTATGATCTTATCAGACTATATAGCACCGATTGTTCAGGGATTGAAAACGTATTGGCGTCTCTTTCCCTGCATCAGCAGCTTTATCTAGGGTTGTGGAATATCGATACTCAATCTGTTAAAAATGGATTGCAAGAAATCAAAAATGCTATTGCCGGGAGCTCTAGAGGATGGAGTGTTGTGCATACTATTGCAGTTGGTAATGAAAGAGTCAATGCTGGTGAAGCAACCGTGGCTCAAATGCAAAATGCGGTTGATACTGCACGACAATGGTTGAAAAGCAATGCACCCGATTACAATGGGTATATTGTCACTGTCGATACATTAGTAGCCTATGTCTCCAACCCTCAGTTGTGTCAGATGTCTGATTATTTAGCGGTGAATTCTCATCCGTATTGGGATGGTGGCGTAGAGCCAAGCAATTCAGGTCCCTGGCTACAACAGCAGATTTCGCATCTACAAAGTGTTTGTGGCACTTCAAAAGATGTTCTTATTACAGAAACTGGCTGGCCTACCCAGGGTGATACCTTTGGCACATGTGTACCGTCAGTTCCAAATCAAGTTGCTGCTGTCAAATCCATTGTAAGCACATTGGGCTCAAAAGTGATTATGTTTACAATGTATAATGACTATTGGAAAGATCCAGGTCCCTACAATGTGGAGCAGCATTGGGGTATCTACGGTGATCCAAGCATGTAAAACAAGCCGTGTGGACACTATCGAGCAGAGCGAGATAGTGGAGCAATACTTGGTACCTTGAGCACACTAGCTGCCAACGCGACTGACTAGCTGGGAGAGCTACAGGCTTGGCTAATTGTATTGGTCCCGACAATGCGTGGGGCAGCGTATTGGGGTATCTACGCTCAGCAAGGATAGTTGTATTGGTCCCGACAATGCGTGGGGCAGCGTATTGGGGTATCTACGCTCAGCAAGGATAGTTGTATTGGTCCCGACAATGCGTGGGGCAGCGTATTGGGGTATCTACGCTCAGCAAGGATAGTTGTATTGGTCCCGACAATGCGTGGGGCAGCGTATTGGGGTATCTACGCTCAGCAAGGATAGTTGTATTGGTCCCGACAATGCGTGGGGCAGCGTATTGGGGTATCTACGCTCAGCAAGGATAGTTGGCCCCTTACAATGCGGAGCAGCATTGGGACATTTACAGTCAACAAGGATCGTTGTTCCCTCACAAATTTAATTTCTACAAGTCGAATACCAACACCAAGAAAAGAATTTTCAAAGACTTTTGACTTGGCCGTTTTCTTTTCAATTCTTCATCTTTTACTGTCACTATCCTGCTACACTATCGAGCAGAGCGAGATAGTATAGTAGCACTGACTTTATCTTTTATTTAGATACTTGTACATTAAGACTTTCGACTTACCCGTTTTCTTCTCAATTCTACATCTTCTATTTAGATACTTGTTAAAAGACTTTTGACTTATTCATTGTCGGTGGCAGCCAGTGTTGCTTTAATATCGAGCAGAGCGAGATAGTGTCTACAAAGTGTCGCCAGTGTCGCCAGTGTCGTTAGTGGTGGTAGCCAATATGTTCCACTATCCCGCTCTGCTCGATAGTGTCGCTAGTGTCGCCAGTGTCGCCAGTGTCGCTAGTGGTGGTAGCCAGTATGCTCCACTATCTCGCTCTGCTCGATAGTGTCGCTAGTGTCTCAACGCTACCACGTGCGTTGGAAAAAATCGACCAACAGAAAAAACAAAAACTGAAAACTATACAGAAACAAAAAATTTCCCTTGAGTTCTGTATAAATATAAAATTTGTTTGCTTTACTTTTCCAAAACTGCAAATCATGTCGGAAAAGGAAAGGAGAAAACTACTGAACAAATTAAATAACTTGTTTGAGAATTTGTACAAGATATATGATAACAACGAGCCTATAACAAAGCATTTTCAAACACTTCCTTTGAGGACAGGCACTGACTATTATAAAGTCATAAAGAACCCCCTCTCGCTTCATGCTATAGGGAGGAAATTGAAGCAGCTCAAGTATGTTGATGCGCAGGAGTTTATTGATGATTTGGCGTTGATTTCGTGGAATGCAAGGTTCTACAACTTGCCTGGATCCGATGTGTATAAGCATGCGCAAATTTTGAAGCAGTACATTGTCGATACTGTAATTCCCAAATTGAGAAGTGAAAAATCCATTCCTAATGCATCAAGTTTGCTTTTCCCTTATATCGGCGATTTGCCAGATGAAAGAAAACAGGATATGGCTGTTGTAAACTCATTACCATTTGAAACTCAAGGTTTGCCACCCACCAAAATTCAACACTATCAAGAGAACTCGCCTATCGTGAAAACCGATGACTATGAAATGAGCGTTACGCCTCAAGCTGAACCGGTTTCCATGTCTAAACCATTAGCTTCTTCAGGCTACGCGAGACAGTCGCCATTTACCACTCCTAAGCCTAGTCGGGTTTCTAAATATGCCCAGAGCGCGGGACAGGCAGAAACCGGTATAAGGAGGGGGCGTCCCCCAATTATAGATAAACCATTTGAGACTCGTATAAAGTTTATTTTGAAGGGGTTCAAGAAACTTCGCGATAGCAGAGATCGTCCATTGATTAAATATTTCGACAAGTTGCCAGATAGTAAAATTTATCCGGATTATTATCAGATCATAACCAATCCCATAAGTTTGAATGAAATCCGAGTTAAGGTGAGGAGTAGGAAGTACGCAAACGTGGACCAGTTCATAGATGATCTAGACTTGATGTTTGCAAATTTCCAACAATACTTCCAAAATGATCCATATAGTGACGAGTTTATGGATTATCAACAAGTCAAAAAAGAGGCCAATATTATTGTACAGAATGAGTTGAGCAAGTCGGATAAGGATGTACTTTTAGCCACATCGTCTTCAAGTGATGGTATTTTGAGATTTCCGTTGGAGTCGTTGGAAGTGGATGGCTACTCCTACAAGATTGGTGATTGGGTGCTTATGAAGAATCCCGCAGATCTGGAAAAACCTATTGTGGGACAAATCTTTCGTATATGGTCGACAGAGGATGGGAAGAGGTATTGTAACATGTGTTGGTACTATCGTCCCGAACAAACGTGTCACGGTATTGATCGAATATTCTTTCAGAACGAAGTTTGCAAGACTGGGCAATATAGAGATCATTTAATCGATGATATAGTTGGTCCATGCTACGTTTTGTTTTTGACAAGGTATCAAAAAGGTGACTTACCGGAGGGGGTAATTCCTTCCACAGCACCGTGGTTTATTTGTGAGTTTAGATACAATGAGAACACTCATGTTTTCAATCGTATAAGAACATGGAAAGCGTGTTTACCTGATGAAGTGAGGGAAGATCCCGAACAACCATTAATCCCACTACATGAAAATCGTAAATTAATCAAGTATGAATCTCCTATTAGATCTAGTTTGACGCCAGGTGCTAAATTAGGCGATCCAGTCCCAGATGCTATTCCTGGTACAGCATGTTCACCACCTATTCAAGGTTCGGTTTATATATCTGCACCTATACCCAATGATGACTTGGGGCAATATTCTACTAGTCCAAATACAGTACCAATTCCAGAATATGATGATGTTAAAAATGGACGTCGGGCTTACTTGTTCACTCCAATCTCCCAATTAAAAGGTGGAGGTGGTTCAACCAATGCTGTATATGCGACAACTCCAGCACTCCCTCATGGCTCGCCGAATCATGAACCAGCTAGAAATGTTGTAGTTGGTGGTGGTGGTAGCAGTATCAGCGCCGGTAGTGGCAGCGGTGGTGGTGGTAGTGGTGGTAATGTGTTGGGCTCTTTGTCTGTGGCACCGTCTAGAAGCCTTCCACTTAGCCGTATTACCCCCAGTGCATTAGATCATGTGGCTTCGTATCGCCAAGAAGAAAAACCTCAACTCCCATCTAGTTACAAGCTGTTACAAGAGCATTTGCAAGAAAGCCAGGCAAAGAAATTACAGGAACAGCAATTGCAGCAATTTCAACAACAACAGCAGCAACAGCAGCAACAACAACAGCAGCAACACCAACACCACCACCAACAACAACAGCAACAACAACAACAACAGCAGCAGATTTTCAAAAGACAATCAACACCTATACCTTCGAGTATCACTCCTGTAGGGGTAAACTATCATATTTCTGCACCCGCGTACTCCTCATTGTATGTTAGTGGTAGCGGCAGCAGTATTGGTAGTGGTGGTAGTAGTGGCGCTACTTTTGCATATAGAATAGAAGAGGATATAGGTGAATTGGGTCATTTTGTTAATAAGAAACCAAGAAAAAATGATGATGGGGAAGTAGCTGAAGATATCATATTTTACAGAGCTCCACCTATCAAATTAACTGGAAATAGAATCATTACCAATCTGAGAGTTGAATTGGGTCATTCAGCTAAGTATCTAGCTTGGAAGATCAAGAAGAATGAGGGGGAATCCAGAGTGAGTCAATAATAACCAGTAAAATATGTATATATATACATATATATATATATGTATAAGAAATGTGTAAGAATAGTAATAATAAAAATGGAGTAAGATGAAAAAAAAAATTAAAATTATTGATTGATTTTGAGTGACTCTGGATATAAAGTTGTTTGTCATAGATATATACATCCCTACGCTCTCTCGTTTTCCCAAGAGATCAATGTTATGAATAAGCAATTGAAAGAATTTCAAGATTATTTACTCAAATCAACAAGGATTATTGCGCTAGTAGGAGCCGGTCTCTCAGCATCGTCGGGATTGCCTGTGTTTCGAGGGTCTCAGGGATTATGGAAAAATTACAATATGATAGATTTAGCCACCCCCGATGCGTTCTATGTTGATCCTGGATTAGTGTGGCAGTTTTATTCGTGGAGGAGGTATTCTGCATTGCAAGCGGTTCCCAATAAAGGCCATTTGGCACTACTGAAATTGTCGAAACTAACACAGAACAAACAAGGAGACGAAATACAGTATATTACAATTACTCAAAATGTTGATGGATTGAGCAGTCGGAGTGACCATGAATTGAGTAAATTGTATGAGATTCACGGAAGTTTGTTTACATTGAAATGCACTAGTTTTTCATGTAATTTCATTGAGAGAAACAATTTTAAAATCCCATTGACTAAGGCATTGGAAGATACTGAACATGAATATAAGCTGAATGAGAGAAAGAGAAGTCGAAGAGAGTTAGAAGGCGGCGATGTTTATGGCTTGGACATGATGGGTGTAGGTATGGATACAGAAGCGATTTCATTGTCGCCACAGTTTCATCCGGTCAAAAGTATACCAGAACTGGAATTACCGAGATGCCCTGTTTGTCACGCACTACTACGTCCAGGTGTAGTTTGGTTTGGAGAGTCATTACCATTGCATTTGATAACTAAGATTGATAATTTCATAGAAGCAAACGGGAAAGTTGATTTGATTTTGGTAATTGGTACAAGTGGGACAGTTTATCCTGCCAATAGTTATGTTGAGAGAGTCAAATATAAAGGTGGGAAAATTGCGATTTTCAATACAGATATTGATGAGAAAGTAGAACGCGGGGAAGTAAAAGATACTTGGGGATTTAAAGGCGATGCTGCTGAGTTGCTTCCAATGGCTTTGGAGCCTTTGATTGGGAGGATATAATTAAGAAGCAAATAATGAAAAGAAAAAGCAAGAGGGAAGAAGGAATACGTTATTCTAGATGTTAGCTTTGTTTCATTACAATCGTATATATTAACTGAAAGCGAAGAAAAAGAATCTTTTTTAAGTCTCAAGTGCCTTCAAATAATGACTCTAGAACTAAGCAGTTTTCGAGTTTTGCAAAAGATGCTGTTAAACCAGGTCCTTTATATTCAAGGTTGGTTGGTATTGGTAAGTTGTTTAGCATTTCATCATTACTGGGTATATTGAACTCCGGTAAAGTTGAACATATTGTTGAAGATGAATTAAGGTTGTCGCTGTTAGTGGCGGTGTTTTCGGTACTGTTGTTGTTGTTGTTGATGATGATGGTGGCGGTGCTACTATTATTATTGTTGTTGTTGCTGCTGTTGCTGTTGCTGCTGTTGCTATTGATACTATTATTAATCATTGGTTTATAAAATGGATTTCCCACTTTTCTTTTATTTCTACTATTAGATGCAGATGGTGGTGATAATTTTTGAAATTTTGCTAAAGTATTAATTGAGGCAATGGTTACTGATGGTTTTAAAGGTGGTTTCATTTGTGGTGAATTTGCTGAAGATTTACAAATCCTGTGCCTTGAACTTGACTTCAAATTGTTTGAATAATTGTATGAAAAGATATCCTGACCTCTATTTGATCTTGTAGCATCGAATGATTTACTTCTTTGAGCATGTTTTGGTTTACTTGGAGAAGAGGATGATAATGATAATGATAATGATGAATCATTGGGGAAAAAGGAGAAATCGTCAGGTACTTGTAAAGGTGACCTTAGACTATGGTTTCTTGTATGATGATACTCTGAGCAAGATGTTGATTTGATAGGAGATGGTATATTTATAGACGAGGATATCAGGTTTGTTCTTGTTTTTGTCATTGTTGGTGGTTGAGTGACATAGCTTGATATTGGCCAAGTCTGAACAAATGAGAAATCAAATTGATTTAATAGTTGAAAATCTTCGTCAAAATCAAGATTAACATTATCAGAGGTGATATTGGTCATATTTTTGGTTGTGATTGTAACAGAGTCTGATATACCAAAAATGGGATCAAATTGTTCAAGGTATGACGATTCAAGAAGATCACCAATCTGATCCTCAAGTAGTAAATCCATTATTAGCCTTTTCTTTTTGCAGCCTATTGCAGCAGTTTGTAATAAAAAAAAATAAAAAAAAATAAATAATAATTGGTAGCAGTATGAATTGATGCTAGAGACCAACCATTACCCATAACCATATTAAAAAGCTGGGAGATTTGAACAAGATTTTATACTTGTTGATTCAAAAAGAAAAAAAGACTGAAAAAAAAATCACCCTGTAAGACATTGAATGATGCTTGACTCTATTTAGTTGATGCAAACGTACCAAGCCACGAATGCAGAAGGGGGAGGAGAGAAAAAGAGATAAATAGAGTAAGAGAGGGGGGACCTTTCCGGTATTAAGCCAAAAATCTACAATGGGTAAAAATTTGTATGTGTCAATAATTTATAATAAATATTTAAAGTTTAGAATAAGTAAAAATTTTTTTTTTATTCAAAAGATCTCTAGATCTCAAAACCTAAAAGTGAAAAAAGTTAAATTTTATTAAGAAAAGGAGGAGATCAAAAAATAACAAGGCTTACAGAAAGCATAGAGAAAGTATGAGCATCACAAACTAAACACTTGTAGATCATAATTAAAATAAAAATAAAATAAAACAAAACCAAAGAGAAAAGAAATTGAACATGAAGAAAGCGCACAGGAAAAAAAGCACACAGGAAAAAAAAAAAAAAAAGAGTTTGTATTGCTGGTGGTGTTGATGGAGGAGAAGGAGGTGGTGGTAGAGTGAACTTTTTATTTGGGATAATTGAGCGAATTAGTGTATACAGCGAAAATAAATGAATTGGTGAATTAGTCAATTAATAGGTGTTGATGACCAACTAACCAAATGGCTTATTGATCTTTGGCTATTGGGGTTACTTGACAACTGAGATCAAATATACCACCAAGGTCAAAAATTTTTCATACTTCAAAAATAGAATAAAACAAAATAAAAAAAAAAAAAAAAAAGAAAAAATCAATACTAGTCCAACTAAGCCAAAACGAAGTGAGATTTTCTTGATAAAAATAAAAGATATAGGAATTTACGTTAGATCAAAGAAATTTTTGTTTTCGCATAGGACAAAGGAAATTGGTAAAATGGAAAATGCGTGAAACATTACTTATGTGGCATGTCAAATTCCATTTTGGCCCTAGTAGGATTTTAAATGATGTTTTCAAGTTGTGTTTTCAAGTTGTGTTTTCAAGTTTTGTTTTCAAGTTGTGTTTTCAAGTTTTTTTTTTTTTTTCTTTTTTACGATGCCAGTGCGTAAATACTTTGTGATTTGAAAATTCGTTGTATTTGTGATTATTTATTAACCACACTTGCATTGGTGGTTGTACAATTAGTAAGACACTAGCAACAGGTGGATAAAAATTGCAAAGTATATATTTTTTATGTATGATGATTTAAGTGAATAATCTTTGTGTGAGAGATCTTGTCTTTTTCTTCATTTTTAGAGTGCTTAAGAGAAAGATGCTTTTTCAATGATGATATCGTCTAGACAACCAAAAAAAAAGTTTCAAATGACAGGCTAATCTTTAGTTTGATTGCCATTGTCTTTTAGAGGAAATAAGAAAATTTTTATTATACATGGCGGATATGAGCATTTTTCGTATTAGAAGGAGGAGATATCTTAGGGCGGTGATTCACTGGATAGCAAGAATTGGTGTAGGTTCACTAGAGAATAAGAATAAGTGGTGGATTTGTTGAAAATAAGGATTTGGTGACTATTATGAGAATCTGTTCATATTCTAGGCATTCGAAAGCAATGTAGAAACCAGTTCAATCCACAAAATAATCCTTAATTAAGTTTGTGTTCAATGCCTTATTCAGTTAGGTTTGTGTTCAATGCCTTATTTCTTCTCTTAAAAATGTTGGTTCATTTAAATTACTGTTGTAGAAAAAGAAATACATAATCTTGATGTTACTTTGAAGCATAGACTACCTCTAGTTGACCATAGACAGTTTTTCTCAAGTATCGATATATGAAAAAATAAACGTAATGTAAGAATGAGGTACATTAATGACAAAGGTCAAAATGCAAACAGATGACGATTATTCCATTGCAAAAAAAAAAAAAAAAAAACTGCTGCGATAATAACTTCTACGAATTGTCTTCTACACAAAAAAATCACGCGTATTTCGTTCTTGAAAGTAATGATGAGCATTGAAACTCATGCGTGCCATTCATTTGTTGATGATAGTGTTTAACAAGAAAGAGAAAATGGGGCTGGGGGGTAAGGAAGGAAGGGACGGGAAAGAAGAAGGTTTCAGTCCTACTTCGTACAATGAGTTGCTACAGTATCTGCATATTGAATTATCTTGAGATCTCGATTTCAAAAATATTTTCGCTCATTGGTTGAAATGCCGAAAGTTATTTAAAGATCTTGGATCTCTAATTGTTAATCTATCTTGATAGTAATTACGAGTTGAATTGACATCAAATACCCCAGGTTTTGTTTTTCTTTTCAATGTTTTCCTTTTTTTTTTTTGCTCGTAATGTTAATGTCACGAGTGGTCCCCGCTCCTATACGTTTCGTGATAAATACGGGATGCAAGTTGCAATTTTACCAATTTTGTCACCCACACCCTCCCCTTCTCAAGATAGGCACCGCATACTCAGAAACACTATTCAAACTTAGTTCAAGGCGGTCATAAAAGACAAGCATTTACCGCAATTGTTTTTCATCTGCCTCGCCGTATGTATAGATGATGTCAAACCTAATTTTTTTTTCTATTTGAGGTACAGTTTGGATCTTGTTTGAAAAAAATAAAAATCCAAAATGCATGTCGCCGAAATTCACGCTAATGCTAGATAATAGATGCATGTACTGCAAGTACAAAACTACAAACCGTACATTTACTATTTTATAATTAGGCGTTCACATTATTGAGTGGCTAGAAAAAAGTTGAAGGGAGGGAGGGGGGGAAGGTGAGAAGGGAAGAGTATGGAAAACGAGAGATTATGGGAGGATGAAGGAAGAAAAAACGATATTAGTATTAAATGAGTTAGTTGTGTGGCTGGACAGCATATATATACAACTGGTTAACCAACAATACATCGTTCACTAAATTATCAACTATAAACAAATAACTTGGTCCTCTTTTCTAACGTAGAAAAGAATAAATAATCACCACCAACTACTCCCAAAATGAATCCGTTCACCGTTTTTCTAATCCCGATAGTAAATTTAGGTTCAAGCTTTTTTGTTCAAGTTTGTTAAACCAGTCGTCCAGTCGTCGTACCTGGTTTATTTTTTTTGTTTCTGAACTTGTAATACTAAAGAGGGGTGCAAGTGAAACTGACCAAAATGTTTTTTTTTTCCCTCTCTTGATTTCTATTAATACTTTTACCTTGACTTGGGGACTTGCTCCATGTCAATAATATTGGTGTGAGCACCATTGACCAGAAGTAATTCATTTTTCACAATATACTTCTATGGTCATTGTAAACAATAGCTTTCAAATTAACTTTAACAGTTATGTATTCTCAGGAAAGTTCAAAAATGGGGAAAATTTGGCGCCAAAACTTTAAAGTAATATTTTTTCTTTTCAATTTTCAGCTTTGTGTGACCACACACTATTGATTTTTTTTGCATTCTCTTCAATCCGCTAGATTATCACTGGAAGCAACTAGAGGCAATTATAAGCAATGTTCAAGTCTTGATATCCAAATTTGAAAAATAAGTGTAACACTGTTAAAAGTGTCCGCATCATCAATACCACCACCATCACTACGTCCACCACCTCTACTACGTCCACCACCTCTACTACAACTACTACTACTATTGTTACAATTTACTCATAATGAGTAAGGGGGATGCCCCTGACAACAACACAGAATATTGAGTCCCATTCAGTTTCGAATAGGGCTTGAGGTTTTTGTCGCGGTTGTCCGAAAGGTTGTCACAAAGTAGAGGAAAGAAATGTATATATTAGCATCATTATTAGTATTCTTTTTCTTTTGTATTCACAAATGGGTCTGTTTTGATAAAGATATTACCAATCAGAAGAAAAGATTTTAGTAAATTTTTTTTTTCCCGTTAATCTGGTGCTTTAAATCGGTCGAGACAAAGGGTTTAGAAAGTAAGTTCTAATGGACAATTAAGGGAGTTGGCAATAGTTATTTATCAGAGTTCTTGCAAAAACTTATTGTATATCTGAGTCAGATCTCCACATAGGCTAAATGGTTCAATAGAGAATCAACTCTACACTTTTTCAGTGCTCTTTTCTTTTTTTAATTTTTATTTTTGGTTTGTATTTCAACTTTTTATTTTTTTCATCCACGGAGTAATTCCTTATCATACTTATCTTGAACCACTCTCTGTGATGCAGAGCTATTAGCTTCCAAAGGCAATCCAATTTCCACATTTGCGTCAATCAAAATTTGATTTTGAAGCCATAATTTTCTCTTTTCAAGAATTTTTTGCGATAACGTACTCAGTAAAACTTTGTTTATCCTTAGTCCCGTGTTTAGCTGTTTTACTAATTTATCATGAAGTAGCTGAAGTGTTTCCAAATCTGTGATTTTATTAAAATTGGTATCATCATCAACATCACCACCACCCACTTTGTAACCGGATACAATCCGTTTACAGTCTTTGGATAGCTTCTGTAATATCCTGTTGCTGTTTACCTCTGAAACTACTTTACCTGGATTTTCAAATTCCAATTGTCGTTTGGCAATACTGACTATACTATTGTTAGGATCGCTGTCATTTATAAAGCGATCAGCTTCGCCATCCTCATTTCTTTTCTCTAGGTAATGTTTTATCCTAGCGTTGGCTAACTTATACTGCCTAAAGTCAAATGGCATACTATCTAACCTCATCCGGTCCTCGCCATCTTTTCTTGACTTTTTAATCACATTAATTGCATCATCACTAAACCACCATGGAATTCTCAAATCAAAATCACCGTCAATTATCTTCATGTAATCCTCATCACTTAAACTTCCTATATCAAATCCCAAATCCAATTGTCCTTTTTTCACTTTTTCCTTCAAACTGTTTAATTGATCCTTTACATTATGCAAGTCATGCACTCCCTTTACATGTTTTGTTAATGCATCGGATCTAGTGAAATGCTTTTCACATTCAGGTATAGGGCAAAAATACGGCTTTTCTCCAGTGTGGGTCCGACAATGCGATATCAATGCAAATCGACTAGGCTGATCCAATCCGTATCTGGCACACTCTTCCCAATAACAAACGTACTTCACAATATTTGACGCAGTGGTAGGGGGTACTGATCCTATATGGGTATTGTTCACATGTGTGACTAAGTTTGTCAAATCACTATGGTTGCAGTCTGAGCAATCTTTCCACCGACAGATGAATTCATTGGGAATCGGTGTTGTGCTAGTTACGGCTGCTGGCGCTGGCGCTGGTGCTGGTGCTGGTGCTGGTGCTGGTGCTGGTGCTGGTGCTGGTGCTAGTGCTATTGCCCGTAGCGGCGCCTGCACCAGTGCCAGCCGAATCAGCAAGTCATTAGCTGTGGGTTGTATTTCTGTAGCTTGATTGGACGTAGAGTCCTCCATTATTCTGTCACCAAATACTTTTCTATATTCTTCTACATTTCCATCATTTTTATTTAACATAAATTTTTCGGGTCTCTTGCAAATTATATAATAGTGTGTCTACAAGGTTGAAAAAAAAAAAAATCTATACTTCGAGATGTAATTATATATAAGGTCGATTTTACACCGGCTCCAGTTAATGTCAGCTCCAGTTAACGCCGGTTCACACTGAACATCGTATGCTGTATTTCCTTGTACATTTTACAACAATTCGTCTAATCTGGCAGCAGGGTTAGATTCGATAAAGTCTAAAGAGACTTTATGACCTAACAATTCTCTAATATTGGAAACGCCGTATTTAATCATAGTAGGTCTCTCTAAGGAAAGCCCCCAACCCAAAACACGCAAGTTTGGTGGTAGTCCCATAGTTTCCAACATTTCTGGTCTAAACATACCGGAGTTACCGATTTCAACCCACTTCTTCAATCCTTGGTGGTATGCAAAGATTTCCAATGAAGGTTCGGTATATGGATTATAAGCTGCCTTGAATCTTAATTGATCAACACCCATCTTGCCAAAGAAATCATCCATGAAACCAATCAAATCACCTAATGTAATATCATATCCGGCAATGACTCCTTCAACTTGATGGAACTCAGCTAAGTGAGTAGCATCAACTGCCTCATTTCTAAAGACTCGATCAATTGAGAATAATCTAGTTGGTCTTGGATTCTCGGCTAATTTGTGCAACATTGAAGAAGATATAGCTGTTGTGTGAGTTCTCAAAACCATTCTCAAGGACTCATCAGCGCTCCATGGATATCTATATCCAATAGATCCATACTTTCCTTCCTGATGTACTTGTTTAACGTTTTTCCAATACTCCTTATCTTCTGGCTCTTTAGCCCTTGCCGGATCCTTCAAGTAAAAGGTATCTTGTAAATCCCTAGCTGGATGTTGTTGAGGAACGAATAATGTGTCAAAGTTCCAAAATCCAGATTCAACATACTGGTTGGATGGCATTTCAGTGAATCCCATTGAAAAAAAGATTTGTCTGAATTCTTCTTTAACTTTATTTAATGGGTGCAAAGCTCCCGATTGTGGGAAAACACCTTCAGAATTGAAATTGTAAGGTTTGAATTGGGCAGTCTTCCAAGATTGGTTTAAAATCATATCTGAAGTGATATCAGTTTCAAGGTTGATTATTTCTAATGCAAATTTTGGACCCTTCTCTATCTTGTACCCTATCACTTTGACCAAGCTAATTAATTTTCTCTTTTTCAACTCTGTCAACTCCTTTGCATCATCCAAAGTTCCTTTCTCCTTTATTGTTTTGAGTTCTTCCAAAACAGTATCGGTTGGTAATTCTTTCACTTGTGCAATTAGCTTATCCCCATCTTTGCTCAACCATTTGTTTTTAAAAGCTTTACCTTGACCAACAATTCCAGCAGGTCCCAATTTTTCCTTCAATTGAGATATGGTCAATCCTTCCAATGCTTTCAAGACTTGATCCACAACTTGAACCTCAGGAGATGCTCCCGATTCAATGTACTGCTCAGCTTCCTTAGTTAACACCCAGTGATCTTGTTCCAACTTGCTGAAATTCACCATCTGCTTTGACCATAGTGACGATAATGCAGAATGCAAGGTATTTGAGTCTATACCTGATAATTCTGGCAGCTTTAAAGTGTTTTGAATAACACCATTATTGGAGTCCACTAATTTTAAGATTCTCGACAGTAAGTCCGACATGGTGTATAGTGGAAGAGAGGAGTTTCAATGCCAAACTGGGATGGTGAAATATTTTTGACTCAATTTTTTTTTTTTTTTTTCACGACTTACCTGGTAAGAAAAATGGTAATCCTTATGGCGCAGAGTCACTTTATAGTATAGAAGATGATGAACAGATATTAATGGTAGAGAGGATTTTGGTAGAGAGTTTTGGTAGAGAGTTTTGGTAGAGAGTTTTGGTAGAGAGGCCTTTGAGTGTTAAGTTTTAGCGTTGATGGTCAAAGCATCCTTGGTCAGATCAATTACACTTATGCGCAGCTTCTTTCTTTCTTATGTTAGTTGTGAAATATAGAGAAGATTAGTTTGCAGAACAACTTAATTTTGTTCAATTTTTAGTTCAGCTAGAAATAGAATAATGGTTATACTCCATTACAATATCATGAGCAAAGGCTTCTCACAAATAAGTCTAATCAAATCCGCGTGTATATGGATATAAAATAATATGCATAAACACTTTCTCCTGTTTAATCTCTTCTCAAGTCCCTTCATCAATATCATTTGTCGCTCAAAACTAAAAAACCAGTTTCCATAATAAAAATTATAGCACTTAACAACTGAGTCACGTGACTAAAACCATTCTCAACATGTTGTTATAGGGAATCGAAAGTGGAGTCCAAACACTCCCCCCTCCTCTACCTCCCCTCCTCTTGGAATCATTTTTGATATCAATTGAATAAAAAAAAAAAAGAGTGACTTAATTGTAACAGTAGAGGCCTTTAGTTAGTAGCACATGATTACATTGGTAATAATAACCATTTTTTTAAGTCTGCTCTATAGTCAAAGGGTGAGAGGGAGAGAAAAGGAAACTTTCAACGAATAGATTTTAGGTCACAATTTAATCAATATAGCCCCGGAAGGAAGTAAGTAAAAAAGACAGAGAAGAAAAATTGTCTTGGAGATGTCTTGTAGAGAAGTCTTGCAGGTTGTTATTGTTTAAAACTGCACCTACCAAAACATGATCATACAATGCCTTTTCACCCACGCCTTCGTCTTTTTTTTTTTTTTCCTCTGTATAATACTGTATAAATGGTAGCGCAGCAACAATAAAAAAAGGAAGTTAGAATAATTTATTATTTAGTACCATCACGTACTAGGATTAAATTTGCTTCAGCCTCGAAAGTAGTTCAAGGGGAAGGAAAAATGCTATAAATAAGAACTCAGAGTCCAATATCTCATTTATACATTAATTTTTTTTCTCTTCACTTTTCAATCTATTTCAATTTCGTTAACAATTAACACACTAGATCCAATTGAACAATGCCATTCACCTGCAGTGATATCTTTAAACTTATAATAGCCATCTTCCTTCCCTTTGTGGCAGTGTTTATGGAAGTTGGATGTGCCACGCCCTTTTGGATTTCGGTGATATTGGCATTTTTGGGATATATACCGTCCATTATCTATGCGATATATATAATATTCAAGTATTGATATTGCTGATGTTGCTGAATTTGCTGAATTTGCTGATGTTGCTGATGTTGCCAAAATGCTATCTATTCTTTCCCCAAAAAAATTTGTTGAGCCTAGTTGTAAAGCGGTTTCAATAAGTGAATTTGTTTTGTTTCCTATAGATATTGTGGTTACCCGGTGGAAAAAGTGAATGAGTGTATTTTTTTTCTATTTCCTTTTGGGTATGCTTGCTATTAGTGTCTAGTTGAAATATATAGTGTAATAGCATTTTACGAGGATTGTTTTCACTTTATCTTTGGCATCTCTAAGCGATTTTCACTTTTCAAATTGTCAGAAGTTTTAATTTGCAACTTACTAGTGAAAATATGAGCTAAGTTGTCCATGATGGAGATTTAGATCAAATGCGGCTGAGGTATAAAAAAAAAAAGCGCAAGCAATAGTTGCCATACTTAACTCAAGCGATCCAAAAAATATTTGCCATACGAGATATGATGATTACCTCTGGCCAACTACTACTACTACTACTACTACCACAAGAGCATTGTAAGTACTTTGGTGATTCGGCAAACGTGAGAGCTGCTTACCCTCCTAAATCTGAAACTTATCTTCATAGAATAGTTTAGAATCTCAGAATAAGGGGGGTTTGTACAAAGAAATAAAAGAGGGTCAAATTGCGTAAAAGTTTGGTCCCTGGAAAGATCGTCGCATAATTTTTTTTTTTTTTGTCTACAACATAATATATATTAAGAGAGAGAGAGAGAGAGAGAGAGAAACAACAAACAAACAAATCAACAAAAACAGTTTAATTATACAATGTTTATAATGCCTCCTTTTAAAAAATCCAGCCCAAAAATGTATCGTAGAACCATTGCTTGTCATACTTCTTACCTGTAGCATCTCTTATTGCCCTCCTCTCACTGTCTTCAGCCTCATATTTGGCAAACTCAGCATCAATGACATCTTTGAAAGTATGCAAGTCAACTTCTTCTGGCTTGAGCCATTTGGTTTTGTACCAAAACTTATAACCAAAGAAAAGAATTAAGAAAATTGGCAAAAGTATATAACCCGTGATAAAAGATGCGTAATCAAATTCGTTTCCCAAAAACACAGTAAAGTTTTTGATAAACATAACAAGGATGCACACTGCTAAACAAAAATAAGTTGCAAAAGGCTGTAATGGCGATCTATAGACCAAGTCCCGTTTCCTGTCAAATCCTTGTGCTTTCAATGCCCTCATAAAACCAATGTGGAATACCAAAATTGAAGACCAAGCAATTAATCCTGACTGCGAAACCAAATTAACAAAATGTTGAAAGATTTGCGCTGATCCCGATGACACATTCATATAGGCTAACAAACAAAACAATGCGGAAACACAAACACCAAAATAAGGAACTCCCATCTTATTTGTTTTGGTGAAAAGTTTTGGTGCATAGCCATCAGCAGCTAATGAGTAAAGCGATCTGCTGCAGACATACATATCTGAATTTGCTGCTGATAAAACAAACAACAAGATACATGCATTTATGACCGAGTCTAACCCACCGATTCTTGCATTCTTTATTGCAATAACAAAGGGAGAAGCACCAGCATTTGTACCTGATGCACTCATAAGAAGTGGGTCTCTAGCTGAAACACACATACCAACAAATAAAATCGACATTATGTAAAATATCAATATACGATACAAGGTCAACTTGACGGCTTTTGGTATCGCTCTTCTGGGATTTCTGCATTCAGCAAAGGTTAATGAACAAAGCTCTGCTCCAAGATAACTAAAGACCAGCATCACCAAGACCAGCACAAATGCAACAAATCTACCTTTTGGTCCTTCAATAATGAGGTTTTTGGAAAGAGCCTCATAGTGAAGAAATGCACCTGGGTCCTTCCAATACCTGAATCCGATTCTATCGTGCGTTGGACCACCACCTAACGCAATAACCCACAACAAAATTATCAATCCCAAGCAAGTCACGATTTTCAATGAACTCAACCAAAACTCAATTTCCCCAAAAACTCTCACTCCTAAAAAGTTTATAATCACCATTATAACAAGAAATATGGTTATCCAAACACCAGGATTAATACTGTCACGATCAACCCAATACTGCATTGTCAAAGCACCCGCGGTCAACTGATTTGCTGGCAAGATCAAGTACTTGACTAAATAAATATATCCACACGCAAAACCCAAAGCTTCATCAGTGTATCTTTTACCATAATTGGCAAACCCATTTAGTGGGATATGACTTGCAATTTCCCCAAGCGAACACATCACAATATAGACAACAAACCCAATAAGGGAGTAAGAAAGTAAAATTGCACCCGGACCCGCCGTTTTCAAAGCACTTCCAGTACCAATTAACAAACCAGTTCTACAAAATAAAAAATTCTTGTGTTAGTATTAAAATAATATTGCTTTCCATGGAGGTTGATTGAACATACCCTAAAGCCCCTCCAATGGCAATCATACTGACGTGTCTAGGGTCCAACGATTGCCTTAGTTTATGACCGTCCGTTTGAATAATCGCGGACGGTGTTGATTTTGCAACATAAAGGTCATATTCTGTAGTATGGCGAGATACAATGCTTTTCAATTCTTCTTCCCCAGTGTGCACACCAATATCCTTTTCAACTTGATTTATATCATTTTTGCGTTTAAATACCATATTTGAGGATATATATCAGACACTGTCTAAAACCTCAGGTGGATAAAAGAGACTGTTTTGTAAAAGAAAAAGGGAAAAAGAGATGACATTTTGTAAATAAAAGAGAAGATGTCTTGGTAGTTTTATATTCTAGTACAATGTTGAAAAAATGATAAGATTTCAATTAAAAATGAAGATCAATGGAAAGAGTCTTTCAATGTATTTCTTTTTTTTTTCTTGTTACGAGCAAGCTCAAATAACACAACGGAGTCAAAGTTGAAAAATGTAACCAGAATGTCTCTTGGGTTTGGAGGTCTAAGATTTTTCTATTATTTTTGTTCATCTCTTTGTATGGAACGATGCAAAGCTTTTTTTTTTTTGGATATATTAAAATCTTTTTTTTTTTTTTTTTTTTTTTTTTTTTTTTGCAACTTTTAATCATTCGTTTAAAGAAGACAAGAAAAAAATGGAAGACGTTTTGTGTAAATCAAATTTGATTAGATTGCAAAAAAATAATTAAAAAACCTATTAAAAAAAACGCCGTATCAGTTTGCTTTGAATCGCAGCTGGAATTGTGAGATTTTCACTTCTGCTTGTATGGCAAATTGCATATATTTGACATAGACTCTAATCTAATGGTAGTACTTATCTCAGTGCATATACAGAGTCCGGTTATTTATTGGGGAAAAGTGGGGTCATACAGATTCACCTGAGTTGGTTTTTTTTTTTTTTTTTAATATGTATTTTTTTTTTTTTTTTTTTATTTTTTTTTTTCTGGTGGTGATGGGGGGCGGGGGCAGCGTCACCTTACTTTCAGGGACTTTATTATCAAAAAAGAATCAGTCAAACCTTGGAAAAATAATTAATAATACAAGAGCCTGGTTAAGGGCAATCAAAAATTTTACCTTGTGCAAGGTGGTACCAATATAATTTTACCTTGTAGAAGGTGATACCAAGATAATTTGACGGGAAATTTTTCTTAGAACCTTAAAGGATAGTTTGTTTATCTGGTGGAATTGCATAGTTTGTTTATCTGGTGGAATTGGATAGTTTGTATAATTAATGATAGTGATATTACTTTTCACTTCTTGCTTTTACGCAGTGGTAAGAGTTAGTATGGAACTCTTTTTTTGTTTTTTCTTTTGTTTCTTGGTTGTAGTCAAGTGTTGATAACTCTCAACTAAACCTTATCGATTCAAAATGAAAGTTTCTTAATACCGGAATAATATTGATTGGTTTCATTCCGGTATTATTGAAAGAGCAAGAGAAGAGGAAGAGGAGAGGAAGAGAAGAGGAAGAGGAGAGGAAGAGGAGAGGAAGAGGAGAGGAAGAGAAGAGGAAGAGGAAAGGAAGAGAAGAGGAAGAGGAGAGGAAGAGGAGAGGAAGAGGAAAAGTGTTTAAGTAGAAGGTCAGAGAAAGAGAACGCGACATCCCCACATTTCTATGGCAAGAACCTTCCCCCGTGCCCCGTGATCCGTCCCCCCCGTCCCCCCCGTGCCCCCATCCCCACAGACATACACACATCGTCGAAATGCCGGCTGTACTTCACTTCTTTTCTTTTCTTTTCTTTTCTTTTCTAGTTGCCCCATAAATAGATCAACTCAGGATTAATTTCAAGATGGTTTCGAAACCTAAAACATATGGAACTTTCTTTTTTATTTCATTTTTTTTATTTGTTTTGTTATTTTTTTTTTGGTAATCTTGATACGGCATTTGTTATTCAATTACCCCAGTTTTTTTCTTTTTTTTTTCAACCTATATTTGCTACTAAAAAGGTATAGTTTACAAAATGACTACAGAGGACAGAATATGGTTTGTATATACATATGGCTACACCTCCCACCCCACTACCAACCTCTCTTTTCTAATTTTTCATTCTCCTTAATGGAATCAATTGAAATACCTGGCATCAATTCACCAAGGTCTGTTGAGTACTCCAATAACTTTACAGGGTCGTTGTAGTTGGTAGTAGCATTGACAATAGCCTTTGCCAACTTCTCGGGGTTGCTTGATTTGAAAATACCAGAACCAACAAAAACTCCATCGCAGCCCAATTGCATCAATAATGCAGCATCTGCAGGAGTTGCAATACCACCAGCAGCAAATGTAACTACTGGTAATCTCTTCAACTCAATAACTTGAATTACAAGATCAACAGGTACCCTCAACTCTTGGGCCAAATCAGCAATTTCCTTTTCAGACTTCAACTTTGTAGCTGCTTCAATATCCTTACGAATAGTTTTGATATGATCAACAGCAGAGGAAACGTCCCCTGTTCCTGCTTCACCTTTACATCTTATCATAGCAGCACCTTCGTTTATTCTTCTTAAAGCTTCGCCCAAGTTTCTAGCACCACACACAAAAGGAACCTTAAAGTTTTTCTTTGCAATGTGATCTACCGTATCAGCCGGAGTCAACACTTCGCTCTCATCGATATAGTCAACACCGAGTGCTTCTAAAATTTGCGATTCTGTAATATGTCCAATTCTGACCTTGGCCATTACCGGGATCTTCACAGACTCCATAATTTGTTTGATCATTTTAGGATCAGACATTCTGCACACTTGGTTCGATTTCCTCATTTCAGCGGGGATTCTTTCAAGCGCCATTACTGAACATGCACCTGCTCTTTCGGCAATCATGGCTTGCTCGGCATTAACAACGTCCATGATGACTCCTCCTTTCAACATTTGAGCCAATCCGGCTTTTACCTTGAACTCAACCATCTCTTGAAGTTGTTGTGGATGTTTGGTGAATGAGAAGGAAATCGAATACCTTCTTTTCCTAAATTTTTTTTAATTTTTAACTTCTTTTAAATGAAAAATTCAGAGACCAGATCAATGACTCCTTTTTTTTTTTTTTCACTTAGCCGCTTTGAAACTTTCTGACTCATATACAATGGAAGAGGAGTGTGAGAAATCAAAGTTTTATCTAGATACAGCTTGTCTCACGCCTCATCTCAATGGGCGGAGACACTAGGAAACTCGTTTTACTAGATGTTAGAGTAATTGTCTCTATAAGAACAACAAAATGTTGATGTCAACTGAGAGTATCAACAAAAGGGAATATACCCGCTAATTTTACATAAAACTATATAAAACTATTTATATGAGACCTCTGGATCTACTCTTTATTTAAACCTCTGGATCTACTCTTTGGATCTACTCTTTGGATCTACTCTTTGGATCTACTCTTTATTTAAACCTCTGGATCTACTCTTTGTATCTACACATTACTTTACACAATCTGTAAAAGTAGTTATTGGATCAAAATTTTTTAAACGTAATAATATATTATGCGCTAAAGTATCACATTGCATTCTGTACCTCTAAAGAAAGTCCAGATTAGACCTATTAAATCATTATACTGTGTTTAAAAAAACGCAAAAAAAACAGTTTCTCGGATATTAACCTCTTGTTTGACTCTGTGGCGAATAAAGACCAAAAGACAGTTGCTGGTTTACCAAAAGACAGTTGGTGGTTTGTTTCTTCCATAATGACTCAGTCTATTGCTATAACTATTGGAGTCTTGGCGTTACAAGGAGCTTTCCAGGAGCACTTGACTTATCTAGAAACAGTTATATCACAAGATGAGGAAAAATACTCAAACTATTCATTTAGGATCATCCCCGTGAAAACAAAAGAAGTTCTTTTTGAATGTAGCGCTTTGGTAATTCCTGGCGGAGAAAGCAGCTCGATGTCTTATATCGCAGAAAGAACAGGGTTGCTTCCTCATTTGTACGAGTTTGTAGCCGATGAATCTAAAGCTATTTGGGGTACATGCGCCGGTTTGATTTTTTTATCAAAACAAATACGGAATGGACTCAAAGACCAGAAATGTTTGGGCGGATTGAATATAGAAACTAACAGAAATGCATTTGGACGCCAGCTCGACTCTTTTGTCAAAGAATTGGACTTTAGTAAGTTTATCAGTGGGTGCACCGATTTTCTTACAGTTTTCATAAGAGCCCCAGTAGTTACCAAAGTCTTGACAGAACCAAATTCTTCTCGTGATTTGGACAAGTTTATAAAATCCGAGAACGATTATGTGAATGAAGCCCCAGTTGAGGTGTTGTACCTGTTGGATAACTATGATGGCGATAACAATAAGCTAATGGTAGCTGTACGACAAGGGCGAATACTAGGAACATCTTTCCATCCTGAACTATCAGATGACCACAGGTTTCATCAATGGTTTATAGACGAATTCGTGTTACACATTTAGAGAAGAGGAGAAGGAGAAGGTAATATCTACACCCCTTCTCTATTACACCAAATGCTCTCTACTATATAAAAACACTTTTCACTGTATCAAGTGCTCTCTCTTTCTCTCCATTCTGGTGATAGAAAATCAAACTTGATAAGTATCTAAATATTTTTTTTTTTTCCCACTGAATAGCCCTTAACTTTGTCATGATAAAGGTAATTTTGAAAGATGCAACATGCAAGGGTATCGAACCGTACCAGTTCTTCGCAATATAATGCAAGAAAAGATAAGGATTCATCAATTGGACACAGACAGATGTCTGCCAACCATGCAAGCTTAACTGTTGGTGTAAACAAAGTCTTCTCCAATCGCCAAATTGACAATAGCACTGCTGACGGCTCAAAAACAGCCAATCGACGAGTCAACCACGGCATTAAACCATTGGGAACGCCATTATTCAAGGTTCCTCTGGATACCCATACAAAGGATACTCAATATCCACCTATACAAGTTAATTTATGGTTTCACGAGTTTCGAACGACCCAGGAGGAGATCTTAATTGATCCAAAAGCATTTCCTGAAGGAATTGTCCCGGGACAAGTCATTGAGATTCAAAGTCTTGGACCAAAGAGTAGTGCTGGTAAAAAATTGGTATTGAAACTAGGTCCAAAAAATATCCGTGAACAAACCGATCTTCTGGATATAACGTCTTTGACCAAAACCCAAAGCCAAACTCAATCACAGTTTCAAATATCATTGATGTCCAACCCATTTCAGAAACTCTTGGACTTGGCTCCAAGAAGCCTTATCCAAGTGAAGAAAGTAACCAATTTAGATTCAGTTGCTATTGACTCTATGGAGATATTCATTAAGGATGTCAACTTATCGAGAGATGCCATGTGGCAATTTTCGTCCTCTCTCGTTGACAAGTGCTGCTACACTGACCAACGGCTATCGTATTTGGGCTATAGAATTGGGGTTGTTAAGTACATCTACAAGAGCGGCCGCAAGGTATTTTCCGGATATATCAATGAGGATACCAAAATCATTTATAGAAGCGAAAGTGCCAAACTAACTGTTTTAATCCAACTATCACGGGAGATGTGGCACTTTGAAGAAAATGGCGAAATCATGTTTCATAAGTTGGTAAACAATTTGTTTCCAAAAATATTCCGACGTTGGAGAGACAAGGGTACCCACCATTCCATTACGATTGTGTTATTCACCAGTGTGGATTTGACTGACATACCTTGGACGCATTTAAGTGCAGGTGAAAGACCACCCAAAAGACGTGATTATTTCAGAGTAGTAGTTGACCAAGTTAATATCCTACACTGGGATCGAATAATGGCCAATTTAAGATTAGAATTTGCAAACTTTAAAAGAGATATTATGCTTCGTAAAGGTGATGATTCTAATTATATAATGGAAGGTCAACCATTACCAGCAGTAAAGGGGAATACTTTGGAGGCGCTCAATGTCGGTTTAGTACTACTCAATGACCGATTTCGAAACACCGACCTTAAGCATTCTCTAAACCATTTCATGTTGATAACTGCGGGTATCGGTTTGTTCGATGTGGACTACAAGACGTTTTTGGAAACAAGTAAAAAAATTACTAGCATTGATACTAGCCTTGACATTATATGTTTAAGCGAACCTCCTTTGCATGTAACTCCCTTATTTCGGTTTATTAAAAGTGGGAAACTTTGCCATTGTGTTCCTGTTTGGTGTGATATATCCTTTTATAAAAACAGACAAGAGGAAAACTTTCAATGGATACCTAGATGTAAAATTTACGAGCTACAAATGATGGGAGTGATGGAAAATGAAATTAATGATGCCAAAATCCCGCGATATCACATTGATAGTCAAATGCACTCGCTTCAAAAGATTATGGAAAGATACGACGAGCATATATTTAAGCCGATACAGCACAACCAAGAAAGTAAAAAAGAGGTGGAGGTTGAAGCTAAGCTTGAAGAACCTAAATTCAAAGCACCCAAAGTAAAAGATTCAAAAGCTACTTTATCACTAATATTCAATGAGCGCACATCACTTTTGCCAATATACAATTCTACAACAAACTCATCTGCAATTGGAATGGTGGCGCATCCAAGCTCGGAGGTATCAGCGCTTACAACTTTGTACAACATTAACAAGAACCGAGAGGATAAAACGCAAATGTTTACTTCTTCTTTTTCTACTCCTTCTTCTTCGGAACAACCTTCTAATTTAAAAGCATCAGTTTCCGCCTCCTCAAAGCTACCGAGAATCATCCAAAACTTCCGAAAGGACTCCTCCTCCTCCTCTTCTGCAGCGGCGGCGGCTGCAGTTACTAATACTACTAATACTACTACTACCCCTACTACCCCCAAAATAATAAATGGCGAGAAACTCTTTTCAAGAAGAGACAATATTAGACGTGCTTATATTGCTGAAGCACAAACAAAAACAAACAACGAGAAAAGAGCATCTGTTTCGGAAACACAAGCAGAAGCACCATATGCTGCGTATTGGATCGAGATCAAAAACCCTTCAAGAGATGTGGGTAGTGATATAATGCACAAGGCCCCATTAAGCAAATGGAGCAATTTATTTCCAGATAACATTCAGAGAAAGATTATTAAATGGAGATCGTTTCAAGCTCCTGCTGCGTTACCAATTGTATCTAGGGCGTTCCCAACACTACAACAGATACAGGAAAACTACACTTCTCAAACGTACTCTATATACTTGAGTCCGGAAAACTACTTGGAACTTACAACGACATCGGAGTTGATGAGGGAAATGATTCAATTGAGGTTGATGTTGGGTTTTCAAATTTGTTATGGTGAGAAAGTTAAAAAAGTCGAAGCCGAAAGAAAACACACGGGAAACGCTGATAGTGTTATTAAATATTTTCCGCTGGGTGATTGTAATGGCTCGAGAATCTATATGTCCCTTGATGATGAAATTCATCGTATACACTGCGACTATGGTGGCAATTTAAACGTTCAATTATACAGGAAGACCAAGTTGGAGGAGGAGTCCAAAATCACTTTAGGCCAACGAAAACCACAGTCGTATTTCCCATTGATTAGAACAAGATATGCGGACGAATACGGGCCTTCACAAGTTGACACCTTAGCCTCACATCCTCAAACTTACAATTGGAATCAATTTGATCAGTTATTGGCTGGATTAGATGATGCTATGCCCGATAATAAAAAGGAATTTCACAAGATGAAGTTTGTTGTCATGCCTGCCGAGATTCCCAAAAATGCGTATTCACTTACCAACGAACATTTAAATGCAGAGGAAATCAGAGTTGAGGGATTGAGAAAATTGATTGCATATATTGAAAAGGGAAAATATGTTAGAAATCAATCGTACTCCAAGGCTTCAGAAAGATATTTTGATATTATTTTCTATACTGGAAACTTGTACGATTTTTTGACCAACGAGGCGCAAAATTATGATATTACAGGGAACCAGCTGATCTTAATGATCCCAGAAAACGCGCGATTCAACAAAAATGTGAAGTTATCAGAGCTAGCAATGGAGTTGCAGCATCAGAAATCTGGGTTGAACTTGGTGGATCGGACTTGGCATTTCAAGCGTCATTTACAATGCTTTATCGGTAGTGAATTTGTAACATGGATAATGGATTGTTTTGAAGACATCCACACCCGAGAAGAAGCAACCGCTTTTGGTCAAAGTCTCATGGACAAAGGTCTCTTCAAACATGTTGAGCTGAGACATGGCTTTATAGATGGATATTATTTTTACGAGTTTGAACCGCAGTATTTGGAAAAGATTGACAAAACAAATCGTGGATCATCATGGTTTAGCAGCAATGTTAAGAAGGACGGATCACTCACTCCTAAAAGCAACTCTTCACCAAAAGTTCAAAGTGTAGGGGAGTTGGTCAAAATCACTTCGTCGCAAAATCTTTCATTTGATGCTTCGTCCTTGGCCGACTCCACTGGGAGAAAAAGGATGAAATTCATTCTTGGTAGATCTGTCAAGTTTGATGTTGATCCTTTGCGCAAGTCCTATAGACCCGAATTAGTTACTGTTCATTACGATAGAGTGCATAATCCTGAGCACTGTTATCACATCCGCTTACAATGGCTCAACACCACCAATAAGTTTGTCGAAGATACAATCACAACTTGGTCTCGAATGTGCGAGAAATATGGATTGAAATTAGTAGAGACACCATGGAAAGAATTGTGTGAGATACCCAAGGTGAATCCGTTCCACTCCTTTGTAGAAGTAAAGTTATTGCTAAACCCTTGGCTTGAAGAGGAGTTTGCGGATGACAAAATTTTATCAACCAACAAGTATTACTATCATTTGTATTTTTTGAAAAAATTGGAGTTCTTTTTGGATAATAGGACATCATCATTTTTTCAGAAGGACAATATAGATATAACGTATAGTTGGGGTAAACCTACATTCCAATACGCGCAATTCATTCACAAAACAGGATTCTACATTGTAGAGTTGAGAGATAACGGAGACTTTTTCTTGGCACCCAACAATATGCATTTGACTAGAATTGGATTATCAAGCACTCCAGCTGGTGAGTATGAAACAACGGCGAGAGCTATTCATTTGGACTCTCAAAAGATAATGCTATATTTCCGAGCAGCTTGTCAAAACCAGGAGTTTTTGAAAAAGGTGTTTCATGAAGCAAAATATACGTGGTCTGAAGAGACAATCACACAAATCAATTAAGAAAGAAACGTGCTGAAATAAAAGGAATACATATACGTATATATATATATATATATATATGATTTTTTTTTTTTTTTTTTTTTTTAATTTGCAATTCTCTCTGCAATCTTTATAGTATCGGCCAATACTCCGTGGGCTGTGACCTCAGAACCAGCACCTGCTCCTTGAACAATTAATGGATTTGGATATCTCTCTGTTTTAATGGCCACGACGTTATCGCTACCTTTCAACGAAGCAAAGGAATGGTCAAATGGGTATTTGCCAATTTCTACTGAAACTTTATTGTTTTTGAAATCGACTTTTCCAACAAATCTCAAAACTTTACCGTTTTCAAATGCGTCGTCTTTGGTCTTTTGGATCTCGTTGTCAAATTCAGACAATCTTTGCAAAAACTCGCTAGCGCTAGCGACACCTTCCAATTCTTTTGGAATTAAACTTTCAACCGGAAAGCTAGTTGGACTTTCAACTTCAAATCCTGATAAACGAGCAAGAATAGTAACCTTTCTTGCCACGTCCAACCCATTCAAGTCGTCTCTTGGATCAGGTTCGGTGTATCCCAAATTTTTCGCCTTTTTGACAATGTCAGAGAACTTGACATCTGATTTTTCAGGCGTTGAGAACTCATTGAAGATATAGGACAATGTACCAGAGAATATACCTTCAATGGTTTCAATTTTGTCTCCAGTCAAAACCAAATCTTTCAAAGGACCAATGATTGGTAATCCTGCACCTACAGTGGATTCATGGTATACCAACCCAGCACCGTCCTGTTCTGCATTGGTAAAAATATCATTCCAGATCTTCAATGTTGAAGAAAATGCTTTTTTATTTGGCGTGGCAATTGAAATTCCTTGTTTGATAAAAGTTGGGTAGTAATTGGCAATGGTTTCATCTGATGTATTATCGACTAAAATTGTTGGTCTATGGGCGTTTTTCAAAAACTGGACCAAGTCATCTAAACTGAGAGTTGGTTGCACCTGTGCAGTTTCCAAATTTGCCAAATCAACTGGTTTATAGTCCTTACTGTAGTGGGCTATTTTGGAAGTTTTGGCCAAGTAAACCACATTGAATGCGATTTTACACTTTAAATTTTTCAATTGCCTTATGAACGCAGATCCAACAACACCAGACCCAATAATAGCAACATTGACTGACTTACCCATGTTTGTATAATCCTACTAGTTGAAAGAACGAACTTTGAAAAAAAAAAAAAAAAAAAAAAATTATATATATAGTTAAATCATCCTTGTGTGCGCCGCTACCAGACTGTTTGTGGATTAAGTTTTTTTTTTTATTTTTTTCTTTTTATTTTTTTTTTTGGCCTTTTTTTTTTCGCAGCCATATTCTATTAGGTACAAAATGTCTATATAGTTTTTTCTTTTGTTTTTTTTTCCCACTGTATTTAAACCATTATAAAGGTTATCATAACTAATAAGGCAGAAAGCACACTGTTTGATTGTAAGGTACCAGAAGAGCTGGAGCTGACGTCCACCCCATTCTTTATGTATTTATAATTGTCCAATGGTTGCGGCATAATATCCAATTTCGCCAATTGCTTAAAGTCCCATTCAGTAGTAGCACCACCACCTTCGGTTTTCCAACACCAAAAGATCCATCCACTTGTGTTTTCAGTGTACTGATATAACTGCATTTCTATAAATTTTCTATAATTTTTTTTTTGATGCTTAAACCATTTTTGTGGGTTTTTGTTCACTGCTGAGCAACTTCCTACACGGTCATAATCAGTATAAGGCTCAGTTCCTTCATATCTTGAACCTAAGCCAATTCCATTTAACCATGGTGCACAGTCTGTTAAAGCTGCCGACCATTCTCCTACAATGGCTCTTTGTGTTTCATTGGCAATGGAATTTGCATAATTTTTGATATTGACAAGGTGTTGCGTTATGTTATCGGCCACCGAACTTGCAAAGACCTCGTAGTGATGGTGATCTACAATCAAATTGTTAAAAAATGTTGAATCAATAGTGGTGGAAGGGGCACCGGTACGATTCAACGACTTATTGAAGTGACCGATTTCACCATTGTCGAAAAATTCATCCCAGTATCCAATTGGTTGAAATGCATCATGGAAAAATATAGTGTTGTTAACCTCTTGTATTTCTCTCGAGTTGTTATAAGTTGCAAAGTAAAAACTTTTCAACTCAGTCATATTTAATACGGGACCAAGTGGTTCATTCAAAACCTCTATTCCAAGAACCACATCACTATAGTTGCTAGCTCCATATTTTTCATATATTTGATTCAAAACTCTCACCGTTAGGTCCACAAACTCAGTATTATTTTGCCAGCCTGGAAATCCAATATTTCTCAAGCCAGAGTTGTCAAACCCGTTTTGAGAGTTGGGCGCACCATGTAAATCAATCAAAACTTTTAAACCATACTTGGAGCTCCATTCAATGGCCTTATCAAGGTACTCTTGGGCTCCTGAAACGTATGGGTCATTATCCAATTTTTCAAACGCCCAATACCCAATTGGCAATCGCACCATATTTAACCCATGTTGCTTGATCTCTTGGAAGTCTGTTTCATTGTAGAACGTGCTCCAGTGGGTGGTTAAACGTTTCTGTGCTTCTTCTTGACCTAACTTCTTACAAAAGTGGTATTCATCAACAGGAAGATCGCTTTCCGATTCTCCCGAAGCTAGCGTTTGTTTAAAAAGACTGGGCGTTATATAGGGCTCCAAGACTAGCCAACCGCCTATACTGACTCCTTGATATTGGAACTCACTTGAATTAGCTGAAAAATTATATGTATTTGCTAAAGTTGCAATTGACGTGATAACGAGAAAATGAAGTAAAACTTTCATGACTCCTTTTACGTTCAGTAAGAACCCTTTCTTCTTCCTCTTCTCTTGTTACAATTTCCGTGTACAAAGAATTTTTTTTTTCCCTCCCCCCCCCATAATACATTAATGGGACTCGTCTTTGGTACACCGAAATTAGGAACCGTCCCAAAGAGCTCGAAAACTATACATTGACATCATCAGATCTTGAAAATCACTTGATCAGAAAACTCCAAAAAAAAAAAAAAAATAGTCAATAATAAATGAAAACTAAAAAGCAGGAAACGCAATTTAGTTGAAAATTATCAATATATGTATACATTTACAAAAATAACCAAAAGACATGCAATCTTAAAATAACCTATGTGCTTTTCAATTTGCACCGCTTCAGTCTAAATCTTCCTCGGTAGGTTTCATATCTCCAAGACCAGTACTACCTTTACTCAAGATGCTAGATACTGATGCTGGAGGGAATACGGCAATCATCATTACCACCAATTCATAAATTTCCTCGGGAACGGATTTCTGATAAACGCCCAAAATATCTGTAGGATTAGGATACACGGCCAATGCCTTATAGAAACAAATAGCTGCATCAATTGCATTATCTTTTCCCTTTTGCTCACCGGTTGCGACTTGTTCCATGAAAAAGGCCTCTCTCTCATTCAAATCAGTTGGAATTGGGTTTTTCTTCAAATCTTCTAAAAGAGCCTTTTTAACTGCATCTAATTTCGATTGCTTAGTTTTCTTCTCTTGTTCCTCCTTGATTTTCTTTTGTTTGACAGCTTTCTTCCTCAATGACCTTCTGAATTGGCTAGAGTTTCTACGTTGGTAATCAAAGTATACAACATACCCTGCTAAAGCAGTAGCTGCTATCCCTGTTATGATTAATGCCTTGTTCATAGCAAATTTATGGAATATGTTTGGAAATAAAGAAATCAAATCAAGCTATAAAGGAGATTTGTCGCATAAAATCGGATTTTTTTCAACCTTCTCAAGGGAAACTGAAAAAAAAAAAATTTGCAAAAAAAAAAAAAAATAAAAAAAAAAAAAAAAATTAAAGGTTCGACTTCCTATTAAGGAAGTATGTGGAGAAACAAATGTTGTTTGTACACCAGGAATCAAAGCGAGCTAGTGGAGCAGCACTGAATAGCTTGTTACCAACACTAGCTCGCTTCGCTCGATAGTGGAGCAGCACTGAATAGCTTGTTACACTACCAACACTAGCTCGCTTCGCTCGATAGTGGAGCAGCACTGAATAGCTTGTTACACTACCAACACTAGCTCGCTTCGCTCGATAGTGGAACAGCACTGACGACACTACCTTGCTTCGCTCGATAGTGTTACTCCGGTTCACATCCCCACCACTTTTATAACGCTGTTACGCTGTTATGCTGTATTGATTACCATTAAAAAAGCCCAAAAAAGAGCGGCTTTTCAACTACTTGTATACAAACTAATAAACGTCCTTACTAATATAGAATCACTACAATCTACTCTAACAAGAATCGACACTATCGACACTACACTATCGAGCAGAGCGAGATAGTGTTATAGCAAGCTAGTCAGAGTAACTGACTACACCGACACTATTGACACTATCTCGCTCTGCTTGATAGTGTCGTAACAAGCTAGTCAGTGTTGCAACAAGATACTTAGTGTTGCAAGGCTAGTCAGTGCTGCTCCACTAGCTCGCCTCGCTCGCTAGTGTTGGTAGTGTCGTAACAAGCTAGTCAGTGTTGCAAGGCTAGTCAGAGGTGCCTAGTTAGTGGTCCTCCACTAGCTCGCTTTGCTCGCTAGTCGTGCGTAGACTTCCCTTTAGGGAAGCAAATAGCAAAGAAATCAATCTGATCTAAAAAAAAAAATTGATTTTTATTCTTTTTTTTTTGATTGGGCTAGAAACAAGTAATTCTTTTAATAGTAAAGGGGAAAAACGAAAAAGTTGACTTTATTATTGATTAAACATAAACCATTTTTCATTTCATCAGTACAGCGAATTTTTCCAAGCATGTCTGAGAAAGCAGACTCAGTGGGAGCCGTGACATTTCCAGATGCTTCAAACAAATACCCAAATCCCTTGGGGAACTTTTCTAAAGGTTTAGGGTATCCAGAATGGCATCCCATAGATACAAGAAAACAAGTTTCACAGTTATTTAGATTTGGATTTTACACAACTATTGGGTCGTATGGGTTTTTGTATTTATGGAAACGGACTACATTCAAATTGGAAATACCACTATCGGCAGTGGCCTTCTTCACAATCGCTAAAGGTATGCAAAGCTCGTTAGCCAATTTAAGAGAGAAGAATGATTGTTGGAACACTTTCTGGGGGTTGGCTACTGCAAACACGATAGTTTTAACTGCAGCTTTCAAAAGCATGCCTCCAAAGCATAAAATCTTGACTGGTGTGTTTGGTACTTCATTGGCCACAATCTTTGATAGAGCATATTGGGCTCAATCTACGAGTAACCCTTCATATAATGCTAAATATGAGTCCGCTCAAGTGGATAAGGATTTACCAAAGCAAAGTTTCTGGGATATTTGGCAAAGAAGACCATTGACTGATACTGTTCAAGAATTGGGTGTTGGACGTGGAATATTCAAACCCTAGTGTCGAATGTGCTACTGCTACTACTACTACTACTACTACTACTACCACTACCACTACTATTACGATTACTATTACTACTATGTACATTAAAGTGAAAGGTGTCTATTATATCGGACAATCAGGTTTTATTTCTTATAGCACCAACTGCCCCTCTATTTTGTCAGCTTTCTTCTTTCTCAAGCTCTTTGGTAAGGAGGTGCTAACAGTTTTACTCTTTTCAACTTCCATAACTTTCTCTTCTTCTTTGTAACCGAATGCTCGCCCCATACTTCTTCACAATACTCTTGCTTCCAATCTCTAACAAAATCAGGATCCCATAATTCACTAGCAATACCTAAATCTTTGCAACATCTCATTAATGCATTACTCTTACAGCCTTCTAGTGCAGTGGTAATCTTTTCGGCGCCACCAAAATAATCTTGCTCGCCTCTAGCAATACTCACTAGTCTACCATGACAAATAAGACCATATTCTCTTGATATTTGTTGATTTGTCACAAGCGACTCACTACGTGGTACTAAACCCCATCCACCTGGTCCAAAAGCACGATTTAATATACGTCGATACTTAATCTCGGGCAAGTATAATATTCCATCAGGTTTGATTTCAATATCTTCCTTAGAAACAGGGGCCATTAATATATCGGCTGCTTCTTTGGAAAACGGTTTAGAACCAATTCCGTGGAATGAATCTGCCCAGTCTATACCAACTCCATTTTTCCGAGGCTGGAGAAAATCCTCAAGAGGATTAGGCGAGTCTTGTGACATTTCTTTTATATCTTCAAATGTATCCTTTGCTCCGTTCAGAACAGAGTTACTTTCTTTTCCTCCCACCTCTTCTTTGGCCACTTCTATTGGCACTGCCTTTTTCGAGACTTTCCCAGCCGTAGAAGCTGTTGAAGTTGTCCTCGTGTATTTGATCGCGTAAGATCTTATTGGTCTTATACATAAAGTACCGGTCTTGACACCGGTACGCCTTAAAGGGATCCTAAACATATTATTGAATATTGTGCAAATGTGGTTCGACATAAACACGCTGAGAGAAAGGAGGTACTGTGGATATTCTCGCTCAATCTCAATTTTTTTTTTCAATGTAAATTTATCAGAGATGGTCAAACAGCAAAAAACAATAAAAGAAAGCCGTCCTTAGCAAAGAAGAAGAGTAAAAAAAGATAAGCAGAAGAAGTAAAGTATTTACGTTTTTCGTGTATTTATACGCAAATTTCACCACTCAGCAGCTTTCTGTGACAGCAAGGGTGGGTACTCTTTCCCACATGTTTCCTCTGGGCTCATCATCAGAAATTTCTTTTCTTTTTTTTTCCCCATTGCCTATTATACTCGTGTATCTATTCATCAAATTCTTTTGCCATTGCTTCATCTTGTACTTCTTCCTCAACTCGAACTCCTTGATTCATTTCATGTGGTTTCCCATTGAGGTCCTGTTCGAATTGATAATCATTGATAGCTTCTTCTGCATTGTTATCACTATTTACTTCCTCACTTGGTGTATCCTCTATTACCCTACTCATATGTTTAAACCTACCAAAACTCTCAAAATCAAATAAACTTTTTCTTAAAGGAGACCCCATTTTGAACCTCGATGTTAATTCATGATATTTTGTATTCCCCAGTATATCAGATACCAGCTGTTGCAAAGAGTGATCAAACATAAATTTTTTTTCCATCTCATGTAAGGCTGTTAACTTGTGAGTTAAATAGTATTCGATTAGTACATCTTCATTCATTTCTAAAATTCTCAATTTCCCTTCATCGTCCAACTGAGTCACTAGCTCTATTAATTTATCTTGTTCGCCTTCCTTGGTCTTGGACATATACTTTTCGGGCTTAAAAATTGATTTTATTTTCGACTGCTTTAGCCATAATCGTAGACATGGTACATAGTAGTAGCCTTCAAAATAGAGTGATTTAGTACCTCGAGAATATTCACTGTTTAGCATTGACAAAATATCGTTTGGTACATATACTGGTACTCCTCCAATCAGTGAATAGTGTAAAGGGCTGATTTTCTCAAAATTCAACCAATGTTTCCTCCTGTCCATGTATAGTTCGATTGATTCTCCTTTACGTTGCTTTGTCTTAATGTAGCCATCGTATTCGGGCGATGGTCTCTCGTTGTTGATACCTATTCCCGTGATATCAATGTATGTACCTGTATCAATGTCGATAAATCTTGCATCGATGTGGTTATCCTTAGCAGCCAAATCTCTATGGTGTAGAAAAGTGGCACAGTCAATCAAGTACTTCCCATATCCTTCATTCAAATCTTCAATAACAAGGGTCATGTTGTAGTTTGCTGATAGCCTATTTAATTCTGAACTTGGCATTTGAATATCAATATCGATATCAAAAGGAAACATTAAACCATCCCAGTACCAAGACAATAATGGTCCATGTGCAATCCACGAGATTATCCCTTTTTCTTCAGCAAATCTAAACCAATTTCGTAGTAATCTATCTAGTATAATCTGCTCCCTGACTTCCAACTGTTCAACGGTCCAAGAATCGTCCTTGATATAGCGCAAAGCTCCATTGAAGAATCTCCATTCGTAATGCCACCCAGCATCTTTGTTAGTCTTGTCCTTCTTCAATGTGGCAAGTTTATAGTAAGTTGGCTCTTTTGCAATGGGGAAATGATTCGCTGTTTTTAAACCATTGTAATGATTTATTTCATGCCTAGAAAGTCTATTTTCATCGATTACCTTGGGATCATACCGTAACTCATTGGTCACCACTTCATGTATTTTGTTCAATCTTAGTTCATAATCACTAATCTGCTCATCAATTGCTTCTTGCTTGTAATGGAAAGCATCTTTGTCAAGATGTAGTTCACGTGACGCGTTAAATTCTTTTTGTCTTGTAATTTGCCTCATCTGGTAGATATCATCATCTTCATCCAAGGGCCTTGCAGGAATGGTTTCCAATAACAAGTTAAACTCTTTTTGCGGATTCAATTCAATCAATTCCAAGTTTCCACTTGACGGATCCAATTGTCTTCTTCTGAGGTATCTTTCAAGTAAGTCAGTTTGTACTATTCGTTCTCTCTTATCAGATAATTGCGTTTCATATGTACCGTCTTTGGTTAAAAAGATCATTGAAATTGGATTTTCTAGTGAAGTTAGCAAGTGACCTTTACCTTGCAACATAACCTCCTTGTGATGTGCTTTATTCATTGGTGAGTCTAGCACGATAAATCCTGGCATCTCTTCACGAGATAGTCCGATTTCTTCCACCTCTTCATCATTTAAATCAACAAGATCTTTACACCAGTGAGGATATTTTGTCTTTTTATTAGCGCGCAGTTGTAATGACTTGCAGTTTCTTCGCTCATACATTGGTTTGGAGATTTCTTCGTTCAATAAGGTCAAGTTTACCCAATCTGACCATGCAAAAGGCATCACTATCAAGTGATCGTTTGCTTTTTCGTTTTTAGGATTTTTCAGTTGTAGTTGGTGCTTTAGCTCGTCCAAATATAGAGCAAGTACAAACCTTGGCTCATAGAATAATCCTGGTTTATCATACCAAGTTGGAATTTTGCGAGGTAGATTTTCATTGGGAGGGAGATATGCATATGGGTTGATAACAACTGATGGCTGCTCAACGGTGACATCAGCCAACCAGTAATGGTTGTTCTGATTCTCTTCAACGCTGTTTAACAAGTAGGCAATTTTCTGACTTGTATTTAGTAAATGGTACTCCTTTGATCGATCGTAGTCAACCTCATCGTCTGTTGTATACTTGACCGAGCTTACATGTTTAATGGCCAACTGTCGTACTCTTTCTTCTTCTAGTTGGTACTCTTTGATAAAGTAGAATATGTTGATAAATAGTATTATTAAGAAGATGTGCTTGAGTATTTTAACTTCAATCATGTGTGTTTAAAGGACCGCACACTAGTACTCTTCACTAGACAAACAAACAAACAAATAAACAAACAAACAAATACCAAGCTCAGTGTATGTGTGTGTGTTTTCTGCTAAAGGAGAATTACTATTAAATATTTTACTTATACTGTTAACTATGGAGGACCAGATTATATCTAAGAAATAGCTCGCAAGTCGAAATACTTTTGTCCTGACTGGCATTGCACGGCGAGTGCAAAAAAAAAATGTAAACTTTTTCTCGGCCTAAAGTTGATGCTTGAATCGAAGCAACATATTTTGCCATCTCGCGTGAGTGCTAAACCGCCCCTTATTTTTTAGGTCAGGTTATGCCGTACTTTGTGCTAGAAAAGTAATAGTTAAAATAAATCTACTAAAAGAAAGAAAAAAAAATAGCAGTAGTGCGAACTAACTAATTATATAGAAGCTGTAAGTTTAAGTTTACCTCAACGATTCTTTTGATGACTTTCTTTTCAGATTCTTTTGATGGCTTTCTTTTTCATATTCTTTTGATGACTTTCTTTTCATTTTTTGATGACTTTCTTTTCATCAGAGCAAGCACCAAGTGCAACTGGGTTTAATTGTAGTCTGGTATTAATTTTAATGGTATTTTATTATTGGTAAGGCTACATTTATGTAGAGCCTACTAATACGTATGTTGTACTAATTAACACAATTATTTAGTGTACAAATAGTTTTAGACATGCATCAAATAAAGACCCTACCTACATCTTGCTTATACTAAGAAAGAAAAAAAGAAATGTTGTTTTAGCTAGGGTGGCATTAAGGGGTAAGGTATTGCACCACTGTCGAGCAGAGCTGATAGTGTTGTAATAGCTAGGGTGGAAGCTAGTATGCTCCCCTATCGAGTTTGCTCTGCTCTATAGTGTTGCAACAAGCTAGTCAGCGTTGCTTGTAAGAGCTACTCCACCATCTCGCTCTGCTCGATAGTGTCGGTGACATTCAGTGCAGTTCCACTACCGAGCGGAGCGAGATAGTGTCTATAGTGTTGCTATCAAGTGCTTCTCCACTATCTCGCTCCGCTCGATAGTGTCGATAGTGTCGATAGTGTCGGCAGTAACAATTGACCTATAGATGGATTTTAACCGGTTTTGGACGGTTATTGGTGTTTTTTGTCTTTTTTAAATATATCTGTTTCAAGGGGTTTTTTTGCCAATGTTTAATCCTACCTAACCTCTCTACATACTGCTCCACTAGCTCGCTTCGCTCCCTAGTGTCGCCTGTAATTTAGTTTTTAATGTTCTAATTAATGCATATACTACTATAATTTACTATAAAGTCTAAATCTAAACAATTTCTAATGATGTCGAGGTTGTTCAATAGCCTCATAATTAAATAAAGCCTTTCTAAGTGGCGGCCTGAATTGAAATTGTGAGGTTAACCTATGGTATTCTTCATTTGAACTGATTTCCAAACTTGTTTTCATATTCACTATATCTCTGATTAAACACGATGTATCATTAACAGCATTGAACAATAAAAACAATTCTTTCTTGTGCAAGTCTGTTACATCCTTAGTTAAATAGTATTCTAATAAAATATCCTTATCCTTCTCCAATAACTCAACAATCTTTTCTTCACTTAGCCCATTTATCAATTCAGTAAATTTCTCCACGTTTAATACTTTGTTATAATTATACAATGACTCATCGGGGAATAGAAACTCCAATTTACTATAATGAATCCACAAGTTCAAGGCATCAACGAAAAAAAACCCTTCAAATTCATAGTTTGTTAAACCCTTTGAATACTCTTGTTTTAGTATAGTTTCTACTTTATTGGGTATATAAACAGGAACTCCTTGCAACATTGTATACCTTAATGGTGATATTTCTTCATGTGAGTAGAAATGTGGAAAGCGGCAATTATAAATTTGTCTTTGTTTTCCCTCAAGTTCATTTTTACGTATCAACTCACTATATCTTTCGGGTACGGGTTCATCACTAACACCCAAGCCTGTGATATCAATATAAGATCCAGTATCAATATCAATAAACCTTGCGTCGATATGATTTTCTTTATACGACTTGCCTCGATGATGAATAAAGGAAGAACATTCAATCATGTATTTCCCAAATCCTTCATTAATATTCTCAACCACTAAAGTCTGATTATATAGTCTTGAAAGTCTAGCCAACTCTGTAGCGGGCATTTGAATATCTATATCTTCATCAAATGGAAATAGCAACCCATTCCAATACCAAGATAATAACGGTCCATGTGCAATCCACGATAAAATCCCTTTGGCATTAGCAAATTTGAACCAATTCCTCAAAATTCTATCGAGCAAGACTTTTTCTCTAATTTGTAATTCTTCCTCGTTCCATCCTTTTTTCACATATTTCAAACCACCATTGAAAAACCTCCATTCATAGTGCCACCCTGCATCGTGGTCATTTTCTTTATTGCCAAAATTTAGTCTAGCCATTCGAAAATGGGTTGGTTCCTTTTTTAAGCTGTACTTGTTGGCATATTTCAATCCGTCATAATATAACTTTTCTTTTCTACTTAGCCTTATTTCGTTAATCATTTCTAGATTAAAGGTTAACTCGTTGGTAGTCAAGTCATGTAATTTTTTTAACCTAGTTTCGAAATGTTTTATCTGTGTGTCAATATCATCCTGTTGATAGTCAAACACCAGTAAAGGCAAATGTACTTCACGAGACTTTGTAGGATCGGACCACTGCTGCTGCTGCTGCTGCTGCTGCTGCTTAGTATTTGCAACCATTCCGTAAATATCGTCTTCCTCTAAATTCAAGAAACTTGGTTGAACTTGCTTGGCCAATAAATCAAACTCTTTGACGGGATTTAGTGTTATAGTTCCAGCTTCATCCCTATCGATGTTGTTATCTCTTAAATAATTATCAAACAATTCTCCATCAACAATCCTTTGCTTACTATCAACCTTGACCTCATAAACGCCACCATTCTCGTCATCCGTGAGAAATATAATTGTCAAAGGGTTAGATGCGTATGTCAAAAGGTGAGACTTACCTTCTAACATTCTAACTTCATTAGAGGCTTTATTTGTTGGGGACCTCCTTACAGCAAACCCAGGAACATGATTTGTCAGTGGTAGTTTCATTTCAATAATATCTTGTTTACCAATATCAATATTATTTATACAATAATCAGGGTACTTTGTAGGAATATGATGCGTTGCTTTCATATACTCACAGTTTTTCCTTTGACTTTCCGGTTTGATTAGTTCCTCGTTCAACATTGTTAGATCGACCCAATCTGACCATGCAAATGGCACCACCACTTCCTCACTAATAACCCCTGTTTGTTGATGAGTTGAATTTTGTCGGTTTTTTCTCAAAAACTGATGTCGTATTTCTGAAAGATATATAGATAGTGTAAACCTTGGGTCATAAAATAGAACTGGTTTACCTATCCAGTTTTCGTATAAGAAATCTTTAATATGCACTTTTATTTCATAGTCGGTCAATTCAGTGTGTCCTAGCCAGTATTTTTCTTTATCTTGACTAACTTGATAAAGATTGTACATGATTCTTTCACTAGCATTGAGACTGGCATAAGGTGTGTCCTTTGGGAAATTGTTGTATTTATTCGCAATAAAGTTGTTCTTGTTGAAAGGAAACTTGATGTCATCATTTGCAACTTCAATTATTGCTGGTTTACCTTCGTAAGAAGAAAAAGCACCTCCTTTCACTGCACCATTATGGGAAGAAGCGTTTTTCACATCAAACGTATCCAGACCCGTTTCTTTTACTTCTTCTTCTTCTGAAGATAAATTGGGGAGTTTGATATTCAACAAATATGACTTTTGTTTCTTTATCTTTTGAACATCAAATGTAAATGATATTATGAAAAATAAGTTTATCACCACAACAACTACAAAGATGAATTTAACAAGACCGGCACTAAAGAGCCTCTTGTGCCAGGGATAATTGGCTCTAAGACTTTGTCCCAATGCTTGTTTTAATGAAGATGGCCTCATCCTCATCAACCCAAACTTCAGTTCCCACTCAGAGGAGATTCGGACTTTTAGATAGCAAGTGTATAAATATAAGAGACGTTTTCTTTTTCCATCTGCTCGCCTCCTCCCTTTTCTGTCTCACTCTTCCTGGGATTCACCTGTTCAAAATATTTTTTTGCATTTTATTTAAACTTTCGAATAAAATTTGCAAAGCACGAAATCGAAAAGTGAAAAAAAAAAAAAAAAAAAAAAAATTGCTGCAATTTGCAGTGTTACACAAACGCAGGGGAAAAAAAATAATAAATCGTTGAACTAAAATTTGGTCCAATATACATATGGTAGCATTACGGTACAAAATTGGAAGCTAGGTCCTTTTTAAACTCGTATTAATACGAGTCTTGTGTAATACCCTGTAAAAGTTGATTCGTCAATAGTTGCTGGTAGATAGATCTCTATTTTACAAAATGAGAAAAGTATTGAGATTTTACGACACCGACACTATCGAGCGACACTATCGAGCGACACTATCAAGCGACACTATCAAGCGACACTATCGAGCAGAACGAAATAGTGGAGCACACTAATTTTACATTCTTACGACACTATTTCGCTCTGCTCGATAGTGGAGCACACTAGCTGCCGACACCCACTTCTTCTTGCTTTCTTACGACACTATCTCGCTCTGCTCGATAGTGGGGCACACTAATTTTACATTCTCATAGTTAATTATCGACTTGAAAAATTCACCTTTTTTCCCCCCAACATAGTATCGCCTCTAAAAATACGGTTTGTTTATACAAACCACCAAAATAAAATCATTTCTTTTGAATATATATAACCAACACAGTTTTGCATAGCACACTAATTTTATATTCTCACAGTTTTGCATAGCACACTAATTTTATATTCTCACAGTTTTGCATAGCGACACTATCTGCCAACACCCACTTCTTTTTTGGAAGCCGCTGTTTCTACTTGAATTCTCAATTCTCTTTTAATGTTCTTCATACAAACGTCTCGTATCCTTCTCCACTAATTTTTATCAATTGTTGTGTAAAGCAAGTTGCAATCAAACCAGAATCTTGATTTTTGTTTTCTTCTTTTTTTCTTTCTTTTTCAAAATTCGTCAAGATGCGATGAGCAAAATGTCAATGCAAAATTTGGACTGTGCTGCTCTAGATCTTAAAGAGATCGACATTTCGCCATTTTTTATAGTGGGGAATACTGTATATGGAGGTAGAGGTTGCTTTTCAACAAGACCGATACCGAGTGGAACTCAGATCCATTATTGCCCAACGCCTATTGGGTTTACCATATCGCGATTATTCAAGAAGGAAGTTTGCAATTGGTGTTTCAAATATGAACACGGAAGGGTGATGAGAAGTAAGATAACCAAAATTTTTGGTAAGAATTCATCTTCTATATTGTATTTTTGTAGTGAGGAGTGCCGAAAAAGGTTCGAATGTGTCGACCTAAACGGCGTGCTCTTGGAAAATTTATTAATAGCTGACAAGTATTACACGCTAGGGTTAAGGAAAGCTAAAAAGGAAATTAATTATCTTGTTCAAGGTGATGATGACATTGACGAACATGCTCGCAACAGTTGGAAATTAGCTGATCTATGGAATGATGAGATTGACTCTATGAAAGAATCTAAAAGAATAGAATCACTACCATGTCTAGATGAAATCGAGTATGCAGAAGCAATTTATGTACTACAAGTTTTATTCAATTTCTACAAAACCAAGCTGCAGTTACTGCATTCTCCACAGTTGTCAAATAGTGAGAATCTCGAGCTTCTACTATTTAGCACCCTAGAGTCTAATGAGACTGAAAAATATCGCAAATATCCCTATTTGGTTCAATCATATATCAACATTTTCAAATTCATCAAACTCACTTGCTCAAAGGAGTTGCAACCTTTTGTAAATTCTAAAACTGTGCGAGACATTATAGGCAAGAATCTCTCCAATGCATTCGGTATTTGGTCTCACGCAAAAAGCTCTTCAGAAGATAAGGAGCTATTAGGATTTGCCGTTTACCCGTCAGCTTCCTTCTTTAACCACTCGTGTGAAGCTAATATAAAAAAAATACGCATCAAAAATGACATGAAGTTTGTCACACTTCGAGATATTGGTCCTGGCGAAGAGTTGTGCATCCAGTATGGAAACTATCAAGACGAAGACGTTTTTACAAGGCAGAAAAATTTACAAGAATGGTTTTTCACTTGTAAATGTACAAAGTGTAATAGTGATTTGCAAAAACAAAATTACGTAAAGTCATAGTCTCGATAAAACGCTTTGAACTCTTCGCAATCGTTCATCTCCTTGACTTTCAGCTGCTGGCATTTATCCCATCGTATCCTATCTGGTAAATTTAACATATGTGCTAGAACACGCCTCGGAAAATGAATATCAACAGGTTTGTCCTTTTCCAAAATGGCAATGTACACTTTTCTGTAATCGTCAGTATCATCATCATTATTATTATTATTAGAGCAAATTGTAAACTTGATAAAGTCGGATTCTTTTATGCACAGCAACTCTTTGCTTTCTCTTGGATAGATGAATTCTTTGAATTGTAATTTTTGATTGTGTTTGAATTTTTCATTATTCAATTTGACACGAAAGTTTAGCGATTTGTCAAACTTTCCTATGATTGATTCGTTGACTGGTAGAAATTGAATATGATGATGCACGTTATTATGCCTGCTCACTTCAAAAAATATCAATCGAAGAAACGGCTTTTGTTTTGAAAATGCAGAAACAAGGGTATTTGCATATCGATCGATTTCTAATTTGATATCTTGATCTTCATGACTGATTTGAGGTATATGACGAATAGGGATTAATATCCCATGCCCAGAAAAGGGAAGGTCTTTGCTGGATCTGGTTAGGGGGCCCTTGGCTATGGTGAGATAAGTATATGTTCCTATGGAAACAATCATATGAGTCTCAGTGCTTGGGTTACTGAGACAAAAAAAGCATTGCTCTGGGTCAACCACCTTTGTCTTTTTAGCAACACTCCTTTTCTTGTTGCTGTTGTTGTCCATTTCATCCAATGTTCTTTTCTTTCTACTTATAAAGGGGTTCTCTATTATATCCAAATCTTTATCCTCCTCTTCCTCTACACAATTGAATGCGTAGTACCACTTATCTTTACCTCCTTCTTGTGCCAAACTTATGAATCTCGTCACTTCACCTGATGGCCATAAAAATGGCTGTAATTCGAAATATAGACCTTCTGATGACCCTACTGCAAAATGATACTTGGGCCTAATTATTTTGACTAATTGGTCCACGAGCTCATCTCCCACCATTAGTTCTTTCTCCAATTGTGCAATAGAATATGGCCAGTGATATGTAAACAACAAATCTATTTTGATCTGTATATTAGAAATCTTGTCAATTGTCTCTTGCGTAAGAGGTGTTCCCGATATAATCAACATTGTGACACCACAAACTAATTTGATTACACTAAATGGAGGTTTTGCATAGACTAAGGTCTCGGTTATATCAGCTAGCGACGACGAAGATTTCTCACACTCAAGTGCAACATCTTTGGAGATTTCTTGAGTACCCTGAGAAAAGTATGTACTTGTCCTCAACACTGTACCAGGTACGTGATGATCCTTTGTTAAAACGTCCCCTAGTAAGATAGTCGCGGCAAAGGGTCCGATTTTAGCATCTTGAATATTCGCTCGCTCAAAGACTTTTTCCAAATTATCTGGATTTGGGTTCAACACCAAAATCTTTGAAGACATTAAAGCCACTCTTCTTCTATCCACGTCTGCTTTTGTTTCAATCCGACTTTCTTCTCTTGTTCAAGAAACTTCTTCTAATGCAAGGTTACGAGATGACGCGCACTTTTTTTTTTTTATTTTTTTTTTTTTCTTCTGTTTACAAGATGTTTAATTTTAATGGTTTGAGTTGAAGGGGCCATGGATGTAGATGTGAACAACATCAAGGTTGTAGTTCGAGTACGTCCCTTGCTACCAAGGGAGCGGCAAGACTCGGGATCTGATGGTGAAGAGCATTGTCCAATTGTCAAGATTCCAGATACTCGTAGGACTATACTTTTCAATCGCAAAACGGGCACAGACAAGACGTATTACTTTGACGAGTGTATATCATCGCTCGATGAGGATCCCAATTGCATTGATAATTACCAGTTTTATAATCGAACGGGACCGCGGCTTCTTGACCACCTTTTCGGGGGCTATAATGTCTGCTTTCTAGCTTATGGGCAAACAAGTTCTGGAAAGACGTACAGTATGATGGGCGAAAACCAAAACCCTGGAGTAATTCCTTTATTAATTCGAAATATCTTTGACCAAATGGAAGTACTAGTTAGTCAAAAAATCAATTGTGAGTTGAAATTCTCATACATTGAAATCTACAACGAACAAGTCAATGATCTTTTGAACAAAGAAACCGACGTCAAGTGCAAAGTACGCGAGCATCCCCAGACAGGTCCATATGTGGAGAATGTGAAGGAGCATATAGTTGTTGAGTATACACAATTTATTAAGCTACTAGAATTTGGAAGCAACAAGCGGAAAACGGCAAGCACTTTGATGAATGACGTTAGTTCGCGATCACACGCTGTGATCACGCTTACTTTGAAGCAGACAAAATTTGAAAGCCAAAACAATGGCGATTTCGGCGATGCTAGTGAGGAGATGGTTTCCAGTATAAAACTTGTTGATCTCGCTGGTTCAGAGAGGATGAAGAAGACCCAGATTTACGGTCAAACAGAAAGGGTGAAGGAAGGCACATTGATCAACAAGTCATTAACGGTATTGGGTAGATGTATTTATGCATTAGCAACAACCAAACCCAAGAGTTCCATAGTTGTGCCATACCGAGATTCGGTCTTGACCTATATATTGAAAGAAAATTTGGCAGGCAATTCTAAAACATGTATGTTGTTTTGTGTATCACCCCTTGACTATGAGGAGACGAGTCAAACGTTAAACTATGCCAACGAAGTGAAGAAGATCACGACACTGGCAATAGCAAACAAAACCAAACTTTCAACAGTACCCATCAATTGGGAGGAATTACAACATTCGGAGCAGAACATTGTTTGCGCACTTAAGAAGGATATAGATAAACTTACACAAAAATTGGCGAATTTAGAGCTTGAAAAGCATGCAAAATCCAATTCTCAGCAGGATCCGCCGCAAAAATTTGAGCGGTTATTGGAATATTTGGATAGACGCTCGCTGAAGCTTGAATTTGAAAACAAGTACTTGAAGCTGGTACTTGCAGAGAAAAACAACCATATCTTGGAGTTGAGCAAACATATTGATTACTTGCATAGGGATTACGAGAATCTCTATTTGTCCTATAAACGCTCCCAGATGTTCAATGTAGAAAAACTGCGATTGCAGTTGATGAAAGAGGTGGAAACATGTTGTAAGAGTATAAACAAAGACCTTGATTTATTTGACCCTAGTCGGTTTTAGGAAAAGAGGGAAAATATATATATGTATATAAACCACTATCGAGCGAAGCGAGATAGTGTCATTAGTCACTGTGCTCCACTATCGAGCGAAGCGAGATAGTGTCATTAGTCACTGTGCTCCACTATCGAGCGAAGCGAGATAGTGTCATTAGTCACTGTGCTCCACTATCGAGCGAAGCGAGATAGTGTCATTAGTCACTGTGCTCCACTATCGAGCGAAGCGAGATAGTGTCATTAGTCACTGTGCTCCACTATCGAGCGAAGCGAGATAGTGTCATTAGTCAGTGTTCTCCACTATCGAGCGAAGCGAGATAGTGTCATTAGTCAGTAGAATTGTAAAAAAATCCATTTCAAGCTTTTCCAAATAGCGTCAAGTTAAGTTGGAAAAACGGCGTTGCTGAATCTAGGCTAATAGTATAATCTCAAGGCGACAAATTTACGGGATTTCCATATTACTTATCATCCAAGATCCCATAGAGAAGAAGCTCTACCTATAGACTATCGAGCAGAGCGAAATACTATAGACTATCGAGCAGAGCGAGATAGTCTATATCTACTCTCTCTATCTATCTAATCTCTCTATTTATCTACACTCTATCGACTAGTCTCTCTCTCTCTCTCTCTCTCTCTCTTCACTCTATCGACTAGACTCGTTTCACTCGTCTAGTCTCTAGTCTCTCTCTCTCTCCACTCTATCGACTAGACTCGTTTCACTCGTCTAGTCTAGTCTCTCTAGTCTCTCTCACAAAAGTTTTTTTTCTGGTGAGTAAAAATGAACAATAATCTTTTGCCGAGGTAATCAATTACCTTTGAAAAGAGTCCTGTAAAAGACAAACAGGTCCTGCCAAGGGAAAATGGAAAACAATGGTAAATATAGCAGATATGTCAGAGATAATAGAAATGGTAGATTTGGCACTTGAAATTCTTTCAACTAAGCCGGCTTTACCGTTAATCGCAAATTAAACATACGAATTTGATCCTTTTATTATTGTTAATTTATTTTTTCTTCTCTTCCTCTTTAATCTTCGTACACTAAGGAGTGCTAAATTTTGAAGGTCACTCTTCTCTACTACGAAATTTCAAAAATATATCAATACTATATACACACACCTTATAACCTTGTTAATTAAAGAAGTTTACTGGGCTCCCCTTCTCTCTCTCTCTCTTTTTTTTTTCTTTTTTTCTTTGTATAAGCAAGAGAAGTATGACACAGTCCCCATACCAGCTGTTTGGCACGTCAATAGAGGAAGCAGTTCAGAAATCCATAAGTGAGCGAAAACCATTATTGGTTTTTTTAGCACATCAAACAAATTTCAGCACAAATGACCAATTTTTGAAAAAATTTATTGTCAAATCAAGTTTACTTGAACAACTTGAGACCAATTTTGTGCTTTTGAAACTAGTTCAAAATTCTACTGGTTTTAGATATTTTGAACAACTTTTTAGTAACTTAAAAGTGCCCAGTTTTTATATAGTTGTGCTGGGGAAACTCAAAGCAGTGATAGATTACCAAGCAAAAATTGAAGATTTTGAAAACCACGTCAATGACGTGAGTTGTGCACAAAGAGTTGACCAAAACCGCCAGCAACAACTGGAACAGACATCATCGCATCCTCAGCAACAACTGGAACAGACATCATCGCATCCTCAGCAACAACTGGAACAGACATCATCGCATCCTCAGCAACAACTGGAACAGACATCATCGCATCCTCAGCAACAACTGGAACAGACATCATCGCATCCTCAGCAACAACCGGAACAACCATCATCGCATCCTCAGCAACAACCGGAACAACCATCATCGCATCCTCGGCAATCCCCACAAACTCAAATTCCTCAAATTCACCCTGTAATGAGTGACCACGAAAAATCGGTTCAGAAATACAAGGAGCAGCTAGCAGAACAGAGACGGGGAATAGATCTAGAAAAGCAAAGGCTACGAGATTTGATAAAGGCAGATAAAAGAGAACGGGAAAGCAAAATCAAGGCAGAAAAAGAAATGGCCAAAACCGAATCATCAAAACCTCCTCACTGCATGGGAAAAGGGCAAAACTCAAAAACACCGCGATGTACATTGGCAATCAAATTATTTGATGGAAGCACCATTAGAAAAGAGTTTGACTCTCAAGATTCACTCGAAGATGTGCGCAAGTACCTAGATGTCGAAGTCAAAGTTATACCTTCAACAAGCAATATGCCAGCTTTTGCAACTACTTCTCACCCTACGGGGTATTCCTTTCACAGACCTACATTGCCGCGAATAACATATTCCGAGGAACAAGAGTCCACCTCATTACAAGATCTTGATCTAACACCTAGATCGATTCTAATTTTAAAACCCATATTCAAGGATACCAATTCTGGTAACGTGAGCCCAGGTGGAGAAAAAGTGGGATGGTTTAAAAGTGTTTACAATGGGTTAGGGAAGTTGGCCTCTACGCTTTATTTATTTTTCGATTATGGTGTTGACGATTTCCCCAACTATGGCAATGAGCGCCCAAGCTCTCATGATGAAAATGACAACATCGATTTACCTTACCCAGTTGCCCCTGGTCTGCTTTTAGTTGGAGATAGGGCTTTCTCTTCCTCGTTGCTCAGTATTGAAACAGATGATATGAACTCACTCACACTGGACTCCCGACTTACGGAATCCCGTGCTTCGTCGCCTAGATCGGTATCGATGAGTCGAATTCAAACAGTTCATGATGCTAATGACCAAAGGATTGATACTTATAATGGCAATAGCATTAACTTGAATGAAAGAGATGACAGAGTAGATTAGGCTGAGCTAAGTCTGGTTTTATTTAGTTGGCAGTGGATTTTTAGTGTTTTCAATCTCAAAAAGGATTTACTTCTGGAATCAGCTCTCCCGTCTTTGGCCTCTCCACCTCTCCCCATATTTGGCCTCTCCACCTCTCTTTTGTTCTCTTTCTCTTTCTCTCTTATCGTTGGTTGATTGAGATCTTGTGTAAAGTTTCCTAACGCGGCGATAACCAAAAAAAAAAAAAAAACTTGTTAGTACTTGATATCTTCTTTCATTTCGTATAAGAAATGAGATGGATAGGCCCGCATTGGAAAATCTACTACGATTTCCTGGTTATAGTCAAGATATCTTAGTAGCAGATGCCTCGGTACTTTCATGTGGATGTTTAGCCTCGGAATCTGAGTTTGAAAGAAACCAGAAACATGTTTGTCCCAATTGCGGCAAGTTTAGTGTCAGTATATTAGCCGAGATTAAGCCATTGAGAAAGCTATACCGCATACTCCAAGCTTCTCATACGTATTCGCATTCGCATATACATAGTGATAGACACCGACGACATTTATCAAGGAAAAATTCTAAAGCTTTTGATGACAATTCATTACAGGTTGACCCAACTCAAGATGAGACGCTGCACTCTGAAGCGATGGATTTTTTAGGATTATTTCACAAGTTTGCTAAAGAAGAGAAGCAGTCTGAAGCAGTAAAGGGTGTCTCCATTTCTGCTGTTGCTCCAATAGATAGCCCACCAAAAGAGGCTCAATTGCCATTATCCTTTTCACCATCTATGTCTGTACATTCAACACCTCCTGCAACTCAAGGACGTCATGGTTTTGAGTCTCTTTCAATTAGAGAAACGGACTTTGAGACTTTGTTTGCCAATGTAAGCGAACAAAAGGAATACAACTATAGCAAATGTTTTCCTTTCCATAGGAAATTGACCTCATTTACCACACTGCAAATGAGATTGCACTTGGGAGCTATTATTCCATTCATGCCAGGAAATGGGATCAAGAAAGCAATAAACTCGTCTATATTTTCATACATAGACTTTGAGCAAGGCACCGAGATTACTCGATTTGTGATAATTAGTGAAAAGAAATGGGAACTTTTCGAGTATGTGTCATCTTTACGTGATATCAATACTTCTCATATCAAACCACGACTTATTTGTTGTGGAAAACTGTCTGGAGAATACGGAGAAACTCCCAACAACCTAAAACAACCGAGAATCCCTGGTGTAAGGGAATCAGTAAAGAAGGCCAACTTTAACAACAACAACAACAACAACAACAACAATAATAATAATAATAATAATAATAATAATAATAATAATAATAGTAATAATAATATCAATATCAATATCAAAGTCAATTTTGACGACAATCGCACATCCGATGTAGATTTGGCAAAACGGCTCTCGAGTTGGGACCAGGCAATTTGCCAACTAACAAAGAATTTCTTGGTGATTTCTGGTACCAAAGGTGTAATACGGGTTTTCAATATTGATCCAAAGTCAAGCTATGAAGTTGGCGAGCCAATCTATACTTACTTGACTGATTTCCCAATAAGATGTTTCTCAGTGGCGCCAAATGAAAAGTTAATTGCGTGCGGTTTAACAGCAAGAGAAAGGATCTCTGACAAAGAGCAACCTCTTATTGTTTTACATCAAATGAAAACTTTTGAAAAGACGACTATAAAATTCCTCGATCCAATAACCATTACTGTTCCCTATCGCGATCCAATTAAGCTTATCAACTTTAGTTCAACATCTGCATACCTTATTTGTGCGACTGTTTGGGAGCCAAGATATATCATAATACAATTAATGAGCGACCAAAGCTTGGACTACAAAAGGCCTCGACTAATCTGGACGGATATTGCATACAAGTCACTGAGACGAAATGCCGAAGAAACAAGAAGAGGAGGACGAAGAAGCAGTGGTAGTGATGGTGAAAATCTTTCAAGAGCAGATGAGCTCATGATGGCTAACGAAGGTACTACGGACGTTCAATTTGACAACTCTAGCTCAAATACGATCGTTATTACATCATGTTCTTTAAGCAGTCGGCCTGCCTTATTAATACGATTAGAAGGCACGCAGATCTCATCACGAAATCTGACGAATATTGATACAAGTAGTATTTCCAATTCTTTTGCAAGCAGCGAAAAGGAAAAAAGTGTTGAAAACGTGAGCATTAAATCATCAGAAGTCATCATGAAAATTCCAGAGATTGGGTCATCCTTACATCGAGCTTCAATATCTCCTAGAGGAGACGCCATTGTATTCTTGGACAAGGATGGTAAATTGTATCTTGTATCATCGCCACACTTGAGCTCGCGGCCTTCCACTACAAAGAGTTCATCAACAAAAAAAATTATTGTGCTATTAGGAGACGTGGCTAGTGCCCAAAGGTTCAGTGAAGCCGCATCGGTCCAGTTTTCAGCAGATGGTGGGAAAATATATACCCTAGACAGAAAGGGTATATTTTCCATATTTGACTTTACTAAGGGCGTCCCAGGAGAGGACCCAGAAGTAATAAAATGTAAAATATTAAGCTTATGAGGATCATAATTAAAAAATAAAAAAAAAAAAATAAAAAGGCCTTAGCCTTATTATGCCTAATGGGGGAAGAGAGAGAGAAAGAGAGAGAGAGAGAGAGTATAGCGCTGAATCACATAAATTGAGCGCGCCACACAATTGGGACCCCATCTGATGTTTTAATTCTTTTTTTTTTTTTTTTCATAACTTTTTTTTTTTTTTCATTTATTCATTGCATACGAAACAACATCCCCCAAGAAATCTTCATTAGAGTTGTTAAAATATGGTAAGCGCTAGCAACCCTCCTCCCCCTCCTCCTCCATTGAAGGAGGACATCTTGGAACTTATTGGGAATACTCCATTAGTCAAGCTAAACAGAATTCCGCAATCATTTGGGATTAAGGCCAAGATTTATGCAAAAGTTGAGCTCTTCAATGCTGGTGGTTCAATAAAGGATAGAATTGCTAAAAATATGGTATTGGAGGCAGAGAAGGAAGGGAGAATCAAACCAGGATATACGCTTATTGAGCCAACTTCTGGTAATACTGGTATTGGTTTAGCGTTAGTGGGTGCTGTTAGAGGTTATCGGACAATAATCACCTTGCCCGAGAAGATGTCGAATGAAAAAGTATCTGTTTTGAAAGCTTTGGGTGCCGAGATCATTAGAACACCAACTGAAGCGGCCTGGGATGCTCCTGAATCTCATATTGGGGTAGCCAAAAAGTTGGAAAAGGAGATTCCTAACTCGGTCATTCTCGACCAGTATTCCAACCCTGCTAATCCCGATGCTCATTACTATGGTACTGGTTACGAAATATGGGAACAAACCGAAGGTAAGGTTACTCATTTAGTAGCAGGTGCTGGAACTGGTGGTACGATAACGGGTATGTCGAGATATTTAAAGGAAAAGAATCCAAAGGTGCACGTCACTGGTGCTGATCCAAAAGGTTCTATTTTAGCCGAACCTGAGACTTTGAATACAAGCACCGATGGTTACTTGGTTGAAGGTATTGGGTACGATTTCATACCAGACGTTTTAAACAGGAAATATGTTGATGATTGGATCAAAACTGATGATGCTGAATCGTTCAAATTAGCTCGAAGAATCATTAGGGAAGAAGGTATATTGGTTGGTGGATCTTCAGGATCAGCATTACAAGCGGCTTTACAAGTTGCAAAAGACTTGACTGAAGACGATGTTGTTGTTGTTGTTTTCCCCGACTCAATAAGATCTTACTTGAGTAAATTTGCCGATGACGAATGGTTGAAGTCAAATGGTTTTGAAGTTGAAGAAACCGAGACTACCAACAAATCTGAAGAGTTTTTACGCAGTAAAACCATTAGAGACTTGGTTGCTGGTAAAGCGCCCGTTGTCACTGTAAATTTAACAGATACAGTGGGAAAGACATTTGATCTCTTGCAAACAAATGGATTCGATCAGTTACCTGTATTGAACAAATCTGGTCAGCTCGTTGGTTTAATTACTTTGTCCAAGATCTTGAAATCATTGTCTACTCATAAAATACAATTAACCAACTCCATAAACTCGATTATTATCGATTTCAGGAGATTAGCAGACTTTGAAAAATCCAAATCTGTTAATAAAGAGTCAGGCTTTACAAAGAGAACCTATGATTCTATTACTTTGGATACAAAGTTGAGCGTGTTGAACAAGTTTTTTGAAACTAATTCAAACGCAATTATAACGGACGAGGACTTGAAGCCTGTTCAAATTGTAACAAAAGTGGATTTACTCTCATATTTGACAAAGAATCTTATCTTTTAATCATACACAATAAAAGAAGTAATAAAGAATACAGTAAGTTTTTTTTTCAAAAAAAAAAAAAAAAAAGAAAGCATTTCAAGAAAACTTCCATCTATTTCCGCAATTCTCACATGTACAGAAAGTAGTCAAAGGCTCATCTGCAGATCTCGTTTGCATCTGGTAGTAGCTTACTTTCTTGTGTTTACATTTACCACATGTAAACCTATCAGTAACGGCTCTTTTCTCGGTTGCACCTTGTGCATCAAAAAGGTTTTGCTTATGCATTTTCTCAATCTCCTTTTTCAAGAATTCCGGTGCCATTTCATTAGGTGACATTTTGATAAATCTCTCTGATGTTATCTGTTTCAGCAACAACCGCTCTCTCAACTCGGGATTCTTCTTATTGCGAATTTGCATGATAAATGTTCTTAACTTGTTTCTATACAGTTCGTTGACTTTCAGGTATTCAGCCATATAAACCGCATTCTCTATTTCTCTAGCAATTGCTAGTATGTGTATTGAAGGGTCTTGTCTTTCAACAGCTAGAGAACCGTATAACGCTGCTACAGATGCATTCCGGGTTTCGTTGTCATATATCTGAGTATTGACTCCGTCTTTCTTGGCATCTCTTGGACCAACATATGATCTAGTGGCTAATGCCGGTGCCGGTGCAGTTGCTGATGATGATGATAACGATGCTTTATTCTGTGGAGGAGGAGTTGATGCCACAGACGTGGCCGTTGATGTCGAGGCCAGCGGGGATGCAGATGCCTTTTTCCTACTGTTTTTCTCAGCTTGCACTGCATCTCTCCATCCACGAATCATTTTTTTGACAAGAGACGATACTTGCGGATTGTTATGGCCTCGATATTTGTTGACGATAACACCAACTTTGGTCTCTCTAAGAAGTTTCTCAGTCGGCTGCACGTCATCGTGCAATATATTGAGTAGTTTTAGAATAGTACTGTCATCTACTGCTTTTTCAAGATTTGAGACGGTTGACTTGACCTCCTTCGTGTCCATGATTAAATGAAATGTTATGTACACATTGAGCCTTTTAATTGAATGTTTTTTTTTTTTTTCCTCATCAAATGAGTAGCGAGTTTTCTTTCATTTTTTTTTTGTTTGTTCTTCATTTGTTGGTGAAGAGTTGTATTATAGAGATAATTCAGGCGCTTTGTTATTTTTGAAGAGAAGAATGGATAATAAAAGTACATGCGTTTCAATAGGGAAGTTTCCTCTCGATTATACCGAGGAACAGGTGTTAGAGATAGCGCGATCAGTAGGTCCTGTTCTTGATGTTAAGTTATTATTTGACGAGATGACTGGAAAATCCAAAGGTTATGCAATAGTAAATTATGGTGATGTTGAGACAGCGGGATCTGCGGTACGAAACCTCAATTACATGACATTGCCAAATGGGAGGTTTCTAAAGTGTTCAATGGTAAGTGGCTATAACACAGAAGAAGAATCTGCGGTGAAACTACCGCCATTACCCTTGGGAGTGCAAATACACCCTAATCAGAATGCATCACAGGTCATCTCGAGTTTGCTTTCCAACATTGACTCAAATTCGGCATTACAGATCTTAAAGGAAATAAAAACCATGAGCATAGAGAACCCCAAAGGTGCACAGTTGCTTCTTGAGAGGTTCCCCCAACTTGCATTAGCTCTAGTTGAGCTTGGCTTGATCACCAACACAACGAACCAAGAACTAATAGAAATGACCTTGAACAAACGCACGATAGAGTTGAAGAATTTATCTATTGATCACGTCAACTTGTTGCAATCAGTGTATGCATTATCAGATGATGAACTAAAAGACTTGGATGAAGATCAGCAGCAAGTAGTGAAAAAAGTAAAAAAGGAAATCGAAAAGGGCTCATATGGCGATATTCTTGAAAAGTAACAACCTTAACTTGATGCAATCCCCTTTACTCCTTTCAATATTCAATATTCAATTTTCAAATTGGATGTGAAACTTAACCAGAAAAAGCAAATGCATTCAATATGCAAACAAAATTGTTATACATCCCAAAAAGGAAAAAAAAAAAAGAGAGAGAGAAAATTGAATGGAGAAGAGGAAAAGTATGGAGAAATTTTTTACAATATATATATGTCTTTATCCGTCTATTCACGTTAACCTGAAATCTCGTATCAGATAAAAATATCTGGTGAGGAAGAACTGGTGAGAAAGAACTGGTGAGAAAGAACTGGTGAAGAAGAACTGGTGTGAAAGAACTGGTGAAGAAGAACTAGTGAGAAAGAACTGGTGAAAAAGAGAAAAAAAAAACTGGTGAGAAAGAACTGGTGAGTTGTTTTAGACTTAGTGGGGCTGTTTTAAAACTTAGTGGGGCTGTTTACAGAAATCTACTCCAGACTTTAAAATTAGCCAAGCGCTCAACTAACTTGGTCAAAACTAATTAACCCAGTGGTTACCCTTTTTTTTTTTAATTTTTTACTTGCCCGATTTTCTGGAATGTCTCTAAAAACAAGAGAACAATTACTAGCCGATTTTGAAAATGAGTTAATTCGATTTGAGGCCATGTCCATTAAGATAGATGGTTATGAACAACCGCTTGTGTTTTCCAGAGATATGGATCCGATACCTCAAAGACTTTACTTTATTTTACCAGAGTACTCGGTGTACCACTTGACGATAAGATTCAAAGTAAAGAGAAGATCATTGAAAAACTTGACTTATCATCAAACTGTCAAGAAATCTGGTATTATTGTGGACTCTAGAGATTTACCCATGGCGCAAGATGCCTATGTCAACGATCATACCAATGAAAATGATTACCACGAAGTGACATTTGCGAGAAGTGGATTGCCCGGCGGGTCGTTTCTAAGAACGGAATTTACATCGAAATCTATTATAAGAGAAAATGGGAAAAAGATTTGGAGTTACAGATGGATTCTTCAAATAGTTGAGAAATCTAGACCTCCAGCAATTGGAGGATTTATCTAAAAAGGAGAAACTAAGAAAAAATTTAATTGTGCCTTATCTCTGGTGCCATCTGTCTTGAGATTGATATTTATAAATCACAGAGAGATGGAGGGAATCGGGCAATCTGGGTAACAAAACCGGTGGATAGAACATAGACTATTGAGCAGAGCGATATAGTTTATTAACCACACACGGGTTTGTTTACGCTTGTACCTAGTAATGTTTAGATCTCTAGGACAAAAGATGTACATATAGACACATATACATATACGATATATATGTATATAACATAAAAGAGAGATTTTTTGAGAGTTGCTGAAGGAACTCAGTAGAGACGCTATCGAGTGAAGCGAGAGAGTGTTGCTAGTACTGGTGTAGTCCACTATCGAGCGAAGCGAGAGAGTGTTGCTAGTACTGGTGTAGTCCACTATCGAGCGAAGCGAGAGAGTGTTGCTAGTACTGGTGTAGTCCACTATCGAGCGAAACGAGATAGTGTCGATAGTGTTGGTGTAGTCAGTGCTGCTCCACTATCTCGCTTTGCTCGATAGTGTAGATAGTGTTGGGGTAGTCAGTGCTGCTCCACTATCTCGCTTCGCTCGATAGTGTCGATAGTGTCGATAGTGGTAGTCTTTTTCTTTTTTCTCCCCCTTTAATTATTGACACTACTACCACTACTCCACTCTCACTATCATTAACTATTAACTACCATACGATTTCAATTCCTCTTAACGACTCACTATTGTAAACCACTTTTGCCAAATCTCGTATCCCTTATAAAACGGATTTTTTTCCCCAATTTTTCATAGATACTAGCTGGTTTGGTAGTATACACGTTAGATCATTACACAGACAACTGACGCACAGACCATTACAGACAACTGACGCACAGCATTACAGACAACTGGGGCACAGCATTACGGACAACTGACGCACAGCATTACAGACAACTGACGCACAGCATTACAGACAACTGGGGCACAGCATTACGGACAACTGACGCACAGATCATTACAGACAACTGACGCACAGACCATTACAGACAACTAGCGCACAGACCATTACAGAAAACTGGCGCACAGATCCTTCCAATCTTGTACCCGCGCATTAGTTTCATCTAAGAATAGGCAAGAGCAATCACTTTGCATCACAAGATAATAAAAAAACTTGAAACTAGCACATAAAACACTTTGAGTCCCACCCTTATAAAACAAAGATATATATATACATTTATACAGACATAGTAGATCCATGAGTTCCGCTAAAAGACGCATTGAAAAAGATGTAATGGAGTTAATGATGAGTGACCACGACGTGACTCTAATTGAAGACTCGATACAGCAGTTTTTCGTGATATTCCACGGACCAAAGGATACGCCTTATGAAGGTGGGGTTTGGAAGATACGTGTAGAACTCCCAGATCAATATCCAATTAAATCACCTTCAATTGGCTTCACAAACAAGATCTATCATCCCAATATCGACGAAGGGTCGGGTGCTGTTTGTTTGGATGTTATCAATCAAACTTGGTCGCCCATGTTTGGATTATTGAATATATTTGAGAATTTCCTACCTCAGCTATTGAGATATGCCAATCCGAGCGACCCATTAAACACTGAAGCGTCAAATTTGATGAGTAAAGACGAAAAAAAATACCTTGAAACAGTAAGAAAGTATGTAGAACTATACGCAACAAATATTCAGAGTTTGAACGATACAGAGGATGGCAAAGCAGAAGAGGATGAGGATGATGAGTTGAGTGACGTGGGAAGCTTATCTAGTGATGACGGTGAAGAAGAAGAAGAAGAAGAATAAACTGAAAAAATTAGATGGCGAATAGAGCCATCTTTTTAAGTGTAAAGGACCTAATGAGAAGAAGAAGAAGAAGAATAAACTGAAAGGATCTGATGATATTTGTCACCTACCTATTCGGAGAGCCAACTTGACTTGGATTTTTCCATCATCATATTTGCGTCCAGTGCCTTTTCTTTCAAAGACCTAACTAATAACTACATAAGGACTTTTCTCTCCATCTCTCTCTTTCTCTCTCTCTCTCCTCTGTTTTTCTCCTCAAGCAAACTCATATATAAATTAGGACATTTTTCATTATAAAGTGTGTTATCGTTTGCATCGGTTTTCTATTTATTATGGGCTTACAAGTTGATTCTCATTTTCCTTGTTAAAGAAAAGATATGAAAAAAAAACCATTTCAGCATTTCTACCTTTTTACAATAATCTTTTGAGGAGAAATTCATCTCTCGACGAATAAAATCAGGGGAAAGAACTTGAAAGTTTTATTTGGTAGAAATGGCAGAACGTTCACTGCGGGATGGAGAAAGAAGGCCGAAGAAAAAGCAACGAATAACTGGCGATGATCTATATCGAAGGTCAACCCAGTATGAAGTATGGTCTTTTACTCCAGAACAGTTATCTCAGGCCAAAGCAAGGTCTAATGAAAAGGGTAGGGCGTTGGCAAAAGCACGGTTCTTAGAGGCGTTTCACACAGCTAAAAGCACGAATCCTGAGGTTTTTGAAAATCATCCCCAGGATCTAAATGAAAGTATCATGAACCTATTAACTACTGAAGAGGAGTCGACTTATCTAGATTTCTACATTCAGAATATTACCACAACATGTAATTTTTTTAAAATGCCAACCCAAGTGAAACTAACCGCAGCCTCCTTTTTCAAAAAGTTTTACCTTGTTAATTCAGTAATGGAGTACCATCCTAAGAATGTCTTATATACATGCATCTTCTTGGCTGCAAAATCTGAAAATTACTTTATATCCATAGACTCATTTGTGAAAGCATTGAAGGGAGTACAGGCTGCTGACATTTTGAATCTAGAGTTTATACTCTTGCAAAGCTTGAAATTCACTTTACTTGTGCATCATCCAATACGACCATTGTATGGATTCTTTTTAGATTTTCAAGCAGAGCTATTGCATCCAGCTCCAATCATGTACGATGTATCGGTGGACACAATAGGGAACCTATACAACTCTGCGAGAGAATGGCTAAACAAGTATTATATGTCCAGTAATGTGGCGTTCTTGTTTGCCCCGCCTCACATTGCTCTTGCAGCTATGTATGATATTGATAGAAGAATAACCGATAGGTATTTGAAAAGAAAATTTTTAAAGGATGAAAGATCCACCCACAAGGAAGACGAGGAAAAAGGCATAGAAGTTGAAGTTCTTCTTCTTCTTCTTCTTCTTCTTCTTCTTCTTCTTCTTCTTCTTCTTCTTCTTCTAGAAGTAAAAGCAAAAGTAAAAGTAGAATCAAAGCCAGAGAAGAATGATAATCACCGTTCAGATGATAAACGCAAGAATAGCGCAGATACAAAGAAGACGATAGTGAAAGAAGATCCAAAAGCAGCAAACGCAAACAGAGATGCTAAGAAACAGCCAAGTGGTCGTGAACAATATGAGAGCTTAGTAAGATCCATTAGAAAATGCATAAAACTTGCAAAAGATATGCCAGCAGCAGATCGGGAAAAGAGTAAAGAAATTGATAAGAAATGCTTTTTTGCCTTGAATCCTAGAAAAATGATTGACAAGCGGATCAAAAAGCTCACTGCTGAAAAAAGTTGACATTTTAGATGCTACAATAAACTGCATTTCTTTTTTGACGTTAGATTATATATCTGTTTACTTGGTAGATATATTAACTTTCTACATTTCCCTCTCTGTCCATCGAAAAAAAAAAGAAAAGAAAGCCTCTTTTTTCAGAAACTGGTAATCTTCTTTTTCTGGAAACTGGAAAACCCCCTCCTTTTCTGAAAACTGGAAACCCCCTCCTTTTCTGAAAACTGGAAAACCCCTCCTTTTCTGAAAACTGGAAAGCCTTCTTTTTCTCAAGTCTGGAAACGAGAAACCTTCTCTTTCTGGAATCCTCATCCCCTTTTTCCCATTAGCGATGAAAAAAGAAATAAATTTTTCATTCAAGTTTACTAGCGATACGCGCAAGTGATAAGATAGCAATTTTTTTGGTAGACAGAAACTGGTGGTATGGTGATCCCATATATTTAACCAGGTTGCTAAATAAATTTAAAACCTCGCTAAACCAAACGCCCAATTTCCTCTTCTATCTCCACCTTTGACTTTTAGCGCACCCTTTGTTTCTCCCCACCCTTGATCATGATTTCAAGAAGGCTTTATCTGACAACGGGCTCTGCGGGTAGACTCGCTAGTGTCATTAAGAATGTAGATTTACTCAAAACCAAGTCCTATATCAACGGTGCTTGGGTTGCGAGCTCTACCAACAAGAAATTTGATGTCAATGATCCGGCTCTCTATCCCAAACCAGACTCAAAGCTTGCAAGTGTTTCGTCAATGACCTTGCAAGATTTTGAAAGGGCAATTGATCATGCTAGAGTAGCGTTTGATGAGTTTAAGCAAACTTCAGGTAGATATAGATCGAACTTGCTTCTTCAGTTATACGAATTGATGATTGAAAACAAAAATGACTTGGCCACTTTGATAACTTTAGAAAACGGTAAACCATATGCTGACGCTTTAGGGGAAGTGAACTATGCTGCATCATTCTTTCAATGGTTTGCTGAGGAGGCTCCAAGGATTTCTGGTGATATTATCCCGTCTGCCGATGCTAGCAAAAGAATATTTGCTCTAAAACAACCAATCGGAGTCTGCGGGATTTTGACTCCGTGGAATTTCCCACTTGCAATGATCACTAGAAAATTGGGTGCAGCAATTGCTGCTGGTTGCACCACCGTCATCAAACCGGCTTCAGAGACTCCACTATCCGCGTTGTCATTGGGCTATTTAGTGGAAAAAGCTGGCTTTCCAAAGGGGGTAGTCAATATTTTGGCGACAGATGATACGGCAGCAATAGGTAAGTTATTGTGCGAAAGTCCAATCATCAAAAAAGTCTCCTTTACAGGATCAACCAAGGTTGGGAAACTTTTGATGAATCAGTCATCGTCGACATTGAAAAAATTATCCTTCGAACTTGGAGGTAATGCTCCATTTATTGTTTTTGAAGATGCCGATATTGAAAAAGCTGTTGCTGGGGCAGTGACCTCCAAATTCAGATCCAGTGGACAAACGTGCATTTGCGCTAATAGAATATTTGTGCATGAATCTATCTACGACGAATTTGCTACGAAGTTTGTTAACAAGGTAAAAAAGGATTCCCTTTTAGGTTATGGACTCAACAAGGGGGTCACGCATGGGCCCCTTATCCACGATAGATCGATGCAAAAGGTTGTCAGTCATATTGAAGATGCAGTAAGTAAAGGTGCAAGCATTTTGTGTGGAGGATCAAAGCGTCCTGATCTTGGAACAAACTTTCATGAGCTAACCATTTTGGGAGATGTAACTCCAGATATGTTGATATTCCAAGAAGAGACATTTGGACCCGTTGCTCCGTTGATCAAATTTTCTTCGGACCAGGAGGTGATCAAATTAGCCAATGATACGGAAGTTGGTCTTGCCGGTTACTTTTACTCTACAAACGTGAGTAAGGTGTTCAAAGTTGCAGAAGAATTAGAAGTGGGTATGTTGGGTGTCAACACGGGTGCAATATCGGAAGCCGCCTTACCATTTGGAGGTGTTCAAGAGTCGGGCTTTGGCAGAGAAGGGTCAAAATTCGGGGTTGATGATTATATGGTAATAAAGGGTATTGTGTTGGGTGACATTGTATAAAACACTATTAGGTCTGTATTGATAGAATGTATGAAAAAAGAAGGAAAAAAAAAGGAAAGAAACATTTTGGAATCAGCAGAGCCTTGACTATAGCTCGGTTTGTTCCGGTACAATGGGTTTCTGACTTTCAGGTATACTTGTCAGAGACACCAAGCCAGAATTCACTTCGGTTTTAGTTTCTTCTGGTGAAACCTTGACTTCCTCGGTGGAACTTTTAGCATTTTCTGATGGAACTATTTCACTATTATTCGAGTTCCGCAGTAGGTTACTTTCATCCAGATTAATTGTTTGACTGAGATTTTCGTTCTCCAACATCTTCAAAGTGTTGTTGGCCAAATCGATTGCAGCAGTCATGTCATCATTTGCATTTGAATCGACATTTGCCACACTTTGGTAGGTTTCCACCACCAACTGTGGAAATTTCACTCTTGTGTTTATTCTATAGCCATTACTAACCAATATAATGTCAACGTCTGAACCCACCACATTAGCTACTTCCTTATCCACATCCTCTAAGCCATTATCGTCGTTTTTTGAGAAAAGATCCAAAGTCTTGTTCAAATTAGTCAACTCTACATTTTTGGATGCTATCTTATCATAATTTTTCACTTTTTCCACCTCGTCCTTTACGTCGCTCTGCAATTTGTTTCGCATTGTCTTGAGGTCAACGGTCGATATCTTTGGCAACTCCAATTTCGGCTTCTTAAAAACACGTCTCATGTTAGAATCTTGTTCGACATATGTAGCACAATTTATTGATTTCAACGTTAATGAGTATAATCCACCTTCTCGCGTTATACCATTAACAATTGAAGATGGAAAATTCTTTAAAGTAGCTGCCGAAGTTTCATATTTAGTCGGCGAGAATCGTGAGGTTTCTAAAGGTTGGGTTCGAGTAGAAGTATTTGCCAACTTCTCTCTTTTTATAGAATGCCTTCCCATTATAGTGTTGTGGTCGCTGCAATTGCTCTTTGTAGTAGTAATAGTAGTATACTAACCATCAAGAACTCTCAAGAGAGAAAAGAAAGAAAACAAAAAAAATGCAAACTTGATGTTTGCGCTACCAAAATGCCAAATTGGTGAAGTGCAACCTTAGAATAGACAACTGATCAGAGTTGATCAAGAAACAAAGCAAGTTCTCCAAAGAAAAGTCCATTTCTATTCATTATACATATACAGTGTTTCGTTTTTACCTTGTCGTTTCAGTCAACGACTCGGTGATACCATCGACCAATCCATCAATATCCTCCACCCGAATACCACAGCTCAAACTCAAAAGCTTTCTATATTTATACATGCCACTATCAATACCATAATTTTTTGTACCTTGAGCAATCTTGCACAATAATTCATTCCTCTTGATTTGAAGTCTAGTAAGCTCAATTGCAAGGTCGAATTTCTCTTCATTAACAAACCCATCATCATCTTCTTCGCTTTGACTAGTGTCGTTAGACTGTTGTTCCAAAATTGCCATTTCCTCCTGTTGAACAAGGTTTGCTAATTGATATGCTTGATTACGCTGCAAAACGTGCGTTAGTTGAGCCTCCTTCTCGCTTAAACGCTGTTTGCACAGTTCAACACACTTTTTAACAATGGCATGTGCTTCTTCAACAGACTTCACATCGCCCGCCTCCTCTTCGATACCTGAGCTTTGGAATAGTCTAATGATATGTTTCAATGATTTTTGATTTTCCTCCTGCTTCTCTGCCAACGATTTTTCCAATGTCGCAAGTTCAGTCTCAAGAGCTCGCATTTGCTCAGTATGAGCGCTTCCATATGATTTGATCATACCAGCTAGCATCAATGACAAATCTTCGAATGGTACCGGACGCATTTCTTTTTGTTCTTGCGTGAACAGGCCTTCCTCGTTCAATTTATAAAAATTTGGCATTCTAAAAGACTTTGAGCGACGGTTACTTCGCCCAAAACTGTCACAGAATTGATTGGGAACAGATTTTGAAGGTGTCTTTGCTTGTTGCATCGCAATGGGTTGTTCGTGTGCTTGTTGGCTATCGTTCATTGTAAGAATTTCAGCGCTGCCTCCTTCAGTTATTACACTCAACGGTCTATGGAGCGAGCCGTATTGAGTACGCTGTACAGGTGTTATAATTTCTTCGTAATGTTTAGCAATGAAAATGTTTTCTTTATCATCATTTAGTGCTTCAAGGTGCTTTCGATCAACACGCGCTACATCATCCTCATCTTCTACATCATCGTCATCCTCAACTGTAGTACGCTCCGTATCTGGCGTTTCAACTTTGTGGGGCCTTGGAGCCACCGGAGTAAACAATAATTGCTGTTTGGAAACTTGAGAAGCATGATTAGCATTATTACTGTTGTTATCGTTATTGTTATCGATATTGGTATTGTTATCTTGAGGCTTTGTAAACATGCTGTCCCAAAAAGCTGGTGAATTTGTGTTTCCATCCATTTCACTACGTTCATTCATTTCCAAGTATAGTAATTCCTTATCTTTTTGTGGCAATGAGTTGATCAATTCTCGTGCTGTTTCTCCATTAACGTTCTCAAAATTATCTTGAGCATTGTATCGTAACAATGTCAGTATAATAGGTATACACCTAGACTTTACTGCAATGTGCAAACAAGTATCACCACGAACATCTTGATGGTTCAACACATTCTTCATCAAGTCCACTTGTCTAGATTGATTCCGGTTCGTTAAAATGGTTAATTTGTTCAATATAGTCTTTAAATAAAATTTCAATCCTTCCATTTTTGATCTCACTTTAGCAAACTGACACAAATAATGCAATGGAGTCCTACCATTTATGTCGGTGTTGATCAAACACAATTCAAGATCATTTAATACATCGCCAAAGTTTCGAAGCTCATAACAGTTGTTGAATGAAATTAGCTTTGATAAAGGATTCAAACCAAAGTTGTTAACAATGAGGGGGTTTGCCCCTTTGGAGAGCAAGAGATGAATCATCTCATAATTACCAATTGATGCAGCCCAATGCAACGGAGTATGTCCTTCGTCATCGATGGGTTCATTGATATTGAAATCGGCTGGTGGGAAAATAACAAAGTGCGGAATTTCTGCATTGTCCTCGCTGAAAAATTTCAATAGCTGAGAAGCATAACTATTGTCATCACTTGAATTCAAGTCGGAAGGTTGGAACTGGTGATTTTGTGAATGTGATTTTCTGTCATCCTGGGTGGAGTTGACAGACGTATCGCTATCTCGCTGTTCGTAGCCATTCGACCAATTTGTATCATTCGATGACTGAGAAGACAGTGGCTTGCTGTGCTGAAATATTTGTTGCTGTATACTGACTGGAGGATATGCTTGTTGAGGAAAAGTCTGTGGTTTGATTTGAGCCAGTTGAAATCTTTGCATTGAGAGTGGCTGATTTTGTATGTTGTGTCCGTAAATTGAAGCATGTCCCAATTCCATTGGATAAATATCAGGAGGTCTAGAAAGTACTTTAGATGCTGGGACGTTGTTCTGTCGCTGATCAAAAGTTTGAGGTATAGGAATTGGCATTGACTGGTTCATGTTGTACATTTGAGGTAAGTTGGCGGCAATAGCGTCGGCTACATGCAAATCCTGTCGCGACGTCATATTATAAGCATTTCCATCTAATGCGGCTGCATCATTAAAAGTCGGTGGTATCAGATTATTATGATTAGCAACAACTGCAGTTGTTACTGTTGGTTGTTGTTGTTGTTGTTGTGCAGCAGCAGCAGCAGCAGCAGCAGCAGCAGTTACTACTATTGGTGCTGGTGGTGCTGTTGATGCCGCTGCCGCCGCTGCCGCTGCCTCCTCGGCGGCTTGAATTGCCGCCTTTTTTCCTGTCTTGTACCTTCTAGGAGTCTCACCCGGCTGTTTTGCCTTTTTCGTGTACTTTCTTTTCACAACGTCACTTGAGTCTTTGGGAGGTGGTTTCTGCTTCATGGGAATAACAAGATCTGGGTCATTGAAGTCCAAAAACAATACCGGTGCTAGCTCCTTCGTCACTCCGTACGTTGCGGCCAAACGACGTGCATCCTCAAGAGGAATCCATGTACCTTGGAAACGACCGAACCCACCCTGCACTTTTTCATGTAAGCCCTGTTGAACACCTTTTTCCAAAATTTTTGTTCTTTTAGCTTTAGGGAAATTGCAGCATTTGAGGATTTGGGTGGCATTCACCCAATCATCCTTGCACCTTCTCATTATTGGCGACTCGTTCATATCACACTCATACACATCAGTCTATACAATGTTTTGTTGGTTAGTATTTCAAGCAACGAATTAAGCAAAGCACATTTTTAAAATGGTGGAAAAAAAATGTACAAGGTGACGCGTCCATTAAGAATGAAATGGAATTGTCTCTTAATAAGCGGCGAAACCGGTGATAACGTACGTTTGAGTAAGTAGATCGAAACACAGGTGGTGGCCCTGACATATTTTTTTTTGATCCTGAGATAATGGTTTCTCTTACGTCTACCTCGACTTAGCCTTCTTATGTCTTTCTCAAATAGTAGAAGCGGGTAACTTTGATATTGCTTTACTTTTTTTTTCCAAATAAGTTTTTTTTTCATTCTTTTTTGGAGGAGTGAGAATTTTTCAAACTCTCACGCGGAACGAAACCTACACTATCGAACAAAGCGAGATAGAGCACACTACCATCCACTATCGAGCAAGCGAGATAGAACACACTAGCACACACTAGCGAGATAGAGCACACTACCATCCACTAGCGAGATAGAGCACACTACCACCCGCTATCGAGATAGAGCATACTACCACCCGCTATCGAGCAAGCGAGATAGAGTACACTACCTGCCACTGACAATTACATTTTTATGAGCCATGAGAAAGAAGAAAGTAGGCAGTTTAGTATTGAAAATAGATGAGGGAAAATATGATTTTTAAGACAATTTGGTTATTACGATATGGTATGGGTTTTATTGCATTTTGGTTACGATATGGTATGGGTTTTATTGCATTTTGGTTATGATATGGTATAGATTTTATATTTTGTTAATACTGGATGGTATAGATTTTACTGCATTTTTGTTGATATTGTATGGGATGGTTTTATTGATTTGGAAGCTGTAGTTAAATCGGTAGAGGTAATCTAGTTCCCAAGAACAGCGGAAAATATCTATCTTGTAAAGAGCTTAAACCAAGTTTGTTTCTTTACCGGGTTTGCCCTTTTTCATTTGATTTATAGGCTTGAAATGAAAAGTTCTTTTCAATTTGCAGCCATTGTTTCATCTTGTAACTATACATTTTCTCTGTTAATGCTTATTGGTAGCGCTTATCACTATGGACACTATTGACACTATCGAGCGAAGCGAGATAGTGGAGGAGTACTGACTATACAGACACTAGCGACACTATCGCGACATTAGCAACACTATCGCGACACTATCGAGTAAAGTACTGACTACACCGACACTATCGCGACATTAGCGACACTATCAAGCGAAGCACCGACTACACCGACACTATCGCGACACTATCTCGCTTCGCTCGATAGTGGACTAATGGTTCATTTTCATTACATCTTTACTTTTGTGATAAACTTCCCTCGACTCCTCAAAAAAAAAACACATTTTGCAAAACCGCCTGATAAAAAAAACTTTTTTTTTCTTCTTCTTGCTCTATAGAAAAAAGATATGTAATTAAATATTAATGTAGATAAAAGATATGTAATAAAATATTACTATAGGAAAAGGTAAAAAGAGAAAAAATTAATGTAAAGAAAGGTTGTGAAAAAAAATTACAATTATAGTTAAAGTTGCAAAAAACGTAAAAATGTTGAAAATGGCATTAAAAACAGCATCGAAAACAGCATTTGTTACAATGTATCTACTCTGATAACTCTTGAAGCATTTGTTACAATGTATTTACTCTAATAACTCTCGAAGCATTTGATAATAAGTGCTCTGAGAGTTAGTCAGTGTAGATAAGAGCTGGGGTGCTCCACTATCTCGCTTTGCTCGACAGTGTCGCTAGCTAATAAGTGCTCCAAGAGCTAGTCAGTGTAGATAAGAGCTGGGGTGCTCCACTATCTCGCTTTGCTCTACAGTCGCTAGTAACGAGGCAAAAGAAAAAAATAAAATAAAATATCGGAATTTGATGACATCAACCAACAACAGAATGTAAAAGAGGCGGTTATCCAATAAAGCAATACTTACAGCTAGTCTGGACTATCCAACATTCTTGCAACTGAAATGGACTCTCTGGTTTTTACTTCACAGTTTGCTCTACTCTGTTGACTTTTTTTAGTAAGTGCTCCTAGCTCGCTTCGCTCGCTAGTGCTCTCTCCAGTACCCCAGTAAATATTACTTAATGCATTCTTTTAGGAAGAAAAAAAATAGAATATTAAAAAGAAAGAAAACTAATACGATTCAAGGGTAGTAAGGCTGAGTAAATATCTCATGTTGCATAGGAGTATAAAACAACATTCACAATATCCTATCTGTCTCTATTGTGTAGTGTACTTTCAACTTGGATTTTGAGCTTGGTCTCGACTTTAGTACAAAAGGGGCCAAAAGGTACTTAATTTCTTTGCTTCAAAAGGTACTTAATTTCTTTGCTTCAAAAGATACTTGTTTCCTTTCCTTCAAAAAGTACTTGTTTCCTTTCCTTCAAAAAGTACTCGTTTCCTTTACTTCAAAAAGTACTTGTTTCCTTTACTTCAAAAAGTACTTGTTTCCTTTCCCCAATTACACGAAAGCCCAACTTTCGGCTTCCTTTTGTTTTCTTCATATTGATAAAATACAAATGACACGAGAGCTCAGGAATCGGCGTACGCGGTTGGGAATCCGACAACCAGACGCTAGAGATGTCACTGGTACGATTATTATGCTTGATGAGGGTATTGATGAAGATGAAGCCCATTCTATGAAGAAATCGACAACGGGTGTTATATTAAACCCCCAGCCTCACGATTCGCCAAATGACCCTTTGAACTGGTCAGTTTGGAAACGAGATTTGTGTTTATTTATAATCGGATTTGCTAGTTTTCTCGGAGGAGGTATGTCGCCCTTGTTGGCTGCAGGAATGAACACTTTGGTTGTTGAATTTAATAAGCCTTTGACTACGATTTCTTATCTTGTTGGTGGGTTTATGTTATCACTTGGATGTGGATCGGTGATTGCTAGTCCCACTGCTGTACTATATGGCAAAAGGCTTGTTTACATTGCAGGAACTTTTATTTTTATGATGGGTGCAATCTGGGGTGGTGCTGCGAAATCGTTTGGCAGTTTGATGGGTGCTAGGGTTCTTACTGGTATAGGTGCCTCACCAACAGAATGTTTGCCAAGTGCAACAATCGCAGAGATATATTTTGCTCATGAGCGTGCATATAGAGTGGGATTATACACAATGTTGATGTTGGGTGGTAAAAACATCATTCCACTTTTGTCAGGTTTGGTGTTTCAGAATTTGAATAGACACTGGCTATTTTGGATTTTGGCGATGTTTTTAGGCGCCACATTGATAGGGATTATATTGTTTGTTCCCGATACTTTTTGGGACAGAACGCCGACCCCGTCCAAGAGATCGTTGGAGGAGACAAAGGCTGCTCAGAATGTTGCATCGTATCACCCTCCATCACAAAGACCCAACGCATTTGCTTTGCACCGGCCTTCACAATCTAATTTTCAGGATATTTACAGTTTACCATCATCATTGGGTGGTGAATTTTTTAAAAATATAGAGGAAGAGAAACCTATTGAAATTACTGAACCAGCGGCAGTTGCCCTTTCTGTGGAACATAAAAAGAACAGTTGGTGGGATAATTTGAAGATTTGGCATGGAAGATACACGAAAGATAGTTGGTGGATGGTTGCTTTGAGGCCATTTGTACTATACAGTTATCCGCATGTATTATTTGGATCGATTACATATGCATTGGCAGTGGTTTGGTTGATTGTGATTTCAGAAACCATTTCGGAAATCTTCAGGCATCCCCCATATGGATATGATCAACAAACTGTTGGTCTTTTTTATATCTCGCCCTTTGTCGGAGGAATTTTGGGCTCATTATCGTGCGGGTTAATTTCAGATAGAATTAGTAGAATTTTGGTCTCCGTGAATAAAGGAGTGTACGAACCTGAATTCAGGCTTGTGATGATCATACCATCAACAATCTTTATTGTAATAGGACTAATGGGATATGGTTGGTCTTCTACTGAACAGGATCCATGGATTGCGCCGGTTTTGTTTTTTGGTTCTTTGGCATTTGGTTCCTCGATAGCATCCACTACCGCCATCACATTTGCAGTTGATTCATACAAGGTGTTTGCAGCGGAAACTTTGGTTTCCTTCAATTTTTTGAAAAACTTTTTGGGTTTTTGCTTTTCTTTGTTCAATAACAAGTATGCTGATGCTCAAGGGTATAAAAACGCATACGTTACATATGGAGGGATTCAGTTATTTGTGAGTTTGTTTGCTATTCCGTTGTACATATATGGGAAGAAGTCAAGAAGGTGGACGGATGAGAAGGAGTTGATGAGAAGTTTATACCATGAAGATAACATACCCCCCAGTGTTTCTTTAAAGAGTAAGTATGATAATGATAGTGATGCACAGATAGAGTAAAAGGCATAATAATAAAAAAAAGAAAGAAAGAAAAACTCCAACAGGTAAATGTTACCAATATATATTACGATATTTCCAATTTATATTTATCAGCTAGTTGAGGATTCTTTTTGAAGTATGTTCCCAATCTCTCCTCTAAGGAAAGCCCATTAAACTTATTCTGTTCAAGCACTGGCATTCCAAGTTTTTCAATGATACACCCACTACTTATAATGCCACAAACTCCACTAGTAATCCAGTCTTGGCCACTCAAAAACCATACCATGATGAATCCTCCACAAAAGGAATTGCCTCCACCTGTAACATCGATCACTTTAGATTGATCTTGATGGTAGGCTGGTAAGGTGACGTTTAACTGACACGGAGATGCTTCTTTCAGTGTTTGAATATGACATCCGGAAGCACCACATCGAATCACTGTACCCGAATTCGCTATTTTTTGATAGCTTGTGAATTTGTTGCACAACTCCGTGAGGTCAGCATTTATTGAGTTTGTCAGAGTCAATGCTTTTGCTTCATCGAGATTTGGAGAAAACACGTGTATCAAAGGTAGCACCTCTTTTAATTTGTTGTAATTTTCAAAAAGGCAGTCGTCAGGCAATGGTTCATATATGTAGATCGCATTAGGATTCACTTTCCCTAGTTCTTCAATAATCAATTTACAACGATCTATTGAGCAAATCAAATGATAGCATTGACTTTGTCTCAATTCCGGATACTGTAAAACATCTTCAACTTCAATTCTCTTTTTTGGTGTTTGGTATTCAAACGACCGAATTCCGTTTTCATATATATTAACCCCTCGAGTAGTTAACCGATTATGGTTTTTACGAAAAATAGCACCTGTTTGCCATGTATCTATTTCTTCGCGTATTTTCACCGGGAAATCTGTCCCCTCATCGATAATTCCACTAATTTTCCGACTATATTGTGCTGGCAGAACAATTCTTGCGCCAATCATCGCGTATGGCCCAGCTCCCCCTATAATATTTTCCTGAGGTGGATATGAAGGACTAACATACCGATTTTCATCTATAATAAACATTCCCAAAGTCGTGAATATTGACATGGTTCCATGCAGTTACAATAGTTTTAATTGAAAGTTGCAAAAAAGAAAAATGAAAAAATAAAATAAAAATAAAATAAATAAATAAATAAATAAATAAGTAAATAAATAAGTAAATAAATTCTTTATCAGAAAGTTGTGGAGAATTCAAATTGCAAGAAGGATTTATTTCTCAAGTCTACAAATATCATAAGCTTGAGTAAGGCATCGAAAAATAAAGCTTCTATAAGCACTATCTTACCTAGTGGTGGTGATCTTCTTTGTTGTAAGCTTGACACAACAAAAAGCCTAGCTCAAGGAAATTGTGATACTTCAAAATCGGGAAATAATACTATTATTATTGTTATTAATATTACTCCCTTATTTTGTTCTCTGTAGTATGCATCCACGGACAAGGACTTTTTCCTCCCACTTGTTAACGGAAACCTCAACCGAGATAGTAGGCAGTGTGCTCCACTATTTCGCTCTGCTCAATAGTGTCGTTAGAGAAATCTTTGAACCATTTCGCAACCAAACTTTTGATTTTTTCCTTTCAAAAAGTCAAAATTCTCTTCAACTAAAACAAAACGTTTGATAAAATGAATCGTAAAATAATGCAATCAAATCAACCGTAATATAAAACAATCAAATGACATTTTATACATGTATGATTGTAACTGGCTCTGTTTACTGCTACAAATCAACTAAAGTAAATTTCATTTGTATTGTTTTTATGAATGAAAAATTTTTCAACAGAATTTGGTCCAGTAATCTAAATGGTTTCTGTGAGCCTAAAACTCGCTAGGCTGTGTCACTCCCTCAAATAAATGCCCGTTTGGCCAAGTCGCTAAGGCGTCGCGCTCGTATATTAAATTTGCGACGTGAAGATCGAGAGTTCAAATCTCTCAATGGGCAAATTTTTTTTTCTCTTCATGACACTAAACATAATTTAACTATCTTCTGGTTACTCTTGTTTTCCAACAACTCCGAATCGGCGAGCTTGAAAGAAACCATAATATCAATGAAAATGTGCTGATATCTAGTATAAGGATTTTCAAGATATATGACAAGTTACAATGTCATCACCAACGGACTAAATAGTTGGGAGAAAGAGGGGAAAAGGGTATAATTCAATAACACACCGTGCCATGCTACTGAATGATAGAGAGTCATAGTTGATATAAAGACTAAACAAAGGCGGAACAAATCAACGTACCTTACGCTACATCTCAGATACAATCTTTTTTTTTTTTTCCTTCTTTCTTTCTTCTTCCCCTTTCTCCTTTACCCAGCCTTAGTTGTTGCTGTTGTTGGTGGTGGTGGTGGTGGAACAAGATCTCCAGTCTCATGCTTCACACTATCTTCCAATTTCTTTGATTTATCCAATTCTTCATTCATATAATCATTCAACTCTTGGCTATCAGCTACTATATGTTTCTTCTTTCTAGCTGATCTCGTAGATGGTTTTGTTGCGCCCAATGGAGGCGGTGCCGATAAAACAACATTGGTGGAGGTGTCAAGATCCACAGCGGTATTCTCAGATTGAAACAACACGTCATCTATTATGGAATTTTTTTCAAATTTCCCTACAACTTCAGGAATTCTATGTATTAACCCATAACCAACATCGCAACCAAGAATACCCCTATTATGACCCGTTCCCCATTGGCGTGAAAGATTCACTGTGACGGGACGTAAAATATCGTAATCGTGGTTATAAACATATAGTGTTATAGGTATATTGTCTTCTCCCGATTGTGCATAATGATGGTTGTAGTAGCTTAATATTGTGTTGGACAAGAGTGACTCACCTCCTTTACTTAACAAACCTTTGGAATTAGGGTCATTGGGAAATGCAGAGTCACATCCAATAATAAAATCAGAATGAGGAACTAATTGAGACCGAAATGCTGGTGATCCTACATGCGTGTTCAATATTCTCCACACAAATGTCGCGGTGTTCAAATGCTGCGACTCAACGGTTAAACCCAATTTTTTCAAAGACTTTGCACCTCCTTTCTCCTCAGTCTTTTCCCCTTTCTCCTCAGTCTTTTCCCCTTTCTCCTCAGTCTTTTCCCCTTTCTCCTCAGTCTTTTCCCCTTTCTCCTCAGTCTTTTCCCCTTTCTCCTCAGTCTTTTCCCCTTTCTCCTCAGTCTTTTCCCCCTCCTCCCCCTCCTCTTCCTCCTCTTCCAAGGGGATACTAATTTGCCTTATGACACCGCCTTTAGCATTCCACACGTCAAGAATGAGGTCTTGTTTGTGTTGAGCTAATGTAGTCAACTCTTTATTTAACAAGTCAAAGTTGACGGCTGCTGCCTGCTCGGCAGTGGTACTATTGCCGTAATTGATGGTGCCATCTTCATTAATCGTATATGAATAAGTTGAAAAGGCATGAAGTAAGGGCAATTCGTGATTATTAATCTTAATAATATAATCGAACCATGATTCAAATCCATATTCATGAGCCTTAGAATGCGCAACTACATTCAACACACGAAGACCATACCCTCTATTGTTTATATGCGTTGCATTCTTGAAATATGCATCATTAAACGAGTCATCCTGGCTCGCTTGCCCTTCAAGTCTATCGACCAACTTCTTTGCAAACGAAAACATGAAAAGAGAATGGGTGTGGTTATAAAAGCCATATATTTTATTCAGTTTATCCATGCTACCAATGTTTTATCTATATTGAAAGAAAAAAAAAAAAAAGGTCTATAAAAATGAATATTGATTTTAATGAACAGTACAAGTATAACTTCCTCTCCCTCTCCCTCTAGATTTCGTGTAATTGGAGAGGGAGCTCATATCCTAAGCATATTTGTATGATTTCGTGTAGCATGAATAATAAAAGAAGTTGGAGCTTGAGCTTGAGCTTGAGCTTTATGGGTTAAAATGCCCCAGAAAAGGCTAAACTCCAAGTTCTACTTTGACCATTGTCAAGGTAAGTGTTTGTCCAAGTATCGGAGCTAAAGAATGCATAAGCAACTTTAGGGTCAATGATTGCTTGGTTCAATCTGAGAATACCAGTCCAACCACTGTTGACATTATTGATAAATGTAGACACTTGGTCGTTCCATTCTTCTTGAACATACGAGGCAATTCTAACCGATGAAGATGCCGAGGTCACTGGTAACATGTGAATACCATGCACATATTCGGGATTGTTGTTTGGTGTACCAAAGTAAGTAGTGTAGTCGAGTTTGTTTTCGAAAAAGATACCACATACTTTGTTTGGAAGGAATGCCGCTGGTTGCACTACATTATCAGACTTTAAGTAAAAGTAAGAGTTGAATGAACGTCTCATGATAGACAACATTAATCCACCTCTTGCTTCCATAGCATAGTCTTCAATAACATTACCCCAAAGTTTCATAGCATATGCAAAGTGAATATCTTCTGAACTTGATTCTTGGTTCTTACCGTCATTGCTTGCATATAATCCAGCGGCCCAACTGTGACCATCATACCATGAAAACAGTCTTGAAATGGGGAAAAAAGTATCACTGCTTGATGGATTTGCAACGTCTCTCACTAATGAGTTAACCCAATCCTTATTGTCTTGAGCCCAAGTACCTCCGAGCTTTTTATCGATACGCCCAACAACAGCAGCAGCGTGGATAAAGTATCCGTAATGGAAATGGTGATCATTGTAGTAGGCACTTCCAAAGTCTGCTCCATCATTACCACTTTGTGCGGCAGTTGAAGTAACGCCACCAAATTTGGTATCGTACATTAATGGGTAAAACTGCTGATTGTTCAAGAATGTCTCAAAGGCCTTTTTCATTTCAGCTAATGTTGCATTGGAGACAGCTTCATCTTGGATAATTTCGTCAACAACTAATAAAATTTGAGCGTATTTGTCAATAACCTTTCCTGAAAAATAGTTTGAGTTCATATTCTTTACAGAAGCAGTGATATCCACAGCTAACTCCTCGTTGGCTGTTTTTGCCAATAATGCAAGTTGATCAGTTGAATAGACCAAGGGAGTAGTTGTGCCAGCAAGATATGGCAAGAATTGGATTTTCTTGTCAATAACTTCAGTAAACGACAACACGTTTGTTAAGAACCCACTCATTTCTCCTTTAGTTTGGGATGAAATTTTGATTCCAGTTGCTCCTTCTGCATTCAATGATTCAAGGTGGTGAGGTAAAGCAAAGATTATTGGTTTTCCACTCGAAGATGTACCTTGAGTATCGTAGACAATCTGGTATGACGCAGCAGATGAACAGACAACTGATCCTTGAACTGTAGCTCTAACTGGGTACATACCTGCAGCAGCATCATAAAACTTATCCTGCTCTTGATCTGGAGCAAATGCAACTTGAACAATTAAACCATCGACAGATTTTGATGCTTCCAACAGGTATACATTCGAGACTGATAACTTGAAGTTTTCATCTGCAACAGGTAAAGTAATATAAATCAACCAATCAATATCATTAAGCAAGGTAGCACGGTATTTCAACACATTTGGTAACAAGGCTGTTGAATTTTCAAAAGTTAATGTTTTAAAACCATATAAGGAATTTAATCTAAGTACCAAATCTCCGTTGTAAATACCAGTAACAAATCCCATACCTTGCACAAATGGTATTTCAACATTGTTAACCGTATCACCGGAAGTGCTAGATAAAGTAACTTTGGCTGCCATTTCACTCATGTCAGTAACTCCCATAAACACTGAATCTCTACCGAATGTTGTTGCTGAAAAGATCAATTCTCCATTATTGGTAGGATTAAAGTAGAATGATGGAACACCTTCATTATTTGTGTTTTGAGATCCAAAGACTCTTTGTGAAGCATTTGCATGCTGTACACCAAAGCCGTAATAGGTTTGTTTACTCCAGTAAGCAGCATAAGGATAAGCATAAACCATTTGTTGTTGATTGCCCAAGAACAAGTTGGCATAATATTTGTTAGTTTGAATTGGTTTACCGTTATTGTTTACTCCAGCTGGAAGTGCCAATGGAAGTTGCGCTCTTGGGAATATCGATGGTGGCGCAGAAGTATCAATTGCAGTGAACAAATCTCCTGAATAACAAATCTCGGGATCAATATTTGGAGTTTCTTCCGCTTCCATATCTGAACTAGTTGACGACATTGAAAATTCCAGACTCAGTGATATCATGCTACTTTCCTGTACAGATGCAGATACTGGTACCGAGCTGACAACAGCCATAATAGTGCTAATAGTTGAAACGCTTTCCATAGTTGAGCTGACGAGAACTGACGAGTTACCATAAGATGATACAAATGATGAAGTCAATAACACAGTTGATAATGATGTAGTGGAAACGAACGATGAAGTTAACAGGTACGATGATACTGTTAATGTAGCGGATGGAACAAATGAAGATTCTGAGTCAGCTTCTAATCCGGCTCCAGCAGCCAAGCTTGAAGTGGCAACAGCAGCTCCATTACTGACGCTGAGATCAGAAACACTAACGGTTTCATCGTTGGCAACAATCAACTGGGTGGCTTCAGTTGAAATAGTTACATCATCAGTGATTGAAGATACATCAATGGTAACGGATTTGCTTTCGGAAACAACTGATTGACTGGTGACTGGAGCTGGTTTTGTTGTGGGTAATGATTCCAATGAAGTAGATGGTTCATAAGTGCTCGATGGTTCCGAGGTTAAACTGAAAACCGTTGAAGTTGAAGTAACTGCCGTTTCGACATCTGTTGATGCTATTGATGCAGTTGGAGTTACACTTGCAGAAAATGAGCCAAGTAATCCTGCTAACGAGCTTAATAGTTGAGAGGAAACTGCTGGGTTGGAAGCGGAAGCAGATCCTGGGATTGGACTAGCTTGAGTAGCAGCAGCTGAATTTTTGTTTTGTGAACTCAGCTTAGTAGCATCATTAGCGGCACCTCCAGATAAGGTTACTGTTTCTTTACCAGTAGTGGTATAAACGGTTGGCACAACAGTGGTATAAGCTACTGTTTTACATACGTCTTTTGTGCATTGGACTGTCTTGATCAAAGTTGTTGTTGAGGTGGATGTAGTAAAAGTAGTGTCACGAACTTGAGTTACATGAGGAGCAGGTGCTACAGATGTAGATTTGTTTGGAGTAACAGTCTTGTAGACAGTGTGACAATTTGTATGGGTAATGATAGAGGTGAAATGCTGTTGCTGTTGCTGTTGCTGTTGCTGCTGTTGTGCATTTGCAGCTACTGTTTTTGGTTCATGAACAAATACAATTGGAATTCCTGTAGTCAAACTTTCTGGATTATTCGATAATATTTGAGCACCCAAAGACTTGATACATGGACTGTTGACAAAGTGTGTTTTGGTAACTGTGACTACATTATCTTCTGATTCAAGTTCCTCCTCTGCCACTGCATTAGAAATAGCTAATAATAGGGAAAAGAAAACCTTCAATTTCATTGCGATTGACTAACCCTCCTTTTTGGAAATTATGAAGCGAGCGAATAAAACCTTTAAATGAATGAAAAGTAGTTAGATTATAGGTAGTTGGTTAGCTAGTAATGTAATGATTGGCTTGTGAGGTGGTAAAGACTCTACAAGAATATTGCATTAATAAAAATGAGGAAAACATTATAGACATATATATACATATATATATACATATACAAATATAATTATCAGAATATACAAGAGAGTAAAAATCATATTAGAAATAGAAAGGGATCAGCAAGTATGAAAAAAGGGTGATATCAATTTGATCACAGATTCCATTACAATAGTTGCAAAATCAAGATATAGCCAGAAGAAAAACGAGAAAAAGAAAGAAAATAAAAAATTATATGTGCAAACCTTATTGCAAGTAAAAATAATATGTTTTAAAAGCTTAGCTTTGATTTGTATTTTAACAAGATTTTTTTTTTGAAAACATACACAATGGGTGTATAGTGTGTTTGGATGTGATTATTATACAATAAGAACATTTTGTAGTCCTCTAGATTCAAGAAAAGGAGGTTCTGGTTGAGCACAAATAAACACGGTGGTTTTTGAATAGCATATGTTTGTTGGTAGTTTACAAGTTTTTAAGAGGCCAATAATGGGCTCTGTAGAAAGGGAGGAGGAGAAGGAGGAAAAGGAAATGGAGGAGGAGGAAAAGGAGGAAAAGGAGGAGAGCTTTGAGGTATAATAACTCCGAGTGGATTTTAACCTAAAATACATTGATATTTTGCTGTTATTACTTTGCATCTTGCACAGAATAATTTTAACTTACTGCATTGTGGCATAAAGAAGAAAAAAAATAAAAAAGAAATAAACAAACAAACTGTTTTATTGAAAACCAGCGAGGTGATCCTCAAAGCAGCAAGTATGACTACTTTTGTGCAAAAATGGCTGCGATAGAAGTCATGGGTCATTGATTTGATTCGTATTTTATTGTTTGATCTCACGCAAGTGTGACTGTTTGATTAGTTCTTCGTTTAGTTTCAAATAAAGCGCCAAAAGTATAAACCTTGTAATAGAATTGGTGGCAAATTCGATGGTATTCAAACTGATACATTGACTATTACTACGGAAGTTAAAAAAACAAGCAAACAAGCAAATAGGCAAACAAGCAAACGGGCAAACAAACAAACAAGCAAACAAGCAAACGGGCAAACAAACAAACAGGCAAACAGGCAAACAAACAAACAAACAAACAAACAAACAAACAAAAGCTTATTTGTCATGGAAGACATTCAATCTGACACATTGTAATTCATCTCATCTTTGCTCACACAACTCAAACCCGTAATGTTGATTCTTGGTCTCTTGAAAACGCTACCAGAAATTCGCCACGTTTCTGCAAGCCATCTTCAAAAAAAAATAAAACACGCACAAAACTAAAAGATCTTATAATAAAAAACACAAATGTAATCAAGACACAAACGATCTTCATTAAGACGTAACCAGCAATGCAACGTCAATGTGCTCATAGAGTCTGTTTGAAAAGCCATTGGCTCTTTTTAGGTCACAATGTGCGATAAAAGGAGAAGGAAGAAGAAGAAGAAGAGGAAGAAGAAAAAGGCAAAAAACAGAAGGATGAGCAAAAGACTACGGACGATGTTGCAATATTGAGTGCAATTTTGAAAACGAATATCTTCCAAGACAAAAAAGAGGATTGCTCGTTTGAAGCATCATAGTAGTGAATGTTGGTTGCATATTTGTATGTTTATTTTAAGAGAAGTTTGTGAATGCCAGTTGTGGGTCTAGAGGTACTCATAGTTAGTCGTTTGAGTCTCTTGTTTTATTAGGTCAAAATGTACCTGTCATGAAGTTAATTATGAATCTGTCAGAAAAAAAATATTTTTGGAACGTGATCGGCCTTAGGTATAACTTATGTACCTAACTAAACTACTCGATTTAGCTAATTCCTTTTTATCAAATCTGTGTAATCAAGGTTGTTTCTTCTACTTTAAATTGGATTTTTCTCATATTGCCTACACTATTTGTTCCCACCACCAACTAAGCTTTACTATAATCCATAACCAATCGGGACTTTAAATCTTAATTTTTTTTTTTTTCTTTTTTGCACATTTTTTTTTTATCCCTTTCCACGCAATTTTGAAAAACCCTTATTCGTTATCTTGATTGACTTTTTAGTGTTTAAATCTTTTTGCTTCTAGGTAAGTACACAATTGCAAATATGACCCAAGTAGTTGTTCTCGGAGCAGGTGTTCTAGGCCTTACTACTGCAATAGAGTTGAAGAAATGGGACCCAAATTTACAGATTTCTATTATTGGACATCATTTACCAGGTGATATTGACCCTTCCTATACATCCCCTTATGCTGGAGCCAATTGGCAATCTTTTGCAACTTTCGAGGACACTAGATTACAGAAGATTGACGAAAAAGGGTATAAAAGGTTTTTACAGCTTGCCAAAGACGATTTTAGATCGGGGATATGGTCAGTAGACACAATATCATATTTTACTGATTATGCAGTAAGTCGAGCCAAGGGTAATTTCAGACAATTCATTCCATGGTACAGAAACGTTGTTGAGGATTTCAAGATTATTGACTCTCAAGATATCCCTTTTGCAGATATTTCTTTTGGAACAAAGTTTAAGGGAGTTGTCATTTCCGTTCCTACGTATCTTTCCTTCTTGGTACAACAAAATAAGGAATTGGGAAATGCAATTGCTAAAATTCCATTACTCAAAGATATAGAAGAGGCAAGAAATTTCACCACTACTGGCAAAAAAGCAGATATTGTGATTAATGCAAGTGGTTTGGGTGCTTCAGCTTTGAAAGGGGTTGATGATAGGAAAATTAACTTTTCTGTTAGGGGACAAGTGTTGCTAGTTAAAAACAACATCAAGTCGATGGTTTCGGTTGATGGGTTTCCTGGATTTCCAAATGAAATGTTGTACATGATGCCCAGAAAGGAAGGTGGCACCATTATTGGAGGTTGCTTCTTGGCCGGCGATAAAAACGAGAAAGAAGATAAAGAGTTGACTTCGAGGCTAATCAACAGAGCAATCAAATACGCGCCTGAAATTGTTGACCCAGAGTATAAGAATAATCCAATTGAGATAGAGATTAAGCAAGTGAATGTTGGGTTTAGACCATTTAGGGAAGACGGTCCACGAGTCGAACTCGATAAGCATCGTAAATGGTTAATCCATGAATATGGTGCAGGTGCTGGTGGATACCAAGGAAGCTATGGTCTTGCTCAAGAAGTTGTAAAAATTGTTAAGGATAATCTATCTAAAGGGAATTCCAAGTTATAAAAAAAATGTCTTTCTGTTCCTGCTCCTTTTCCTGCTCCGGCTCCTTCTAATCAATCCTGTCCTCGTTGACCATCTAATGACATATAAATCCAATTAACATATTAAATATCCTTTTGCCTCCCAGTTGAGCGTATTTTTTGGCATGCTCCTTATCAGCATGATCCGATATATATTCAGCTGCTTTGTTATTATGATGAGCTAATATTGGTGTTGGTTTATCTGAGTATTGCTGCGTTTTCACATTAACGTCAGCATACCCATATTGCGGATTGAAAAAATCCTTGTTTGAAGGCTCCTTAGAAATTGACAGGGTCATTTCAAAACAGAAAACAAATTGAATGTATACTATATATAAATATATATATATAAGATAGCCTCTTCCTTTTCAGGAGAAATCACTGGCGCAAACCCCTTTTTTTATATACTACAATTTTGCTTTTTCTACTTTCATGTACTATAGAGATATCCTCAAGATTGCTGCTTATCACAAAAAGACAAAAAAAAAAAGAAAAAAATGAAAGCCGTTCTGGTTGATAATGGGAGAGCAAAAACTGGCTTGCATACTGGAATTCATAAAGAACTTATGACCCAGCAATTGAGCCTCAAATTTGAATATACGACACTAGGGAGCGAAGCGAGCTAGTGGAGCAGTATGTAGAGAGTAACGACACTGTTGAGCAGAGCGAGGTGACACTATCGAGCAGAGCGAGATAGTGGAGCAACACTTTATAGCTTGTTCAGTTCAATAGCATAATGCTACAAATATGAGAAATTGGGCAAAAATAATATGTGATAACGAAAACTTAAGGGGACAGACAAATGGTTGGTTATTAGAGTAAACTCTTTCTCTAACTAAAGCCCAACACATTGTGGCTTTTACCCATACATTTGAACAATGAAACTCGTGGACCAACACTTTGCAGCTTGTTACAACACTATCTCGCTCTGCTCGATAGTTTGAACAATCAAGCTCGTGGAGCAACACTTTGTAGCTTGTTACAACACTCGCTCTACTCGATAGTTTGAACAATCAAACTCGTGGAGCAACACTTTGTAGCTTGTTACAACACTATCTCGCTCTGCTCGATAGTGTTTCGCTCATCTAGTAGGCTGTTTTTGGCAATCTCCTTCTTCACATGGTAGCGTTTTAACAGCGAGATAGTGTCCGCTAGTCGCTATTGCTCCACTATCTCGCTCTGCTCGATAGTGTCGAAGTTGAAAAAAAAAAAAAATTCACCTAAAATTTTTCGGGCTTCATAATCGTTTCCTGAGTAAATATATACAGAGAATGAGAGCATCACAAATCCTAGGGTTTAGGTCGAGTTTACAAACGGCCTTAAGAAGACCTTGGCAAACATATAGAGATGGTACAATATGGTATGGTCAGCTTAAGACTGGTTCCAAGAGACATCGTTTGACAACTAAACAAGGAAACAAGAATTATTACAAAGGTACCGGATCCTCAGGTATTGGGACTTTGGATACCCGTGGCAGGTATCATATAAATTGGGATAAAGTCAGAACGTATGTTGTTCCAGCTGGTTTGAACGTTAGCACTTTAAAGCCATTGGTTTCACCCAAGTCACCCAAATTTATACAAAAGGTTGAAGGATACGACGATGGGTTTAAAAGCCCACAATTGGCATTACACTCGGCTATAAATTTCATAGAGAATGGTTCCAGTATGGAAGATCTAGATTTGGAGGAAATAGGATATGTTGAAAAAATCACAAATCCTAAGCTCCAGAAAAAAGAAACTACAACTGAGGATGATGACTAAAAACATGTATATATATATCAAATCAAACCAAAACTGTATTTAATTTCAAGAAATGCAATGAGCAGAAGGAGAGGAGGGAAAGTTTTGTGAAACACATAGCATTACCTCTCCCTCATCTCTTGTATCGTGTGTCACGTGACTCTTCTACTAACTTTTTTTTTTTTTTTTCTGACACTACAAAAAACGCGCTTTACTTATAAACTACTTCTCATTATAATTCATATATATATATATATATGGGTATGGATATATAGATATATAGATATTTGTCCATACTTTTTCTAGCTAAAGGATGGCAGTACGTAAGATAGATGTCGAGACTGAAACGACTGAAGGAGAACAAGATGTAAATACACTCCCTGAACTGAGGCAAATGCAATCTCCTGTCGTTTCACCAGCAACTGATGATACCGAATTTCAAGATATTCCAATGGAAGATGTACAAGAGAATCAGGATCCTACAAGTAGTAGTTCTGATCAGATGTCTCTCCCATTGTCCAAAATCAAGAAAATATTCAAGATGGATGCAGAATACACTGGTGCGAGTCAAGGAGCAGTATACACTGCAGGAATAGCTACAGAGCTCTTTGTTCAGTATTTAGTTGAACAAGCCAGTTTGCTAGCCAAAATGGACAAACGGAAAAAGATCCAGTACAAGGACTTTGCCAATGCTGTAAGCAGTCACGATGCTTTAAATTTTCTCAGTGACACAGTGCCGCGAACACATCCAATTGGAGAATTGGTGAAAAAGAAACAGGTGAATTTGATTGAGAAACCAAGTGCAAGTCGAAAAGTTGGCGATAATGTAACAGTGGCAAATACTACAGCAATTACTACCAACACAACTACTGCTACTAACTCCTTCTCCTCCTCCTCCTCTTCTTCCACAAATGCCCTCAAGAATGATCCAGTCTTGCCTAAGGGCCAGCAAATTTTAAACTTTCAGCCACAGGTAGAGGCGAAAGTTACCAAGAGGACTAATGGTATAAATGATTTGGCTTCGCTATTGGAAAAAGAAGAGGAAAAAGATGAAGTAGAAAAGGAAAAAGAAGTGTTGGATAAAAATCTGGATACGTTGAATTAAATTGCTCCCTTCCTTTTGTTAATAACTTCCAATATACAAATTGTGTCCCTAGAAAGCTTTATAGATCGAGGGATATTTAGTGCATGACAAAGTTTGATCACTTGAAGCCTGGTCAAATCCGGTATGGTTTTTGTGTAAATTTGTACACCAGTAATCAAAAACTCAACGAGTGATTCCTTTAACTGAGGATAAATACGAAACACGTATACTGCTTGTTCGTTAATTGCAATTTCTTTGGTTTCCGTACTTACCTTACTTGGTTTTTTTTGGGCTAAATCAGAGTTCTTCAACATAAAGTCAATAGCCTCTTGAAATTTTGTTCCAAAAAAGTAATCTCCTTGTGCATTGTCTTGTTGTAAGATCTCAGTGACAAATTGCAATGCTTCAACTGTGACTTTAACTTTTTTATGTGGAAAAAAGTTGTTGTTGTTAACGTTATTGATCACCGAAAATGTGGCGAGAGAGTTTGAGCCAGTTATTAGAGCAATTAACATTGGCCAATGGGTGGTGACAATAGGGAGAACAAGTTTATAATCCGTGCAAAGCAAAGGGTATACCATTCTCAAAGTTTTAATAATTTGTGACTTTAATGAATATGAGGGTTGAGATACCAAAACGAGTCCATAATTGAATATTCTCTTTAGAACTGCGTATACATCCTTCAGTATTGGCGAAATCCATTTTTCTTCTTCCCGTTCTTGTTCTCCTTCTCCTTCCTCTTCCTCTTCCTCCATCTCGTCGTCTGAATCAACAGTCATCTCTGAAAAGGGTTTATCTTCCGTCCTTTTGAAATATTCTTTCCCACTTTCATATCCACTGTAAGCGTCTACTACTCTGTCACCATTGATAAATGCCACCATTTGCTCTTTATTATGCATACCCCAAGGATGAAACTGAGAATTATTGACATCTTGGTGCTCAATCATTCTCTTTTCCTCAATCATATACATTTGCTTAATTTGATCAACTAGCGCTTCAAAAACAAGAAAATAACTCTCTGAGATTTGATTGAATGTGTGGTATGAATCCAAGAGTACAAATATATCAGACAATATATCTGTTAGCTGGTTTGATTCCAAAAGTTGAATGCCGGCAACTTTTATTACAATCATCAATATTCCAGGTAAAGCTGGATTTAAATTACTCCCCATCGCCATCTGCAAGCTAATGCCATCGATTAGGTAGTCCAGATTGTCCATGATCATATGGATCATAGAGCCTTCATAATAAGTGTCAAAAATGGCTTTCATAGTTCTTTGAGCCTGTTCTTGAATGTTCGGCTTAGTAGTTAAAGTCAAAGCTTGTAAAATAGTCAAGAGGTAGTTCATGAGAACATCAGATCTAAACTGGTCTAGCAGAATAGATCCTGCAACTGTACCAATGGCATCTAGTGCCGATATATAAGCTGTGTCATTTGCAAGTTGCTGCTCCGTTTTATAGCCCAATTGTCCATTCCTAGTGGACAAGAGCTCTTCTGCCTTGTACAAAATCAAATAAGCAATTTCACTTACGGTACTTTCATTTATATCCATGTTTGGTATGTCCAAGAAAACCGATACATCTAGATACCTGTGCTCAGATAGAATATTTTTGGAATATGTACTAGCGAACCACATGGCAACACCGCTGTATAAAGTATCATTCACATTAGCGTCATCCAAAATTTCTTCTAGCACAGACAATGTTCCATCGATTGAGAAATTTTTTACCCTTGACAAAAACTGGATTAAAGATTTCAAATGTTTTTCAAGAAACTCTGATTTGAAATCAATGCATGTCCCTTCCTTTTCGGTATCCATGGAGAAATTTTTCAACTGACGCGCTAGGAGCTGGAGACTGTGGGCAGCAAGCTTGAGATCACCATTATCATCAATTTGTGATGTGTCCTGTTTTTTGACATTCTTGGCATTTATGTACGCCGGTAGCTTTATGACGTCCAAATGATTTGACTCCAAAGCTTCTGAAACTGCATATTTGTTCTTTTTGGTGCTCTCAAACTTTACACGGTCGGTAGTAAATTGAAGCAAGATCTTCAAGCATCTTGCTTTTAGATTATCAAGTTCTAAAGTGTTTGAGAGAGCATTATCTTCAAATTCATGCTCCTTTGATAGTTTCAGAAGCATGGCAAAGTATAGCTTTATAGAAATCATGCTGAGAGCTATCTTTTCCTCATTTGTGGAAAAGGTTATCAAAGACAACTTATTTTCAATTAAGCTCTCTAGCTTTGCTTTAACCATTTCATAGAATGCTGTCAGTTTTTGTGAATCACCCAGGAAAGCTTCTTTCACAGTGTTTGCTATCTGCCAAACCTTGGAATTTTCATCTGTTTCATTATACGATGAAGCGCATACTAATATGGAACAGATATCCGGTATTATTGGTGTCACCTCATAATACAAGCTAACAAAACAATTCTTCAAAATAGAAGTAATAAAAAACACAACCAGCTCATATAATTCAATTTTGGATTTAAACAGTTCTTTGTTTTTTGGACTAAGAATTATCGATTTGAAAAATATAACGAGCATGATCTTGAGTTGTTTTGATGTTGCTCTAAGCCACGACATGGTTCGAGGTCCCCCAGCTTTGAATTTAGATATCTGCACCACATTGGACATTAAATTTTCATCTTCGTCAGCATCAAGGTCAGAAATCTTTAGCTTTTGATCCATGTTGAGTTTTGCGCCCAAATCCTCATCATTAAAAGAGGTGCTTATGATGGTTGATAGAAGATAGAGCACTTGGGCCATTAATTTGTAATTATGACTTGAGTTCATGGTTGAAAACGTTGTTAACGCCGACACCACACCAGGAACAATCATTGATTGCTTTTCGGCTGATAGCAATTTAAGCAGAGTCGATACCAATTTGAAAGTTTCGCTCAACATCAGGATGGCCTCCTGGTCGCTTGCTCTAGTTGAAGTCACAACATCCAATGCCAAAGATATGGTATTTGTTAAGAAATAAAGTCTCTTTTCCGATTCTTGGAAATAATTTGAGTCCAAAGCCGTAATAAAACTCATCAAAACTCTTATCGACACTGCTTTGAACTGTAGCAGCTGACACGTTATCGCGGTTGCCTCCTTTTCCACGTCACCTTTCCCCCTTCCTTTCTCCCCACCTTCTCCAGTTAGGAGCAAAACAAGCGGGTAAAGCTGATCGAACAAGGCATAGTTCACATTATATCTCCAGCAATGCTTGGTCAAATAAGCTATGAGCACAAGTAGATGCTGAGTAATTGACAGGGCAAGTTTTGGACGCCTTAGTAGATTCGAGATGGGGAAAAATATATAGTCAGCAACATTGGGCAATAATATGAATGGTTTTTCCAGCTTGCAGTATTCTTCATACAAAGATTGTGCGCTTGTCTCAATTGAGATTAACAAGGCAATAACTCTGTGCTCATTCAAGGGAGCTTGGGCTGAATGAGTCAATGTTTCTCGAGACAACTCAATGCATACTGGTTTAATTAGCTCAAAAAGCTCTAATGAGCACGTCCTTTCAACAGTACTACTACTAATAGAGGTATCAACGCTCATACGAATATCTTAAAGCTCATCCCTTCCCTTACTGAAAAATTCCCTATTATCGCCTGTACGGATAAAAGGGGGGAGGGGTCAGCGGCTAAAGAGGCATCGGAATAATTAATTGTATGGGAGTGCATATTAAACAAGACTCTCGCTTCTCTTTTTTCTTTGACTGAAAAATGAAAAATTTTTTTTTCTTCCTTCTTTCCACTTTTCATTACATCGACATTGGAAATAGATTTAAGAGTACGTAGTTTGATGGGTTAATTTCACATTGAGAGGCCAAGAAGGCAGATGGAGAGAAGGAGAGAGGAAGAGAGAAGGAGAGAGGAAGAGAGAAGGAGAGAGGAAGAGAGAAGGAGAGAGGAAGAGAGAAGGAGAGAGGAAGAGAGAAGGAGAGAGGAAGAGAGAAGGAGAGAGGAAGAGAGAAGAGAGGGAAAGAGGGAAAGAGGGAAAGGGGGAAAGAGGGAGAGGGAGAAGAAGTACGCACACGAGTCTGTGTGAGTATTTTTGCGTTTAGTAATAGACAAGTTTTTGAGGGAATGTAAGAAATTGGTTCAACTTCATCTTGAGAAGAAACTATGAGCATGTTTTTTTTTTCCAAACATCTTTACGTTTGTTCTTTTGACAACACACTCATTTTATGCATCTTGCTGATGTGTTAAAGTAATACTCTTGTTCAACACGAGAGATTGACTTTTTGGAGTTGACCAATACCTTTATACTTTCTTTGTACCGCGCTCATGACTCCAATGTTTTTTTTGGACACTCATGTGGCCCTTTATATGTTTAAAATCAAAAACTTGACTATTGGAAATACTAACCTGTTTCTAGAAAAATGACAAGAACTTCAGTTTTAGCCGACGCTTTAAATGCTATCAATAACGCTGAGAAAACAGGTAAACGTCAAGTCTTGATTAGACCCTCGTCAAAAGTTATCATTAGATTCCTAACTGTTATGCAAAAGCATGGTATGTTTCAAATTTTTTATTTTTTTTTTATTGTCAGCCACTTGTACACCGAATTGATAACTGGATGGATTGATCGGTGTTCAGTCCCTTTCTGTCTTTTAAGTATTCGGGAGAAAAATGCAAAGGAAATGCTTCTTACACGATTACTGCTTTACTGCTGTAGCATTTGATCGTTTACTTTTCCTCGACACTAGCAAGCAAAGCACTATCGAGCTAGTGGAAGAGCACTGATTAGCTTGTTATGACAGTATCTCGCTCCGCTCGCTAGTGGAAGAGCACTGATTAGCTTGTTATGACAGTATCTCGCTCCGCTCGCTAGTGGAAGAGCACTGATTAGCTTGTTATGACAGTATCTTGCTCTGCTCGCTAGTGGAAGAGCACTGATTAGCTTGTTACAACAGTATCTCACTCCGCTCGATTCGCTAGCTCGCTTTGCTCGCTAGTATCGATCCTTTTTTCTTTCTGACTTTGTCATCAATACTAACAATTGGCCAGGTTATATTGGTGAATTTGAATATATCGATGACCACAGATCCGGTAAAATTGTGGTTCAACTTAACGGAAGATTAAACAAATGCGGTGTTATCTCTCCAAGATTCAACGTCAAAATCGGTGACATAGAGAGGTGGACCGATAATTTATTACCTGCAAGACAGTTTGGTTACGTAATTTTAACCACCTCAGCAGGTATCATGGACCATGAGGAAGCTAGAAGAAAACACGTTTCTGGTAAAATTTTAGGATTTGTTTATTAGGTTTCTAATAGAGTTGTTAATATCATTTTATAGTGTGAAGATAATACCTGTTTAATTAAGATTCTTTCAATTTAACCTTATCTGTTTGGCTCTCTTTTAGTTAGCACCAAAATTATCTCTTCCCTTTTTTTTTTTCTCTCTCCCACTTCAACCTTCTCTTTCAGCTAAAGACTTGTCTTGTACTTTAGACAATGATACCTGAGTCTGTTAGATTTGTGGTTTCCACTTTATCTTGGACTTTAAGAGCAGGTTGTTTGGCTCATTTAATACATGAGAATGTATACGAATTCACAGAGACAAGAGGCGAGTCTATGCTCCCCACAGTTCAGAATCAACACGATTATGTTCATGCATTTAAGAAATATAAATATGGAAGAGGGTTGGAAATGGGGGACTGTGTTGTTGCCATGAAACCAAGTGATCCAACGCATCGAATATGCAAAAGAATAACTGGTATGCCCGGTGACATAGTTCTAGTTGACCCAACGTCATCCTCCGAATTAACCAATTCACCAACTGAAGCATTACAGCATGACGGATTCAATAAATTCATACGAATACCACAGGGCCATGTTTGGTGTACTGGTGATAATCTTTGTCACTCCTTAGATTCGCGATCCTATGGAGTATTGCCAATGGGGTTGATTACGGGGAAAATTGTTGCCGCGAATTCGATGAATGAAGGAATAAGAGGATTTTTCAATTTCCGATGGATAATAAACACCTTCTATGTTGAGGAATGAGCCTACTTAACATCTATAAAAGAAAAACAAAACAAAACAAAACAAAACAAGACAAAACAAGACAAGACAAGACAAGACAAGACAAGACAAGACATAAACTAAAACAAAAGTAAAGGACTTGTACAGAAAGCTATTGTTTTCCCAAAGCGCGATTTCTAGCCAATGCTCTTGATACAGATCGACCAAAGTTTAAGCAAGGAAAACTCAAAATAAATCCGCATAATAAAGTTGTGAATATTGATTGGCCAAGATAGTATTGCACGAAATTGATTTCAAAACCAAGAAGTGACAATAAAAAGCAAATGTTTTGAAGCAATTGACGCGAAGACGTTGTTTTTAATGTTTTGAACATTTCATTCACGCCTATAAAGCCCACCCACGAAGCTATTAATGCCAAAAAAATAACTGATGAAGCAGCAATGAATACAATAGGAACTACTGGATTAACGGTTTTTTCATCTTCTCTAAAGATATGGTGTATTTCAGGCTGAAGGCCAAAATCTAAGTTTTTTTTCGTGTACTTACTTGCGCTTTGCAACTCTGAGGATGGTTTGAGCTCAAGCAATCTTTTCACCAAATTTAGTTCCTTTTTAGAATCAGCTATAGTAAGGCTCAAAACTAGGGTGTTTTTTGACTTTAGTATATCTGGAATTGTAGCAGCGGGAATAACAAGGTCAATACTATTATCCTTAACCACGGGGACAAAGTGGGTCAGGGTAGATGGTTTTTCTGCATCGGCCAAAGTAAACATTATTTGCTCAGGAGTAAGGGTTTTGTCAAGAGCATTGTCTTTTAAATGAATTTTAATGCTATCCTTTGCCGACTCGATAGGCAATACCTTGACTTCCTGAGTGTCTATTTCTCCAAAATGGATGGCTTTGTCATCAATAGATACCGACCCCGTAATTGAGCGAGATGCAAGTGCATGCAAAGCAAATATAGACAATGGTATAACTTTCTTGATATGCATTGTTGAAAAGGCCCCTTGCAAAAAGTTTTACTATTAGTTTTAGATGCTCAGAAGGGAATATGGTAAAAACCTTGAAGTAATTGACGTAGTTAGTTTAACTCTTTTTTTTTTTTTTTTTTTTTTTTTTTTTCTCTCTTCAACATTAGTAAAGGAAAAGAAAAAGAAAAAAGAGGGTGGCTCAATTGAGGATCAAATTCTCTAATTCGTCACCTGGAGGACTAGTTGGGAAAAGATATGATATGATAAAAGTAATTCCACTGACTATGGAGATGATAATGAAGAAAGGTACCAATACGATACCTGTTGTCAAAAAAAATAATACGTAAACTGTTAGTAACCGATGGTTGTAATCTAGTAATCAACCCGCGTGTGAGTTTACCAAGAGTTTCCAACTTACACGTCAAAATGAATATAGTCAATAAGACAAAAATGATTATAACTAATGTTATTGCCGGAACTGCAAACATTGGTGGAAGGCGTGTGAATGGAAACTTTTTAGATTGACATTGAAATGAGGTATTAGTTTACTGTTTATAATGAATCTCTTGCTAGAACACTCTTTGAAATGCACTTGCTTATTTGATTCAATGTGGCAATGTCTAGAGGATCAAAGTGTAGAAAAGGCGGTATTTGGTAAATTTGCAACAAATGATAAATTTGCAACACATTTGATAGAATATGCTGTCGCGACAATATCGAGTGACACCATCGAGCGACACTATCGTCGTTGTGGTAGCTCGTTGTGGTAGCTCGTTGTGGTAGCTCGTTGTGCATCGAGCGAAGCGAGATAGTGTTGTGACAAGCTACTAAGTGTTGCTCTACTATCGAGCGAAGCGAGATAATATCAGTGTACTCCACTATCGAGCAGAGCGAGATTTATCCCTTGGACTCTTTTTGTAAGCTATTATTTACTCTCTCTCTACTCTCTCTATCCACTCTATCTACTCTCTCTATCCACTCTATCTACTCTCTCTATCCACTCTATCTACTCTCTCTATCCACTCTCTCTACTCTCTCTATCCACTCTCTCTACTCTCTCTATCCACTCTCTCTACTCTCTCTATCCACTCTCTCTACTCTCTCTATCCACTCTCTCTACTCTCTCTATCCACTCTCTCTACTCTCTCTATCCACTCTCTCTACTTTCTCTAGACTAACGAGCATAGATTATCTTGCTCTAGTCGATAGTCACTATATATTATTGAAAAGAAATTGGTAACAAATTGAGAAGAAATTAGTATCTTTACTATTATCACTGCTTTGACACTATCTCGCTTCGCTCAATAGTGGAGAAACACTTTTTAGCTAGATACAACACTTACTAGCACTAACCTATAATGATGTAATGATCTAATCAAATTAGATTTGGACGCCGTTTTATTAGTAAATCTAGATCTTACAGCTAATAAAGCCTACACATTATTATTTACTATTGAGCGAAACGAGATAGTGGAGAAACACTTTATTAATGTTCTACTCTCTGCATATTGCTCCACTAGGGAGCGAAGTGAGCTCCACATATTGCTCCACGTATTGCAACACTAGCTCGCTTCGCTCCCTAGTATCGCTCCCTAGTGTCGCTCCCCATTGTCAAACTTTTTTCCCCTCTAATTTTTTCCTCTTTTCTTCAATCTTTATTTTCTTCATTTTGGTTGTAAAAATTAAGCAATTCTTGTTGTCGTAAAAGATGCAATTTCTTACCGCAAAATCATTACTACATGTCAGGGCGATCTTACTTATAGTGGTATCTTACTATATGGCAAGAGAGCCTGAAGAATTGTCTACGGCAGGATTTGTCGTTCTTATGGGTCAAGCTATGCAAGTACCTGTATTACGTCTTAGCTCATCAAATCCTTTACTAAGTTTTGTTTCAATCTTTTTTGCAACAACGGCATTAAGTGATTTAGTGCCGCTTTTGGCTGAGAATTGGAAGCATTTTGAAATCCTAGTTCCGTTTAGGTTATTTGTTTACTTTGCATTGGCTGCATACATCTACTTTGTCCCAACAAGTCTTTTAAGCAATAGTTTGACTATTACTTACCTCATGTTTGAAATCTGGTGCAATTTTCTCATCTATAATAACTTGAGAGATGAGAAATACTACAGAATGAAAAAATTTGTTGAAGAAAATGCCGATGCTATTAAACAAGCCCAGGGTGAGCAAGTGAGAGTAATTGAGGACTAATTGCATATTGACACATTGGGCATAGTGACACATTCTTTATATAAAGTCTTGAATTTGCCAATCGAGGCAATTTCGGATCTCGTCAAAGTCGTTGAACTCGATTTGCAATACATTGACACCGTTGACATTGGTTTGGTAGTCCTCAACAGTATCATATCTTAATACAGTTAGGTGGAGGATCAAATCGACAAATAGCTCGTTGGTGGTGACTACAATCTTGATAATGAGGACATGGGAGCTTGTGTTTTGCAAACTCAAGTCAAATACGGACTTTGGTTTTTCAATTGCTTTTTGAAACGGATTGTTTGATCTTTCCATCAAGTTTACATATTTGGAAAATTTAAATTTGCTTTCTAGATCCTTTTTGTCAATAATAAGCTCTTTTAGAATTTTTCTCATTGTGTTAATAAATAATTCATGCCTCATGTTACCCACAAAAGGACGTAGTATAAGTGGATGCGAATTGCTCTGTTTCCACTTGGTCAAACTTGTGGGCACTTTTTGTTTTAATTTCAAATTATACTGGTAAAAACAAACAAGCATTAGCTTAAAGTATGTCAAAATTAATTGGCATTTTTTGTTATTTGAAAAGGAGGACGAACCTGCACCTTCTGGTAATGGATACGGCTGACGATAGTCGTCCAGTTCTTCCTCATTTACTTCGTCGTAGCGAATGTGCTCAATCTCGATTAATCCTTGATTGTCTATTTCTATGGAGATTTTCTCAGCTGTCGCAATCACATTGTAGCTGATCAATATTTTTGCTTCTCTACTCAATTGGTAAAACAAGTCATCCTCAAATAAGAAAAACCTTGCCTTTTCAATTTCATTGATAATGCCATGAGGCGAGTTTGCATAAGTGTTTTGGAATCTAGATTGACCAATAACCATGTAATCCTCATCAAACTTGGCCAAGATGCGTACCCTGACATATTTGAATTGTTTGGTACTAACCTTACTCCCCGCTGTTGCCAAGGGCACAAATTTGATCTCACCTGTTTGAGTATTTTTACGCAACAAAGCTAGCCCCTTGTCTTGAAAATCTGATCCAGAGTCACCGTATCCATACTTGACCCCAATGGCCCTTGCATTGCTTACGGGATCCCTCATTCGAAATAAAGCCTCATTATTGGAAAGCACCAAATTTATCATGTTCCAGTACCTACGCTCCTTTGACACTTGTTGCTTAAGATCTTCACTAGATTCTCTAAATGATTTTGTTATTTTGGCAAGTGCTTCTGTTTTCCAGCCTTGGCCTACCTTGACACATTTTGCATTGTCTTTTGTTGCCGCCTCGCTTTCTTCAGTGATCAATCTATCGGCATTCAAAGATGATGGTTTAACGAACTTCTGGAGGTGGGACGACATGGTATTCTTGGCCAAGCTAGGTTTCACTGACGATAATAACAACGAGACAAAATCTAAGGCTAGCGAGGTTTCATTAAGGGCACTGCTAACATTCTTGGATAGATCAAGTTTTTGACTATTGAAAATTTCCTGTGTACTTTTAACCACTGTCCCATCTTTGAAATCTTCAATTTCAAGCACCTCATTAGCATTAGCATTAGCATTAGCATCAACATCAACATCAGCATCAACATCAGCATCAACATCAGCATCAACATCAATATCAACATCTCCCTTACTTTCTTGATTGTTTGTACCTAGAAGAGCGACTTTTGAGTTTCCAATTTCATTTTCAAGCGCTTTTTCAGTAATGTTTAAAAAGGACTGACGCTCAATTAGAATTCTCGGTATCAATTCTTTCAATTCGAGATCATCTCTATTCTTTTGAGTTAGATATCATCTCTTTTCTCTTCTTTTTCTTTGAGAAAAGCTGCAAATTAAAAGTGTTCTACATACTCGTCCTGCAAAAAGGGGTCTTTCTTCTTGTCTTCAATAAAATCAAGGTCTATATAGAGTGGTTCATTGCTCATTATAACTGATCTTTGGCTGTAGTGGAGCCAGCCAACTGATATACCTTGTGATTTACTTACTCAACCTTTGTTTTTTTTTTCACTATTTTTCTAGTGTCTATTCTTTTTACTTTAGCGCCGATAAGAGGAGCTCTCTCTCTCTATTTTTCTTTACATTAGGGAGCGACACTATCGAGCAGAGCGAAATAGTGTCGCTGCTAGCCAGTAGTAGCCAAACAGTAACTAGCCAGTGTAAAACATTGTAGCAACTAGTGTTGCTACAATGTTTTGCACCACTATCTCGCTTCGCTCAATAGTGTCGATAGTATTCTCATTCGAATTGGCTTTTATTTTTCTTCTTTAGAATACATAAATTTTCTCTATTTACTTTAATTTACTTAATCCATAAAGTCATCCAAGTCACCATCTTCAATTGCCTTCAACAACTCTACCTCGTCACTAGGCTCAATTTCTTTACTGATATTTTTGTTTTCATTGTCATTTGGAAATCTCATTGATTTCACACTATCGTTGTGTAAACTTAAACAAAACTTGATTCTCTTGTCAAATTCGGCTTGTGGTAACTTTGTAGAATATACATCCAACAACTCTCGGGACTGCATGTAGCCCTTTTGATGATTTATGGTTGCTTCAATAACACCATCCCTAATAGCTTTCGACACTATGTACTCGGTCGCCTCTTCCGAATCTAAATGCAATTTGATACAAATATCTTTTAATGAGATTTTCGAATAGGACAAGGAAATAATCTTGACTCCTGTTTTTATGACATTTTGACGCAACCTTGAAACCAATGTAAAATTGTCATCCTTCTTAAACAAGGACTCGTATTTTTTCAACACGTCTCCAAACAAGTGCAAGTCACCCAACTTGACTGCTTGTGTCACTTTGAAGTAAGGTTCAAAATTGCCAGTCTTATTCTTAAACACTTTAAGCTCAGGAATCTCTCCCATAAGCAAATCAATAACAACGTTCAATTTCGTTGCACTTTGGATAAATCCATTGGCCAGTTGGGTTTGCGGTGCTTTTCTTATTGCAGTAATAACGTATTCATGAGCTGTGGAGTAGTTCAATTGAACAGCATTAATCCGAGCTAGATAGTAGTAGTATCTAGCAACTAATGCATTAGCTGCATTTTCCGGAAATTGCGTCTTTTCAACTAAATTTGATGCCTGCTGTATCTTGTGCGACAACAAGTAGTTCCTAAGTAATAAAGTGATTATCGAAGCAGTTGTCTCAGTATCATGCCTCAAACTAGCCGTCCTCAAGCCATATAACAAATCTGCTCTTATGGAATCTAAATCGCCAACTAATTCTTTTGCCCGACAAATGTAGAACCAAACTTTTGCTTGGATAAAGTCTAATGAACGTCTATTGAATGATTTCATCAACAAAATCAAGTGCGGGCTCAATTCATTCAATTGCTCAACTTTGCCAGTATCCAAAAGATTCACTTGCACCAATAAGTTAATATACAACTCCATGTCTGGGGTACTACTACTGCTGCTATTTTTGTCATTTCCGCTGCCATTTTTTATTTTAATTGCCTCTTTATCATCTAATGGCTTTGCTTGTAAAAGACCAAGAAGATAGTCCTTGGACGGGTTCAGAGCAAAGTATCTGTTTTTCACAACTGTAGGCAAAGCTTGCTCATACAAAACTAATTTTTTCCTCAAGGGGGTGAAGTCCCGCAATACCTTTGAGACGTATCTATTGTCAAAAGAATTCGCAGCCTTGTCCAATAATATAAAAGACTGCTCAATTTCTTCAACGAGACTCCTAGTATTGGCCAAAGTATCTACTGAGCCGCTACTCTCGGCATCCTTCATTTCAACATCCTTTGTTTCCGTCATTTCAGCAATCAAACCCGTGTGGTCCCAACTAATATATACCTCTCTATGGTGGCAATTGTGAAAAAAAAATTTGTATATGTATACAAGTTCAAAGTATCTCATTTGATCATTGTGCACACAGTTTTTTCGACACTATCGACACTAGCGACACTATCGACACTATCGAGCGAAGCGAGATAGTGGAGTAGCACTGACTACATCAACTCTATCAACTCTATCAACTCTATCGACACTATCGAGCGAAGCGAGATAGTGGAGCAGTATGACTACATCAACTCTATCGACTCTATCGACTCTATCGAGCGAAGCGAGATAGTGGAGTAGCACTGACTACATCGACTTTATCGTGAAAAGTGAGATAGTGGAGTACATTGATTAGTTACGACACTATAAAGCAAACTCGTGTGCTTGTGGAACCAAATGGGGTTCCACACAACGGGGGAACCCATTTGACACTATCGAGCAGAGCGAGATAGTGGAGCACACTGATCGATGCAATTGAGTAGAGTGAGATAGCGGAGCACATTGATCGATGCAATCGAGTAGAGCGAGATAGTGGAGCACACTGACCAACACTGACCAACGCAATCGGGTAGAGTGAGATAGTGTCGCTCGAGTGTCGTGACTAGTCATTGTGCTCCACTATCTCGCTTTGTTCGATAGTGTCGCTCGAGTGGTTTCTGATACACTGTTATTCCTCTTCCATCTATTATTGTTTGTTCATCTATTTTTCCTCAACAAATAACCGATTTTTCACCCTTGCCTACAGAGGTCCGAAAAATATAAATCAGCCAACTTTTACCCCATTTTACCTGTTTTCTTTGCTTTTTATACCTGTTTTCTTTGCTCTTTATACTTGCAATTGCCTTTTTCCCTTATTCAAAGAAATGTCCGTGTTAAAATTACCACTTCCAGCTGTTCCTCAGCCACCTCAATTGATCCCTGTTCTCACTTTTAATCTCCAGTTGAGTCCAGACCCCGTGCGTATTTTCACAAATTCTCAGATAGACAAGACTTTGAACTTGGCTACTGTTGTGAATGGAGAAATCAAAGCAGTTGAGAATAAATTTGGTTATAAATTAGATATCAATCAAATTTACGGCACTGATGATTTGAACGTTAAGGATTCTATTGGAGCAGCAAACTTGGATTGCAAGTTGTATGGTAAAACACCTAATGGTTCGGGAGTTTTTATTTATTACGGAGGAAAAGTGCAATTGGACGAAGCTTCTGTTGGTGTCATGAGCAAACGTACAAAGGAAGCTTCTATTGAAGAAAGTTATGTCACTTGCAACCCAACTTTCACTTTTGACGATAAGGTGGAAGAAGAATATAAATGGGTCTTGAAAGAAAATCTTTTTGGCAGGGGAAGATTTGCTAGGGACGATGAGGGCGCTCTTTATGTCCAGTATTATATCTACGTGGTCCGCTAATCAAATACGCGACGCTATCGAGCAGAGCGAGACAGTGCAGCAGCATTGACTCCGATAGTCTCGCTTTGCTCGATAGTGGAGCACATTGATTAGTGACGTTATTGAGACACCCTCTCTAAAACGGTCCCCAACAACAACATACACAAAGGGTAGGTTTGGTTTTGTTTTCTTTATCTTTTCTTTCCTTACTATTAAATCATTAACTATAAAAAAAATGGAAATAAAAAAATATTGAACTTATAGCAAAGAAGGCGTCTTTTTCCTCTTCCTTCTCTTTCACAGATGTACATTGCTTTTCCTCTTCCTTCTCTTTCACAGATGTACTTTCTTTCTATTCTTCCAATGGCACACTCCTTTTCCTATTTTTTTTTCTTCTTAACAACATGAACTAGACTGGTTTGAGGTCAACGATTCTCCTCTTAAATTGACATTACTCTTGCCCTTGTTTCCGCCAGCATTGCCCACATTTGCATTATTTGTCATTTGTGCTTTAATCTGTCTTGCCATTGTATAGAAAGCTTGCTCAACGTTTGTAGAACTCAATGCCGACGTTTCTAAAAAGGGAATGTCTAATGCATCGGCAAATTCCTTTGCTGCGGTATACTCAACAATCTTCTTATCAGCCAAATCAGCCTTGTTTCCAACCAATAGTTTCATTACACCGCCAGTAGCATAACGATCGATTTCCTGTAACCACTGTTTCACATTATTGAAACTTTCTTGATCGGTAACATCGTATACAATAATGATACCATGTGCACCACGGTAATATGAAGAAGTGATTGTTCTAAAACGCTCTTGACCTGCAGTATCCCAGATCTGTAATTTGATTGTCTTGCCATCTAACTCTATAGTTCTGATTTTGAAATCGACTCCGATTGTTGAGATATAGTCAGGTGTATATGTGTCGTCAGCAAATCTCAATAACAAACACGATTTCCCAACACCTGAATCTCCGATTAATAATAACTTGAACAAATAGTCGTACTCGTTATTCATGATAAATTAAGCCTATTTAATGGGGGTGGGGGGGGGGCGTAGGGCAAAACAATAATAAATAAATCCTTCTTTATGGAAATAGAAAACTGAGAGTGAAATTGCCGTTGTCAATAAAAAAAAAAAAGGAGCCAAAAGAAAAAAATTAATTTTTATGCGTAGGCTCTCTCTGATGGGGCCTTATGAGTTTGTTAGCTTAATAGTGTTAAAGTAGTGTTTGATTTAGTAATGCTTACAATAGTGCTCAATAGTGGTTTCAGAGTTTGTGTAACAGTGTCAGCGTATATATCAACGTGAGTGATCAAAGAAGCGATAAAAATTAATCAGTCACACAGTCTACAGTACACAGTACACGAGTTTTAGTTGTTAATTAAAAAACCTTTAAAAGAACTCAATAGGTAACCTTCAAGTAATCAAGTTTCTTTATAGTCTCAATTTTCTTTTTTGTCTTGTGTGTCACGCAGCGATACTATCGATACTACACTATGGAGCAGAGCGAGATAGTGGAGCAATACATTGTACCTTGTTCCGTCTCAATGTCTCCTGCGCGACATATAATAGGTAGCGGTAGCTAATAGATAAAACGACAACTGGATATAACACTAATAATAGGAATAGTAAAACAGACTACACTAACTACACTAGAATATATTTTTCTTTTCTTATATAAAAGAAGCTTGTCATTTGTTCCTATATAATGCTAATGCTTCTCTAGTATTCCGAATTGTAGCCAACTGAGTAAATCATATTACTAGTAGTAGGATAACACAACAATAGGAATAATAGGATAACACACCACTAATAGGAATAATAGGATAACACACCACTAATAGGAATAATAGGATAACACACCACTAATAGGAATAATAGGATAACACACCACTAATAGGAATAATAGGATAACACACCACTAATAGGAATAATAGGATAACACACCACTAGTAGGAATAATAGGATAACAGGTTACACTAGGGAATATATAAAAGAAAAGCTTGTCATTTGTTCCTAAATAATGTTCTGTATAATGCTCCTATATAATGTTTCTCTAGTATCTTCCAAATTGCAGCCAGCTGAATATGACCATTCTAATAAACCAATTTATCCATTCTAATAAATCAATTTATCCATTCTGATAAACGAATTTATCCAGTTATTACTAGCTGTCGCCAGTCCATGTTGCACTAGTCAATGTTCCACTATCTCGCTATGCACGATAGTGTCGCTGTCGCTAGCCAATGTTCCACTATCTCGCTATGCACGATAGTGTCGCTGTCGCTAGCCAATGTTTCGTTATCTCGCTATGCACGATAGTGTCTCTGTCGCTAGCCAATGTTTCATTATCTCGCTATGCACGAGAGTGTTGCTGTCGCTAGCCAATGTTTCGTTATCTCGCTATGCACGATAGTGTCTCTGTCGCTAGCCAATGTTTCATTATCTCGCTATGCACGAGAGTGTTGCTGTCGCTAGCCAATGTTTCATTATCTCGCTATGCACGAGAGTGTTGCTGTCGCTAGCCAATGTTTCATTATCTCGCTATGCACGATAGTGTCTCTGTCGCTAGCCAATGTTTCATTATCTCGCTATGCACGAGAGTGTTGCTGTCGCTAGCCAATGTTACACTATCTCGCTATGCACGAGAGTGTTGCTGTCGCTAGCCAATGTTACACTATCTCGCTTTGCTCGATAGTGTTGCTGTTGCTTATTCTATTTTTTCCGCCTCCTTTGCAGCTTGTCTCGTAGATTTGCCTCCAGAGGCCTTTTTCATCGCTATTCTCACCATCTTATAAAACCAAAATAAATTCAACATATTCAAAAAAAGATTCATCGACAATATCGTGAGTGGAATGAGCTTATTTACACGGTCCAATGAGGCTAACATATCAACAGCCATCTGACTAACGGCATAAAATCCCCACACAATTCGAGCAGCAAAAAATACAAACATCAATAATAATCCATTGATGACTATATATTTCTCACTAAATGTCCCTGCTGGTAAATGAGAAGCAAACCAATTGATGTTGACAAATGGCGTACTCAACTCAAAAGTCAAAAACGCTCCGGCCCATGGTTGGCAGTACGGAATAAAGCCACAAGTAAACGCAAACATAGCAGCAACTGCGTGAAATAAAAACCCAATACCAAACAAATGGAAATGCTTAACGCATACGAAAAAGTCCCATACAAAGTAACCCGTAGTCACGGCACACGTCATTGAACCAAAAGGAGTTGAGCCCAACAACGAGCCAATAGGGTCGTTTTTTCTATTTTGCCAATGCGGATTATTAAGATGCACCAAAAGCAAAGCTATTGATATATAGCATTGAACCATCGAAGTAACGTGAACATCAAAGTTGATTTGAACCTTTTTCGGCAAATTCGTATAGCGATGTCCCAAAATAGACGAAAACACAGGTTTGCAAAGTTGCTGAACTGTTAGATAAAAGACAAATGATGCCGCGATTTCGTGCCAGTGAGCCACAAATAGGTTCGAGGCTACTTTTGGGAAAGGCCGATATTTTTCAAAAGGATCCAAAATAACCGTTGGAAAAAAAGCTGACATCTTTACAAGCAACTAAGCTGATATCTTTTACAAGCAACTAAGCTGATATCTTTTACAAGCAACTAAGCTGATATCTTTTACAAGCAACTAAGCTGATATCTTTTACAAGCAACTAAGCTGATATCTTTTACAAGCAACTAAGCTGATATCTTTTCCAGGTGGGGTTTTGAAAAAAGCTACTTATTTGAGAAAGGCTTTGTCTTTTATATACTACAATCTTAATATTTGATCTCGTCTACAATGGGGGGGGGGTGGGGGAGTAATGCAAAACTTATTCTTACCAACAAAAAAAAAGATTAAAAGTAAGACAAAAAAAAATAAAGAGTAGTCGGACAGAAGATGTTCCCTTCCGAAGCCGATGCCGAGATGGAGTCAAAGAAGCAACAAAAATAACAAAAGAACCAAATAGCGAGGTATAAGAAAGACTAAAAACTTGACATGTTGAAAATGCAAATTGCTCATGTACAACTAAAAAAAAATCGTTTTGCTTTGCGTGTTGAGTCCCCAACAACAATAAAGTTGTTGAATGATGTTATACGAGGAATAAAAAACTCTGTTGTCCTTGTTATGTTAAAATCTTTACTATGAAAAAACTATGAAATAGGTTTACTATGAAAAAAGTTTACTATGCGAAATCTTTACTATGAAATCTTTACTATGAAAAATATTTACCATGCGAAAGCGTTTATGCGAAATCTTTACTATAAGACGTTTTACTATGAAAATTTTACTATGAGAGCTCTTTACTAGAAGACGTTTTTTTTACTATGAGAGCTCTTTACTATGAGAACTTTACTATGAGAACTTTACTATGAGAACTCTTTACTATGAGACGTTTTTACTATGAGAACTCTTTATTATGAGACGTTTTTTTTACTATGAAAACTCTTTACTATTAGAACTCTTAACGCTGCTCCACTATCTCGCTTCGCTCGATAGTGTCGATAGTGTCGATAGTGTCGTACTGTGAACCACTGTCGGCGTAGTCAACGCTGCTCCACTATCTCGCTTCGCTCGATAGTGTCGATAGTGTCGATGTCGCGAGCCCAACAGAAAAAAAAATTGCAATCTACTAAACCAATATATGAAACAAGTTGAATAAGGTACGAAAAATGCAAAAGTTATCGAGAATTTCGTTTCCTTACAAGGAGTCCATAGAGTCTCAAGTGCGATTAAACAAGTTTGTTTTAACAAACAAACAGGATACAGAGAGGACGGTTTTCATTTTGGGCGCCGAGGACCGGTTTGCTTATTCTTGTTCTAGGGTGAAAACAGATAATGTTCAAAAAAGTATAAATGAACCATTTTCATATATTGAAAATCAATGTGAACAAGAGAAAAACGAGTACCCCTTATTGACAAAAGTTGGCGCTAGTTTTGACAAAATAAAGTTGCATGTGTCGATCAAACCGTTGGGCAAATTCGATAAGCGTTCATTGTTGATTGTCAAATCGAAAAATATCGATGATTTATTAAAGTCTAAGGACCTGTATATTACTCAAGCCACTGAAGCAAAAGCAAATATCTCCAAAATAGAGTATAAGAACTTGCCAATTGAAGAGCAGGAGAGTGAGTTTCAAAAACTAATAATCAACGACTCGTTTGATACAAGCGTGCTAAATGATACCAGAGTGGTGGTCTCCTTGTGGGAACACAATCTGCAAACCAATCAATATACATATTTCTTTCATCTAAGTGTTTGGATCGATAAGCTTGAAATTGAAAATACTAAATTGCAAAGTCATCAAACCCGTGTGCACCACCACCACACTTGTCACGAAAGTGTGGATGAAGTGACGAAATGCTTCAGTTTGGGAGATTTTAGAAAAGAGTTTCAATTCAATATTGAAGACGGACCTCAATTTAGGAAAGCTTTGACAAACTTGGAAAATGCCATTCCCATTGCAAACAAGGTATACATGGCACTAATAGATGACTTTAAGATTTTGGAATCCAACGTTCGGCGAATATCCACTGCGAAAGCAAGGATTCTAGAAGGAATAAACCAATTGATGGACCTAGAATCTAGAAATCTTTTACAGGAGTTTGGTTTCAAAAAAGCATTTCACAAGTCTTTTATCGCATTGTTTGATTCTTTTGAAAAGAATATCAACTTTTTTTTGGATAACGTTTGTGACCACAAATTCTTGACCAAAATCCTCAACAGCATCCTACCACACCAAGTTGATAATTCAAACCAATCAGTGCTATTGCAAATGAAAAAGCAATTTGAAGGAGATTCTAAGGAGTATTATTCATGGATGAACAAGTACCTTTCAAACGATAAAGAGCGACCCGAGTCCAAACTTCTTGCTAAACGGAAAGTTTTCGAATTGTCAAAGTTTGATTACTTGAACCAATTGAGTAAAATAACCAATAGCCAATACGTCAATGAGCTATGCGAAAAACTATTCAAATTCATTAATTTAGGGTATACTAAAGAAAACCCAAGGCTCTTGGATACAAAGAGGTTCCTCAACAAGAATCTGAATCATGTTCTAATAGATGATAACTATCAAATTTACTTGCACGTTTTGACCAAATTTAATAGTGAAAAGTACCAATTTCGACAAATGATTGAAGCATGTCAAACCAATGATGAACTAACTAACTTAATCCGTTACAATCGGTTAAATCATGTGAGACAAGTAGGTGGACAGCAGCAGCAGCAGCAACAACAACAACCAGGTAATCAACCAATGAGCCCTATTTTGAATGAGGGTACGACCGATGAGTTTATAATCACAAGGGAGAATTTTGACCTCATATTCTCTGATAGCAAACCCCCGAACGATCACATCAATTCCTTCCAGGGTGATACTTCCGAAATTTCCGGTATTCTATTTACTCTTGGCGGGCAAAAGAAGCAAGGTTGGCATAAGGAATGGGTGGTGTTGAAAAAAGGACAGCTTATTGAGTATGCCGATTGGAGGAAAGGTAAAACGCCCATAAATAAACCAATTGAAATAGCTTTATCCAGTGTCAAGGCTCTCTCACATGAGAAGAGACAGCATTGTTTTGAGATATTGACATCTGACGGACATAAGCACGTTTTTCAAGCTTTTGGCAGTGATGACAGGAAAAAATGGGTTAAGGCATTGTACAATGCCGGTCAATTGGTTAATACAGAAAGATTGCAACACAGTTTTGGTCAAGCCACCACTACCAGCAAACCAGCCAAGAAACACCCGGGAAGAATAATTACCGACTTTGGAAACAGGCCTTTCATTCCAGGGCAATCTAGTGATAGAGCCATTTCTCCTGTGTCTATAACATCCAAAATACCGGTGGAGAAGGACTACTTGAATTTGGTGCGTACGATTCCCAATAGTGATAACAACATATGTGTTGACTGTAGTCTGATGGAGCTGGTGGAATGGATAGCTATCAACTCATTAACGTGTTTGTGCATCAATTGTGCATCTTGTCACAGAAGTATGGGTTCTCACATTACGAAAATAAGGTCGTTGAAGTTGGACAAATTTGAAAATGAAATGGAATTGCTTTTGCGGTATGTGAACAATCGTGAAGTGAATGCGTGCTTAGAAGCAACGATGCCAAGAACGGAAAAGATTCATCCTAATGTGAGCAATGAAGTAAGGTTGGCATATATCAAGGACAAATATTGTGCTAAAAAATACGTATCGCCTGTGCCTGGTGTTGAAAGTGAATTGGTCAAAGCTATACAAAAGATCAATATTAGCGATGTTCTTAAATACATTTTGAGTGGCGCTGATGTGGGGATCGACATACAAGTAAGTCTTCCAAATAGCAACGAAACCGAAGTTATCAGCCTATTTGAATACTCTTTGAGAAAGTACATTGAGGTTGAACTTGAAGGAAACGATTCAAAGAATAGAAAATATTTTGTCATATCGGAACTACTTATTTTGAATGAGTGTCAAAATGTTGGAGACATTGCAAACGTGGGAAAAGAAGATCGGAAATTGGTCCTATCAAAAGAAGCCGTGGAATACTGGAAAACGAAACTCTTAACAAAGTAAAGTAAAGTAAGGTAGAGTAATAAAAAAAAAATAAAAAAAAAAAAGAAGAAGACTAAGTAAAAAAATAGAAGGTTGCAATTTTCGTTACCTTTTTTGGTACAATCATTTTTTCATTGTTGCAAAAAAAAAAAAAAAAAAAAATGGCTGCGAAATATTTATTTTTTTTTTGCTTTTCTTCTTTGTGGTTGAGGAGGTATGGTGATATGTGAAAAAATGGGCTATTAAAAGGAACCAAAAAAAAAACATAGAATGGGACTCTTTTATTTACATAACTTAATTTCTTTCTTTAGTTTTGCAAAACAAGCCTTCTCTTGTTTTGAGGTATGGTGAAAGAGCCGAGACAACTTTCCAAGATTTTGAATGATCGAGGAGCAAATAAAGCTCAAGATCAAATTCCGTCTCCTCAATCACCTTTTAAGTATGGTAATTTAAAGTGCATTGGACGGGGAAATTTTGGAGACGTATATAAGGCTAGTGACTTGACATCCAAATCGAAACAATTAGTGGCTATCAAAGTGACGAATTTAGATGACTCATCAGATGATATACAACAGATTATCAATGAAATCCAGTTTTTGTCAAAATTGAGACACGTTAATATAATTCGGTATATTGAGAGTTTTGCACAAAATTACAACATGTTTATTGTAATGGACTATTGCGGCGGGGGTTCCTGTTCTGATTTATTGAAATATCATAAGAAATTAAAAGATCATATAGTGAGCTACATTATTAAAGGTGTATTACAAGGATTAAGTTATTTGCATGGGCAGCAAACTGTGCATCGTGATGTCAAGGCTGCAAATATCTTGTTGACCGAGAATGGAATTATTAAATTAGCCGATTTTGGGGTTAGCACTGAGCTAACAATGACCAAGAGGAAGAAACACACATTTGTTGGCACTCCATTTTGGATGGCACCAGAAGTTATAACTAGAGGTGCATCTTATGGGAGAGTGAAAAAAAACGAAGGCTACGATTACAAAGCTGATATCTGGTCCATGGGGATTACGACAATCGAGCTAATCAATGGAGCACCTCCACTAGCAGAGCATGACCCATTAAAGATTTTGTTTGAAATTCCCAAGAAGAAACCGCCGATTTTAAAGGGTTCCCAATATAGCGAGAATATCAAGGATTTTGTTAAATATTGCTTGATAATGGAGGCGGACAAGAGACCATCTTGCTCTACTTTATTGCGTCACTATTTCATTACCAAACAGACTCATCCTGATGTACAAGCAGAATTGGTGGAGTTGATTGCTAGCAAGAATGCTTACTTCAACACTAAAGTCTACTCCAAGCCCAGGCGCAAATTGAACTGTGACGAGATCGATAGCGTTAAGGATACTTCGGAGAAATCTGCAGCTTATCCTAGCAGTGTGTATCCAATAGAGTGGGAATTCACTCCAACGATGGGCAAGCAAAGATGTGAGAGCGGCGATATATCCCCCATTTCCGAGCTGCTTGAAACAGATGAAGGTGGTGGTAATAAAGAGAATAGAGAATTAAATCACAAAACGATCAACAACATTCCCAATTCCGAAATGGGCAAAAGAACACCATTAGAGTTGATTGACCTTCATGCGGTAGTCAAAACCGATAACAAGAGTACAATACTATTTCATTGTCTAGAAAAAGTTCTTCGAAGAGGGAGAGATAACGAAACTAAAAAGGGGGTGGAGAATTTGATTGATATGATCTATGATTGTGAGCAAAAGCACCCAGGTTTATGTCATGCTTTAGTTGAGGAAATTGAGAGGGCAATTTGTAGATGATGTAGGTTTTTCCTTCTTTTTCTTTTGCAATATGGTAACAAATACATATAAACTATCTTTTTGACCAACAAAAAAATTATCAGTAGAGTCATATGTACTGTACTGATAATTTTTACAAGTCATATATGGTGTACTAACAATTTATTCAAGGCATATCTACTGTACTAACAAATTTTTTTTTTCAAGTCATATGTGCTAGGTGCTCTCATCTTTTTACAAAAAGAGCCGATGTTTCCAAGAAGCGTATAGGTTCTACACTACAAAGGGGTAACAACTTCTTATACTCCCATCTCTAACCTTATTGTTCTTTTTGTTTTTGGCATTTTTCATTATAAACGCGAAATTGAAAAATTCAACACAAGTCGTGTTTTGTGTAATTACCAGATTGATATTCCAATGATAGGGTTAATAGGATCGGATTAATATTAACGAGGTTTTAAAAAGTACCCATTTCTTTATCATCTTGACCAATTTCAATACCATATCCTGAAGGCATTTTGATAAAGGGGTCTTGATATTTAATGGTGCATTCCTTGATATTATTTGCATCCAAATCCCAACTTTTTGTTTCTATTTAGAAAGTTTATTTTCCAATCCATATAGGAGTCTATTTTTCATGTCGGACTTTCCTTCATTGAACGTACCTCCAGAGACGCCTCGAGGTCGAAGTTACAATATCAATAATGCTAACCATAGTGTGAATAGGCTTGCTACTCCCTCGTTTTCCTTTGGTCTCAGCTTTTCGCCTGCTTTCAATTTCAATTCACCTTCTACTTTTTCACCGAGAAGGTTTCTTCAGTTACCCTCAAATCAAAAAGCTAGCACTACAAAATTGTCAACGTCACTTGCGCCATCTAGAGATCATAATCAGTTTTTTGAGTCCCTAACCAGCGCGTCTTCAAAGTCAAAGTCGAGTAATAACAGCCACAGTGACGATACTATTGAAACTAGTGAAAATAAAAACAGTCACGAGGCAAACAAAGATGAAAATAATGATGATGATGATGAAGAAGAAGAAGATGTTTGGTCATCCTTGAACAACACCACCCTGCAAAATGAAACCAATTTGACGTCTATTTGTGACAATGATAAGGAGAAAATTCAACTTAATGTGAAGAAAGAAAAATTTGACGAGTTTTTGACCCCCAATAAGCTCTTCTCATTGAACTCAAAAATAAAAAAGTCTCCCCAGAAGCTTGCTACTGCAGCAGAAATTTCGCCAAAACTCGTCCATTCTGGAGAGCCTTGTGATGAAGCTCCTAGCAACAGCAACAACAGCAACAGCAACAACAAAAACAACAAAAGGAAATTCTCTAGTATAACTGACACACCAAATAATGCTGTTGCGTCAAAAATTAGCAAGAGTATGGATTCGCCTGTTACTTTTAGAGAACCAAGTATTGCAATTTCTGATTCTGCTTCCTCTTCAATGGCCAATGAAGATAAAGTGTGGAACCAGGAATTGGACGAAGTGTTGATAAAGGCACTCTATAAATACAAAAAATTTAGAGACGATATGGATTCCGATCAAGCCTCAGTATTGAAGAAAACGTCACAAAACAAGGTAATATCAAGAATGATATTTAACAAAACAGGAATACTTAGATCAGCAAAACAAATATCGTCTCGTATTTTTCGATTAAGTAAAACAGGGAAATTGATAAAGGACGGCAAAACACTAAAGAGCGCGAGATCGTTGAGTGAAGCTGGTGATACCCCCACCACCGCCATACTTACACCACTGGTGGAGAGCAACTTCTATATAACAGCTACTGAATCTCAACGTCGAAATGCCCTAATTGATGAAGAGTTGGATGTCTTATTGTCCTCGCCGCCATTGGAGGACATCTTTGAAGAACGTGTTACTTACAGGCTAGAATTGTCCAAGTTCAAAATACTGTACGAAACACAAGGTAACGTAACTATTTTCACCGAGTTTAAGCCAAACAAGGATATTGAAAAAAGAAATAGTTATCTAGAAAAACATGACAGTCCAGTACTCGACGACTTTGTTATCGAAAATGACATTCCCTTTTGGACACTTCATCATGATTTAAACTTGCGTAGCAATCAAATAATCACTTCAACACCAATGTCTCCAATTTCCCCAGCTATGCCGGCACAGAGATTCAATTTTTCTCAGGGACAATTTGAGTCGATTATGGCAATTGATGTTTGTTGCGAGGAAAATCATTCTCGTCCGATGCTCAATTGGTGTAGCTCAATTGTAGTTTACAAGAACGACGAAAAATTATTCAGCCTTGTGGATCTCATTAATGGATACTCCAAAAAAGGGGATTCAAACTCTTATCACTTGCAAATCCCATTCATCAAATCATTCTTTGCTGGGTTCTTCAACTATCTTTTAAATGGTTCTGCTATTACCCCCCAGGATAACCTCAAAATTATACAAATTATTTACAACAACAGTGAAGCTGGTAACACCACTTTAGATTTGAAAGAATCGCATATTCACGCCTATTTGATTCACAAGTTTGATGTAATGGGGACACATGGAATAACAACTGTAACAATGAATAAACGCATGTTAAAAAGGAACAACTCGATGAACAAAGATGACAACGAGACTGTGGTGGCAGAATCCTCTCCGTATAAGTCTCCAGCCTCACTGAATGATGATGTCTCCGTGCATAATTTCGAAGGTGGTGGTAAAAGGCTTAGAATCGATATTAGTCGCGCTAATTTTAACATGGGCATTCCTGCGGGTCCAATGACTGCTCCCGTTGGCATTTCAGAATTATCAAACTACCCAGATTCAATGAGTTTGGACGACTTTCAAAAATTCAAATCTTTAAATTTTGCACTGTTGAGCGGACTGGGGCCACAACAAATGCAGAATGATGTTCTCACACAACAACCACAACAACAACAACAACAACAACAACAACAACAACAACCAGAGCCACAACAACAACAACAACCAGAGCCACAACAACTACAACAACTACAACCACCAAGTGATGTGCGTCTCTCCAATTCGTCAGTTGCAAATTTGGACCTCACAACACATTTAATTGCACAGCAGCAGCATTTTGTTATGACTCAAAAGCAACTTGAAGTAAAAATGCAGATGCAAATGCAAAACCTCCCAACTATTTTGCAGCAACAGCAACAGCAAAATTTCCCAATTCAATCGCAATATTTTCCAACGTGCTATCCGGAACGGGCTCCATCTGTACAGCCATTCGTCAGCGGCCCATTACCGCCTAGTTATCGACCTATTAACGAACAGTATATACAATATACTCAACCGCTACTTGCATCGCAACACAATCTTCAGCCTCAATTTTCTCTTCAAAATGCCCAGGTTTCCTTTGTTCAAATACAAAACCCTCATTTTGCTCCCTTACAAGAGCAACAACAACAACAACAACAGCAACAGCAGCAACAACAGCAACAACAACAGCAGCAACAGCAACAAGTACATGCCCATACGCATATGCATTCACAGGATAACACTGTGCATCTGCAGCATAACATGGCCTCGGTTCCTGCAAAGCCAAGGGAACTTACATTTTGTCCAATAATAGGTTACGACCCATCAAAGGATGTAAAGAAAATTCATGGAAAAACCAGTAAACCAACTAATGGCGTCCATCGTTTTCCAATCAATTCGCCAGTGATGTACAAGCCTAAAAAGTGATGTACCTAAAAAGTGATGTGGTTTGATTTACAAGCCCAAAGCTATAAAGCACAAAGCTATAAAGCCCAAACCTATGAAGCTCAAAGCTATGACAGCCAACAATAAGTCAATTTAGCAGTCAGTGTGCTCCACTATCTCGCTCAGCTCGATAGTGTCGGTACCAGTTTGCACTTTTTTTAATATGACCAAAACTTTAATTCTTCTTTATCGTATATCTGGAGTGTACAATTCTTGGTTCTTGAACCAATTTAGAACTTGAAATTTGAGATAATGTGTGTATTCACGTAAAATTGTATCATATCTTTACCATGTAATTGGGCTTTTCAACTACTTCTCCTGTCTCTTTCTTCTTTTCTTCCTTTGGCTGCGAAATAAATGAACATATACGAGCCTTGTCTGAAACAGGGAACTAATGCGGCTGGTTGAAAAACTATTGCTTTTGCGAAAACTTGGCTTTGAACGCAACTTTGTAAAGAAGACAACCGGGGTTTAAACTTTTCAATTTTGAGGAAAGAGCCTTGAAGTAGGAAGCTGAGAAGAAGGACTTGGGAAGCTGCGTATTTAAAAGGTATGTCGCTGCAATCTGAAGCTTGTGGGAAAACTTTTGACGCCTCCAAGATGCGAGAAAATGGTCGAATTGGCGTGAGCTCTCGTACGAGTGGTAATTTACCAGACGCTATGGAAAATTCTTTTACATCGAGTACAGGGACACAAGAATTGCTGGTAATGTTAGAACTGCTGCAGCGGCAGCAGCTCAATGAAGCGCAAACGCGAATAAAGTCGCAAGACGTGCAAACCCAACGGGTAAAATCACAGCAAAATAGACGGTCAGTTGGTCAATTCAAATTGATATCCGTGACATTTAAGGAAGCCGCACTAGACAGCCCCAGTTTTCGAGCGACTGTAAATCATATGGACTGTCAAGTAAACAATATTGAGCAATGGCTTTTGGCGTTGAGCTCGTCTATCAAGAAGATCCCTAGATACGTTAAGGAAATGGATACATTTTGCAACTCATTCTTGGAACATCTTGCGCCCGGTTTCTTACAGGATGGAATGATCGACCAAGAGTACACAGTGCAAGCTTTACATATAACTATGGATGGTTTGAAAATACTTTGGAACCAAAGCTTATCTGTTTTAAGAGTAAATCCTCAAATTTTAAACCACATGAGTGAATTCAGGAGCACTCAGGTTGCTAGGTATAGAGATTTGAGAAAAAAATATGAATCATGTCAAAGAAAATACGACAAGTACCTAAGTATCTTTGTCAGTACATCCAAATCGAAAGATGCTACGATGGTAGTTGAAGATGCTCAACAACTACAACAAGTACGGAAGGAGTATGTACAAGTGAGTCTTGATTTGGTCGTTGAATTGCAAAACATTGCTAGCAAGTTGGATAAGCTTCTCGTTGCATTAAATAGCACATTCTGGGAAAGAATACGTGACAAGATCAATGGAGATGGTTGTTCCGATGAATTAGAAGAGCAATATGTAAAAATTCAGCTGGTGCAAGCATGGTGTGACTCATACTCGGAGGCAACCAAAACTTTAAATAATGACATGTTACTGGCACGGAAACAAGTAGAAGAAGGAGCTAATTTACAGTTTCAACCTTCATTGGATCCTCAGGATTATGTATCGAGCAACATAAACTATAGATTCTTGAGTGAGATTGATGAATCCGGTATTGAAAAACACGGATATTTATTTATGAAAACATGGGTTGAAAAATCGTCAAAGCCAAAGTGGGTGCCCAGATGGTGCTTTATTAAAGATGGGGTGTTTGGGATGTTATTGTTGAGTCCTTCTGAGACATTTGTTCAAGAAAGTGACAAGATTGGGATTTTGTTATGTAACGTGAAATATTCTTCTAATGAAGATCGAAGATTCTGTTTTGAGATTAAGACAAGTGAGTTGACCATAACTTTACAAGCAGAGTCATTGATAGAACTTAAATCTTGGTTGAAAGTATTTGAGAATGAAAGAGAAAGAGTTACGGCAACGGACCCCGATGACAATTTGTTTCGAGTTGCATCTAACAGATTCCCACCAATATTATCGGAGTTTGCGTCAACTGTAGATACTACAATGGATCGTGAACTTTCGAATTTGAAAATAATTAACTCGGTTGGGCAAACAATCTCTTCTAGCTCACTATCTAGATACATTGAAAAATATGAAAAGTTTCATGAGCGACACATGTATTATCAAATTCCCAGGCTCCATCCACCCATAATGACAGACACAACAAAATCCGCCATGATTGCTTATAGCTGTATAGCTCCCACTGTGCTCCCCACGGCACTTACTGCAAATATTTGGGGGTCTGTAAACTGGGGGCTTTATTATTTGTATGACTCGGAAAAGAAGCAACCTGTGTTTGCGAAACGAGCTGTGCTTGATCAGGAAATGGTCCAGTTTCAAGATAAACATTTAGGTAAAGACGTTTCGTATCCTGATTTTTATCCCAAGAATCTCATTAATTTAGACATCCAAATGCGTGCCTTGTTTGAGAAAATCCTTCAACCGGGAGAATATTGTGTGATGTCATTTAGTTGTATATGGACACCAAACTCCAGACAAGAACTCTCTGGCAGATGTTTTGTAACGATGGCACATGCATATTTCTATAACCAAGCGCTCGGGTTTGTAGCTTTAAACAAGGAATTTGTTAGGAGATTGGTATCAATAGATTGCAATATTCAAAAAAATTACTACATCCTAAAAATCTACGATGTTGATGGTGTAATTAAATTGAAATTGTTCTCCACAGATGGTAAATTGGTTAAAAGAAAATTGACATATTTAATTGAGTGCAATGCTCGCGATAATCCTAGTAGCTTGCAGGAAGTCTTTTCTGCTTTCAGCAAGATTGAGGATGAAGTGGAAACGGAGGAAAGGGACCAAAAATTACTCAAAAAGATCAACGATTTAAACAATCAGTTATCAAGCAAGAGATTGATTAATAATAAATTCGCTTTTAATACAGATGTATCTTCCATTGTTCCTAACTCGAACACTGTTGGAACAGCTCGTAGAGTCGAGTTCACTCAAGAATATGATCTTTTAAGTGAAAAAGTATATAACATACCACCAAAAGCTGTCTTCCATGCCTTCCTTGGTGATGACTCGGCCGTATTCAAAGATAGAAGTGCTATAACCAAACTTGGTTTCTATGTGAGAAAGCCTTGGCGAAATAATGAACTCACTGGTCATTTATATAGACAAGCTAACATTCCAATTCTTTATACGGGTGAAAAAAAGCAGCTACACTTTGAGCAAGAAATTGAAATAATGGATGACAATTCGTATTATACGTTTACACATGGCATTTCAGATGTGCAATTTTTTGTTGGTTCTCCTTTCAAGATTATTCAAAGGTTTGTAATTGTTGCAATTTCAGGAAAGAGGACCAAAGTCTTTTATTATGCTCAAGTACGTTTTCAGCGGCATTCACTTTTGAATCCATTGATTAGGCTAATCATTCGTAGGATTAATGTCGATCGGTTCTATAGGATTCATCAGAATTTAAAAGATGCAGTGAAAGCAGTAGGACATCATGGTATGATTGTTAAAGCAATTTACTTATACGGCAAATTAAGTCATACAACTAAGGATGAAGAGGTTGAGCCAATTCCTTTGATGAAAATTGGGTTCCTTTATTGTGTGCAGTTATTATTTAGAAAGGTAAAGTACACATCAAGAGCCTTTATCAACTGGTTAGTTGTTTGTTTTGTTCAATCTATAAAGTTTGCTATCAAATTGATCAGTGTCAACTACGTTTTCATAATGGCAATTATAGGCTTGCTGTTATTAAACGTGATGCTTGTTGGAAAGTCATCGATCAATTATTGGACTGCGCAAAAAGCAAGTAACTTGATTACAGATTATATCTCCAAAAATTCCATGATGTTACAAAGAGCAGTTTATTCCAAGGATATACAGGATTTTATATCGACATCAATAACAACAAGAAACAGTTCAAAGCCAAACAAGTCATTCAATATTTTCAAGAAAAGTTCATTTTTGTATAACTTTGCCAACTCTTCTTCACTTACTTGGAATGATTACTATAGTGATGACACATTATCAGTTGCAAAGAGTCTTAAATCTTCGTTCCAAAGTATAGGAGTAAAAAGACACCACTTGTTAGTGCAATTGAAAATATTGGACAATATGGAGAAGGAACTTTGTTTAGCAGAGTACGTAAACTGGTTGATGAGTGAAATTCAAAGATGTGATTATATGCAAGAAAATATTCTAGACCAATTTGTTAATGCAAAAGAAACCGGAAATAACCATAAATCTTCACAAAGTATACAAAAAATATTGGATTATTGTAGTGAGTGTAGAAACACTTTAGAGGGATTGATTTGAATTTTAGAGAAAGAAAGGGGTGTATTATGCATGAACCAATTTGTTTTCATAATAAAAGAGAAAAAACACCATACAGAAACTCTTTTATACCTGCTGCTCTAGAGGAGCCGATGCTAAACGAGTCTAAAGGGAAGAAAATGGAAATGGAGATGGAAGTTGAAAGTCGCTAGTGTCGTTAGCGTCGGGGTAGTCAGTAGTCAGTGCTCCACTATCTCGCTTTGCTCGATAGTGTCAATGTACCTTTTTTTTAGTGATATCACGGTACATTTTATGTATTGACCGATTATTAACGGTCTCGTCACTTTTTTAGTCAATTATTATGCATAGAAATACAATTAGTAATCTATCCTGCATTTTTTAGTTTGTGAGTTTCCCCTAACTTCCTTATACTTGATTGATTTTCTTCCTTCTTATATCTTTACTCTTTCTCACTCCCCTTCCCCCCCCCCCCCCCAAAAAAAAAAAAACATGGCCATTTGGTTTCGCTTGATGAGAACTAAATACTTAGGCAAAACATTTATCCTTATTGTAAAATTCTCCGAACATAGACCCCACATTTCCCCCACACTCACACTTGAAAATATTATTTTTTTTTTCAATCTCATGTCATTGAATAAGAGAAAGGAAAAAGAAAACTAACTGCGTCACTAGCGAGCTAGTGGAGCAAAATGTAGTATCAGCCTAAGGAGCAAAGCGAGCTAGGTCGCAGTATTATCAGTCTAGTGTCGCAGTATGTATTATCAGCCTCTTTTTTTTTCCATGACTTCCCTTTCTATTTCGGTAGCGTTAGTGTAGTCAGTGCTCGATTCGCTCGATAGTGGTCAAGAAGTAGCTAGCGTTGGTGTAGTCAGTCGCTTCGTTCAATAGTGTCACAAAAGCAACAGGACATCGGATTTACCCAAAAAAGCAAATTAGGAAAAAAGCCAAAGTCTAAATTATGATCTCACTTGTTACCCGAAACCTAAAAAATTAAACTTGGTCAACTCCGCGTATATTAGTAACAATCTTAACAATCTACTTTATACATTTTGTTTGTTTTTTTTTTTCTTTCTTTTTCTACATCTATTTCTTTTTTTCTCTTTTTCTTAATTTTCCTCTATTGTGGAATTCACGGGTTTGATTCCCAGTCCATGGTATAAGTTTATGTCAATTTCCTCAATCTTTTAAATTTATTGCTCTTCTTCTTCTCTGTAGAAGAAAAAACAATAGTCTAGCTAGTTTCATCGCCAATGTCTGCTGTAGTATATCCAAGTATCATTGATGGGAAAGATACCCATCACCCAGCCGAAAAAATCCCCGTGAGTAGTCATACCAATCCAGATGACATTTTGCACTTTTTTTCGCAATTACAAGTAAACGACTCTAATATTTCTACATTGGCTAATAATGCAAAAGAGGGTTTCAAGGAGTGGTCAGCTCTTTCCTTTCAGGAAAAAGCAAAGATTTTCAGAAAGGCTATGGACCTCATAAAGGAAAGAAAAAACGAGTTTGTTGACTCTCATTTGGAAATTGGTGGTCCAGGTTGGTTCGCTGGATTTAATGTTGATGGTGCTTTAGGTCAGATTGAGGAATACGCAGCCCAGTTATCAAGACCTAGTGGACAAGTTGTCCAAGCTGCACATGTCGATTTGGCAATGACTATAAAGACACCCATTGGTCCCGTTTTATCAGTATCTCCATGGAACGCTCCTGTTATTTTGGGAACTAGAAGTATTGTTGCACCTTTGGCTGCTGGCTGTTCAGTTATCTTCAAAACGAGCGAAAAGTCTCCAAGACCTTCATATTTGTTGGTTAAATGTTTCTTGGAGGCTGGTGTTCCACCAAAAGCTTTACAGTTGGTTCACGTTGCTCCTCAGGATAATCCTAAATTCTTTGAAGGCATTTTCGCTTCTGGAGCTATCAAAAAGGTTAATTTTACCGGTTCAACATTTGTTGGTAAGATTATTGCTCAGCAATGTGCAAAATACCTTATTCCTTACCTTTTGGAGTTGGGAGGTAAAAATGTTTCAATTGTTTTGGATGACGCTAATTTGGACAAGGCTGCGGAAAAGATTTTGTTTGCAGCTTGGGCTCATAAAGGCCAAATTTGTATGAGCACTGATAAGGTATTTGTTGCTGAATCCATTTATGAAAAGTTTTCCACAGCTTTGAAGAATGTTGCTGCAGAGTTTGTCAAAGATAAGGATCACGAGATAAGTCAAAGAGATCCTGTTGGAAGAGATAAGGTTATTGAATTGGTTAAAGATGCATTGGCCAAGGGTGCCCATTTGCTCGTTGGTGACTTTAACGAAGCTGAGATTTCGAAAACAAATATTATACCTCCAATGATTTTGGAAAATGTCACAGCGGATATGAAAATCAACACTGTAGAAACATTTGGACCTGTTTTCACCTTGCATAAATATAAAGATATCAATAATGTTATTGACGAAGTCAATAATCATGACTTTGGATTGAAAGCTGCTGTTTGGTCAGAGAACACGATGAAAGCATTGAATGTGGCAAAGAAGATGGAAATTGGTGGTGTCCATATAAATGCCTCAACTATACATGACGATCCAGTCGTTCCCCATGGTGGAGTTAAATCAAGTGGTTGTGGAAGATTCAATAGTCAATGGGGTATGGATGAGTTTATGATTATCAAAACGATAACAATCAATGAGTAAAAAAGAAAAGAGAACAAACGCATATAGGCTAACGAAAGCTAATACACGTGTACTTAAAAGAAGAAAAAAAAATATAAAACAAGGTTATATCACTCTACCTCTACTACAATCCTCTATGTGCTAGCTTATCGGCTACATCTAAATACAATGCAATTGGATTAAAAGGTGGCTGCTTTGCCCACATTATTTTATCTAATCCTAGCCGTGCTCTATTTGTCCAATTAATAAGATCCAAGTGGTCGACGTTATCCAAAGTTCCAGCATAGTTGCCCCATTTCGAACTCTCGACGCTCACTAGGCCATCATTGTCGGTTAATTTATTTTTGTCGTCTACCTCTGGTATAATTCCTTTGTTAATTGCCGCGTTTTTCAAAATTTGATGTCTCATAATGTGCCAAGTAAGATTAAACAAGTTGAACCATTTGGGATTAAACTTGGCGCCGAATGAAAAGTACTCAACAGAGGGATCGTTGGGTACGGCTTTGTTAAACTCCTTCATTTGCGTCGTGGTCAATTCATAAATCGATTTAGGACAAACCAATTTCAATGATGGATGCTTCTCAACTTGCTCGACTATAAAATCTGCAACTTCCGATCCATGATGTGGCGTCGAGATCGTTGTCAAAGACGCAACCTTATAAATCTTGTTCGATTTGTGGATTTTCGAAATGAGATAGCGACTGTCTAGTCCCCCCATTGAGTGACTTATAAGGTTTATTTTGATTGGCTCACTCTTTTGTTTGAAAGTTTTGTAAGATTCCGCAGTATGCTCTTGTTTCTCATCTTGGTAAATGGTTTGCTTTGATTCATGTTTTCGTAGTACTTTACATTGTTTTGTAATGAATTTGTCTAAACTCGTGGCTCTAGTTTCAATATTTCCAAATGCTGGAACTTTTGCAATAAACACCGTAGAACCTAACTTCTCTAATGCCTCTTTGATGCCATTCCAATAGTTTAATTCAACAAGCAGCAGCGGCAGCGGCAGCGGCAGTACCAGTACTTGACGCTTCTTTGCGTTTTCATTTACATTTTCCTCCTCCTTCAACCCCAGATCAAGAGACTCTTTAGCTGTATCGACAGCTTGAGCAACCGCCAATTGCGGTTTTGCCAATAATGTAAATTTGTCAAAGCCTGAAAATCCATGGCAAAGTACTAATGGGTATTTGGGAGCATCATAATGCTTATGTAGCTCTCTGTATTTTGCTGTTATATACAAGTCTTTACTGCATGTCGCTCTTGCAGCAGTGGAATAACATCGAAGTAGGTTAAACATACCAAATTATCGATATAAATCCAAAGTTCTTTTTCACATTTTTCACATTTTTCACATTCGATTGCTAAAAGGTGTACTAAAAAAAAAAAAAAAGAAAGAAAAAAAAAAATATGGAGTGATGGATTATAAGATTATTTGATTTGCAGCCATTGCAGCAAAATCCTCTACATAAAATTCATCACTCTATCTCATCAGCAAAATATAGTATTTTATTGCACACTCCTTTTTATAAATCATCGATCGTTTGCACTTGCATTTAATTACACTCTTTTGCACACTTGGAGAAATTAAACCCACATTGCTTTAGTGTGTATGTTAAGTCAAACAAAGGGGGGGGGGGGCAAGGGGGGAAGAATAAAATTTTATCTACCGCTTACCATATTCATCATGAGATTTTTCACATCATCAAACATATTCAATCCTTTCATCCCCAAACCCCTCGCTACAACTAATGGATAGAAATCAGTTGAAAACACTTTGTGCAACTTATCGCATACACCCAATAGCGCATGGTTCAGCGGCCAAGCATTTGCTAGATACTCTTCCAAAACCAACGAAGACCCTATATCCATGCCTCTCTCTACTCCGCGTTCTAAGGCTTGTACGAGTAATGAGACATCCGATTGACCCATATTCAACCCTTGACCTGCAAGTGGATGTATGGTATGAGCTGCATCTCCTACCAAAGCGACTCTAGGTGCAATATAAGTATCAGCATGCGACATCTTCAAGGGAAACTTGGCTCTTGAGTTGGCAACAAGCTCGACAACTGGCAAAGGGTAGTCTTCTTCAAGGGTTGTTGGTTCAAATTTAGACAATCTCCACTCAATCTCTTTCAAGACCGAAAAATCATTTGGATCCTTTTCTAAAAGAGAGTAAATATAATTTAAATCAGTCTCTTCGAGAACCATTCCTGCATTCACCAAATGTGGGAAAATCTCTTCATTCACCCTCAAGAGTAAGTCACTTAGCTCGGGAGTGCTAGACCAGACGATAGTGGCATTGTTTTCTGTCAATGGCAAAATAGCCAACGGACCGGTAGTTAAGAACCTTTGCCATCCAACAGATCTAAAGTCTTCGCACTGGAGCTTTATACAAGCAACAACACCAAACCTGTTATAAGCCCAGCCTCTAGATTCTATTTGAGCAAACTTGCGAACGGGAGAGTTGTACCCATCAGCTCCAATCAATAATCTGGCTTGAAACGATTCACCATTCGAGAGTTTTACGATTGGCCAGTCCAACTTGGAATTGCCTGTCGTAATAGCCGGCTGATTCAAATCATGGTTTTCCAAATCAATTGCCGACTCGAGTGGGTCAACTATCTCGGTCACTTTTGTATTGTCAAATATCTCGAATCCAGCAACACCATCGGGACTGTTTTCTTTTAATTCTTGTAATTTAGCCAACAAGGAGCTTTGCACATTGATAGTCTCACACATTGTTGCCAACGTGTGCTTTCCAATAGATGTAATATCAAATTCAATTCGTGAAGATGCATCTTGTGAGTCGTACGCTACAATCCCATTATAGTCCTTGATGCGATCTTGATGAATGTAATGCCAGCTACCAACTCTGTCTCTCATAAACTCAATTGACTTTGGCGTTATTGAAATGATTCTGTTGGTGTATTGCTCTGGTGGGCTGACAACAAAATCTTTGGCTTTTTGCAAGGATAATCCTTCAATGAGGGTACATTTCAAATGTTTCAACTGGGGCGACGTTTTCAAAGCGGCAAGTATCGTAAGACCAGCAGGTCCCCCTCCAACTATCACAACATCCTGAAGCTTTGCCGACGATTGTGTAGCTAATGTCCTCGCAAATCTAAACATCTTGGGATACACACAATAAGAAAGTACCCTTTACTTGTCTTCTATTTTTCCTCTCCCCTTCCTTTCTTCCCTTGGGAAAAGGGAAAAAAAAAATCAAGTGATACACCGAGAAAGGTACGATTCGTTCTGATGAATCGCACGACTGAAGAAGAAAAAAATGTCGGCTGGCGCCTTCGTCGTATAGTGTCATGTCTATGGCTACCTATAACTGATATTTTAGTGAAGCCAACGAAAGGAGGAGTCAGAGTTACCTTACTTCATTCTGTATTCTGTATATAGTTGAATTGGTCCATAAGGTTGGATTAGTATACATATATATAAGTATATATATTACACCTATCTTAAAAAAAGCGGAAAGGCCCTACAGCAAAAGTCTCTTCTCTCTTTGCTCGCCTAGTCTCTTCTCTCTTCTCTCTTCTCTCTTTAGACTAGTCTCTTCTCTCTTCTCTCTTTAGACTAGTCTTCTCTCTTTAGACTAGACTCGCTTTGCTCGCCTAGTCGGGAAAGCTTTAAAAGTATATATACCCTTCATTTTAATAGTATAAAAAACTTTTCTATAAAAAAAACAATTCCAATCCACTAGTTAGTAAGAAAAAAAAAAAAAAAAACACTCTAAAGCTGAAATAGAAGAAATTGATGAGCAATTACAACAATAACAACAGCACTCTCTTAGTCACTTCATTGGTATTTAATTCTTTGGAATGTTTTCCAACTTAACTTTCCCTGTTTCAATCCAATATGGGTCAACCAACTTTTCTCTTTCTTCGTACATGTACTTGTAAGACGTCTTGATTGTCCCATCACTGACACCAGTCTTGTCTGAAATCTTTGAAGGTGGTAAATCAATTCCAAAAACTGATGAAGCCATATAAATAACAGTTGCGGCAATGGTTGTAGGAGATCTTCCTGCCAAAACACCCACTTCTTTGCATCTTCTTGCTATATATTCAGCTCCATTTGTCACCTGGGTATTCAAACCAAGATGTGAGCAAAATCTTCTAATCAAATCTTCTGCAGAGGTTTGAGTAGTTTGAATATTGTCTTGACTGTAATATGCTGCAGATTGTGGGTTTGCTGCATTCTTTTCACGAATAATTCTGTCCATTATTCGAAACACCTTTCCAATTTCTTTCCTGGGAACATTCGTTAATGCCCAGATTTCCTTAAAAGAACGAGCCACTTTCGCCTTACGACAGCCTATAAATATCGATGCAGCCATGATAGATTCCTGGGATTTACCTCTAAGAAGCTTCTCCTCGTAAACCATCTTGTACACCTCTTTGGCCCCGTCCTGTACTATCTTGGGCAACTGGTATCCGTCACACATTTGAGAGATCTTTACGTAGGCTGCTGCCAAGGCGTTATCCTTCTTGTCAACCAAAGACTTGGATTGTGCTCGACTTAATTCCCGGCCAACTTTGGTATTATCAGGCACATACGAAATCATTGTAGACAAGTCTTCCGTATCCAAAAGCGGATTCCCTGCGTCACCCACACGCGATGGATCATCTCCGTTTTGATCATCATTACTAAACGTCCTCCATTCAGATCTTGTGTCAACCACCCGATCACTCAAAACTAATCCACAACTTCCGCACACAATGTCCCCCTCACTGAATCGCTCAATCAAGTCAGGTGGAAAGATTTTACATTCGGGACATGTCAAAGTGACATTCAAATTAGGCCCAATATATTCGCGGGCTTCTACTTTGTTTGATGCTAATGTAGCTGCTACCGCTGATGACATTAAAAAAGAAGGTGGTGGATTATCTGTCGTCTGTCTTTGGTAATGCAATTAAATTGGCTGATTTTTTTGGTTCCTTTTTTTTGTTATATGTGGAAGTTTATCGTGGACACGAATTAACGGTACAATAAACGTGAATTAAAAATCAAGTGCGTATCTATCCTCAACACAAAAGAAGCAAAAGCTTTAACGTTGAGATCTTATAGCAGCTTGTGAGTATTGGGAGCAAACTTCGGCGGTGATGATGATGATGACCCAGATGATGATGATGAAGAGGCAAGAGAAGAAAGGAAGATGACAAATTAGCTTTTTTTTGCTCTTTTATTTTCATGAAAAAAAAAATATTAAAAAAAAAAAGATTAGAGAGGTCGTGTATTTTTCAAAGTCTTATCGTGGAGTTATTTCCCTTGAGCGGGCTCCCTCTTACTTAGGAAAAGGAAAGTTATGTGTGATAGATATCAAGATCATTTGTGGAGATGACCTTGTGCAAAAGGTCAATATATTTTGCTTGGTTCTGCTAACAATGATTCTATTCTCTATCAAAAAAAAAAAAAAAAAAAAAAAAAAAAGTAGCTTCGATATTAATACAAACAAGTAAGCTTTCTATAAGACGATGGAAATAAGCTATTTCTCTACTAAAAGTAAAGCATTAAAACATTCAGTTATTTACCATACCGGATCTCTTATCTCTAGATAAAAAGAAGTTTAATAAATTAAAGGGGTCAACAACGTCGCAATCTCATCTGACAATCTCCCACTTGATAAAAACATCCGTCTCCTTATCTCGGGATAAGTCAATCCCAAACTTAACGGCATTATCATTTTTCAACCCCAATCGAATTATATCTCCTACTACTAAATTAACCTCATAAACTTTGATCAATATTACTTCGGTGGTCAGGACCGTTCCTTCTTCTGCTTGCCCAACTTCTTGTGTCTCCACCATACACATGAAAGGGCTTATATCAACAAGTGCGACTACTTTGTAAAGCCTTTGGCTCGTATTATAAGACATTCTTTTTGTGCGATACTCGGGTCTGACGTATAAGCTCTTTACAACAGATGATACAGCATCCAGCTTTTCATTCGATTTTGTGACTCGACTTTCTGCAGCTTTTTTTTTGGATACAGCAACTGAGGCACTCAGTTTAGAAGCCGCTATATTCATTAGTCCCAGTTTAGAAGCCGCTATATTCATTGGTCCCAGTTTAGAAGCCGCTAGATTCACTGATCTCAGTTCGTTATTAGCAACACTAGAGGGTACAACATATTGATACTTGTTGAGCTTGAACCAATCGACGAATTTGATAAATTGTCGTCGTAAGTTATCAACAACAAGATCTGTTGATGGTTCCTCCTTTCTCCCTCCTCGACCAACTGAGTTGCGTGATTTTCCTTCAATACTCTCGATTGCCTGAAACTGGTTGGTAAAATACCTGCCTTCAAACACGCGAGAGCTTCTTGGATTGGGCAAATTTGGCACTGATTCAGCACCTCCATCTTGCTTCTTTTTGCTCTGCTGGTGTAAACTCGTCAAAGCCAGTAGTAGTCCTCTCGTGGACACGGGCTGGAGGGGTTCGGAAATTGGTGTTGTTCTCCGTTTGACGGCTTTTGATTTAGCAACATTTGGCGACTTCAGTGGAGAGCGTTTCACACTAGTAGAAAGCTTTTTATCACGCCTCATGCGCTCAATGTTCATAGACAAAGTCTCTTCATATACTTTGAACGGATCCTTCTTATTCGGCATTATTGAATATTTTTTTCTACTTCCTTCTACTTCCCCCTTTTCCTTTTTCTTTGTAGGGGTAGTTTTATTTAAAGTTTTGAGGCTTTATATTGGAATCTATCATCTCTATACATAAACATAAAGAACAATTGCTTTACTTATTTTTCATCTTTATTTTTTCTTTGAACATTTTATTGCTAAGCGGCTTTTGCGAATTTTCATTACCAACAACAACCGTGCCTAGTTTATCCAATTTCAACATTGAGCCGGATCTCGAATGCGGCACAGACTGACTCTTTGTGTGAAATTTAAAATAACCAAATGGGCTATTTGTTCTTTGAGTTGTGGTATTAACTCTTATAGGTGTGGTACTCCCGGATTTTAGACTCGGAGTTTGGCTACCACTACCCTCTCCATCTGAATATGTTGGGGCAAACCCATCGATGAAATACTTTTCATCATCATCATCATTATCATCTAATGCTTCATCATATGTTGGAATGTGTAGATAATCCACCATTTTTGGTGTTGATGCTCCTTTCTTTTTCTTGTAATTCAGCGCAATATTTTGATTCCAAGCTACGTTAAAGTAATCGTCGAGGTTGGCCAATGAATTAACTTGAGACCCCACTGGTGTTCCACTTTGCGATCTTAGCTGCTCTAATGGTGTTTGTGGTAAGTTCATATCAAACATTTTGTCAAATACATGCTGTTGATACATTGGCGGTGCACTATCTTCTCTATCCAAATCATCATCTTTTTTTCCTTCTTCGCCTTCTTCTTCTTCTCCTTCTTCTTCTTCTTCGCCTTCTTCGCCTTCTTCTTCTTCTCCCCCTCTTCCTCCCCCTCTTCCTCCTCCTCTTCCTCCTCCTCTTCCTCCCACTCTTCCTCCCACTCTTCCTCCTTCATTTCTCAAGTCAACTTCACCATCTTCATCTTCCGATAATGCAGGAGTGTTCGAGACAGAATTCTTTTTTGAAAACAATGTGTCCTCTTTCAGATAATCCAATTGAAAAGTTCCGTGGTGATTATCAACATCATAATGTCTTCCCACAACATGGCCAACATTTGCACTTAGATAAACAAATATCGGCAAGTTAACTCTAAGTTCACTGGTGTGACCTTCTTTGTTTTTGAGCTGTATCGCTAATCTCAATCTATGCTTAACCACAATCATACTATTTTTAGTTTCACAACTTTGTGAGAGCTGTTTTAAATGATCAGGAACTTTGAAATAAGTCTTGAAGCACCATTTATCGTATGGTAGATTAGCACTATTTGGTATACCCAACTGTTGTGCGCCACATAATCTTTCGAATTCAGGGAATCTTTGACTCCCTACTTGGATGTGGTAATGTTCCACTATACATGCATTTATTGCCCTCAAGCCCAACCCTTTGGCTATAGGGACAATTGTTAAATTGATGGGAATGGTTGAGCCAATAGCTACAGCTTTTCTGGGCATGCTAACGCAGTACTGTAATTTCCCAACCCAAGTATTGCTAACATCAACCATGTCACATAAGTTCATATTTTGTGGATGCAAAGTACGAACAATTCTAACATGCTTGCTCATTTGATATGTTCTTTCAAAGCGGCCTCTCTCTATAGAAGATTGAAATCTGTACAATAGAAAGCCAATAGGGAGGCCTTCGACTGTTTCCGAAATATTTGCCGGGAGGTATATCTTGAAAGGTAAGCTATAGTTCCCCTTTGGTAGGAGAAAAGAATGATTCACAGATTCTTTCAAGTCTTTAAATGGGGTACCATCGATTCCAGACTTGGGAATTTGTATAATTTTTGATTTCTCTCTTGAGGAAATGCCGCTGCCGTTTACTCCTGAAAGTGTAGACATGGATGGTGTCGATTTAGTTTTCAAATATTGTGGACGAGAAGTAGTCTGTTTGGAAAGCAGTTCAGACACATCACCACCTTTCTCAAGGTGACTATTTTTTTTCATCCTATACATTGGGATAGTGGTATCGCCATAATTGCCAAATGTTATTTCTCCCTCATCGCTAGTCAAGAGATTGTCCCAGTCGACTTTCAATACGCATAAGCGGTCCAAGTATTGTTCATGGGTTTCCTTATCGATCAACTCATAGTAAAATTCACCTACTAAACTCAAACTGATTCTTTTCACGTGTATATCTTCTTTGAACGCTATTTTGACGCTCCCTTCTAAAGATATGTTTTCAATGTCATTTTCATTTCCTTTGACTAGAAGTAAATTTTTATAATGGGATTTAATTTTGATATCAAATAAAGCAAGATTTGAATGTTGGTTAAACATAACTCTTTCTTATTTTCTTGCCAAGCAAAACCTATCTATATCTAGCCCAATTTCAAAGGCAAAATCTCTGAAAATACTAAAGGACACTTTGTAATGAAAAGTGAACTTGAAGCCGTGTCTACAATAAAGCAATATAATGACTGAAAAATTTATTAAAGTTAGTGTCCGAAAATATATTGTAATTATTATTATTATTATTATTATTATTAAGATTATTATTATTTTAATTTTAATTTTTTTTTTTTTTTTTTTTTTAAAGTGGCACATTAAAAACAATGTCTTTTTTTCGCTTGTACGGTTTGCACCGTTTTTGCGTTTTGCGCATTATAATTGCTGCATAAGAAAAAGATTGGTAAAATTGGAGGTTTCCAATTATAACTAGGAAAAAACAAATCCCGTGTGTCAGTGTTCTTTCCAGAGCTTCATATTGATACAACACACGGGTTTGTATCAAAACCAATCTCTGGATTAGGCTCCTATATTTCATTTTATTTTTATTCTTTTCTAGAATCTCTAGATTGTGTATATTACCCCACACTTTATTTGAGGGAGCCACAATCTCAAATAGTGGATCACTAGCAAGCCGTAACATATATTTCTAATTTGGACAAATTTGCCTTTTTAATGTTACTTGTTGGATCTTATGTGGTAGATACCCGATTAATAAATAACTCTTTAGTGTTTATGTACCATTTGTTTATTTTTAATGTGCATTAATTTAAAGCAATTTTGGCATGAAATCGAGCCAAAGAATAGAAATCTTTATAAAAACATACGGGTTTGATTGCTCCACTATCTCGCTCTGCTAAATAATATAAGGAGCGGCTATGTTTGATATGTATACATGAGAATAAATACACCATATGAGTCATAACCTGGGAAAGCTCAATAAAAGTTTACTTGCAATTTTGGATATAGACAACTTTAATCTTTAATAACTTGTCGAAACATTTTTTTAATTTAGTTTACTCAGTGTAAACCTCAAAAAGTAGGAGAACAACAAGAAAGGACACTTTGGCCGAGTTGGTCTAAGGCGCTAGACTCAAGAACAATAAAAAAGTTCTTACAGCTTTAACGAGCTGTTGAGGTTTCTAGTATCGTAAGATGCACGCGTTCGAATCGCGTAGGTGTCAATATTTTTTTTTTTGTTTTTTTAACACTCTGCAAATCTTTTTTCTTTTCCTTTACAAATCCTTTCTTTTCCTTTGCAAATTCTTTCTTTTCCTTTGCAAATTCTTTCTTTTCCTTTGCAAATTCTTTCTTTTCCTTTGTAAATCTTCTTTCTTCTGCTCTTTATACTAGATTTCAGTAGCGGTTACAGATAGAAGAATAGTGGTAGCTGAAAGATGTCAGCTTTAGTGACTAGTAAAGCAATTGTTTATTTAATGTTTTAAATTGTTCCAGAGTTCTTGATTCAAATTGAGGACTCTTTTTATTTAATCTCTGTTTACTTATACAGTCAAATTCTAACGGAACAAGGTACTCAGTATTGCTCCACTATCTCGCTCTGCTCGATAGTGTCGCGGACGGCGTCAACACTGTTATTCATCTATGTGCCCAGCATTACTTTCTGTTCCCTGTTCCAGTAAATCCAGATAATCATTTAAATCCGATAATGCGATATTGTGTACCGGAGATTAAAGTAATAATAAGCAAAGTTTTTCCATAGTTTTTACCTATCGTTATTTTATTTTTTTTTTAATTTTTTCAAAAAGGAATAATACGATCTTCATATAAAGCAAAACCGGGTTTGACTAAATTCAATTTAGTTCTTCTTTTTCTTGTAGTTCCTCTTCTTCCTCTTCTTCCTCTTCTTCTTCTCTTGAGTAGAAACTATTACTTTACTTTTAATTTTATTGTATCATGGGCATTTTAAATTGGGGGTTTAGATCCACCATTAAAATCCATCAATCCTCACCAGCAAAATCCATTGATTTACCATTGACCAAAAAATCCACAGAGGATGGAGAAGAAAGATTGAAATTCACAGAATTTGTCAATAGATTAACTCTTATTGATCCATCAAAAAAATTATGGTTAAATCCTCTTTTATTTAATGGAACTTTACAAACTTTATACTACACCTCGATTGATGTATCAAAAAAGTTTCAAATATGGTATGGAAGAGAACTTTTTTACTATTCAGATGGTGGAAGTTGTAGTTTGGATTGGGTGATACAGAAACCAGAGTCTATTGAAGAGTTTAAAAAGCTTGATAAGGAAACTTTACCAAACGGTTATCCAAAATTGCACCCAAGAACCAGATACTTAACCAGCAATGAGTTGAATGATATTAATAAAAGCCAGGAAACAAATACCAACCCTATTGTGGTTATATTGCATGGATTGGGTGGTGGCTCTCACGAACCATTGATCCGGAATTTTGCCCAAGTGATTGGAGAAAACACTAGTGGGTGGGATATTGTTGTACTTAACAACCGTGGGTGTTGTAGAACTAAAATTACCTCTGGTCAACTATTCAATGCGGCATCAACAAACGATATTAGAGAAGTTTTAGTTCGTTTCAAAAAACAATGGCCAAATAGACCAATTTTTGCTGTTGGATTTTCATTTGGTGCAGCACTTTTGTCTAACTTCCTTGGTGAAGAGGGAAAGACTTTTACAGAGAAGGGACAAGAAGAAGCAACAGCAACAAAAAATTTAGTTACTGCTGCTTGTGCTGTTGGATGTCCATGGGATTTCGTTGATAGCGCATACCATATTCAAAGTTCCTACACCGGTAAATATTTACTTAATCCAGCTTTGGCAAAGTTTTTGGCAAAGATAGCCGCCAACAACTACAAGGAACTTTCCCAATCAAACCCTCAATTGATAAACGAGGAAACAATGAAAGAATTGAAGAAAATTAAAACCACTTGGGAATTTGACGAGTTGCTTACTTGCAAGTTGGTTTCTTACAAAAATGCTTTCCAATATTACAGAGAGGTATCGCCAATAAGGAAAATTTTAGATATAAAAACACCTTATTTGATATTAAACTCCACAGACGACCCAGCTGTAGGTTGCAGATTGCCTATTTTGGACGCTCAAACTAATCCATATCTTTGTCTAGTGGAAACCGATTTGGGTGGTCATTTGGGATATATACAATCTAATGGAGAGTTTTGGTGCGTTAAAGTTGTTGAAGAATTTCTCCAAAAGTTTGCTGAACTTTGAAAGTAGTATTGATTATAGACATTTATAAGCTTTTGTAAATTTTTACATATTCGAATAGATTAATTAGAGTATACAAAAAAATGTAAAATACTATTGTAGAATTCTAATATGTAAAATTGTGCTCAGTAACATAATTTTAGTTATGAGCAGCAAGGAGCTAGACTTGGAGTCAATGTACAAAATAGTCTGCGTCAAGGAATATTGATCAAGCAATAAGGCTCTTTTTAATCCTAGTGATGTTCCACCCTGTTGGAACTTAAAAGAAAAAAAAACAAACGGATTTGCTTTGTATTTCAACAAAGCAAATCAGACACATAATTTACATACTTTTTGGGGTTTAATGATATATATGTATATATATTTATCTGTTTCTAATGTCTCTTGTAAATTTTTTTTATATATAATAAATAAACAACAAATACCTTCTACTGCTCCATTTCTCTACCCTCCTCCCCTGTCACATATATTTCATTTTCACACAGCAGCAGAATATTTTGCCGCCTCTATAGGTGATTTTCCAATCAATTCTGCGCTTTTCTTTTTTCTTAATGAAGCTTGCAAAACTAAGTCCTTTGATCTCGTTGAACTCTCACTATTAGCGAGATGTCCTCTATCGTCTAACTCTACTGTTCCTGGACTCTCAAATAATGACACTTGGCCCGCTAACAATCCCAAAGTCTCCAATACTTGTGCAGGTTCATTCAAATGAGAAGTAGCAACTGTCTTCTTAGATGCTGGACCTACTGCAACAGGGAACACACCATATGAACCAAAAATATTCTTTGTTCTATTATTCAATTTCCATTGATTCTCAATTTTAAGTAGCGAGCGGAACATGTCCTCATCAGTTAAGTCATCACCTACACATAAAACAAAGTCTGGAAGTTTATCGTCACCGTGCTTAATGATGTGTTCATCAAGAATCTCTTCAACAGCTTGCTTGGCTCCATGGGGATGCAAAACCAAAGTTTTGACTATTTCACCTTTATTGACAAATTTAGGACGTACTTCAATGTTTGCCTTTCCTGCCATAACATCAACATCGTATTCCTTAGCAACTGTGTTTTCTAACTCTTTCACACACTTTTCGGCTTGGTATCGACCCAACTCTGGATCTGCTCCTCTGTAATGCCAAGTAATGGCAACCTTTTTTATCTCAATTTTGGATCCAGGAGTTTTTTCAGTGTAGTTGTTGAAAACGTCCTTGACTTTTTGTTGCCAGGACATGTCAAATTTCTCGGTCAAGTTGAACCATTTTGTTGTACCAGGATCACGCACAAAGCATCCATGCTCAGCAGATAAACCAATGTGTTTTTGACCCATCCATTTCTCTAAAAATGCTTGGTCTCTTCCCGAGATAATCCAAATCTGATTTTTGGGATCTTTAGTCAAAACATCCAACACCCTGTTTAGTTTATCAGAAGGAATTGCCGCAGCAGGATCTTGCACAATTGGAGTCAAAGTGCCATCATAATCAAACAAAAACAATCTTCTTTTTGCCTCCTGGTAGTTTTTAAGTAGCAAAGGTCTATTCAACGCTGGTGTGTAATGGTTCGTGTGTGTAACCATAGAGTGCTTTATTATCTCGCTTATAAACTTGGATGTCCAATTTTGTATAGTGTTGGAGCAAACTTTTTCGTACAATTTGTCTTCGATACGCTTCTTTTCAACATCGCTAAATGATAAGGCCTCATTTATTGTTTTAGAAATACCCACGGAGTCCCAAGGGTTGACTAAGATAGCGTCAGTCAAAACCGATGCTGTTCCTGTAAATTCGGATAAAATCAATGGGGATGCATTCTTCTTTTGACAAATTACAAATTCAAAAGCTGTTGTATTCATGCCGTCACGAACCGAAGTGATCAAACACAAATCGGCTACTCTTAACAAGGCCAAGTATTCCTCTTTGGGAATCATCATTTGATAATGTGTTACTGGTGTATGGTTGAGAGTTCCATATTTTGAATTGATTTGATTGATCAACTCGGCTACCTTTTGCTCAACATTTGCAGAGTGTTGGTATCCGGGACTTGAAACTTGAATCAAAACCACCTTTTCTCTCCATTCTGGATACATATCGAGAAACATTTGAAAAGCTTGTAGTTTTTGAAGAACGCCTCTCACCTTGTCCAATCGATCACGTCCAACAATTATCTTTTTATCTTTATACGAGCTTCGAATTGCAGCTACTTTTTCATCAACTCCATTGGTTTTTGAAAAAGCCTCTTTTTCAATTTTCAAGGTGTCAATACCTATAGGCAAGGTTTCAAGAGAAATGGTTGTACCGTAGGCAAACACTTCATTCTTGGTAACTTCACACCCAAGCACTCTTGCACAACAAGATATGAAATGTCTCTGGAATGACTCGGATTGAAAGCCAATCTTATCCGACCCCAACATACCGTCCAATAATTGTGATCTTTTGGAAAGGCATTTGAAATATTCTGAAGATGGGAAAGGTACATGCAAAAAGTGTCCAATGAAAGCGTCTGGAATTTCCATTCTCAACAACAGCGGTAACAATAATAGATAATAGTCATGGATCCATATTATGTCACCCGGCTTATATATCTGTTTGATCTTATTCAAGTAGGCTTCATTGAACTTGACGTAATCATGCCATGCATCGATCTTGTCTGTGCCGTCTGAAGGAGAGCCTTCAAAATAATGAAACACTGGCCAAATTACATTTTCGGCATATCTTCTCCATCTTTCTTGGTCGCGTCTCAACAACCACACGGGATGTATGTTTTTGTTTCCAATGGCCTTTTGCAACTTGAGCTCAATTTCTTCTTTATCGTCCTGGTCAAGGTACAATGGATCATCCTGCAAATTATCGGCTGTTAAATTCACGGTATTTTTCAGCTTATTTTTCAACTCTCCCGTCCATGCAACCAAATGCGTTTCCCAGTCGGAATGTTGGTGTAGAAAAGCTTGTGACGAAAACAATGCTGAGTTTCCACGCAAAGTTTCAACATCCCAAACATATTGGCCACGTTCGGCATCAAACAGGCTGACTATTTGTGTTGGCAAAGTAGTCATGACATTGAGGATACGCCCTGATAACTTCACCTTATCATTATTCACAAAGTCCTTGGGGGACACGATATGGCCATTGGCCGGCGTGGCCTTAAACTGATCAAACTCAGGCATATTATGGTGATTTCTGGTCCGAGAAAAAAAAAAACCTCACTGACTCAGACAAAGCTAGGCAGCAAACAAACAAACAAACAAACAAACAGATAAGCAAAAGCTAGTAACAGATTGATAATGGCCACTGATCAATTGACAGTGACAGGATGATAGTAATAAAGTTTCTCAACAAATTCTTTACTTGCAGATGAACTATACGTATATATCTCTTTCCAACAAATCTATCACAAGTTTTCTAGCAAGTTCAATCTATTTAAATTAATTAAGATCTCGTTTTTATTTTTATTATTTTTTTTTTTTAAATTGCGGTTACGGTATAAAATCTTTGTGCGACATTTCACCACCGATAAAAATGTCTTACTTTTGTTAAGAGAGAGAGAGAGAGAGAGAGAGAGAGAAAAGAATGGGAATAACTTTCTACGGCAATTATTGAGAAAGGCATCTTACGATATTGGACGAATAATATATGAACAAGTCATAAGTTACTCTTGGAAGCAGTACTGATTAGCTTGTTGTAATACTTTATCACTTTATATAGCTGTATCTCTATAAACACTATCACGCTCCCCTAGATAGTGAATTCATAGGGGTAAGAAATACATTCCTACAAAATTCACAAGGGTAAGAAATACATTTCTACAAAATTCATAGGGGGTAAAAGTACATTCCTACAATCATTACGATATTCTCTTTAGTAACAAAAGACAAAAACTCCTTTCAAGGAGCCCAGTTATTAAAATACACAGTATTAATAGAAAGTGGGTAAGAAAAAAGAAAAAAGAAAAAAGAAAAATATATTCCTTTCAAGATTTCACCACACAACAAAAAAAAACAACAAATTCTTTTAAAGGCTGGGAAATAAAAAAAAGAAATGGAGCAAGGAATTGTCGGTTATGGAATCTAGTTTTCACTTGTTGGTAATAATGTAGATACTGATACTGATGATGTTGATGATGATGATAATACTGATGTTTGTTTTTTAATTCTTATATTCTCCTCCCCCCCCCCGTCTTTCTTTACCCTTCTCTTTTCTTTAAGCTTCTTCATTAACAGCTACACCTTCTGAGTTCTTGTATTCTTCAAAAGCAGTCAAAGCCTCTTCAAAGTGATTGTTGAACAATTCATCATCATCTAACAAATCTAATATTTCTTGGTTCTCCAAACCCAACATCATACCAGTAATTTTACCAGCAGCTTCAGGTTCTTGAGCTTTACCAGTTGCAACAATTCTTTGGTACAATTCCTCACCCAATATTCTCTTTTGTGCTTCAGGTGGAACACTTGCAATTAATGCAGCCAATTCTTTGGTTGAAACCTTGCCGCCAACTGGACGGTTAGGGTAATATCCTCTTTGTTGCTGCTGTTGCTGCTGTTGCTGCTGTTGTTGCTGCTGTTGCTGCTGCTGTTGCTGCTGTTGCTGCTGCTGTTGCTGTGGTCTCATGTTTTGACCGTTAAAGTCTTGGAATTGAGGTGGGATACCGTAAACTGGAACTGGTTGTCCATTTGGACCAGGTCTTGGCCATTGCTCGGGGAAAGGCTGACCTCTACCTCTCATCATCATTTGAGGGTTTGGTGCAGGGAATGGTGCAGTACCTCTACCATTAGGAGGGAAGAAACCTTGTTGACCATAAAACATTGGTGGCATAAACTGTCCTGGTAATCCACCAGCAGCAGCTGCGTTTTGCATTCTCATTTGGTTTCTTGCTTGAATTTGTTGTTCCAATTGGGAGCGCCTAACATCTTTACGTTGGGCTAAAGCAACATATAAGGGCTTACCGTTAACCATCCTTTGGTTCATTTCAGTAATTGCTTTAGTAGCCTCCTCTGGAGTGCTGAAACAAACAAATCCAAAACCTTTCGACTTACCTGAGTCGTCCACCATAACTTTAGAGGAGGTAATTGTTCCAAATGGTTTAAACTCTTCCTCCAACTTTTCAGAGTCAATCAGATCGTCCAAGTTCTTGATGAATAAATTAACACCTTGATATTTGGACAATTTTTCCAATCTAACGGCTTCATATTGCTTCTTCAACTCTTCAGTTCTTTCCCTCTTCTTTTGAGCTCTTCCCACATAGATTTTTTGACCATTTATTTCTTTGTCGTTCAATTCCTCAACGGCTTTAGAAGCGGATTCGTGCTCTTCAAAGTTAACGAATCCAAAACCTTTTGATTTGCCATCTTGATCCTTTTCCAAGTAAATCGAAGTAATCTTACCATAAGGAGAAAACAATTCTTCAAACTCCTTCTCGGTATAGTTCAAATCAATGTTTTTAACATAAATGTTGGTGTAGTTAGCTTTCATTTCTTCGAGTTTTGACTCACGATCCTTTTTGGAAACATGCTTGCCAACAAAGACTTCACGGTCATTCAACAACATACCATTGACATTTTCAATGGCAGCAGTAGCAGCTTCAGCGGTTTCATAATGAACAAATCCAAAACATTTCGATTGTCCCATGTCATCAGTAGCAACTTTCACAGACAAGATTTTACCAAAAGCGGAGAAAGTATCGTGCAAGGCCTTATTGTCAATAGCTGGATGCAAATTCTTGATAAAAATGTTACCGTCACCTGATCTTCTGGAAGAAGGATCTCTTTGTGACCACATAATACGACATGGTCTGCCTTCAACAGGAGTATAGTTGAGTTCCTCGATAGCCCTTTCCCCATCTTCAAATTTGTGGTAGTTGACATAAGCATAACCCAAAGATTTTTTGGAGACTGCATCACGACAAACTCTGATCGATGCAACTTGACCAATTGGAGAAAAAATCTCAAAAAGAGTTGCTTCATTAACCGATGGGTTCAACTCTCCAACATACAACGATGCTGAACTTTCAGCAACTCCTCCGGACTCAGTTTGGTCTTCGCCTGAAACGTCATCAACAGCGGTAGCAGCAGTAGCAGCAGTAGCAGCAGCATTAACCGAGCCAGTATTGGCATCGGCCTCACCAGTGGTATTGGTAGCGGTGACGGTTGAAGCTTCAGCTGGTGGCAAATCGGATGGAGATTCAATATTCAACTTCTCCAAGGATTCTTGAAGTTGGTTAGTTTCGGCAGCTGACATATTGTTGACGATGATGATGGTATATCCAAAACTTTTACTTCAAAAAATTTTGAAATAAATTTTTTTTTTAACAATTTTTTTTTTTTAAATTTTTCAGTTTTTTTTTTTTTTTTTCACGCTTTCCAGAAAATGTATACGGATATATTGAAACTTATCACTTTTTGATAGTTTGCTCTCGTATAATTTGCTCTGCAAGCTTGTTTTCAGTATATATTGATTTAATATATATGTGTTCACTCAGTTGAACAAAGAAAAAGGATCCTCTCAAGACTCGACTTTTTCAATTGTAAAACCTGACGCATTTTCAGTCTTCTTACAAAAAAAAAAGAACAAAAAAAATTTCTCGCATTCTTTTTCATTTTGGGCGTGTACAAGTGACCAAAAAAAGATTGAAATACAATGCTATAAAACTTTTGAAACAAATGCATCTCAAAAGATGAGTGTTGATAATCACACTACTTAGAGGAGGGAGATGGGCATGGGTTCGATCCGCGACAATGTTATTAATTTGCTAAAGCAGAAAGCTACAACCACCGCATCAGAAGAAAAAAAGGCTGTTTAACACGACAATATTCCATTCACTGAAGTAAAATATATTATCATCTGCGCCAGCAGTAGATGATAATGTATCTGAGCTCTCGGTTGAGCTCATCTTTGTAGGAGTAGTGCTATTAACTGCTGCACCACTATCTCGCTCTGCTCGATAGTGGAGCACACTAGCTGCCACTGACACTATCTCGCTCTGCTCGATAGTGGAGCACACTAGCTGCCACTGACACTATCTCGCTCTGCTCGATAGTGGAGCACACTAGCTGCCACTGACACTATCTCGCTCTGCTCGATAGTGGAGCACACTAGCTGCCACTGACACTATCTCGCTCTGCTCGATAGTGGAGCACACTAGCTGCCACTGACACTATCTCGCTCTACTAGATAGTGGAGCACACTAGCTGCCACTGACACTATCTCGCTCTACTAGATAGTGTCGTTCGATAGTGTAGAAACAATAAAGAAATAACATTATATAGAATAACATTCATATTGTAAAAAATTGGTATCAGATTTTTCTAAATTACATTGGATTACTCCCTACAACAAACCCTTCTTCTTCTTGCAAATAATGATAAATTACAACAAAGTTTATTTCAATTAAGATAATAACAATAATAATGACATGATCTTTTTCTTCTTTTAGCTGTACATCCATATTGCACAGCCCTAAATCTAATTGGTAGGTGATTTCATCTTGATTCGTTTATACATTTCACTTATTTTCTTACTCGGCACTTTACTAGGCCAGTACATCCTTGCAAATGACCACAAGTGTTTAGCCAATGTATCAGCTTTTTCACTAGAGTCAACTTTTTCAACTTCCTTATCAATATGGCTTCCAATTCTTATCAACTCTTCTTTTAAGATGCCAGCCCATTGATGTTTGTCTAGGCCATTACTTCCCTTTTGCAACTTATGAAGGGATTTGTATACTGGATGCAATGCAGCCTTACAAACCGCTTCATCCATGCTCTCATACTCTAGATCAAATTTTTCGGTCTTTATAATCAGAGGTGAAAAAGATGATTGCTGTTGTTGTTGTTGATGATGATGATGCTGGTGGTGGTGTTGATGGCGATGATGGTGATGGTGTTGATGATATTGATGATTTTGATGCTGATGTTGGTTTTGGTTTTGATGTTCTTGTTGTGTTTTGTGGCTTTCTAAATTTGGACTCTTTGACAAGGCCTTGTGGTTCAAAGACGAATAGTGTACACCAGACGCCTTGGGTTTTGTTTGGCGGATTCTTCCTTCTGGGGTTTCGGATCTAACTCCCTTTTTAGACCTACCGTTGACACTTTCGGACTTCTTGGTTTTACGTTGCAACGTAGCAGTAGCCGGTTCACTTCCATCTTCATCCTCACGTAGCAACGTAAACAAATAGTCAACTCGCCGACCTAAATGAACAGCACTAGGAACTTTCTTGGTATCTTTGACATCTACACCAGCAGGAGTTGCAGTTGCAGTTGTAGTTGCAGTTGCAGTTGCAGTTGCAGTTGCAGTTGCAGTTGCAGTTGCGGTTGCAGAATTTTTAGCCGCTACTGGAGTTGTTTCTAAAAACAACTTGTTTTGTAGGCCCAATAATGGGTCGTCTCGAATTTGAACCCATGATCCGTAACCGAATTTGAAAACCCCCACCAACAACATACTATCATCCTTAGCTGTCCATTCACAAGTCCAAGCTTGAACAGCTTTGGGTTGCTTGGGTAATCGAATTTCTAATGGATTGTCTTTGGGGATTATTCTCTCAAGCGCCCGCATATCAACTGGTCTACTTAAAACAAGCTCAGCATTGATATTCTTCACTCCTTGATACTCAAACAACACCGCTTTCTTTTCCTTTTTCTTCGCAATCCATAATGCCGTTTGGTTAATGTCATTACCCGCTGCTGGATTTTCCTTCTGTTCTTTTGCTTTCCTCTCAAGATCTAAAAGTGCTTGTGCTCTTCTAATTTCTTCCTCCTTAACCAATTTCTTTGAAGTACTCACAATTTCATTGTAGGCGTGTTTGATATAAACTGGATTTTTGTTAGTGATGCTTCCTTCCTCCACTAACTGCTCCCACTTCCCAGTCAATTCACCCCATTTAAGAATTGATCTATAAATTCCTCTAATCTCCTTTTCTGATAATTGGTGATCGGTTGCTGTTCGCCTTCTATTAACTACTTTCAGCTCTTCTCCACTATCCTCAAAATCGCTAGGATTTGTTGAACCATTTTCAAGTTTACGCAAAGCGGCAGTTCTTTTAGAATACATTGCAATTTGTTCTTGCAAGTATCGCTCATCAGCTTTCTTCTTTTCTTCATCTTTCAACTTGGACAATTCTTCTTGTGGAATGATATCATCCCATTCAATGTCCGCTTTGTAATCAGTAACTTCAAACTGTTTCAAAAACTCCTCTGACCCGAGATTTGATTCTCCCAAATCCGGCGTTGTTACATGGTCCTCGGCATGACTCAAAACATCATCCAAGTTCAAATTTTCCAATTTTTGTTGATTGTCATTTTCTTTAAACATTGTATCAGCACCAAATTTCAAAATTTGAGACAATTCGCTGCCAGAGGGCTCAGTCTTGCTGTTCTTTTTCGCATTAGGATCAGTTATGCCCAAAGAAATAATAGCGTACTCCAAAATCATCTTTTTTCTTGCCCGTTCTAAAATTTGCTCCTCAACAGTATCCTTACTCACAAAACGATAAACCAGAACATGGTTTTTTTGACCGATTCTATGTGCACGCGCCATTGCTTGCAAGTCAGCTTGTGGATTCCAATCAGAGTCAAAAATTATAACGGTATCAGCAGTCATCAAATTGATACCTAACCCACCAGCTCTTGTAGACAATAAAAACGCAAAGTCCTTAGAATCAGGTGAATTGAAATGATCAATCGATATTCTTCTTTGCGACGACGGTATACCACCATCGAGACGCTGAAACTGATAACCTTTTATTGACATATAATCTCCCAAAATGTCTAGCATTCTCACCATTTGAGAAAATATTAAAACTCGATGGCCCTCTTTTTTCAACCTTGTCAACAATTGCTCAAGTAATACCATCTTTCCCGAGGACATAATCATGCCCTTTAATATGTTCTCTCTACTATGTGATCCGGCCCTCACTAGAACACGCTCCTCGGCCCCATCAAACAAATATGGATGGTTCGACGCCTTCTTCAATTCACTCATCACATTCAACAAAGATATCTGAGAGCCTTTGTTTCCAGCATTCAAGGCGGCATAGTTTTTGGTTATGATATTCTTGTAGTAATCAGTTTGAATGTCAGATAGTTCGACTCTCAAAATTCTCTCCGTTTTCGACGGCAAAGAGGTTTCAACATCTTTCTTCAATCGTCTTAATATGAAAGGATTTATTTCTCGTTGTAAATTTTTGATGTACTGCTCCTGCTCCTCATCTGGACTTTCAAAATCAATTTCTTGTTCAATAACAAATCTCCCTGGCATAAGGAAATTGCACAACGCTGCTAGTTCTTTGATATTATTCTGCAAGGGAGTTCCTGTGATCAATAACCTATTCGCACACTTGAAACTTTTCAATGATTCGTATAAGGATGACTCAGCATTTTTCAACCTATGTGCCTCATCCACAGCCATGAATTGCCATTTAAATGATCCCAATTCAACTCTATCCTTCAAAATATACTCATAAGTGGTAAGCAAAATGTTAAACTTTGGTTTCCCATTCGTTGTGTACCACTCATAATCTCTGATGGTTTTTCTTGCTTCTCCATTACCCAAATAATATATGCAATTGATATCGGGCGACCATTTCTCAAAAGTTTCTTGCCAAGCAGGTACAGTGGACAATGGTACCACAACCAAGTGGGGACCATTTTGTCTTCTTGCATATATCAACCATGACAAAAAAGCAACAGTCTGTACTGTTTTGCCTAGACCCATTTCATCCGCCAAAATACCATTTTCATTTCTAGACCAAAGGAAAGCCATCCAGTTTAAACCAGTTAGTTGAAAATCTCTCAATTCTCCATTCTTTATGAATATTGGCTGCTTGACTAACTTCTCAAACTTTGGTCTTTGAGACGCAGGATATGTTACCGAGAGATTTGGTAAGATCTTTGAGTTCAACCTCTGTTGATATTTTTTAACTTGATCTGGGGCAATTTTTGCAATCTCTTCGGCATCCTCCCACGAGCACTCGTCGTAATATAACCTTCTCCACTTTACTAAATACTCTAATTTGTTTTCACCATTATTATCAACTCTTTGACTGTCTACTATGCGCTCCGCATTGGTGTAATCATCTTGCTCATCTCGCCTGCGCTCCCTTTCAATGTCCATAGCCTCTATATCTTCCTTAGTAGTCAAGGGATCTTTGCGGACCTCATTGTCGTATACAATAAACTGTTTGATGTAATTATCGACTTTTCTGAATCCCTTATATTCTTTAAGGTCTTTGTACGTTTCCCAAGTGTTGTGCAAATGTGATGCATCAGACCATTTCACTTTGAATAGGTAATCTAGTTTCGGTTCATCTGTCACTTCCACATTATCTGGATTCAACTTGTGGTCCATCACGAAATCAATGCCTCGTTCATTCTCCGGTTCAATGGCTTGCTGATAATAGTAGTAGTTACTATTTTCTGGGTCCTCATCTTCATCCACATTACCATCATCAAAATCACTTTCCAACAAATCGTCGTCATTTCCTTCATCAACAATGTAATTGACCGACTTGTTGTTCCTGGTTGAGAATCTAAGTTCCAGTGTATACAAGTTGACCGGTTTTGCTGAGGAACTCTTTTTCTTCTTCTTTCCAGCCCGTTTCGAATTCTTAGATGACGACATCTTCTTTCCACACAGATACTTCCTTTTCCTACTATTTATCACAAATTCGTCGTCGTCGTCGTCATCATCACCGTCGTTGTCATTTCCCATGTTTTCATCGTCATCGTCCATGTCGTCGTCGTCATCATCATCATCATCAGCATCGTCAGCATCATCATGGACCTCGGCTTCATCAAAGTCATCCCTTGCAATTTTCCGTTTCCTCCGCCGCTGAGGCTGCTGATCTGAATCTGAGTCAGACTCCACAATCGACGTGGTTTTCCTTTCTCGGTGAGATCTTCTTAGCCCGTAAAGTTCGGGGTAAAGCGATGCCTCTTCCAAAACCAACGGTTTCACCATAGATTTTTTTTTTTACTTGATATGCAAAATAGACACCTCAACGAGCACTATTCTTCCCCGGTTTTTCTTCCCTACCCTATGGTACAAAGCGTTACCGGCTAACAGGGTAAGTATCGAGAAATAGTTGGATACAAATTTAGTGGCTTATCAGCTTTTGCAGCCGCTATTGATTTAATGAAAATATATCTCAATCGGTGAAATCAAAAAATGAAAAAAAATCTTTGAAATGAACCTCTAGTGATTCTTCACGGCTACTCCTCTAGAATACACGTTTTATCAGTAAGACCTGGTAATTTCACTTGTAATCAAGTTCAAAACAGTTGTCTACGATACACAAGGGAGGGGGAGAAGAATCCTTGATTTGTTAAAGAAAATTTAGTAGTAAATACAATGATATGTGTAGAGGAAAATTCAGGAAAAAATTAAACTAAGAATCAACAACGACAAATGTCTATTCAAAGGAAAAAAAAGGTCATGTTATACTCAATCAGGGAGAGGCCAAACACGGGGAAGGATGGCCAAAAAATTGGTAAGACTTTTCTTCTCATACTGAGCTTTTGAGCTCGGTGTGAAATCAATTTACGCTTAATATTCAAAACAAACAACTCTTTCAACTCAAGTTGATAGTTGTTTTTTTTTTTTTGGTTTCTCGTGTAAAGTAGGTCCTTCCACTAAAGAAAAAGCCCTCTTACCTGCTTAATCTCATAAATGCATCCTCTCTTCAACTTCTCCTAGTTTCCCTTCTGTTTCCAGAAAAAAAAATAGATAAACAAATGGGATTAACCTTTTCAGGATATTAATCACAGCAAGGCAAATAGGTTTAGAAAATTGTGATAAGCAATATACCGCTTGATAGATGAGGGCCAAAGAAAAAAGTCCTTCTCTATGGTCTCCTGGACAAATTGCAGGGTGAGGTTTCATATCCGGAAAACAGTTAATTCAGCGAGAAACGTAATTTTCAATGGGATTAAGCTGGTTCAACAATAACCCATCACTATGGGATGGGAAATATAGGATCATAACCTAATCTAGGAGACCACATATGGGCTCTTGTACCTGGCAGTGTATACCAAACTTTTGTCCAAAACCACCAAAACCAGTGCTACAAAAGTGGTGCTCCACTATCGAGCAGAGCGAGGTAGTGTTGTAACAAGCTAGTCAGTTTCTTAACTAGCTAGTCAGTGTGGCTCCACTATCCCGCTCTGCTCGATAGTGTCAATAGTGTTGCTATCAAAGGCTGCGCCATCATCTCGCTCTGCTTGATAGTGTGTTGATAGTGTCGATAGTGTTGCTATCAAGTGCTGCACCATCATCTTGCTCTGCTCGATAGTGTCGATAGTGTTGCTATTAATAAACCTTTATAGTAACCACGCTCTGCATTCAAAAACCAACAGTTGTAACATACTCTAACCTAGTATCATCCAACTAATACTTTCTAATAGTAAAGTATAAAGAGAAATATCACTGATTAAATATTACCAGCTAATTGAAATACAATTTTCTGTTTGGCGCAAAAAAAAAAAAAAAAAGATTAACGCCTTATGTATTGGGGGGGGGGAAAGAGTGCACGACCTTAAGGAAGCTACCAAATGGTAAATGCTAAACACCAAACAATTTGGTGAATACGACGCTACCGAATGATAAATGCAAAAACCACACCAAATAATTTAGTAAGTACGACGCTACCAAATGATAAATGTTAAACACCAAACAATTTGGTAAGTTATGCTTATTAACACTAAAGGACCCCCACCAATATAGAACAAACTTTGTTTGAAGCGATATTAATAGTATCGAGAGTTGAGACGACTGTAAAAAGTGTTACAAAGAGTAGACACTTGTAATAAGACCCTTGAATCACATTCACCAATTACATTCACCTATTACTTTTACCTATTACATTTACCAATCACCATATACTTTTAATTACCATATACTTTTAATCACCATATACTTTCAATTACTCTCATCTTTCCTTCTTTCACCTTTTTCACCTTTCACCTTTTTCATTTTTTCCTTTACATTTTTCCCTTTACATTTTTCCTTTACATTTTTCCTTTTGTTTTCTCTTCCTTTTGTTTTTTCTTCCTTACATTTTCCTTCCCTTTTCACTTCTTATTCTATCCAATAACAAAAAGATCTTTACTAATAAAAGACACTCACTTTGTCTCTTACTTTGTCTCTTACTTTGTCTCTCGACTTATCTTTTCTTTTTTTTTCCCTGCCAAAACACACGACCTCCTAAAATGAAAAATTTTTTTTTTTTATTATTATTATTTTGGTAACTCATCTTGCAGAAAAGAGGGTTGAAATAGATATCAACAGGAAGCTATTGCCAGTTTTAAGGTATTGCCAGTTTTGAGGTATTGCCAGTTTTGAGTTATGAGCGGCAAGGGTAAAGTGAAAAACGGAAGAGGAGACGTTAGCTCCAAAAATGAAAGAATTGCCATAATAGCACCAGATAGGTGCAAACCGAAAAAATGTAAGCAAGAGTGCAGAAAGAGTTGTCCCGTAGTAAAGACTGGAAAATTGTGTATCGAAGTAACGCCAGCATCCAAAATTGCATTTATCTCAGAAACACTATGCATCGGTTGCGGTATATGTGTTAAAAAGTGTCCCTTTGACGCCATCACAATCATCAATTTGCCTACAAACTTGGACAGCGAAACAACACATCGATACTCTGCAAACTCATTCAAATTGCACAGATTGCCAACTCCAAGACCAGGCCAGGTCTTGGGTTTGGTAGGTACAAACGGTATCGGTAAATCCACAGCATTGAAGATCTTGGCTGGAAAACAAAAACCAAACTTGGGGAGGTATGATGATCCACCCGATTGGGAAGAAATATTGAGACATTTTAGAGGATCGGAGTTGCAAAACTACTTTACAAAACTTTTGGAAGATGATATCAAGGCTATTATCAAACCTCAGTACGTGGACAATATCCCTCGTGCATTGGCCAAATCCAAGATCAAAGAGGTTGGCGCAATTTTGCAATCTAAAAATGAAAGAAAAAGCCAATTCGACTATGTTTTGAACGTTTTGGAGTTGAAAAATGTTTTAAATAGAGACGTGGAACATCTATCCGGTGGAGAGTTGCAAAGATTTGCCCTTGGAATGACATGCGTACAAGAAGCCAACGTTTATATGTTTGATGAGCCTTCTTCATATTTGGACGTCAAACAGAGGTTGAGAGCGGCCGAAATTATTAGATCCTTGTTATCTCCAACAACTTACATCATTTGTGTCGAGCACGATTTATCGGTATTGGATTATTTATCCGATTTCATATGTATTCTTTATGGTGCACCCTCTGTGTATGGTGTGGTAACATTGCCTTCCTCCGTGAGAGAAGGTATCAACATCTTCTTGGAGGGTCATATACCAACAGAGAATATGAGGTTCAGAACCGAGTCTTTACAGTTTAGATTGGCAGATGCTGCAGATGATATGATTTTGGATAAATCTAATTCTTTATCATATCCCTCAATGCAAAAAACTCAAGGGGACTTTAAATTGGAAGTCGAAGCAGGTGAGTTTACCAATTCAGAGATCCTTGTTATGATGGGTGAAAATGGTACTGGAAAGACCACGTTTTGTAGATTATTGGCCGGTGCCATTGCAGCTGACAATGGAAAGGAGATTCCCAAGTTGAATGTCTCAATGAAACCACAAAAAATTGCCCCCAAATTTACTGGTACCGTTAGACAATTGTTTTTCAAGAAAATCAGAGCATCCTTTTTACATCCTCAATTTCAAACTGATGTTGTAAAACCTTTAAAAATTGATGACATTGTAGATCAAGAAGTTCAAACTTTATCAGGTGGTGAGTTACAAAGAGTAGCTATTGTTTTGGCATTGGGAGTTCCTGCCGATTTGTATTTGATTGATGAGCCTTCAGCTTATTTGGATTCGGAACAGCGTATTATTTGCTCCAAGGTGATTAGGAGGTTTATTTTGCATGCGAAAAAGACGGCATTTATTGTTGAGCACGATTTTATTATGGCAACGTATTTAGCTGATAAGGTTATTGTTTTTGAAGGCCAACCATCAAGACATGCCAAAGCCAGAGCTCCAGAATCTTTATTGACTGGCTGTAACCGGTTTTTGAAAAATTTGAATGTTACTTTCAGAAGAGATCCTAATTCTTACAGACCAAGAATCAACAAATTGGATTCTCAAATGGATAAAGAACAGAAGGCCTCCGGTAATTACTTTTTTTTGGAGAATACTGAATTGTAAGAGAGCCATTAATAATTGCATTAATTTTTTCATTCTTTACTTGATGAAATTGGTTTTTGTTGTGGAAACCGCCGAGTTTTTGCTCATATGATGACTACCCCCATTGTGTTTTATTGCATCACAAAATGATTTTGCTCTCTTTACCCCTCCCCTAAAGATGAAAACTGTTTAGAGGACATTTACGAAAACGGCTGGTGAAGGCCGTGTGAGAGAACAAAGTTTGGAGTCATTTCAAGAGCTTCTTTAGAACAATTACTTTTTTAATAAGCTGACGGGACATATCCTCGTACTTTTTTTCAAGTATGGTCCGTCTTATAGAGAGGTGTATAATAACTCTTCAATTATTATGTGTATAAAGAGACAATATTCTGTAGAGGCTAGTGGCCAACTTGACGACATACTAGCTCGCTTCCCTCCCTAGTGGAGAGTATATAGAAAGAAAAAAAAAGAACAATTAAAGAGAGAGAGAGAAAAAAAGACAAGCAATGAGGATGAGAAACAAGGACAGCGAGTAGGAAAAAAAAAAATCCCTAGAAAGGCAGAAGTTGTGAATTCATTTGATTGAATTGTTTCTCACTTGTACTTACAATCTAAGTTTGAAGATTTCCTGCCCTTTTTCTTTTCTTGACCAATAATGTCCGCGGGAGTACCCCCACCGAATGGACAGTTTCATGTTAAAACTACTGCCCAGAGATCACCTGTAGCGATAAATATTGCAAATTACTTGTACAAGAATCCAATTTTGAAACAGCGCACAGGGTTACTTGACAATGCAACAGATCTTGAGTTCTTTAGATTCAAAAGATTTGAAAGAGCTTTGTTGAGCGATGATTATAAAGCCAAGCAGCAAAACCCCAAGAGCGGATTGATCCCTATCCCCGATGTCCAAGAAGTGCAGAAAGTTTTTGTGATGTTGATCCAGAACCAGTTGGTCTTGCCAGTTGAGAAATTGCATTATGCCCAAATAAAGGCTGTAAAAGGATGGAAACCCAACAAAGAGAAGCCAACTTTGAAAAGAGCCGATAAGGCTGTGATTGACCCTAATTCGTATTTTGGCTGGTTATACTCTAAGCCAAATCCTTATATCATGTTATACAGTATATTGGCAATAGTGGGTGTGTTTACAATTATCTTGTTTCCCTTGTGGCCCAACTTTATGAGAAGAGGAGTTTGGTACCTCTCGATGGGTGCGTTGGGTCTAATTGGGTTATTTTTCGCTATAGCTATTGTGAGATTGATCATATACATTTTTTCACTTTTAGCATTTCCACAACCGTTTTGGTTGTTTCCCAATTTGTTTGAGGACTGTGGAGTGATTGAGAGTTTCAAACCGTTGTATGCTTGGGAAGAATCTAAAAAGCAAAAGAAGAGCAAAAAGGGCAAAAAGGGCAAAAGTTCTGAAGCCGTGAAGGATTCTGTTGTGGAGAAGGGGAAGGAGAAGAAGAAGGAGGCGCAAGAGGAGACTAACAGTGAGAGTGAAAAAATTGAGCCAATAGTTATCAAGCAAGATAAGAAAGCTAGTGGCGTAGAGCCTTCGTCTAATGGCACAACAACTAAGCGCAAAGTTACAATAGAAGAAATAGCCGAATAGAGAGCGTAGCTGAATAGAGAAAGTAGCTGAATAGAGAACGTAGCCCAATAGAGAGAGAGAGAGAGAGATGGTTTCTAGTTCATAGTTTTTATAAATGCCAAACCAAAAAAAGAGAGAATGAGAGTCAATCACGTGATCGTATACTAACAATTTTTTATTTTTTTTTTATTTTTTTTCCCCCTTAGTTTTCTGTGTTTTCTTAGGGGTAATGAGTTGAGGAAGAATCGAATGACTATATATGACAATGATAAATGATTTAGCATTCAATTCAGATTACTCGTCGATATCAGTATCGACAGACGAAGGTCACAAAATCTTCAATTGTGAACCTTTTGGTGAGCTTTATTCGTCTGATGAAGTTCCACTTCGAAAATCTATATCAAACTCTTTAGACGATAACGATGATGATAACAAAGGGCCAACTACTTCATCAACAGTGAGCTTGAAGAACGAATTGGGGGAAGATACGGATCATAATGGGAACTACCCCACCTTGTTTTTGAGAATGTTGTATTCAACTTCATTGACGATTATTGTACCCAAGAGGGCAGATAATAAACTATTAAAGATATTCAATTTAAAACAAAATTTGAAAATTATTGATCTAGAGTTCAATGCAAGTATAATAGATGTGAAGCTTAATCGGAAAAGATTGGTAGTAGTTTTGCAAAATGGAGAGGTTCACATTTACGATTTGAGCTGTATCAAGCTTATTAAGATACTACGACTACATTTTGATAAGCCAAATACCTGCGAGTTTATTGGCGACTTGAGTGCAAAGGACGTTTCTTGGCTAGCTATACCGATGAGTTTGATAATGGAGAGCTCAGATTTGTTCGGTTCAAGTTTAAGTTTAAGCGATGCCAATCTGTCTGTTACACTAAACTCTAAAGATGCACTGGTGGTGGATCACTTTTACTTTGATGAGTATCTCAAGATGACACCCAAAAATTCACATAGTAATGGGCTCTTAAACAAGTCACAAATATCTTTGAAAGATATGCAAAGTGAGGGGGGCGGATGGGTACTTATATTCGATACCATCAATCTTCGGCCTGTCATAATATTCAAGGCCCATGACTCTGCCATTGCCAAGATTACAATGTCAAGCAATAGCTACAAATTAGCAACTGCATCAGTGAAGGGAACTATATTACGTGTATTTGATTTGCAAATACCAGATGATGGAGACAAAGCGGAAATAATTCTGGTGAAAAACCTACGCCGTGGTCATAATTTAACGAAGATCAACTCAATGAGCTTCCACAATGATGACCGTATTTTAGGATGCGGATCTGAGTCAATGACTATTCATTTGTTTGAGCTAGCGGGAATGCGAAATGGAGACGATAGGGGAAATGACCCTCCCGCCACTACACAAGGGCGGAACTGGAACGATAGTTTTAGTGATTACGATAATCAAAGCGACGGGGAAGGAAATAGGTCGTCATCGGAAGATTTAAATGAGAGCTTGGCTAACTTGCTACTTTCAAAGCCCATTGAGGAGAAAACCAAAGTTGGGGCAGATCAAGAGGGGGAGCATCATTTGAAAAGCAAATCCTGGTTTAGCAAGACTAGGAAGAAATTTACCGAGAATGTGTATACTAACTCAGTGTTTCAAAAGATACCATATAAGGATTACTTTGAGAATTTGATTTGGGAACCACCAAAACGTTCATTTGCTTTTATCAAAGTTCCTGAACATACTGTGACAAATGAGAAATCGAGTTGTAGTAAATTCCAAATCGGATTTTGTGGAAACATTGTGTATATTGCATCATATCGATCTGGTATATTTTACCAGTATCAATTACCGAAAAAGAAAATTGTTAATAGAAGCGGTGGTGCTTCATTGGAGAATCAAGAAGAGAATGAAAAGAGAGGAAAGTGCATTTTGCTTGGAGAATATAGCCTAAGCTAATGACACTGACTAATGACACTATCGAGCAACACTATCGAGCGAAGCGAGATAGTGTTGTAACAAGCTACTGAGTGTCACTATTGAGCAACACTATCGAGCGAAGCGAGATAGTGTTGTAACAAGCTACTGAGTGTTGCACCACTGACTAATGACACTATTGAGTGACACTATCTCGCTTCGCTCAATAGTGGAGCACACTGACTAATGACACTATTGAGCAACACTATCTCGCTTCGCTCAATAGTGGAGCACACTGACTAATGACACTATTGAGCAACACTATCTCGCTTCGCTCAATAGTGGAGCACACTGACTAATGACACTATTGAGCAACACTATCTCGCTTCGCTCAATAGTGTCACTATCACTATCAAACAGAGCGACACTTTATAATCACATTTTCTCACTTTATAATCTCTTTTCCGTTAGCGCGCGGGAAAAAAAAGTATACTAATCGATACAATCAATTGGAGAATATGCATTTAGCGGTAAAATGAAGTAGAACCAACTCGCTTGGCTCGTTAGTGTCGCCTCCTCTCTAGTCACTTCTGCTCCACTAACTCGCTTCGCCCGTTAGTGTCGCAAACCTTGTGAGACTCCCCCCCCCCCTTCCGCTTTGCCCTAGGAAAGCCAGTCACTTCAAGTAGTTGTACTTGAAAGTGTATTTTGGTAGTGCCATTGTTTAATAAATCGCTCTCTTCCCACCCCACAAAATTGCTTCTATCAATCGGCCCGCTCCTTATAATCTTTTTCCCTTGTAGCGTTCACAAATTTAAATTGGATACAATTTTCCATCTCTCTAGTTGAGATTTTCATGTTGAGATCATTGTTGTCTCAGAGATACAATTATCGAGTACGTTTATCTTCATTGTCAAAATATCAATTGAATAGAATGTCATCTTCACCCAAAATAGCTCTCAATCTGACTTCTTCTTCTGCTTCTAATACCGAGGAAGCAGTTGTTCTTAGTACCAAGCAAAACCATGCGCGGTTAATAATCTTGAATCGTGTTAGGAAATTAAATTCGTTGAACACTGAAATGGTTGGGCTTATTACCCAGAGCTTGTTAGACAATATTAGATCCAAAGACAATAATGTCACTATCTTAACCACTAATTCTCCAAAGGCTCTATGCGCCGGAGGAGACGTTGCTGAATGTGCAGTGCAAATTGAAAAGGGCAATCCAGGGTATGGTGCTGACTTCTTCGACAAGGAATACAACATGAACTATATTATCGCCACATCGCCCAAACCGTTTATTTCCTTGATGGATGGTATAACTTTTGGTGGTGGGGTTGGTTTATCGGTACATGCCCCCTTTAGAGTTGCCACTGAAAAGACCAAGTTGGCTATGCCCGAAATGGACATTGGGTTTTTCCCAGATGTTGGCACAACATTCTTCTTGCCTAGATTGGACGACAAATTGGGGTACTATACAGCTTTGACGGGTGCCGTTTTGTCAGGATTGGATGCGTATTTCATGGGATTTGCAACTCATTATATTAAATCAGAGAAAATCCCTTACTTGATAAACAGATTAGCCGATTTACAACCACCAGAATTGGAAGAGGGCGCTGAATTTTCATTAGTAAAGGGAAATTCAATATACTTTGACCAAGTCAACAATATTTTGAACGATTTTTGCGAAAAGAGACTTCCAAGCGACTACAAATTTTTATTAAGTGATGAAGAAATTAAGTTGACCAAGGAGGCATTTTCTCAAGATAGTATTGAAAATGTTTTGGCTTATCTTGAAAGGGAAAGTGAAAAATCACCATTTGCAAAGAAAACTCTTGAAAAGTTATTGCAAAAACCAAGAACTTCCTTGGTTACTGGTTTTGAATTGATGAACCAAGGTTTGAAAAATTCAATCAAACAACAATTGGAGTTGGAAATGGTCTCGGCAACAAATATCATGAGGATACCAGCCGAGAAGAATGACTTTGCCAAAGGTGTCATACACAAATTGGTAAAGAAAATCAAAGATCCATTTTTTCCCCAATGGAATGATCCAAGTACCGTGACCCCAGAATTCTTAAAGTATATATTCACAGAAACAGACGAAACACTACAACTTTTGACAACCCCATTAATCAAAAAATGGTTTAACCTTGACTTTGACAAGTATCCATTAAACTACGGCTTACCAAGAGCAGAAGAAGTTGCTCTGTATATCGCTGGCAAGGATGGCTCAAACAGATCTTACTTGCCTACACCTACTGAAGTCTTCAAGCATTTTAAGCACAAGACAAATAACAAGTTGGGTGTCGAATTGAAAATCAAGCAAATATTGGACTTGCATGGAGAAACAGCCAAGTACGATAATAAATATGTTACTTGGAAGGATTGAGAGTAGCGTGCCTTTTTTTTTTGGTTTTTTTGGTTGAGTATTCAGTAACATTTAGTAATGATAACAATAATAATACAAATATCATAGAATACACACATACATATATATATATATATATATGTATAGCTCTATTTAAACTTTTCAGTAATTATGTCTTCTCCCAATTCTTCATAGTCGGCTTTAGTAATAAACCAATTATCTAATGCGATTTTTGCACTACCAGAGTTTTCGTCATTGTCATTTAACATTGAAGCCAAATTACAAGCGCCTAGCCAACTGCCAAACTGCTTATCCCAGATTTCGGCTGTGTCCAGGCTATTTGACGGCCTTATTAGTTGCACATTATAAGAAAATGGATAGTTTGGGAAATACTTTTGTGTTAATGATTTTAAATCATTAATAACATGATCGGACAACCCGTTGCATAGAGAGACTCCACCTGTTATCAAAACGTTCGATAACAATTGTTTGAATATTTCCATAAATCTGGCAAACCTATTATGTGACGAAGCAGTCACCCCGTTTACATTGTTGCTATCGTTATTTGGTAGTAACGAAGCTTCGAGATTCTTTATCGCTAAAAAGACAAGATTCGTCAAACCGTGCGAGCTTGGCTTGTCTATAGTTGGCTCGGGAATTGTTACATTAGGTAGCTTGTTTGCAGTTGGATCAAACAAGTTTTCAAGGAAATTTCGTTGGTCACTAACGTCAATATATTTGTGGTCATATAGTTGAAAGTTTGACACATGGTAATTGATTGACAAATTTTTAAACTCTTGTAAAACATGGGTACTCATGTAGTACTGTTTGAAAGAAGCAGTAGTCAGTGAAGATCTAAAAGTGGATGGGAGCAACTCATCTATCGAGGTTACTTTACCTTCCAAGTAATGCTTGACATGCAAATTTAAGAAATCGCCGGCAAATTTCGAATGATAAGAACACTTGTTTTGTATTATCCCATCGAAAATGGGGGTGACACTGGTAACTGCAGCGCCTATATCGATGACTAAACCCGTTGATTTCCCACATCTGTACAATTGACTAATGGGGTTCTTAACCAAACTGAAGAGAGGTACCTCCAACTGCTCAAATACAATCTGACACGTTTTTGTTTTATTTTTCATAGTGTTCCACGATTGTTCGGTCATAACAAGAGGAAACTCCTTTGAGTCTATACCATTGTGATTATCGATATTGTCATAGACATATTGCCAATTGTGCACAATATTGTCAAAATTGTAAATCAAGCCATTATCTAACAAAGTCGACACCTCATTTTGCGAATATTTGTCCATTTCATCGTCTCCAACTATCACTTTCTGTGATGATTCGTCATAGATGTAATTGGAATTGAACACAAGTGATGGTAAGTTGTCCAGAGCAAAACCCGCTTTGGTAGTGTACGAACCATTGTCTATAACAACTGCCAGTGCTCTATATGTCATAATCGCTTCGCTTCTCAAAATGACCTATTAAAACCGGTGATAATCAGCTCCCCACAGCAACAACCAAGGAAAACACCCCTACTAATCAATGATGATGATTAAGAGGTGAGCGCTCTTCTGTTTATTTTTCATTTTTTTTCCATTTCATTTTTTCCACTTGGTAGCAAAAATTTGTTTAACTAAAGAAAAACTTGTATTAGAATAGAAGAGGTTAGAAAGTTGAAGGCGTAAAGAGATATCAAGTTGACTGGTTTTCAGGGCAGCCATAGCTATATATAGAGAGATAGAGATAAATAGAGAGATGCTTAGCTTATCCAGGCTGTCTTTTCATAGCTTGAAGAGCTCGTTGCGCAGAAATCTTGCTAATGCTGTTCCATCACGACTTACTTATCAAACGTCGATATTACCTAATGGAATAACAGTTGCGAGCGAATCTATGCCCGGAACAAGAACTGCTACAGTTGGTGTGTGGATAAATGCTGGATCCAGAGCCGATAATCCCAAAAGTAGCGGCACTGCTCATTTCTTGGAGCATTTGGCTTTCAAAGGAACGAATCGAAGAACACAGTTGAACTTGGAATTAGAGATTGAAAATATAGGCTCTCAAATAAATGCATATACCTCGAGAGAGAATACCGTTTACTATACAAAGTGTTTATCCAAAGATTTGAACCAGAATGTAGACATTTTAAGCGATTTGTTGACGAGATCAAAGCTATCACCCAGAGCTATTGAGAGTGAAAGACACGTTATCCTACAAGAAAGCGATGAAGTGGATAAAATGTACGATGAAGTTGTTTTTGATCACTTGCATGCAGTAACTTACAAAAACCAGGACTTGGGAAGAACAATTTTGGGCCCTAGAGAGCTAATCAAGACGATAAATCAAAACGATTTGAAAGAATATATAACAACAAATTACAAGGGCGATAGAATGGCATTAATTGGAGTTGGTTGTGTTGACCATGAAGAACTAGTTGAAATGGGGAAACGGTTTTTCGGTCACATAAAAAAGAGCGATAAGCCATTTAACCAAAGCGGGAACGACTTACCCAGATTTTACGGGGAAGAGATACGGATCCAGGACGACGCATTACCCACAACTCATGTGGCCCTTGCAGTTGAAGGCGTAAGTTGGTCGGCACCGGATTTTTTTGTTGCATCAGTGGCAAATGGTATAATTGGAACCTGGGACCGCTCAATAGGAACCGGTTCTAGTTCACCATCTCCATTGGCAGTTACAGCGGCAACAGGAGGACCTGGCAACACACCAATTGCCAATTCTTACATGGCATATACAACATCTTATGCCGATACAGGTTTATTGGGTGTATATTTCACTGCTGACAAAACTGCAGATTTATCATTGTTAGTTGATGCGATACAAAAGGAATGGGGAAGATTAGCTTTGGGAAACATCAACGAGGATGAAGTAGAGAGAGCAAAGGCACAGTTGAAAGCATCGTTGTTGTTAGCCTTGGACGATTCAACTGCCATTGCTGAAGATATAGGAAGACAACTTGTAAATACAGGATACCGTTTATCCCCAGAGGAAGTTTTCGCACGGGTCGAATCTATTACAAAGGAAGATGTTGTGAATTGGGCCAATTTTAGACTTAGAGGTAAGCCAATTGCCTTGGCTGCCGTTGGTAATGTTAAGACCTTGCCATCGTTGTCCGAAATTACCAAGGGCATGCATTTTTCTAATAAATAATTAATAAAAGAAAGAAGAACAAAAAGCCTTTTTTTTTTTTTTTTTTTTTTACCCCCCTTTAATTTATTATGTATACTATTATATCAATTTAGACACAGCCGATGATGTATTATTATCGAAATCGCCATTCTCGATTGTTTCTGCTTCAACTTCTCCTTCTTTAATCATAACGGATTGATTAGGTACACGTTTCATAATTTCAGACGGAGGAAATAAAATTCCAATATTATCGATCCATCTTTTTCTCTTTTCCAACAAAACTCTCAACCCGCTATTAACCGCTCGTTGTTGTGGGGTATTTGTGTCGACTTTCTTTTTCTTTCCTTTCCCTTTTGATCTTTTCATGTATGCTTGATCAACTTGTTTGTCCAACTCCTCTAATATGGTGCAATATTCCTGATATGCAATATGTTCTTCTACTATTGGAATTAACTTCTTCTTATTTGCTCGATTTCTGCTGTTCACCTCTTTCAACTCTCTTTGCAATGCGCGTATTTTAGCACAAACTTCGTCATCCTCTTTGTTTTTTATCCACTCGTCGTTATCTATAATGCTATGGTTTGATCTTTTCGGTATTCGCCCAGGTAGCTGCAATTTGGTCTTTGTGTTTTTGGAATCATCAATCAATGGCAAGTTCATAAATATACCTATATACTTTAGTTCCCTCTTCAAACGTTCTTCAATGGACTGGTAATCACTAGTTTCCGTTGTCATTCTATAGTCTTCATTGCTATTAAGCTGGGTGGCAACCTCGTCTTCTGCAAGTAAGTTTTTGCTTGACTCATTGTCATTGGCTTCTTCTTTTACCTCACCTCTACTTGATACGTTGTCCCCCCCTCCTACCACTATTCCTGTTCCTCCTGCGCCCTCTTCTTCGACTTCCTCTTCTTTCCCCTCGTGATTGCTTAGTATTGCTGATAATAATCGACTGGAAAGTGGTCCGCAGGAGATTTCCTCTGTATACAAAACATCGTCATTTAGTAAACTAACGGATCCTTTTGCTTTAGACTCCTCTGCTGGGTAAGCCAGATATTGTACAGGTGAATTCAACTTGGGAGCTAGACTCGGGTCCTCTTCTATCCAGACATCTGCATAAAATCTCCCTAGTTTTGGTATCACAAAAGGGGTTAGATCAGCCTCGTATCCAAGACTTTCGAATCCCGGAGGTATAACATTTTTTTCACTGAGAAATTTTAGGTCGTCGTTATTAAACGGACGGAAATACGATTCGATATAAGATTGGAATGTTGTAAATAGGACCTGGTTTGTTGGTGGTTTGTTTTTTGAAAAATCAATATTGGGAATCAGTCCAGGAAGCAAATCGAGAAGATCATTTTCAGGATAAGAAGCAACACCATATTTTTTCTTTAGAAATTCAGTTCCATGAGTTTCTAAACCATCATTGTCCTCGGAATATAGTCCTAGTTTTGCTATTGCCTCTGCAGACAAAGTTTGTGGCTCAACGTATTCCGAATGAGGGTTTTTTAGCCTTGTGTCGTTTTCCTGAGTAAAAGATCCCGATTGAATAGGCGGTACAGGATCGTCTTTGGAGTTGAGTTGTTGCGAGTTGTTATTCTCCTGTGCATAAACTTGTTTATATTCAAGCTCTGAATTAGGCATGACATTTGTTTTCCTTCTCTTGCTGTACACACCGGTTGGTTCGCGTTCGCCTTCGCGTTCGCCTTTGCGTTCGCCTTTGCGTTCGCCTCCTTCTTGTTGTTCATTTTCTTCCTCTTTGCTCTGTTCGTCGAGTTCGCTGATTGTTCGTTTTCTATTATTCTCTTTCTGCGAGCCAAACTTCCTCTTACGGGCTTTTATTGAGTTTATTCTTGAAAGCACCTTGTCATCCGTCAATTCCACCTCGTTCAATTGTTTCCAAAGATTTTTGAGCAACTTGTTCAAATTCGTTAACGTATTCACATTCGGCATGTTTTGTATGGAATCACCATCCAAAAGTCCTACTGACGAGTCATACGTCAATTTCAACTCATTAATTATGTCATCTAAAATAGTAGACGCAGCATGGACATCCGGCATAGTACTGGGTGACGAGTTATGGGGTCAAACTGTCAAGCCTTGTTTTATAAGCTTAAACTTTTATAATAGTAATGGAAAATTTATTTACATTTCTTTAGTCTTCTCAACGGAACAATTTTTGTTGACATTGGCTCAGTTGTTTTTTGCTTCACTTTAAATGTCGCATGTCGCATGTCGTATAGACTAGTCGACCAAAGCGAGACTAGTCTATGAAGGAATAAGAGTATTACTAGTCTATGAAGGAATAAGAGTATTACTAGTCTATGAAGGAATAGGGCAAGAGTATTTGAAGATAGTATTAGTAACTCACTTGCGAGCTAGTAAAGAGGAGTTTTTAGTAGAAACTATTAGTCCTTCTCTTCGGTAACAGCGGGTAGCGCCGACTATATATAGTAGCTATTGTGTAAGCGCGAGTTGGTTGGGGAATACAAATCTGTAGAAGAGAGATTGTTTATTGACTCAATTCTATAGACAGTGATCTACATCTAGAGACTAGACGAGCGAGCAAGTCTAGTCTAGAGAGTAATCTCGTTTACACACGGGTTTAATTACAAATATGTAGAAGAGAGATTGTTTATTGACTCAACCCTATAGACAGTGATCTACATCTCTTACATCTCTTTCATCTTTCATCTTACATCTCTTACATCTTACATCTCTTTATATCTCCTTTCTCAAATTTTTTTTCTCCTTTACCTCTCATACATATCTTCTCATACACATTTTCTCATACATCTCATACATCTCTTCTCTTACATTGTTTTCATTACAAGTCTATACTATATACAACTCCTTCTCACTTGCGCTGCCTTCTCTTCATCTAAGGGGCTAAATTTTGAAGTTCTTTAATATCAACAACTTTTGCTTTCAATTCAACAAGTCTGTTGACAATATTGTGTCTCTTTTCAGGTGCATCCTCGACTCTTTTCCAGCTCTCGGGGAAAACTGGTTTGTCCATTTTACTGCTCCATATTTTCATATGACGCTTATCCAAGGGGATGTCGCTAAACGTTTCCTTTGAAAGATCCTTCGCCTCACTCAAAAGTCTGTTAAATGTAGTAGTTAGCCAATTTGCATTCTGCGCTGCTTCAGGATACCTCTCGCATTTTAAATGGAAAGAGTTTGTATCATAACGAAACCTTCCGCCGGCTAGAATCTTGAACTTGTGTTCTTGCTCTTGATTCAACCCCAAATCTTTCAACTCAACAGATAGCTTTACAACTCTGTTATTCTTGTTAGATGTCTCCTCTGTGAAATCTGAATGAAACGTTAATTTGATAGGTGCTTCTTTCCTCGATTTGGGCTGATACGGCTGACGATACTTTGCAAGCAATGGTGTCTCATAAGCCAAAATCCTCGTTAAATTCTCAATACGTCTCTCACGGTGTGGTGCGGCACCCGTGTTGATAACAAATTGGTTGGATAATTTTTGTGGTTTACCTCGTTCTTTCATTGGAGTATTGTTCATAACTCTCTCTTTGAAATTCTCAATCTCAAAACTATAGTCCAAAGCAGGTTTGTTGGAGGACAACGAGCTGATAGTGGACAAAATAGCAGTCCTTTCCTCATTCGTGGGATTATATGCGTCCCCCATATAAGCCTTTCTCATTTGATGTAATTGAAAAATTTGATCTGCCGGTAATCCTTTCCAAGCGTGTGGGTTAAGAAACAAATCCGGTTTCTTTGCTTTTGTTGTTGACAGAGCAGCACGCGATGTAACTGGTGTCGAATATGTCCTCAAGAAGAGAGACAACCCTTGGTATGTCTTTACCTTGACCCTCGTCATTACCTTACTTTGGAGTTCGAATAATGTACAAAGAATCAATGAAAAAAAAAAATCAAATAAAATTTAACATTATTTGGTCAATTGAAAAAAAAAAAGAAAAAAAGAAAACGCAAAAGGATGAAAAAGTTCAATTATACAAAGTATAGATCATTCAAAACCTAGATAATTTTACTATTACAAACGAAGATGTCTAGAGTCAAGACGCCTTGAATATCATTTTTTTCTAAAAAAGAGAGTTGACGGATAAAGAGAAAGTATAGCTATTATTTCAAGCCATTTTTTCTCCTTATTTCACTTTGCAAATTACTTTTCTTTTTTGATTTTCTTCTTTGGCATTTCCTCATCTTGCTTTTGTCTTGTTCTCTTAAATGGTGGGCCGGTAGAACCCTTTTCAGCTTTTTCGTCACCAGCAATTTCTTTCTTTACCTTCACGTTCGAGTGGCCTTGTTCCTCTTTTACCGAGTGGCCTTGGCCTTGTTCTTCTTTTACCGAGTGGCCTTGGCCTTGTTCTTCTTTTACCGAGTGGCCTTGGCCTTGTTCTTCTTTTACCGAGTGGCCTTGGCCTTGTTCTTCTTTTACTTTTGGTTTCGTTTCATCTCTACTGGAAACTGTTTCTGTTTTCAATTTTCCCTTTCCCCTTTCCTTATTCTTTGACGAAAAGAAACTATCTACCGAATCATTATTTGGAACTAGTTTCTTCAAGATATCTTCACTTTTATTGTTGGGGTTCCCCACTTTTTTTGACACTCGATAACCTTCTACATTCTCGTATGCTGGATTTGTAGACGTGTTTAACGTTTCATCAATTAACTTGTGATCCATATGTTTATCGCTATCTAGCCAATCATACCATGCCTTTGAAGCAGGTTTAATCAATATAGGTTTCCTAGCATGCAACCATGCCAAACTGTTTTCATCCGTTTTTTCCACTGGTCCAGTAACAATCGTGAAGGAAGATAGATACTCTTCGTTTACGTTAAAGTTTTCATTATAATTGTGATTGTGGGAGTATAGTCCAGCCAAATAAACTATAGGTGCTGTTGTTGAATGGACAAAATAGGGTATTTTCTCACCTTTTGTTTTCTGCCACTCAAAATAACCTTGAACTGGAATAACACATCGATTATTTTTTGCAGAATTCCAAACAGACTTGTTCTGGTCAAGACTCTCTTTCCTACAGTTGAAGTATTTGCTCTCATGCTTTCCTAATTCTCTGGAATATCGTTTCCCTTGATTATCCTTGCCCTCATTGATCGGTTTAGGGTCTTGTGGCTTTGCCCACAATGGCACCAATCCAAACTTTGCCGGCTCAAAGATATACCTGTGAGAGACTCCGCCATCTTCTGCGGGTGGAGCTTTAGCTCTATATATTATCAAAGCAGTATTTGTTGGAGCAATGTTAAAAGAGGGTGTGTAGTTGTGTACTCTAGTCAAGTCTAACTCCACTTTTTCTTCAGCGCCCAGTGGTCCTACATCAATAATTTGGTAAACCCCTTCAGACGTTTCATTTATGGTGTTGCTGGTGTTGCTGGTGCTGGTGCTGGTGCCGGTGCCGCCTCTAGAAGCTTCCTTCTGATAAACTGCACCCCCCAAAAAATCACTTGGAATCTCTTCAATATTCTGAAAACTCAACTAGTCAGTATAATGCCCTTTCAGCAATTTGTACTTAAAATATCAAGTGTTATGCATCACATACAATACCTTGAGCAAATCTCCCACACATTGTTCTTTTCTTTTGCCAAAGTGATTGGATCTACATAACTCGGAGTGAGTCTTGTTCTTCTTATTTGAATATTTATAACTCCGCAATATATTCTTTTTTTTCTTTCGCGGGGGGAGGAAAGAACAAAGTGAAAAACATAAAGATGGCACATTAAAGTGCATTTACATCAAGCAGATGTTTTATTTCATTGACTTTTTATTGTTCAAGATGTAAGGAAACTGCGGCTTAGTTACAGGGTTCTATAAACATAATGGTGTTTTATCCCAGTTGTAACTGAAAACAAAAAAAATTGAGTTATCAATTTTGTTTAGTGCGCTTTCAGTTTAATATGTCAACTTCTTCATCGAAATATTCTGGTTGCGAGTCTCTATCTAAGAACTCGTCATACGATTTCCCAAAATTGTTTGTAGAATCTGGATCATCCGAATCACCGTCTCTTTGATCTTGATTGTATTCGTCGTAGTACATTTCATCATTAGCATCGTTTTCATTTTTGTTTTCAGTAGGAACATCATTCGATTCCTTTTCCTTCTTCAAAAATTCCCTTTTATCTCTTTTGTATTTTTCGTAATCCTCTTTTGCTTCATTTGCTTGCTCATATAGTTCATCAGCAACATTGGGATCCCTTAATGTTCCTAAATGTGTATCTTCTAAAAATTTCACTGGTTGCATCCCATCCGGGAAATATGTTTGGTTCACTATTCCATTTTCGTATTTTGGATTATACTTGTATTCTGCACCAAACCCCATTTCTTTCATGAGACCTGTTGGAGCATTTTTCAAATGAATGGGGACAGCAAGACGCGTAAATTCGGGATGTTCACTTATGAGCTTTTGTGCCGAACGCAACGAGCGGTACGATTTTGTGGATTTTGGTGCTCTGGCTAGCTTATTCGCACAGTGAGCCAATATTATCTCTCCTTCGGGCATTCCTACAAACTCAACAGCTTCCTTGGCAGCCATCATAAACGGCAAACAAGAGCTATCTCTCAAACCGATATCTTCACTAGCAATCACAATCATTCTCCTCAAAATGAACATTGGGTCCTCGCCTCCTGATAGCATTTTTACCAAATAAAACATTGCAGCGTTTGGATCGGATCCCCTCACAGATTTGTGGAAAGCACTAATAATGTCATAGTGAGCATCGCCAGCTCTATCATAAGTTTGGTGAAAATTTCGAGATTTCAAAATCTGCTTGAGTAAACCAACTGTTACTTTAATCACACCTTGCTTTCGAAACCCATCCACTTCTTTTGCGTTGTATTCTTCAGATGACAAATACGCATTTACCGTTTCTAGGATATTTAATGCTATACGTGAATCGCCCATGCATAGTTCTGCAATATACGTAAATGCTTCGTCTTCGAGAGTCATATAATGCAAATGAAATAAGTTTCTTCTTATTTGATTAATGTCAAACAAAGCTCGAGTAAGTATTTTTACAACTGATTCTGTGGTCAATGAGTCCATCACAAACGTGTGAACTCGCGACAAAAGGGCATTATTTAGAACAAAAGATGGATTCTCTGTAGTTGCCCCAATCACCGTACATATACCTTTCTCCAAAATAGGAAGTAGCAAATCTTGGACAGCCTTATTGTACCTATGAATTTCGTCAAGAAAAAGAATAGTTCTTTGGCCAGTCAACCGTTTTTGATTTTCCGCTTGAGTGAAAACTTCCTTCAAGTGTTTTGCATTACTGTCGGCGCCAGATAGTTCAACAAATTTGCAGCTAGTTGTTCTTGCAATTATGCGAGCCAATGTCGTTTTTCCGCAACCGGGTGGTCCCCATAGTAAAAAAGAAGGTATAAGGTCTGCCTTGATTATATTTCGCAAAGGAGCATTTTTACCTAGTAGTTTTTCTTGTCCAATGAATTCGTCCAAGGTCTTTGGTCGCAATCTATGAGCTAATGGAATGTTTGCTCGTCGTCTTAGTTCTGCAATGTTTTCTTTTGGATTACTACGCGATTCAGTCTGTGGTGGTTGTGAGCTGATCGTCGAGCCGCCGCCGCCACCACTACCACTATTACTAGTGCTGCTGCTGCTGCTGCTGCTACCGCTACTACTCTCGGTGGTTTCTGGTTTATTAGCGAGCTTTTTTTGATTTTGACCTCCTTCCTTCTCTTCCTTTCCTTCCTTTTCTTCCATTTCCTCTTTTCCCTTTGCTATTATTTTGAATTGTTCCTCTAATGACTTGGGGTCCTTGTGGCTGGCTTTCACAGTTTGATGATGATGCTGTATAAAGCTTCTAGACTCAGGTTTCGGTCGTTTCTTTAGTGACTCTGAAAGTGAATGACCATCAGCTTTCAACCCAAGAGCAAAAAATGCATCCCGCTTTCTCGGCTTTACATCGATTGATTCAATTGTACTTGTACTGGGTAACCTAGTGGTCTCGCCATCTTTAGTTTTGCCTTCTTGATTATCTAAACAACTATTAACATGTCGCTCGAGCAAAGATTTGAGTATGGGCTTACTACATACTGGACATATCGAGTTCATTTAGAGACCAGTTTCAAACTTTCCTTCTTTCATATAAACAAGGAATTCAATTTTTCACTAGTAAAAGAAAAACGCGATAAATGAAAAATAGAAAACAGACAAGGGGAACCGCATTTGATAACACTTTATAGATTCTTGATTTTAAATTATGATCGCAGAGAGTCGTAGTCATGAGCAAGTATACAGTAGTGTGGAGGGGGCTCATTATAATAATAAGAGGAGGAAAGGGACACAAGCTCGAAATGGTTTGAAGAAAAAAAGGACCATTTCTCCCGAAACTGAGTATACAGATGAAACAAATGAAGAGATTGCAAAACAGTTCAAGAAGTTTACTAATGCTCCTAAATACAATTTGAACAGTGAAGAGCTATTTTGTATTTGTCGAAGAGTTGATGATGGTCAAATCATGATAGCATGCGATGGGTGTGAAGAATGGTTTCATTTCAAGTGCATGGATATTGATGCAAAACTTGCAAATTTAGTTGCGAAATTTTATTGCAAATTTTGTGATTGGCAAGGGCATGGAGTCACGCTTTGGAAACGTAAATGTCGATTAAACGAGTGTTTGATGCCTGTTGCAAATGAGTCTAAATATTGCAGTCGGCAGCACGGCGAGGAATATATGAGACGTTTATTACTAGAACGTAATCATGGTGGTAGTGGTAGTGGTAGTGGTAGTGCTAATGGTAGTGGTAGTGGTAGTGGCGACGGCCTTTCCCCAGGGGTCATCAAGAGTATTTTGGAGTTTGCGGAAAATGATTGTGAAAAATTGAAGAAATTGGGATCAGAGTTCCCAGAAGTTGAAAAAGTGAAAAAATTGAAAGTTGATAGTTCTGCTTTAGAGACTTTTCCCAAGGAGGTGCAAGATGATATTGTCAAAATCAATACAAGAGCCGAATCCATTCATCGAGAGGTGTTGTTACAGGAATCAAAGAAACAACTGTTGTTGAAAATGAAGGACAATATCAAAGCAATCTGTGAAAGACTTTCAAATTCCATATACCCTGAAACTAGTCAAGAGCTAGAAGTGAAGAAAAATTTGAAAAAGACAAAGCAAAAGAAAAGAATCGATCTTTGCATGTGTGACAAATCTGAAAACAATTTATTGAATCAAATTGCAAACACGGAAAACTTGTTTGATGAACTATTGATGAAGGTACGAAAGCGGGAACAACAACAACAGAAGGACGATAATGGTGATAATGTTAATGACAAGGTTGTGACAGTGGAAGGGGGGGAGGAGGAGGAGGAGGAGAAGAAGAAGAAGAGGGAGGATATGAACTCACAGGAGGAATCTAAAGACGCCGATGAAAACAACAATCCCGATTGGTTTAGAGGACAAATTTGTATAAAGGAGCGAAAACGATGTCAACGTCATAATGGTTGGTGGGGTCTTTTTTATGACGAGGTTGATAAGACATTAGACCAGTTGAATACTAAGGAAGTGCAAATGCTGGAAGCAAAAGAAGCAATACTACGTAACTATTCAATAAAGATCTACGAAACTTGAATAAACACCAGGTCAATTGTTCCCTCCGACACTATTGAGCACATTGACTAATTATCCCTCCGACACTATCGAGCACATTGACTAATTTATCCCTTGGACTGCTAATCAAAGCCTTTCACACGGGTTTGGTTTATTTCTTCTCACCATTTAAGGTAGCTACGATTCTCCGAGTATGCCTATAAGTTCTGAATTCACATAAATAGATCCCCTGCCAAGTTCCAGTGTTGAGTCTCCCGTTGGTTATGGGGATACTTACACTCACACCGACAACTGAACTCTTGACATGTCCTGGCATATCGTCACTGCCTTCATCTGCGTGTATATAAAAGTCTCCCTCCGGTGCAATTCGGTTCAATGCACTGTCCATATCTGTTCTAACATCAGGGTCACAGTTCTCGTTCAAAGTCAACCCGGCGCTTGTGTGTTGCAAGAAAAGATGCAATATCCCCACTTTGTATTGTTTAATTTGTGGAACTTTATCATAAACTTCGTCAGTTATCAAATAGCACCCTTTTGATCTGGGGCTTAAAGAAAATGTTACTTGTTCCCAGGACATCGTATAGGAATGATGGAAAAGTAACAATAACAATCAGAATCCGGTTTCTTCTTAACTGGAGAAAGTAAAGTTTTGAGAATTGAGATCTACTTATGATCAAAGATTGCTACAATCTACTTATGATCAAAGATTGCTATAATAGCTTATAAAGGAAATAAAAAGAGACTACGGAACAAATTTGGAAAAAAAAACAAAAAAAAAAGAGAAGCAAAATTTTGCAACTAATTCGGACTTGCCCTTGAGTTTTCCATGTAAGGTTGTATCTCGCTGCAGGAAAAGCAGTTATAGCTAGGATACTAGTATTTTCCTAATATAGATTTCTCTCCCTTTCAACGACATGGGTTATCCCTTACATGAAGTTCGCGCTTTTGTCTAAGTTGTGGGCGGCAAAGGCCATCTCATCGCCTCTTTTTTATTTTCTCTCTTTTTCTTTTTTTTTTCCCATGCGATGAGATGCGATGAGCTGTGTGCACTAACAATTTTTTTTTTTTTCCATTCCATCTCTTCCCTTGGAAAGTTTAACATCAATATTGTTCAAACCAATTTAGATCTTTGGTTCAAGGCACTCGAGTTTACAAATATGCAGGTTGCTATACACCAGGATGACGCCGATATATTACTTAAGCAAAGAAACATACTAGACGAAGCCATTGTGGAGAAATATCGAGTTGCAGGCCAGATCACTCAATCTGGTTTACAATATTTCACTTCATTAATTAATAATTGTTATCATTTACAAACCATTCCTAGGTTGACCATACAACAGTTGTGTTTATTGACAGATTCTTGTTTACTCGATTTGTTATCCAAGCAGTATGTCAACAAGGTAAATGAAAAAGGTATTGCCATTCCAACCACAATAAATGTCAATGAATTTGTAAATGGATTTGCGCCTGAAATCGATGATGAGCGAGAAATGTTCTTAAACCAGGGTGATGTTGTTACTGTGAGTATGGGAGTACATATCGATGGATACACATCGCAATTAAGTCACACTCTTGTTATTTACCCAATAAACCCAGCTGAAATGAAACCCAGCGGGCCCTTATTAGGTAATAATGCTGATGCCTTGTGTGCAACACATATAGCTATGGAATCGGTAATATCCTTATTGGGATGCTCATTATCTCCTGAGAAATTACCCCAACAGTTGAAAAATAGTTCAAATTCAATAACAGGTCTGCAAATACGTCAACTTGTGGATTCTATTGCCGAGTCTTTCAACTGTGTAGTTGTTCCAGGGTCCAAAGTCAGGAGGATCAGACGATTTTTGGCCGGACAAGCAGAGGGTGTTGTTGCTGAACGTGATTTCAAAGGGGTTGTTTGGGACGAATCTCATCAAGAAGCTCAGCTCTTGAAACGGGCACTAGGACTTGCATCATCATCAACATCGTTAACACCATCAACGACTACTAGTTTGATTAAGAAACCTATTGGCACTTCAAACTCTAGTGCTGTACCTACCGACGAGTTTGTAGTTGTACCCGGTGAAGTTTACCAAGTTGATATTTGCATGAGCGGGTTAAATAACGGCGAGCAACCGCAGCAACAATTGGGTATAGTGACCACAGAGGAGATTGACAATTTTGCAGGCAAGAACTATAAACAGAATGATTTCAATGCCAAAGCTTCGATATTTGTTCGAGATTTCGCCATAACGCATCAGTTGAAGTTAAAGACTGCGCGGAAATTATTGGGGGAAATTGACAAGTCGTTTTCAGTATTTCCTTTCAAGTTGGACTTTGCTAGCAAGTCGTTCCCAATAAACATCGAAGAATCGGAAGAGTCAATTAGACAGCAGATGGACCAAATAAAGGAAGAGATTAAAAGTTTTAGATTAGGGTCAGCAGAATTAACCAATCGTCATCTTATACGGTCTAAGCCCATACAAATTACTAAATTTATTCCATTGAAGGAAGTGTTGTTAACGGCCAATCCAACAGGTAAACATGGCGTTGATGCTAGTAAACCTGTTTTACCGGGGATGGAAGTTCCATTACCTCAGTTGGGAATATCATCTATTAAATTGAAATCCTTGTTGAAAACCGGTGCAAGTATTTCAAATGTTCGCGAATCCTCAACGATTGTGTTGAATGATAAAAAGCAAGAGGTGCACAGGTTGAATGGCGGTGAGTCTACTGCCAAAATGAACTGGGTTCATTCTCGATATGAGCTAGCAAACGAGGTACACGAACTTGTTAATCATTTGGTCCAATTGACAAAGGACAGTAGGTTCGGTATCAAGATAAAAGAAGTATTACCATATAAAATGAAATTAGAGAAATTAGCAGTAGAGTCAATGGAAACATAATTAGCAGTAGAGTCAATGGAAACATAATTAGCAGTAGAGTCAATGGAAACATAATTAGCAGTAGAGTCAATGGAAACATAATTAGCAGTAGAGTCAATGGAAACATAATAAGAGTGCATCTCGCTTTGCTCGATAGTGTTGTAACAAGCTAGTCATTACTGCTCCACTATCTCGCTCTGCTCGATAGTGTCGCAATAGTTCTGACGTGTACTTTTATCAAAAAATAATAGCTTTTTTAATGCTACAATGAATCATTTACTCACCGTTGATTTACTAAGCGCAGGTAATAGTTATAGATACGTGATTTTACAAATACCGGTACACACTACATGGCAACACAGAAGGTACAATATAGATGGTTCAACACAGAGGGCCCATTACCGATGGTACACTTTGGTTGTTGTTTTTTTTTCTTTACCTTGTTTCCCACTCTATTTCCCACTTTGTTTCTCTCTTTTTCTTTTCTTTTTCTTTTTCTTTTTTTTTTTTTTTCTGTCGTTGAATGAAAATTCGTTTTTATTTAATGTGTAACTTTTCCCTTTACAAAATTTATTCAACTCTCACTTATCCACATCTCTCTTTGCTTTTTTTTTTGCTTTAAGTTGGAATTGAAGTATTAATTCAAAGGTATGTTCTTCACCCCCCTCAACACCAAATCAATCAATCAAATCCAAGATGCAACTGTAGATGGAATATTCGTCAGGGCAGGGTCATCAGGCTTAGATTGGGCAACTATGAATGAAAAAGAATTATCGGAACTTAATAGTCCTTTTTTTTTTTTTTGAAAAGAAGAGAAGTTATACGTTGTAGAAGAGGGCTGTGTTTGTAAGTATACAAAAAAAAAACACCTCTCCCCGATGAACGTGTATGAGTGTGCTTTTTTTCGTCAATAGTCGACTCGTACTTTACTGAGAGGATTAAGATATTTGTTCAGTGTGGGTGTGGAATCTTGTTTTTTTTTTGTTTAACAGCGGCCCATTTTCATTTTCATTTTCATCTTATTATGGCTGTTTATACTTTACTTTCCACCCATACTATTTTTGTTGTCACTAAAAGTTTTATGCCAATGTACACGACCTTTAAAACCTGGGATTTTGAATGCAAGAAGTGGAAGGGAAAAAAAATTGCAGTGTGTTTTTATGGTCTTTTTTTTGCCCCAATTAAGATTGTTGTCGACACCGTTGCCCCTCCCTGACCCCCTTTTAGCAACCCGAATAAAACTAAATCCGTCGATACCAATATTCCATAGATATATAAAACCGGGTATTGATATTTATTGAGTTTGTGAGATTGATTGATTGTATGTCAGTTGCTAAATTAGTTTTAGTACTTAGCAACACAATTTTTTTTTGTTCCATCGGCAAAGAAAACGTAATTTTGGATAATCGCAACCAAACGAAAATACTAACTAATTTTAGAGGAAGAAAACATTAACAACAATTTACACGCCCACTGAAAAAAAAAAAAACTATTTTACTTGAACCATTTCATTTTTTAAATCACATCAAAAGTTCCCCCTATCCCCCACTCCCCAAGTAAGTAAGTAAGAAAGAAAGAAAAAAAAATGACTGTTTCACGTGAAGACTCTGTTTATCTTGCCAAATTGGCCGAGCAAGCTGAGAGATATGAAGAAATGGTTGAGAATATGAAGGCAGTTGCTTCTTCAGGTCAAGAATTATCAGTTGAGGAGCGTAATTTATTATCAGTTGCTTATAAGAATGTGATTGGTGCGCGTCGTGCATCATGGAGAATTGTTTCATCGATTGAGCAAAAGGAGGAATCCAAGGGCAATGAGCAACAAGTTGCTTTGATTAGAGACTACCGTGCTAAGATTGAGGCTGAATTATCCAAGATTTGTGAAGATATTCTTTCAGTTTTAAGTGACCATTTAATCTCATCAGCTCAAACTGGTGAGTCTAAGGTGTTTTACTACAAGATGAAGGGAGACTATCACAGGTATTTGGCCGAGTTTGCTACAGCTGATAAGAGAAAGGAAGCTGCTGATTTGTCATTGGAAGCTTATAAAGCTGCCTCAGAAGTTGCTGTAACTGAATTACCACCAACCCATCCAATTAGATTAGGATTAGCTTTGAACTTTTCGGTGTTTTATTATGAGATTATGAACTCACCTGATAGAGCCTGTCATTTGGCTAAACAAGCATTTGATGATGCAGTAGCCGATTTGGAAACCTTATCTGAAGATTCATACAAGGATTCTACATTGATTATGCAATTATTAAGAGATAACTTGACTTTATGGACCGACTTATCAGAGGCACCCCCAAATGAAGAACAACAACATCAGCAACAACAGCAACAGCAACAGCAGCAGCAACCAGCACAACAACCAGCACAACAACAACCAGCAGCACAACAACAACAACAACAATCAGTAGCACCAGCTGCCTCTGCTCATCAATCTTCAGAAAATAAGTCTGAACAAGAATAGAGTGTATGTAAATCTTTTAGTTTATTTTTTTGTATCTGTGAATTAATTTCTGTTTGAACAAGCAAGGGAGGCGGTGAGGTAGTGTAGAAAGAACCAAACCAATAGGGGGCGACACTATCGAGCAGAGCGAGATAGTGGAGCACACAGACTAGTTTGTTAATCTCGCTTTGCTCAATAGTGGAGCACACGGACTAGCTTGTTAATCTCGCTTTTCTCAATAGTGGAGCACACAGACTAGCTTGTTAATCTCGCTTTGCTCAATAGTGGAGCACACTAGAACTATCGACACTATATGGGTTGTTTTGTATTTCTTGATCAACATAATGGGTTTTTTTATTTTAGATTGATGCAAGGTACAATTAAAGCTGATAGACTTGCACTTATACTATACACACACAAACGCACATTCTCTCACTCACTCACTCACTCACTCACTCACTCACTCACTCACTCACACTCTCACACTTTATTTTTTTCGCTCACTCACGCGCTATTTTTCTTTCTCTCTCTTTCTCTCTCTATTTTTCTTATTCTCTTTTTTCTTTCTCTTTTTTTCTCTCACTCTAATTTATTTTTCTTCTCTCTCTCTCTCTCTGTCGTGTTATTCCAATTGTATTATTATCGAGTTGTTCTGTTGTTCTGTTGTTCTGTTGTGTTATTACGCGTAACAAAATATAAGCCTTATTCTTAATTGACACTAAATACACTACCATCCAACTTAATTAATCGTCTCTTTTAATATAGACAAATATTTCAAAGTGTTTTTATTTGTGTTTTTATTCTTAGTGTTTTTATTCATAGTGTTTTTTCTCATTTCAGTTGGGTTGTCCTTTGTCTTAAAAAGCCTTCAGATCAAAAAATTTTGTTTTAGAAAATCAATATACAAATTGATTTTGTTACAAATCAACTAGAATTTGCTTTGTAAAGGCATCCTTTAAACACACGGGTTTCAATCAATCGCACAAGACTTTGTAATTCCAATATGCCAGAACCAGTAGGTGTAGCAAGTTTGCCTGATCAACGGTATGTAACCAAAAATCTCTCGAGCTTATTGAGCTTTCGGGTTGAAGAGATTTCAAGTTGAAGAGCTGCCGGGTTGTCGAGTGTGTCGGTGACAGTCTATCGAAAAGAGCACAATCGAGTAGTAAACTGTCGAACAGAGCACTGTCGAACAGAGCACAATCGAGCAGAGCGAGATTATTAGGCGCAGCTAGTCAGTGTGCTTCACTATCTCGCTTTGTTCGAAAGTGTCGCAGCTAGTCAGTGTGCTCCACTATCGAGCGAAGCGAGATAGTGGAGCTCGATAGTGGAGCTCGATAGCGTCACTCGATAGTGTCGTTGAGTTATACTAACACTACTTCTAGGTACAAGATTGTTTCCAAAGAAGGTGCTACGTTCACCATAATGGTAGCGGGTGAAAGCGGGTTGGGCAAAACAACTTTTATCAACACATTGTTTCAAACATCCCTAAAGGCCCATCCCGATCCTCACCAAAGGCACAACAAGTTTACCTCGTCGCATCAAACTGTCGAAATCGATATAGTCAGAGCCATCTTGGAAGAGAAAAATTTCAAGATTAGATTAAATATTATCGATACTCCGGGATTCGGTAATAACGTAAATAATCACGATTCATGGGTCCCAATTATTGATTTTATTGACGATCAGCACGAGTCGTATATGAAACAAGAACAACAACCATATAGAGCTTCCAAAAAGGACTTGAGAGTTCATGCTTGTCTTTATTTCATTCGACCAACTGGTCATTCGTTAAAACCCTTGGATATCGAGATTATGAAACGATTATCTACAAGAGTTAATCTCATACCTGTTATTGCCAAAGCAGATACCTTGTCGCCAACTGAATTGGATATTTTTAAAACCAGAATAAGGCAAATCATCGAGGCACAGGATATCAGTATCTATACTCCTCCTTTGGAATTGGATGATCCAGCAAGTGCCGAGCATGCTAAACAGTTGATTGAATCAATGCCATTTGCTGTTATTGGGTCTGAAGAAGAAGTTGAGATTGCTCCAGGCCAATTTGTTAGAGGCAGAAAGTATCCATGGGGAATAGTTGAAGTTGAAAATGACCAACATTGTGATTTCAAAAAGTTGAGAAGCTTACTATTGAGGACCAACATGTTGGATTTGGTTTTATCAACAAATGAAATACATTTTGAAACTTTTAGATCACTCAAGTTGGGCGGCACCGATACCGAAAATGGATATGTTAATGGAAGAGGTGACACAGAAAACGGCACCTCAGGTTCCAACGAAGAACTAACCAATGAAAAGGGGGAAATCATTAAAAAACCTTCCTCTAGTGGCAAAAAACCAAGAAGATTTCACAATCCTAAATTCAAAGAAGAAGAAGATGCTTTGAAGAAATTCTTTACAGAACAAGTAAAAGCTGAAGAACAAAGATTCAGGCAATGGGAAACAAATATAATAAATGAAAGAAACAGATTAAATCAAGATTTGGAAGAAATGCGATCCAAGTTGAAAACCTTGGAGGACCAAGTTAAGAAGTTACAGATTTCAAAGCGTTGATGAAAAAAGAAAGAGAAGTTAAAAAGGAAGCAAGGCAAATAAGCAGAGAGAAAGAGAGAAAGAGAGAGAGAGAAAGAAAGAAAAGGGACTATTGTAACTGAGTCTCTTGTTATGTTTGATTGTGTTAGAGGAGGGGGGTTGAATCTTCTTTTTTTTTTTTTATAAAAAATTTTTGTTCAGCTATATATGTTACTTTTATTCTCTTATCAGATTAATTTGTATTGTTTCTGTGGGTCACCAGAAGAGAAGGTGAAGAAAAAAAAAAAATTCTCGGTTATAGGTGGAAAAAGTTGAATTTACTTTATAGAAGTTGTACGGCTAAACCCTTTTCCCATAGAGTTTTAAACTTTACCCTACGGCTTATCACTTGAGGCGCAAATTAACCTTTCAGGTACCAGAAAAGGAAGAAAGGGATACATCTCATTTGGAATACCAGCTTGTTTTTTTTGGCGTTCTTTTTATATTTATTTTTTTTTTTGGAATGACATCTCAGAATACATTTGAGTACGAGGTGACATCCACGTCTCGCCAATCTCCAAGTTTTGCGTACACCTCACCTGAAGAAGGCCAATTTCATAACCAGAGATATAAACGAAATTACCAAGCATGTTTAAACTGTCGAGTTCGCAAAGTGAAGTGCGATTTGGGACCGGTGGATAAACCACATGATGGTAAATGTGCACGTTGTTTAAGAGAAAGAAAAGATTGTGTATTTGTTGAAAGCAAACGTGGTGGCTCAAGCAATGTTATTAGCGGGAAGCGTAAAAAAAAAAAGTTGGGGTTAGATAAGGGAGAAGAAGAGGTAAATGTTGATAGTAAGAGTCATTTTGAGGTGGAAGCACCACCACTTGCAACGTTACAGCCACCACCAGCACCATCAGTACCGCCAGCACTACAGGCGTGCGAACAAGTATATGAGAGAACTAAAGCAGCACAGAATGTGACCTCCAGCGGCAATCGATTCCAGATCACGCACCCCCTACAATCTCTACCTGGTGTGAATAGTATTTTAGGACAGAATATGAATGAAACGCATACAAGTCAGAATATTCCTTCAACTAACGTACAGTCGTCTACAAGAATACTTCCGCCTAATTTATCCACTACACCACCCCCACAGCAGGTAGTACACCTGCAGCCACAGCAACTGCAGCCACAACAACAACTACCACCACCACCACCACCACCACTAACGCAAACACCAAAGGAAAATTCGATAAATAAAAACCAGGGAGGTAATTTTTCAACAATGGAAGGCGCCTTGGTCTTTTTGGCCAGTGCAGCTGGCAAGATTGCAAAAGCAGACGAGAGAGATAACATAGATGCTCAAACTAAATATGAACAAATTGAAGCTATTTCCGAGTCTAATAGCCATCGAACGAGTGTTGTTGAAAATACAGGATATGAAAGAGAGTCAGAGGCTAGTTCTGCTCACCAGATGACCGAGAATGACACAGAAGTTAAGAAGCAATCTCAGAGTTCAAACCGCATGAAACTGAATTACAAGTCAAGCATTCCTCCCTACATGAATCCAGCAACTACAAAGAGAATGATTATACCTGCAGCGGAAAACGGATATGCTGTTCGACCTAGAGGTGCAAACAAATTATCTAATATTGAATATATCGGACCTGCACCAGATGGTATTCTTACTGAAAAAGAAGCTGATAAACTAGTTAATTTATTCTTTACAACAATGCACCCCTTTTTCCCACATATACCAAAATTCCTCCATTCGCTGAATGTTTTAGCTGGGTACCCGATTTTACTATGTGCTATTTTAACCATTTCAGCTCGATATCATCCTTTTGAGGATAATAAGAGCAGACATACTAATGGCAACGTTCCCAGAAATATTGAGGTTCATGATCGACTTTGGTTGTATGTGCAACGTTTAATATCTCAAACTGTTTGGGCCGAAGCAAGCACTCGATCAATTGGAACCATTTTTGCGTTTTTGTTATTCACCGAGTGGAATCCAAGAGCTATACATTGGAGGTGGTCTGACTATGCCAACAAAGCTGAAGAAAACGAAAACGAAACTAGTGCCGGTGGTAATAATAGTGGCGGTGTAGGTTTCTTATCGTTGGCTGCCACAGCGGCTACATTTTCTGGAAACAATGCCGCTAGCGGCAATATTGGCACTGCAACTACTGGTATTAATAGTTACAACAATAATCTTGCCGGATTGGGGGCAATGAGGAGAAGTCATCGAATGGCATGGATGTTGATTGGTAGTGCAGTTAGGCTAGCGCAGGATATGGGATTTATGGAAATGAGCTCAAAAGTGCTCATAGCTACGCATGTTGCCGAGATGAACTCTGTGATGGACATTTCAAGAAAATCGATGCTTGCTCATTCATTGTCTGAGATTGAATTTGACGAAGATGATATTACTGAGGAAGCTATGGAATTAGTTGAGGAGGATGAAGACGATGATTACAATATCATGAAGTTGAGTGAGGAAGAATTGAAAAAGATTGCAATTGAACATAGGTTTAAGTTCACCAAGGCACAAAAAGCCCAAATTGAATTATTGCAAATCATGTCATTGGGTCATGAATCATTTTATGCGTACAAGACACAATTGGGTCAATTATCGCAAAGACAAACGATTTCAGTGTTGAATATAATAAGTCCTCTTATCAGCAACTGGAGTCGAAAGTATAAACAGTTTTTGGTTCCTACATCGGGTAAGATATCCAAGAATGTTTCGGTGAATTTTCAAAATCAACTATTAAAGCCAAATACCAAACTTACCAATGACATAAGAGATTCAATCAAACAAGAGTCTTTTATTTTAGAGTTCAATTATGTCAAATTGTACATTTATTCGCTTGCACTAAATCCATCTCCAAGAGACACTAAAGAGACGCGAGCTAATTCTCAACACTCTATACGAATGTCTTTAAAGATGGATGAAATGTCCAAATCAGCAAGATTCATACAGCAAGCATTCAATGCAGCAAATGAAATGTTGAATGCAGCTCACAGGATACATAAATTCAAAATGTTGAGATTCATGCCTGTGAGATGGCTCACGAGAATTGTTCGCGCAGTAGCATTTATTGTCAAGTGTTATCTCACTATTACAGCACACAAAAGCTCATTATCACTGAAAGAGATTGGATCAATATCAATTGGCAAAAGAACTGAAATATTTGATCCAATTATATTGTCTTTCAGCTTAATTAGTATTGATGACATTTCGCAATCTATTCATCGTGCTGCTTTGACTTTAAGAGACTGTTCACCTGATGAATTGCATTTGTGTACTAGGTATTCAAATGTCTTGATGTATTTATATTCAGAAATGAAAAGTAAGAAAAATGAAGGAAACGAGTTACACCAGGAGGCGTTTATGCAACAGAAGAAACCATCGGAACATGAAACAGTTGTTGATACATCCGCGAGCCAAAACATGCAACCGAATGCCAATGAATACTTTTATAAAAATGGTCAAGAGTCATTTCAACAACAAGAACAAGAACAACAACAGCAACAGCAACAACAACAACAGCAGCAACAACAACAACAACAACAGCAGCAACAACAACAACAACAACATCAGCAACAACAGCAACAACAGCAGCAACAACAGCAGCAACAACAGCAACAGCAACAACAGCAGCAACAACAGCAACAACAACAGCACCAGCACCAGCACCAGCAAGATATACAGTTTGACCAATCTCAATCTCAACACAAATCTTCTGCAGACAATTTTACATTCATAGCGCAACCCGTGCATCATCAACAATCCTTTAATGATACTTTTCCATATGGCCCTTACTTTAGACATACTCCAAGCGAACCAGCGTCTGTATCATCTACGGGTACTGAGACGACTACAAATGCTCCTATTCGGACTACTTCCAACAATATGTCGACGGTTCGTATGGATGAAACATTCAATGAACCTGTGCAAACCGCCTTACCTGACAAGACAACTAAAGCAACACCACAATTACAGAATATTTTTAGTAATGATGCTACAAGTAGTACTGGTGCTGGTACCACCGCGACTGGTGGATTGGGTGATAATAGTGAGTTAATGGATTGGTTTATAAATAATCGTACAATTGGTTTGGATTTTGTTGCTCCTTGGACTGAAATGATTGAACAGCACTTAGATTTGAATGATCACTTTAACTTTTGAGAGATAGAGGGAGAGGGAGAGAAATTAGAATTAGATAGAGGAGGTGATGGGAGTTGTTCAATATGTTTATTTTATAGATTTGATCTTTGTCTTTTTCTCGTGCCAATTCTTTTTTTGCAACAATTGCTGCAAAAAAAATAATTAATAAATAGACAAATTAGTTGTTTTAGAGATGTTGAAAGGTTGTAAAAATTGTCTACACTTTAACATATCAACTTGCCATTTCAGCGAAAGTAGGAAGATCTCAAACGTGTTGAGACCCACCATGAAAAGAGGAAGATGTAGCATAAAGTAAAGTTCTTTAGAAACAAGCAACTATTTGATCCAAATGAGCAAAATCCCCATACTTTATCATGCATTTTGCCAATAGCACTGGGAAAAAAAAGAAATTCTACTAGAGGGTACTTTATTGATTCAGAAACTACTTTCCCGATGAATTCAGTTGAGAATTGATGGGCTAGATTGAAATTTGAAGAATTTGAAGAATTTGAGGATTACACTGTAATGTTGAAAACTTTCCTTAAAAATTATATAACTCGGATTTATGAAGGTTCTTTATTTTTATTTTATTTTTATTTTGTTTTTTTATTTTCTTTTTTTTTTGGTTTGCATATTATTGAAGAAGGCTGAAAAACTGAATTTTCTAAAGAATTATTTCCGTCTAAATTGACGAAGATAAGGGCTAAGGCAAACAACAAATCTCTTAATTCATTATAGATTGAACTTTTGTAGTTTACACTTGAAATGCAAGTGCGGAAATTTTCGCCAATTTGAGGGTTCATTTTGTGCTTTGAGATTTTACTCATCATTAGAATCTTTGATTTTCAAGTGGTTTGAAATTTCAACTGCAAACCCGTGTGTTTGCAGTATAATTCTGGGGCTGTGTCGTTTTTATCGCGACGACATTTTCACTCAAATTGGGGGATCCATTTGATCAATTCACTAAGAAGAAGTTAATTGCCAACGGAATCGTTACAACTTTACTTGAGTTTTGTCAAAAAAGTAATTATCAAGAGAGAAAGGAAGGTGTAATATGTAGCTAGGTTTCCGGATCACCAATAAAACGGTTAGGGCTAATCTTTTCTAAGTTACACTATATAGAGTTTAAACTATTATTATAAGAGTATTCATTCTTTCAAAATAGATATCACTTCAATTGAGTTTGGTTCAGTTTTTTTCCTGTGATTTCTGTAACATTTGCTGCAAATCATTTATATACAGAGTATCTCAGTAGAGCAATATGATTTATCAATAATAAGTAATAAAATTTATGCAGGTAAATATGATACAAAAGATGGCTGGGGATGGGGTCACTAAAAGAGATTTCAAAGAGAATTTGAATTAGAGGGGGGGGGGTCATCCATTTTTGACCAAATGTATCATTCCCGTGTGTATGGGGCATGGCTGGCTAAAGAGGAAAATTCAACTCCTAATTTGAGATATCTCAATTAAGTTGGTTGCTGAAATGGTAATTTGGACATGTATTTTCTATGGTTGATTTAAATTTTTATTTTCTCTCTACAACGACATTTCGTAGCAAACAGAAGGCAAGCAGGTGTATTTTTAGAAACAACGAAAATTTGATTGACGACATTTGTATCAAAAAATGTCAGGTTAAAAAGGGGGATAAATCAATTGCGTTTCTCATCTAGATATACAGGCAAAATGCCTTGTTAAGCAACTGTGATAATGAATGCAAGAAAAACTGCTACAAATTAAACAAACATCTACACTGCCTTCTACCTTGCTATTTGAAAGATCGGGCATTTTCTGCATTCTTATATATATGTATATGTGTGTGTGTGTGTGTATGGCGTGTTGTAATAGCAAATATGACGGATCAATCGATTCAACTACATATGTCGTTGAATATAAAAAAAACCTCATCTTCATGCATGCACTGCACGTTGGCCAATCATGTCTCAAATCAGGTAAAAAAGTAAATACAATTTTTTCAAGTAAAAGACCGAGTTGTCGAAAAAAGCCGGGTAAGAATATTCACCAGCTGAAAATGTAGATATGCAAAAATAATGCAATATTAGCTCAATAAGGTTAAGACATATTCTTCGATTTCTTAAGGGGTTTTTTTTTGAATTTTTTTATTGCCGAGTCGTGCCGAGTCATGTCGTGAGTTTGGGGCGTTGTTTATCATGTCGTAGGTAAATTGTCTAACAATAATTTTTTTTTGTGGTGAATAAGGCAAGTCTCAAATGCACATTGGACTATGACAGAATGTCGTTAAGTCTCTTTTTTCTGGTCAAAGGAAAACAAAAAGACTAATAACACAATATCCGCCGAGGAGAAATAATGGATTAGGGACTACTGCGTACAGAACTAAGCAAGAGCAATTACTTCATCAGTTTTGTCGTCGATAGCTGTACACTACAGAAGCAGTGGCAAATTCTCCTAACAAGCGTCTAATTTCGAAATTCTCGGTACATACTTCTTGTAAATATTGTTTCATTTTAGTACAATTACAACATGTAACAAATTCATTTTATTCACATTGACTAAAAAAAGAATCAAACCCAAGTGTGAAAAAAAAAAAAGAATTTACTTTATTGTTTATACAATAATTTAGCAGTAAAAGGTTATAGCCATATTAGCCTTGTAGATAGTGGGTAAAATGCAAATAAAAAGAAAATATACCATACATACAACCTTTACTGCATTAAATTACCAGACAAGTGCAAGTAGTAATTTTGGTCATCAAACAAAAAAGAGTTCATAACTTGTTTTTCCTCTTTTTTTTTTTTTTTTTTTCTTTGGTTTACGAAAAAACTTCTTATTACTCCATTTTCAAAAACTTCCTACTTTTCGTACAACTTTTTCTTTTCCTCAGTCAACTCACGTTCGCTTTCATTTGATTCACAGTTTAAGGAGGTTCGATTAAACATGCAATTGAAGAACATCGTATTTGCTTTTGCTATTGCAGGATTAGCTTCTGCTGCAAATAGTATGTATAACTTATATTATCAGCAAAATGTCCATTGATCCAGCGAAAAGAGAAAAAAAAAATTTACATTGGTGGCACTGTTCTGTAAACTACATTGGTAGGCAGTAACTGTCCCAGTAAATCACATTGATCCGGTATCTTTCTTGTCTTGTCCAGTCCAGTTTATTCTTTTTGCTTTTCTCTTCCTGGCCTGATCATTTTTACCCTGCAGTTACATATTTATCACCCAATAATCAACATCAATCAATATCAATCAGAGGTTTTCACCTTGTTTGTTGAGGTTGAAAAATTTCCTATATCAGATCAAGCCCCCAAAAATAATTTTTTTTTGACAGGGGAAAAAATAAGGTTTTCAGAAATAATACGGACTTGTTATAGGTAACTGGCAATTTAATGTCACCTCAGCCTTTTTTCAAAAAAAACAACAATGAGTGACAAATCTTGCAATCTGTACAGGTCTTGATGATAGTTTTTGCGGTTCTTACAGTCTGTTTCATTACAGTCTTATAGCTTGATCCATAAAGACTTATAATCTTTTGTTGGTATTTTTTCTTTCAACTATACAGAACTGCAGCACATCACAGTCTCAAATTTTTTTACGACACCTGGACAAAGTGATTTACGACACCAAAAAAATGGCTGCGAAAACATTAACACCAATTTTTCAAGTTACTAACGAATAACCCCCCCTTTTTTTTCTTTTTTCTAGATTCTACCTTAACTACAGCAACTCCAACAGCTAAAAGTGGATGCTCTTTCTCTTCATTCACAGCTACTGCTTCTGGAGATCTTCAGCTGGTTGCTGCTTGTGAAACCGCTATTGGTGATGTCACCGTTTTTGGTACCCAATTTGGTACAGTTGAATTGACTGGTGTGAAGGAGTTTTATGGTAATTTATCCATCTTGAATGCTACCCAAGCTTCAACCATCAATGCCCCAACATTACAATTAGTTTCCGGTTCTTTGGAAATCAACTCCAACACAATCTTGTCCCACTTGAATTTGGCTCAATTGACAACTGTTGGTACTTTTAAATTAAATGCTTTACCAGCTTTGGAAGAAACCGGTTTGACTGCAGGAATCACTTCAGCTGAAGAAATTATTATTTCAGATACAGGTTTATCTAAATTAACTGGTATTGAAGTTTTCAAGTTGAAGGTTTTCAGTGTTAACAACAATAGAGATATTGACGCCATCAACTCAGGTTTGCAAGAAGTTACCGACAATATCGACATTTCATATAACGCTGATAAAGTCGATGTTACCTTGGATAAGTTGACTTCAGCAAATGACATTATCTTGCAATCAATCAATTCATTCCATGCTCCAAACTTGACTTCCACCAATGGTTCGATTGCTTTCAGTTCATCGTCAATTGAAACTATTGATCTTGCCAACTTGGAGAAGATTGGTTCATCTTTAACTATCTACAAAAACGAGGATTTGGAGGAGATTGACTTTCCTAAATTAACTTCAATCGGTGGTGCTTTACAAATTTCTGATAATGGAAACTTGAAATCATTAGATGGTTTCCCAGAATTGACAACAGTTGGTGGTACTGTTAATATTAATGGTTCATTCGACAATGGTACTTTTGATTCATTAACGAGAGTTGCTGGTGGTTTCATTTTGAAAGTTGAGGGTGATGGTGACTTGTCATGTTCTGCTTTCAACAAATTGAACTCCAATGGTGACATTAAAGGTGACAAATTTCAATGTGAAGATAAAGTGGCCACTAGTTCGTCATCATCGAAAAAACCAAACTCGTCGTCTGATTCAGCAGATTCCGACTCAACCGAATCAGGCTCTTCTACATCAAGTTCATCTTCTTCACCAAAATCAAATACAGGTGCTTCCCAAAATGTTGGTAAGTTGGTTTCATTTGTGGCCGCTTTCGCTGTTGTTGGCTTTACATTGATCTGATGATATGTATCAGTGATACTGCAAGTACTACTATCACTACTACTACTGTTACCAGCACCACCAACATCAACATCAGCACCATTACTTACTATCAATTATAATAATAACAAAATAGAAAAGACTTAAAAAAGGTAGAGTAATACATTATTAGACTAGTTTCTTCTATTGTTGCATTCATCATGAGTGAACTTATAGCTTTTTTTTATTTTTCTTTTTCATTTTGCAGGTTTCTTAAGATATATAATGTCTACTTTTTCTTTTAGCTTTTTTAATGTACGTTTCGTTTCAATTCGTGCCTTGTATTGAGAGAGAGAGAGAGAGAGAGAGAGAGAGAGAGAGAGAGAGAGAGAGAGAGAGAGAGAGAGAGTGTGTGTGTGTGTGTTGAATCCGATTTTGTAGTTTATTGTCAATAGTGTCGGTGGCAGCTAGTGTGCTCCACTATCTTGCTCTGCTCGATAGAAGAAATTGTTTGTTTCATCTACAAAATTGTTTTCTCTATTTTGTTCATGCCTAACAATTTTCCAAGCTCGCTAGTATAAAGCTCCGCAACTTCTTCAACAGAAGGAACTGGTGCTACTGCAGAATTACTTCCCCTATTCGCCAACACTTCCTTTATAGATGTAGCTTTCTTATTCTTTAACCCACACATTTCAAAAGTATTCAAATATTTCAAATTTGGCAGAATGTTTAAAGCAATGCCATATTGAGTAATACCGTGGCTAACTTTGATTCCCACACTTGCAATTTTTTTTTCCTCTTCTTTTCCATTGTCCTTTACCCATACTCCAGGATTTGCATCCAGCAAGTAACTCTCAATACCATATTTTTTCTCAAGAACATTTTGAATCAGTTTTAAAAGTACATTATTAACAAAACATTTCGCAGAAAGTTTATAAAAGGATTTTAAATCTAAAACAACGTATGCTACAAGTTGCCCTCTCCCGTGCCACGTGACTTGCCCCCCTCTGTCTAATTGGTGGAAACATGTAGTAGGTGGGTCCGCTTTTTCTTCCTCTGCGACATCACCATCACAAACACTATCACAATCACCATCATCGGGTCGAAATTGTTCAAATGCAGCAATTTGACTTGCAGTTAGTTCCTTCTTCAGCTTTAAACCTGCCGCATAGGTGTTTTGAAATTCAAATGTAAGCACCAAAGGCGGTGGTTGTAGATTATAGTGCTTGTTCATAATAGAGTTGGGAACTTGTAAGGGCATCATGGTTTTGCCAAAACGTCGTATTGACGACTCTATTTTTTTGAAACTTAGGTTTTGCTCGATAAATATTTGTTGAATATCTAACCCATATTGATATAGCACAGTCCCGGTAGTATGAATATGTTCAAGTGTCTTGTAAGTATCTCGAATTGCATGGTAAAAGCATTTTTGAATCCTGATCATCTCATCTCTTGAGTGATGAAAAACTTGAAATTTTTTTTTTGATAGACGCCCAAGATGCGAAAAGAAAAAAAAACAAACAATTAATCCGAATCTAGTAAACGATTTCGAACCAATTTATCTGGTTGAATTTTCAATTTAAAGACCATGATCTTATAAGTGTTGATGTCTTCACAGAGTAAGTTACGGCCTCCATCACGACCGGTTTCTGCCATTATTGCAACTACTCACACTAATGTAACGAGTCAAACTCACGTTACTACACAGGGGTTGAAAACAACAATCACAACTTTGAATTCAACCACAGATGGTCTGATTTCATCATCGGCACCGGCACCGGCACCGGCACCGTCATCAAAGACGAATTCTTTTGATGGTATTGATCGATTATCTGGTGGAGAATCGTTTGTATATCAACAGGAATTTAGCAATGGAGGCAATTTTCCTACTGAGTCAAATTCACATGATTTGCAGGAGATTGACTTTCTTTATACTTTATATGGCACTTCTGCCTCTACGGCAGCAACAGCAGCACCAACAACCAAACAGAAGGCTAAAACCATCACTATGACAAATGCAAGCAAACGACAGTATTTAATGAAAACCCTACCGAAGCTAACCTACGATGAAGATTTGAATTTACAATTGCATTTTTTCTTATCAACTATAATGATTCAATTTGTAAATCTGTGGTACTTGACCAAGTTCAACACTCGTGAAATGAAATTCCTTAATATTTTATATGACGATGTGATGGTTAGATTTGTTAAGGATTTGGCGCGGAGAATTGAGCAGTTGAATGCTGTGCAAGTATTGGATGAGTTGATATCCATTTTTGATCAACATATTGAAGAATTTCTGTGTACTACAAAAGATGAGGAAAAGAGCGGATTCCGCGTGGTTAGCGAACACTACAAGCGAGCAAGAAGTACAAATAGTCTCTATTATGACGCAGACTCATGTCCGAGGGATGTGCTTGATTTGTATTTATCACAACAGCACTTGATTTTTGAGGAAGGCATCGAAGAAGAGAAAAACCAACTTGAGAATCCCCAGCACCTTTTGTATTTTCGAATAATGTCCAAACAGATATTAAAGAAATCATTGCAGTACGGCGGCGGCGGCGGTTGTGATTATGATGATGATGATGATGATGATGATGATCATTGGAAAGACCCTATTTTTACATCAAAGATAGCTGGCGATATATTGGTTTTGATCATGGGAGATATTGTGTTGAATAAGACATTGGAAAAACTATCAACACCAGAGTTTATTTTGAAAACTATTCATAACCTTGTTTCATCTATGTTGCAAAGAATGTCGCAAAGAAAAGAAGATGAAAATGACAAGATTGCGTTAGTTCCAGTGAGTGAAAAAATCCGAAGAATGTTGACCGCGGCCTGTTCATTCATTGTTCGTCTTGTTGCGCTATCTTCGGTTTCAAATGAGGCAGAGCCATCAGATATTGTTAGCTCGTCGATATTTAAGCTTTTGGCAAGTGTGTGTTACATAATCATGCCCAAACCGTTACTTTACCAAGCACTTGTCACATTACAAACAGTGATTCTTAGCTGTTCACAAGTCAATTCTTGGATTAATACCGTTTTCATGAATTGGTTTTCCCAGATGATGGCGGATTTTGACATTCCCGAGAAAGTCGCGAGTTTGGTAAACAATCTAAGAATACTGCTTTTTTATTCAAACAATGAAGCTACAGAGAAGGAGAGTTTACCCCCTACAACTGATACTGATGTTTTGACGGATAAGACAATTGAGTTGTTTACTCTCTTGCCTATATCAAGAGGTGCAGAATCCTCAAATGAACAAAGGAAACTTATTAAGCGGGTCTTGACTGTTTTTGCAGAGAACAACGAAGTTGACCCGGAACATAAAGTCAACAAGTATTTGGTAATCAAGCTACTAGATTACCTAGTTCGCACTCTTTATAACGAGATATAACGAGATATAACAAGAGATTTATGGTGATCAAAACGAACAAAATATGAGAAAAATATAGTTCTTATACATCGAATGATTTTTTTTTTTTTTTTCATTTTTTTTCATTTTTATTAATATTCATTTCTTCATGGAGAAGCTCTTCTCACTACCACTATTACACTAATTTTGTAGCAATTTTGTAGCAACTTTACAGTATCGTAGATTAAACACGAGCTAGTTAGAATAATGATAGGGATGCTGACTACCCGCATGGTACTTCTGTGTCCCCAATTAGGTATAGTTGTTGGTCAAAAACGTTCATATATCCTCACAACTATAGCAACGACACTATTTGGCTCAGTGCTATGGTCTAAAAACAATGTTCTTGCTTCCAAAATGGAAAACGGAGAGTTGCATTATAATGATCCTAATGCAAAACTCAAGACATTGTTAGAATCCAAACAGGATGGAGCATTTCTGAGACGCAAACCCGAGTATCCAGGCCATGTTCCGTTGTATAAGTTTGAAAAATTACTAATGTTTCTTGGCTCGTCGATGGGAGCCTTCTTCCACCCTGAAAAAAACAAGTATATTGTTGCTTTAGGTGAAAGTACTGCAATTGAGCCAGTGTTGAAGAGGTTGCAAAAGACGATGTTGAGTGACCCCATAGGTCGACAGATTCTTTATGATAGACCACGCATGACTTCTACTTCTTTAGATTTGGATCATTTAAGAGAGTTGCCAGATAACACTATTGGTAGAAACTATGTCAATTGGTTGGATCGTGAGGGAGTGAGTCCCGACACCAGAGTTCCTGTGAAATATATAGATAATGAAGAGTTGGCATATATTTTCCAAAGATATAGAGAATGTCACGATTTTTATCATGCAATTACCGGGTTGCCAATTATTATCGAGGGAGAAATAAGTGTTAAAGTTTTGGAATTTATGAATATTGGTATACCAATGAGCGGATTGGGTGCTTTATTTGCACCTACACGATTGAAGCCAAGTCAAAGGAAAAGACTACGCGAAGTATACTATCCTTGGGCTATAAGGAGCGGGCTCTATAGCAAGCCATTGATTAATGTTTATTGGGAGAGAATTTTGGACAAGGATATCCATGAGTTCAGAAAGGAAATGGGTATTGAACCTCCTCCGGATTTGAGAGATATGAGGAAAGAACATTTTGCAAAAAAGAGAAAAGAGAAGGAACTAAAAGCGGCAGCAGCAGCGTCAACAACCGCGGCTACGCCCGCATCTGGTACTACCACTGCTGGGTCATCTCCTGTTGCCAACGCATGAGTCTAGTCTAGTAGGGGCTGAAAAGTAAATTAAATATAAATAAGGTAAGTATGTGATGAGTAACTAACAAGTATTTTCTCGCGCTACCAAACGAACATGCTGTTTTAGTTTCCAAGTTACATCTCTCAAAAATAGCAATTCATGAATTTCATAGAAAAGGTTACCAAAAGTCATTATCCACAACTATCTACTCAATTAGTCAGAATGTCCCAGTTGTTATACAAATACTTTTTACAAAAGGTACGTCTTCTCGAAGTTTCATACGGACTGGGTGTTTGTTTTTTTTTTGGATTTTATTTATATCTATTTTTTTTTCGCAACTATTCAAAATACTAATCAAAGTCAGACAAATTTGGACCATCTCGTCACATTTGGAGTAGGAGAAGATCCCTATTTTGAAGAGATCCCGGAGCAAGATCTCCATTTTTACCAACGTAAAGGAACCAAAAGAAAAAGACAATTGCCTGCTTTTATTCCTAAGGACGATTTGAAAATCTTGAACAAAGTTAAAAGTAAAGCTTATTCATTGGATTTACAGTTGAGTATATGTGGCTTGAGAATTGGATGGGCAGGAATTATTGGATTGATCCCTTGGATAGGTGATCTTTTAGCATTTTATTTTGCATGGCAATTAGTAAGAACTGCTAAAAAGATTAACGGCGGTTTACCTAAAAGTTTGGAGGCCGAAATGATGGCTAATGTGACTTTTGATTTTGGCATTGGGTTAATACCAATAATTGGAGATTTTATCAATGTGTTGTATAAATGCAACTCGCGAAATTTTGTTCTTTTGGAGAAACACTTGATTGAAAAGTACAGGGGAAAGGAGAAGCGCGAGCTTGCCGTGGTACCCAATACAGTAACGGGAGATCCAGGTATAGATGGCAAGAACACCTATACGTCACAACCTGTTTCAGATCTTACTATGAACTCAAATATAGGGGAACACGTATAGTGTAACTCCGCTATCGAGCAGAGCGAGATAGTGGAGCATAGTGGGACATAGTGGAGCATAGTGTCACTAGTCAGTGTCACTAGTCAGTGATGATCCGCTATCTCGCTTCGCTCGATAGTGTCGATAGTGTCGATAGTCACTTTAGTCTGCTGAAAACTTTGCTTCTATAAGATCCAAACGCTGTTTAAAATCTTTAACAAAAATCTCCAATTGATCAATTTTCATGAATTCCAATTCGAGATCATTGCAAGATTTGATCAATTGCTCAATTTCTCTATACTGTCTCGACAACTGCAATTGGTTCTCAAAATAATCCTGGTTTATTAAAGTTTGTTTTTGTAAAACCGACTCATATGTTTGGTCCATTAATGTCTTAATATAATCCTTAATCTTGTACATCATGTAATCGTAACTCAATGACAATTTCCGCAATTCTAGCGGATCGGGCTCATCCTGCGAAAGTGTCGAACTCTCATTCAAAGACGCTGCCACATCAACGTTATGATGCGTTTCTCCCTCTGGCATGTCCCTTGAACTGCTATCCGCCTTATCAGCCATCTCATACCTAATAATGAAAGAAGGCCAGTAAGAAAAGGCCAGTAAGAAAAGGCCAGTAAGAAAAGGCCAGTAAGAGAAACCAAGTAAGAGAAACCAAGTAAGAGAAGGCCAGTAAAAGAAGACCAGAATTAATTGCAAAAGTATTGGTGGCAGCTAGTGTGCTACACAATCTCTCTCTGCTCAATAGTGTCGCCCAGAATGGCCCTGTTCGGCCAGCCTTTGGCTTTTGTCGATTAAAGAGCAAAAAAATGACATTCACGGGAAAAAATGACACTGACTGGAAAAGAAAAAAGAACACCGATTGAATTGAAAACGGAGCTAACTAATACTCCGTCGTTTACGCTGAAAGATATAAATCACTCTTTGCCGAACTTGGAAATTCCACCTCCCTATCAACTAGCTAACAAGGGCTCGGCTTAATTGTGAGCGGGCACTATAGGGAAAAGCTCCATTATTCTTAGCATACCTATTTCCAACTATTCGTTATTAGTGTGTGTATTATTTTATTTTTTTCAGTTTGGTTAATACAATGTCTTCTTCCTACTCGCTTGATAAGATTAACCCCAAATTGTTGCGGAGAATATACAGGGCATGCAGACCAACCAATGACGAGCCGAACCTAGCACTTAATTTAGAGATTTGTGACTATGTCAATGCCAAGAAGGGATCTGCTCCAAGAGACGCAGCTATAGCAGTTGTTAAATTGATTAGTCAAAAAGATCCACAAACTTCAGAATTGGCCATTGCGTTGTTGGACAATTTGGTAAAAAACTGTGGGTACCCCTTCCACTTGCAAATATCAAGAAAGGAGTTTTTGAACGAGTTGGTAAAAAGGTTCCCTGAAAGACCAACAATGAGGTATACTCGCGTGCAAAGGTTGATATTGGCACAGATTGAGGAATGGTACCAAACGATTTGTCGTACTTCCAAATACAAGGAGGATTTTGGTTATATCAAGGATATGCATAGACTTTTATCCAATAAAGGTTATGTGTTTCCCGAGGTCAAAGTTGAAGATATTGCAGTGTTGAACCCAGGCGACAATTTGAAATCTTTGGATGATATACAACAGGAGGAAGCAGTTGTAAACTCTGCCAAATTACAAGAATTGATTAGAAGAGGAAGACCGCAAGATTTGCAAGAAGCTAATAAGTTGATGAAGATTATGGCAGGATTCAAAGACGATAACATAAGGGAAAGTAAGAAGCAATTGCAGGATGATATTGTTAGATTAACCAGGAAAGTGGAGATTTTGGGGGAAATGTTGAACTCGATTGAAAGTGCAGGTGCTAAGATTAACGACGATTCTGACGAAGCTCTTGTTGAGTTATACAGCTCAATCAAGAGCTCTCAACCAATTATCCATAAAATCATTGAGCAAGAAAAGCATGAGGAAGGAGGAGAAGGAGAAGGAGAAGGAGGAAGAGGAAGAGGAAGAGGAAGAGGAGGAGAAGATGATGATGAAAGAATACGTGATCTTTTCACTTTAAACGACAACGTGAATAGCGTGATTACAAAATTCCAATTATTGAAAAACGGTAAATTTGAAGAGGCAAGTGGCATTACATTCAAGTCGACAGCTCTGCAAGGCCCTGATTTGAACTTGATTGATTTCGGAGATGAACCAGAAGACACCAACGCCAGTAAGGAACAAGGCTACAACGATTTGTTGAGTGATTTGTCAGAATTGACATTTGGTGGTAATGATAACAATGGCGTAAGTTCAAATGGCGGTTCAAAGATTAATCCGCTAAACTTGTACGGGGCAGGTGGGTCAATTGTATTGAGCGGTGGCAGCGGCGGTAAAAGCGGCTCAACTCAATTACATCAATCTGCTCCCACAACTAAAGTAAACAATTCTTCTTCATCAAACTTAGACTTGTTAGCCGATTTGCACTCACCTTCTCCGCAATTACAATCCAATTTGCCCACTTCAAGTAAACCATCCAGCGGTTTAGATCCATTTGGATTTGATTTTCCAAGTTCGACTCCACCTCAAATGCAAAAACAAGCAGCTACATCCCAAGCCCAAGGCTACACTAGGATACTTAATTTGAATCAGTCATCAACACTTAAAATCGAAATAGGCGTACATCAAGCATCTAATGTGTTATTCAAAGGTCGCATTCTTTTTTCCAACACTCAAAATCAGACAATTTCTCATTTGAAGTTTATGATTGCTGTCCCAAAAGGATGCAAGTTGGAATTGCGACCACAAACCAGTGATACAATATATGCATTTAATAATCATGGTGTTTCTCAAGATTTCACAATTGAAAACCCACAACTGAAACAATTAAAAGTTAAATGGAAGGTTGATTATCAAGTTGGGAATGAAACGAAAGAGGAGAATGGTATCAATGTGATAGTCTAAGGAGAAGCAAAGAAAATTGAGGGTGGTGGTGATGGTGGTGGTGGTAATTTCATCGATCAAGATTTTCACATAATTATATAGAGCCTTTTATTGAACAAAACTATTCTTGGAGCTCAGAAAAAGAGTAAGACAAAGAAATATAAGATAAGATTTACCATTTAAAAACAATCAAGCTACTCTAACTAAATAAAAACAAACAATCAATCAACATTACCAAACACACCTTGATAATGAGAATATACCAGTTGAACTGAAAAAAGCCAAAATTAAACGTGAAAAAACAAACAAAATATGAAAAAGAACCAAAAATTGAAGGTTGTGCTCATGTCTCCACTGAGATTGTTCCCTCCCTACATCGAAGGTTTTACCAATGAGTCATCGATAATCAAGATGAATCCATTTTCAACCTGCTTGACGGTTTCCACAGGAATCCAACCGTTTTCATCTCCTGAAAGTTTGACAAAGAAAAATCCATTAAGTTGATTTTGTTTGATGTGTAAGGTTTTCCCATTGTTCAAAGTTGTCAGAACAATCTTTCCAGATTCACCTTTAACTTTTTCAATAGTTAATTTGTCCTCGAAATTTGTAACTATATGACCAAATAAATAGTTTTCTAAATTCTCTTTTATTATTTTCTCTTGCTCTTCTTCATTCGATACGCTTTCTAAAGAACGTGGGAATTCCCATGGTTTTAAGTTGCGTAGTTTAGTTTCAATCGCTTCATCAGTTGGTGCAATGATCAACATATGTTGGTCGATCGACTCTGTTTTACCGTCAATTTCCTTGTTGTTCCGGATATAACCGGCAAATATAGAAATCGATTTCAACTGAGGTAAGATCGATTGTAATAAATTGTTACAAGAGTCAGCTTCGTTTAATGTGAATGTCAAGTGATTGTCATCCAAAACGTACTGCTGGTTATCGCGTTCAACTAGATGGTGGACTTTCAAGTACTCACTCACATCAAAAATGTTCTTTGCCTCTCTTTTGCCATTAGAGTCAAGACTAGTGACAAATTCGGACAAGTTGAATACATTTTTCCTCTTGGTGATGGAAGAATGAGCATGAGCAACTTCGTTTTGCAAATCTGCGAAATTTACAATATTTTTGGCATCTCTCTTCTCAGCTGGAACCCCCTTCAATCCTAAATCTTTAAAGTTGAAAACATTTTTAGATGCTGTCAAACTGGACATTACAGCCAAACATAAAAAAAATGGAACCTTCATTATTCTTACACTTGTAATCTTAACTTACTCTTTTCTTTACTCTAGCCCTCGTTGAATTATCAAAATCAATTGGCGCTATACTAGGAAAGAATGCTTATTCCATTGTTATAGAAAATTCATGATCACCTTTATTAAAGCGAGAATTGTTCAGATTTGATCAAGGCGTGTACGATGACCAATTTTTTATAACCCCCCCCCCCCTGCCCTGTTAAATTGACACAATGAAAGATGGCACTTTTCGTGTTACTCAAGAAGCTGGAGGGGGGGAGGAGGTATTCGTTGTAAGCTGCTGGATAAATGTAACGAGCAAATTGTCCAAGGAATAGGAATATGTCTTTTTTGTTCTTTTCTTTTCTTTTTACATCAAAAAAGGTGAATCATTTCTTGTATTGATGTTGTTAGTACTCAGACTCACTCTATTCAAGGTATATTGCAATCTTTTCTTTTTATTCCTGAGCATTTGTAATTTTCGAACACTTGATTCGTCGTAGTTCTTGTTATTGACGAAAATCTCCAAATCAACGTCACTGCTTTGCATGCCCCGTTGATAATTGTTTAGCCTCGTTTTGGTCAATTTGAGCTTGCTAGCTAAGCTTTTTCTTTTGAGCACTAATATTTGAAGCTCCTCTTCCAATTTGTGTACTTGTTCATCCAATTGAGGAGTAATTGTAGACCTGTAACTCTGTTTAGCGTCATCCAAATCGAATTCTGGTATTAAACCAAATACTTTTTTCGTCGACAAGACTTGAATCATTCTCTTGGAGTCCAAAGTTTTCTCTTCAAGATCATTACTGCAATCCTTGAGCAATTGTATTGATTCGCGAAGCGAACGGCTACAATTCTCTAAATTGTTATAAGGATGATAAGGCGACGACTGTATGTGAGACATCTTCTAATCACTCGACAAACGAAAAAGCTGGAAAACTCGCTCTACTCGATAGTAGCCTAGAGTAGTATGATCCACTATACTCGATAGTAGCCTAAAGCTAATATGATCCACTATACTCGATAGTAGCCTAGAGTAGTATGATCCACTGAACTTGAGTAACCTAAACCTAGTATGATCCACTGAACTTGAGTAACCTAAAGCTAGTATGCTCCACTGAACTTGAGTAACCTAAAGCTAGTATGCTCCACTATCTCGCTCTGCTCGACAGTAACCTAAACCTAGTATGATCCACTATCTCGCTCTGCTTGATAGTAATTTAAACCTAGTATGCTCCACTATCTCGCTCTGCTCGATAGTAATTTAAACCTAGTATGCTCCACTATCTCGCTCTGCTCGATAGTAATTTAAACCTAGTATGCTCCACTATCTCGCTCTGCTCGATAGTAATTTAAACCTAGTATGCTCCACTATCTCGCTCTGCTCGATAGTAATTTAAACCTAGTATGCTCCACTATCTCGCTCTGCTCGATAGTAATTTAAACCTAGTATGCTCCACTATCTCGCTCTGCTCGATAGTGTATAGTGTATAGTGTATAGTGTCGTGTCGGTATATGTTTCCGTGTATGAAAAACCCATACAAATACAAACTCGTCTTTACAAAGAGAAAAAAAAACCAAATAAAAAATTAATCACATTTTTTTTTTCTTTGAATCAATAATTAACCTAACATACCAACCATTGAGAAAAAGGACCTTTGGTTTGATTGCAGTACTTGGTGCTTATTTTTTGACTGATATTTGGATTTGGGTTTGAAATATTCACTCCTCCTGGTCTTTTAACAACTTATTGTCTTGAAAGGATTGAAAGGTTAGCGCTGGCGTTCATTGTTTAAAGCAATAGTTTCAAAAAAAAATAAATTCAAGAGGTGACTATCTTAGAACCCATCTACACGGTATACGGGCTGTTTTTTATTCACAACTGGTGAAGTCTTTTTTTTTTGGGTTTTTTTTTTTTGGTTTCCTGTGCACAGCTGTTCTTGTTTGGTTTCCCTTACCCAGCTGTTCTTGTTTGGTTTCCCGTGCACAGCTGTTCTTGTTTGGTTTCCCTTACCCAGCTGTTCTTGTTTGTTTTCCACCTTTTACGACTTTAAATGCATTTGGTATCCTTTGAAAAGGCTTCCTTCTTGATCACAATAAGCTGGATTTATTGTACAACTAACTAAAACTATTTCCCTTGACGGGCAAAGTGTTGGATAAAATATGACCGATACACCAGTTAAAATCGAAAGCTCGCCATCATTTTACGACCGGTATGATGAACGAAGTACCCATTTGGAAAAGAGCATCTTGCATAAACAAAGCAGCCAACAACAGCATGTTTTCCCTAATCTAGAAGGTAAAAGAAATGGTATTATCCATCTCAAGAATTCACACCAAAAAAATGGACTTTTTCTACATCCAAATTACTCCAAGGATTCCCCCGCCGTTGTTGCTACTCGAAAACGCTCCAACTCCAAGTCCCAGGTTGTCAATATACCCACAAAACCAAAATCATCCAATGGCCTTTCATTGTATTCAACATCCAAGTGCAATCCACCACCATCAATTCTGCAGCACGTACAGCCTAGAAAGCGATCACAGATGCAATACTATGTCACCTTGTTACCTTTAAACGATACATTTGTAAAAAAACATCTACCCGTTGCAATTTTCCCCGAAACAACAAAACTCAGTCGACCAACAGGTACAAAACATAAACCAGATGTTACAAATGGGTATTTTGATTCGCGAGTCTTGAGCCGTAACCATGCTCAAATATATATCGATCTGACAAACGGAAAGTTGATGTTGCAGGATTTAGGCTCGTCCAATGGTACATACTTGAACGATGTTAAGTTGAGTAATGAGCCCGTGGAAGTAAAAACCGGGGATATAGTTTGTCTCGGCTTCAACGTCCAAGCAGAATCAACACATAAGCAAATAAGTTTGAAAATTGAAAATATCACCGTTGTTGCAAATACCAAGTCGGACTTACACCTACCGCAAAACACGGACCAATTCGTCACATCTGAGTTCAAGCATTTGGCATTCATTGAAGAAATCTATCAAAAAATCAACACCACAGATAACCATCAGTTGTTTCAGAAGCAGCGGGTGCAAAAATTGCCTCAACAAGAAATAAGTTTTGAGAGCGCTTTATTTGGTGATGTGAATCCAGAATTAGAAAGCGATTTATTGGGTCTTTTTTCAACTACAAGTTCGGGGATATACAACAACTCGCAGATTACCAATACTACCACCCTCGAAAATATTATCAACATACTAGCCTTGAGTTTGTCAAGAATTAAACAACAAAGCTCCTCTTTGGACTCTATTCAAGCGTTTTTAACAGATTATCAATTAGAGTTGGATGACTTGAATCGTGCATATTTGGAAGAAGAATTTAGTAAACGGTCAAAGGTTATGGAAGATGATTTGAATTTGGAAAAACAGCAGAATCAAAAATTAAAGGAGCGCATTAGTGTTCTTGAGGAGGAGAGGTTGAAAAAAATAGGATCGTTGAACAACAAGATCAAGACGCTTGAGCGAGAAAAGTCCAAGATGCTTGATACCATACAAACTTTAGAAAAGAAGCTTGAAGAAATTGAATTGACTAGCCAGTGCAAAACCAGGGCACTTGACGATTTGCAAACTGAAAGAGATACGTTGCAAATTTCATTGGAAGAAAAAAACAAGCAAGTTGCGGGTCGGAAATTTATTGACGTATCAACATCTACTACGGAAGATATAAACTTTTTGAATGCCCAAAATTTAGTCTCCGATGCTATAAATGGATTTATAATGGATCTTTCACGAACCCCTTCTGTAAGAGATAATTTGAAAAATCTAGATGGAACTACATCATGTAAGAGTACATTGTTGAAAGATGCGATTGAATTAACACCACCACTGTCAGATAATGATGACAGTGATAGCGAGGAGATAGGAGAAGCAGAAGGAGAAGCAGAAGGAGAAGCAGAAGGAGAAGGAGAAGGAGAAGGTTTTGTTGGTGGTAGTAATAAAGAAGATACCAGTTTCCAGTCCCAGAAGTCATCAAAGGAGATATACTTGCAAAACTTATCTTCTTCATCAATCATTGCCACAAATTTCCTTCCCAATGACGTTGAGCCATTTCCCAAGGTGGAAGCATCATCATCATTTTCATCATCATCATCAGCAGCAACTAGTGTCTCAAAACCGAGTGATCATTTAGATATAGCTGAAACAAAATGCTGTGCATCAATAAATGAAACGGAATTACAGGGCGTTGGGGAACGAAATAAAGTATCCTTGATTAGGTTATCACAGATGGATAAACAAAGGGTTCTGACTATGATTATTGCTATATCGGCTATGTTAGTAGGTTACTATTTACAAAGATTGCTTAATTAAACAATCATTACAGACAAGATTTATATGGCTATGAGATTTTATATTTAATATACTTTTTACATGGTAAGTTCATCAAGAAAGAGAGAGAAAGGAGAGTTATGGGTATGTTCTTTGCGACTAGTGACATTTGTTTATAGCTCGATTTTTTTAAAAGCAAAAAGGGTCTCTGATTCAAAATTTCCTATTTAAAATAAATAATCCCTGCCTATTAGATGGAGAAGATTTGGGTGGCAGCTAGTGTTGGAGTCACGATTTCAGCGGACCCACATCGAGTCTTTTGATTTTTACACCAAAAAGTACTCATTGGGAGATATTTGTGGTGCTAGTTGTAGGAGATATAATTTGGGTGGCAGCTAGTGTTGCTGCTCCACAATCTCGCTCTGCTCGATAGTGCTTTTCAACTAATTTTCATTGTCATATTATCGTATAAAACATCTATACACCAGTTTCCCATTGATCATTATCAAAACATAATCATCACCTCTCTAAGCCTTTCCAAACATAATCATCCCCTCTCTAAGCCTTCCAAACTTTGGAGATGATTTGACATATTCCACCTTCCTTCTTCTGGATTTGGTAAACACCATAGCCGGCAACACCAGTACCAAACGTTAATAAATAAATGGCATAGTTGAACAAGTTACCATATACTCTCTTTGGAATATAATCTGTGATACAAGACTGGAACCCGGTATAACAATGAAATAAGAGCAATGAACATAATGTCGAGTCCAACAATGTAGAAGTACCAGTGACTAACGGAGCTAAAGTCAATGGCACCAATCCAACAGCAACTAACCTTTCACTGGTCCAATGAAGCGAGCCTTCCAATTTATGTGGTTTTGGTGGAACATAGGCATCGTTCACAGTACCTACAATATATCCCGGTGGTTGAGGAATAGTCTTAATACCTCTTGTCAAACTTGGTGCCAAAAATTTCAATGTTGACAATTTCAGGCTCTGATAAAGCCCAAGTCGTGCTAACATTGTGTCTCACTAGTAAAAATGTATCTACAACAAATGGTCAAAGTACAGGACTAGTACCTACAAGTATATATATATATATACAAGTAGTATAATAAATTTTTCTATTACTCCCGGTGTTTATCGCTTATAAATTTTTATGTAGTGGATTAGATACCAAAATTCAATGATTGGTTGAAATTACTATGCAGAACTGAAAATTAAAAGTGCTACCATTGCTTTTCACTATGGAGTAAAGCGAGATAGTGGAGTAACACTTTGTAGCTTATTAGCACACTGACTACATTAGCGTTTTAGTAGAGGGGCATGGTTTACACAGTCCCTTGATGTAGTTTTATTAGGTGAATTTTTTTTTCCTTTGGTGAAACTTGTAATACATGTAAACCACAGCCGACAGTAGTAAGTAATGGAGGCAACAGAAGATTGCTGATTAATAGAGAAGGTGTAATAGACGGATGGTGTGTTATTCTACTCTATTTATCCAAGTTCGCTTCATAGGATATAATGCTCTCTTTATATACTCTCATCTTGCCCCCTACACACACTTATGCTCGGTTTATTTTGTTACCCCATACTATCCTTTTCCTGTACAGATGGTTTCAAATTATTAAATTATACACATGTTATAAATCACAGTTTTGCACTTTTCACACTGTTATACGGAATCGTCCTTACTAGTGTGCTCCACTATCGAGTAGAGCGAGATGAAAAAGCCAAGCTTCTTCAAGTTAGTGATCAAAGCAGATTATCTGAATAAACCATTCTGTATCAAACAATCGACCACAAAATTAAGATCCCTGTTGAGAATTTCTTTAGTAGTATTCTGGATTTGGAAAATGTCTCTAAATCTTTTTGTCACTAGACGAGCTATTGCCCTATTAATTTGTTCTGAATCTTTTGCCCTATTAATTATTCCACCGATAGTGTCGCTCAATAGTATCGGTGGCAGCTAGTGTGCTCCACTCTTCTCGATAATATCGTGTTTATCAAAAATCTCCTCTTTTTTAGAAAATTACCACCCAAAATGATAGAGAGAGTAGATATAGACTATCGAGCAGAGCAAGATAGTGGGCAGCTAGTCAATGCTTCTCCACTATCGAGCAGAGCGAGATAGTGTGCAGCTAGTCAGTGCTTCTCAACTATCGAGCAGAGCGAGATAGTGTCAATAGTGTCACTAGTCAGTGCTGCTCCACTATCTCGCTCTGCTCGATAGTGTCGATAGTGTAGTGTCGATAGTGTCAGAGATTTCCACCGAAGCGAGAAGAAAAAAAGAAAAAAAAATCACAGCAAAGGGACACTGCTGTTCAATCATAGACCCTTTTCAGTAATAAAAGTACCACCACCACCACAGACAAGAGTTATGGATTTTGAGCTAGAACCTACATTGAGATCATTGATCCAACAAGATACCTTAAAATGGATATTTGTTGGTGGTAAAGGTGGTGTAGGGAAAACCACTACTTCCTCATCAATTGCGGTACAATTAGCATTACAGCATCCAGAATCAGAATTTTTATTAATTTCAACAGATCCAGCACATAATTTATCCGATGCCTTTTGTCAGAAGTTTGGCAAAGATGCAAGAAGAGTAGAAGGGTTGAGTAATTTGTCATGTATGGAAATCGATCCCGAAGCAGCAATGACCGATTTGCAGCAACAAACACAACAATTCAATAATGACCCAAATGATCCATTGAAGAATATAATGAACGAAATGACTGGGTCTATTCCCGGTATTGACGAAGCCTTATCTTTCATGGAGGTGTTGAAGCATATCAAGAACCAAAAAGTCAGCGAGAATGACAATAAGGATAGAATTTCATATAGGACAATAATATTCGATACGGCGCCTACGGGGCATACGTTACGTTTCTTACAGTTGCCATCAACTTTGCAAAAATTACTAGGCAAATTCCAACAATTATCTGGTAAATTGGGACCAATGATGAGCATGTTGGGTGGAGGAGCAGCTGGTGGTCAACAAGACATGTTTGAAAAACTAAATGAAGTACAAAAAAATGTTGCCGAGGTTAACGAGCAGTTTACTGATCCTGATGTGACAACTTTTGTTTGTGTTTGTATCTCCGAGTTTTTGTCCTTGTATGAAACCGAAAGAATGATCCAAGAGTTGATGTCATACAAGATGGATGTTAATTCAATCGTTGTAAATCAATTGTTATTTGCAGACAATGACGAGAATCCGTGTCAGAGGTGTGTAAGTAGATGGAAAATGCAGAAAAAGTATTTGGATCAAATGGCCGAGTTATATGAGGACTACCACTTGGTGAAAATGCCATTATTGGGAACTGAAATACGTGGAGTTGAGAATTTAAAGAAATTTTCAAAGTTTTTGATGGTACCCTACGATCCTGTAAAAGACCGAGCTCTTATCACTGAAATGAAGGAACAATAAATAAATTAAAGAGTAAAGTACAGTATACATATTAATTTACTAAAGTGTTTCCTCTATGTGAATGTGAGTACATCTTCCATATGATGCATATCACAGCCGCAGTCTGACTACAGATTTAGCAAGTCACATATACACTCTGAAATATTTCAAATCAACAACAAGTAAACATAAATCGAAAAAAAAAAAAAAAAGAGACTATACTTATCAGTATTACCATATAGTTACATGTACTTTGCCGCTAGCGCACTTCGTAATTTTAAAAATTCCAAAAAAGAAAAAAGAAAAGAAAAAAAAGAAAATTACAAAAAAAAAAAAAAGTCCCTTGAAAAACTCCATTTGATAATTTGTCTGTTCATTGGCTTGGTTGTATTATTCAGCTCAGTAGCTGCCGTCCCCCCTTTTTATTAGGAGAAGATCCATATTAATTATAATCATGGCCAGAGGAAATCAAAGAGAATTAGCAAGAGCCAAAAATATGAAGAAACAAGAAGACCTTAAGAAGAGTCAGAAACTAGGGGATAAGAACAAGAGAATGCAGAATGATGCCGACAAAATGAGAGAGAAACAAGCTGCAGGTATGTAAAAATTGAAATGTAGTAAATACTTTATTAGGCTTGTTATTAACTCTGACAATAATAACAATAACAATAGCCGACAAGAGGAAGGAAGAAGAACGATTAGCAAATGCTCAGAAGAAGAAGTAAATAAAGATGTGGCAATGGGTGTAGGTAATTCAGCCTTGTAAAAACAACAACTTCTACTGTAAATTTGCCTACTTTGTATTTGAAACATAATACACGTTGTAGTGAATAAAAACATGTAAAAATACGTTGCATTGCGTATGATTCTTTTGTAGATTAAAAGCAAGGAGAGGATGCAGAGGAAGTAGAAAGGATGCGGAGGATGCGGAGAAAGTAGAAAGGATGCGGAGGATGCAGAGGAAGTAGATAGGAGGCAGAGAAAGCGGAGGATGCAGAGGATGCAGAGGAAGCCAGCAGAATGCAGAGAGAGAAACAGAGGAAGCGGGTGGTGGACTGTTGGATCATATGGGAGAAAAGCTAGTCCAAGAGGAACACGTTCAATTCCTTTCTATTATGGTTTTTTCTTGTACTTTTTTATATGTGAAGTATATAAATGAACTAATTTTTCAAAAACCTATATTGAAATTTTTTTCCTTTTTAATACCTAAAAAAGGCAGAGATCTTAAAAGAAAACTACAATTGAGCAGGCAAAATGTTGATTGAAGAGTCATTTCACGATGTTCAAACCAAAGATGGAACTACAATGCGTATTTTTGTTTTCCATCCTAAGGTGCCCAACTATCCCAATGTCAAATTTCCTGGGGTTATAGTATACAGTGAAATTTATCAAGTTTCACCTCCAGTGGCTCGATTTGCTAAGGATATCGCAGGTCAAGGTTTCATTGTTGCTGCTCCATCGGTTTATCATAATTTCGAAGGACCCGAGCCATTGGAGTACAATGATGAAGGTACCGACAAGGGTAATAACTACAAGATTCAAAAAGAATTGAAGTCGTATGACGAAGATGCAGATTTGACGATAAAGTACTTGTTGAGCTTATCCACATGCAATGGAAACATAGGTGCTACAGGTATGTGTCTTGGTGGACATTTGGCTTTCAGAACTGCCTTGGATTCCAGAATTAAGGCAGCATTTTGCTTTTTTGCTACCGATATCCACAAACACTCTTTGGGTAAAGGAATGAATGATGACTCCTTGAAGAGATGTAATGAAATCAAGGGGGAATTGGTTATGATATTTGGAGATAAGGACACTCACGTTCCTTTAGAAGGAAGAGACTTGATTAGAAGCGAATTGAGACGCAACAAGGTTCAAATGACCTTTATTGAAATCAATGATGCTCAGCACGCTTTTGTTAGAGACGAGTCTAGCAAGGGCAGATATGACCCTGCAGTCACCAAATTGTGTTTCGAATGGTTGTTGGAGTTGTTTAACCGTAAGTTGAAGTTGGAGTATGGTGATCATGATGGTCAAAAGAGAGTAATTGAAGATGTCTGTTAATTAACACCCAACTGTTCTTCTTCTTCTCTTTCACTCCTTGTTTTCCAATTTGTAGGTAAACCGTTTATATTGAGTAATTATGCACGACTGAAAATGAAAAATCGACTGGGTGAAATTTTTTTTTTTTTTAATTTTTGCACTTCGCTTTAAAGAGACTGGGCTATTAGTGGTATATTCTAAGATCATGAGACCATTAAAGTTGATGGGCCACGAGCGTGCCTTGACCCAAGTCAAATATAATAGGGAAGGTGATTTGCTTTTTTCAGTTGCCAAGGATAATGCAGCATCGATATGGTACTCATCAAATGGTGAAAGATTGGGGACGTTAGAAGGACATCAGGGTGTGATTTGGTCGATCGATGTTGACCCTGAGACTTTACTATGTGCTACGGGAGGAGGTGATTTGCAAGTGAAGTTGTGGACGGTTGAGAATGGGAAATGTGTTTATTCATGGAGTTCCCCCTCGCCTGTTAGAAGAGTTGCTTTTTCACCTGATGGATCGAAATTATTAGTTATTGCTGATCAAGTGATGGGTCATATTGGTACGATATCTGTGTATGATATAAATCGAGACGTCTCAACTATAACTCAACAATCAGAAACGCCTTCGTTGGTCATAGAAACTGAGCCTAATGGATCAAAAGCTACAGTTGCTGGATGGTCTGAGAATGGCGAATTCATTATTTCCGGTCACGATAACGGACTTGTAAGCAAATACGATTCTCGAACAGGTGAGTTGATTTCCAGCTTACAGGCGCATGGTATACATAATGAGGAGAAAGCCGTTGGTGTGACAGATATACAATTTGCATTAGAGGATAGATCTTACTTCATCACTTCATCGAAGGACAAATGCGCCGTATTGATTGATGTCGACACATTTGAGATATTGAAGGTTTACAAAGCTGACGCACCGATGAATGCGGCAGCTATCACTCCAGTTAAGGATTTTGTCATATTGGGAGGAGGTCAAGAAGCTAGAAATGTTACTACTACTGCCGAGTCGCAAGGTAAATTTGAAGCTAGATTTTACCACAAGATATTTGAAGAAGAGATTGGTCGTGTTAAGGGACATTTCGGTCCTCTTAATACTGTTGCAGTGCATCCGGATGGAACAGGATACAGTAGTGGAGGAGAAGATGGGTTTATAAGAGTTCACACTTTTGACAAATCATACCGGGATTTTCTTTTTGATGCTGAGAGAACTGAAAAAGCTGCAGCAGCAGGTACAATCTAATTAATACAACTGCTTAACTGAAATAGATTACATTGGCTTTTAGGGCATTACTTTACCTGTTTTCAACCTGTTTTCAACCTATTTTCTCTACTTGCTTCCTCTACATTGTTTCATGTTGGTGGCAGCTAATTTACTCCACTATCGAGCAGAGCGAGATAGTGTCTGTCGATAGTGTCGACGGCAGCTAGTTTACTCCACTATCTCGCTCTGCTCGATAGTGTCAGTCGATAGTGTCGACCTGTTTCTCTTCATCTATAGATGGCATAGTTATCAAGCGGATTTGTCTTTTGGCACAAAGTTGCTTATGTACAGTACTCTTGTATCCATCTCTTTGTGCGCCAACGGCTGCAATATTTTTCACAAATTTCATTATGACATATTTGCCATTTTTTTTCGTTTCTTTTTAACAAAAGAGCAGTGGGTTTGAAGAACTAGACGGTTGTTTCCTATTTCTCAGTAGTCGAGACACTGGAAAAGGGCGTTGAATATCAGGAATATGTCAGAGTCAGAGTCAGAGTCAGCGTTGACTGACGTTGGTGGTGGTTTTGTAGCTGGTGACACAAATTATAAGAGAAGAAAAATGGCTAATACTCGAAATAACCCAAGAAGAGCAAGCGCTAGAAATACTTGTTATGCTGAACCGGGCGACTTGGATATTGACGATGAGGAAAGTACAGTTGAAATAGATTCCGATACGTTTGCTAATGTGCAAGTTCCTCCTAAAAGAGCCAAAACTACGCGTGCTAAAACTACGCGTGCTAAAACTACGCGTGCTAATGGAACCAAGCAGCAGCAGAACTCATGGCAGATAAAGTCTGATCCGTCGTCATCTGATGATGATGACGACGACGAAGACGACGACGACAAAGATGAAGAATTTACCATGAATCTTGACGATTTGAAGCAAAGTGACACTTCGGAAAATGACTCTGACATACAACTCATGAGTTATAACAAAGTTGATAGAGACGGGTCGAGTCACGATTTGGCCGTTACTATATCTTCTTCTTCTTCTGATAATGACGACGACGACGAAAATATGCCCTTAGCAAGGAGGAAAGTTTCAACTCCAACGGGAAGTTCCTCCACAGAGACAACTTCTGTGAGACAAAAGACCACTCCGCAAAGAAAAAGGCATACACAGGACAAGAAGAATACTAAGAAAAAGAAGGAGGAGAAGAAAAAGAAGAAGAAAATGACCCATTTTGAGCGTACCACTAATAATCTCTATACTCATCATCCTGATCTTGTTGATGTATTTACAAATTTGGAGAAATGTGAAAAAATAAAACCAGAGAGGGCCGAACATCCTGTAGGAATGACGATTAGAATGTTACCTTTCCAACTTGAAGGTTTGAACTGGCTTTTGAAGCAAGAAGACGGCAGATTCCAAGGTGGTATATTAGCAGATGAGATGGGAATGGGAAAGACTATTCAAACTATTGGTTTGTTCATGCATGATACGGAGAAGAAACCGAATTTGGTTGTTGGTCCCACAGTGGCGTTGATGCAATGGAAGAACGAGATTGAAAAACACACAGATGGAAAGTTAAAGGTTTTGTTGTTTCACGGAAACAGTAGAGTTAACAAAGTTGAGGAGCTTGTAAAGTATGATGTGATACTAACATCGTACTCAGTGTTGGAGTCTTCTTTTCGAAAGCAACAATACGGGTTCAAGAGAAAAGGGGCTACTGTTAAGGAAAAATCAGCTTTACATGCGACACAATTCTATAGAGTGGTTTTAGACGAGGCTCATAATATCAAAGATCGTACATCCAATACTGCTAGAGCTGCTAATCATTTGAATACTCAAAAACGGTGGTGTTTGACTGGTACTCCATTACAAAATAGAATTGGTGAGATATATTCTTTGATAAGATATATGAAACTATATCCGTTTCATATGTATTTTTGCACAAAGTGTGATTGCAAAAGTAATGATTGGAAGTTTTCAAATGGAAGAAGTTGTGATTTATGTGGCCACACGGGAATGTTGCATACCAATTTTTTTAACCATTTCATGTTGAAAAACATCCTCAAGTTTGGATTAGAAGGTGATGGAATGCAGAGTTTTGGAAACTTGAGATTATTGCTACAGAATATCATGTTGAGAAGAACCAAGCTTGAAAGGGCTGATGATTTGGGTTTGCCTCCTAGAATTGTTGAAATTCGTAACGATAGGTTTAATGAAGAAGAAAAAGATTTATATACATCACTTTACAGTGATTCCAAGCGGAAGTTCAATGATTATGTAGCTGATGGGGTGGTTCTCAACAACTATGCAAATATTTTCACTTTGATTACCAGGATGAGACAGCTTGCAGATCATCCAGATTTGGTATTGAAACGGTACGGTACCAATCAGATTGCTAAACAAATTGAAGGTGTGATTATGTGTCAATTATGTGACGACGAAGCAGAAGAGCCTATTGAATCCAAATGCCATCACCGTTTCTGTCGAATGTGTATACAGGAGTATGTTGAATCGTTTGACGATGCTCACAACAGATTGACATGTCCTGTATGTCACATTGGGCTAGCCATTGATTTGGAGCAGCCGGCTATTGAAGTTGATGAGGAGTTGTTTACAAAGGCATCCATTGTGAATCGTATAAAACAAGGATCTCATGGAGGAGAATGGAGATCATCTACAAAGATTGAGGCACTTGTTGAGGAGCTATACAAGCTCCGTTCGAATAAACATACCATCAAATCCATCGTGTTTTCCCAGTTCACCTCGATGCTAGACTTGATTGAATGGAGGTTGAAAAGAGCCGGTTTCCAAACAGCCAAACTTTCTGGTTCCATGTCTCCTCAGCAACGTGACAATACAATCAAATACTTTATGGATAACACTGAAGTTGAAGTCTTTTTAGTTTCGTTAAAAGCTGGAGGTGTTGCATTGAACTTGTGCGAAGCGTCACAAGTGTTTTTGATGGACCCTTGGTGGAATCCAAGTGTCGAGTGGCAATCGATGGATAGAGTTCATAGAATCGGACAAAAGAGACCCATTCGTATTACAAGATTTTGTATTGAGGATAGTATTGAGCTGAAAATTATTGAATTACAGGATAAAAAGGCCAATATGATCAATGCTACTATAAACCACGATCAAGCAGCAATAAGCAAGTTGACTCCCGATGATTTACAGTTTTTATTTATGAATTAATAGAATATCAAGCATAGGCTATCGAGCGACACTATCGAGCAACACTATCGAGCAACACTATCGAGCAACACTATCGAGCAGAGCGAGATAGTGGAGCATACTAGCTCTAAACACTATCGAGCGAGATAGTGGAGCATACTAGCTCTTAACACTATTGAGCGATACTTTGTAGACACTATCAAGCAAAGCTTGGTCTTTCAACTGGAAAGTGTAGCGAATAAAGAGGCAAGTAGGGGCAAGTAGGGGCAAGTAGAGACAAGTAAAGAGACAGTTTAAGATAGTCTATTGAAAGAGTAGATAGAGAAAGTAAGTATGGACTATCATGCTTTCTCAAAACATGCACTGTATATATTTCTATAACTACAAAGATGCTCCACTATCGAGCGAAGCGACACACTCGAGGTGTAAGCATACTAGCTGTCATTGATACTATCTCGCTCTGCTCGCTTCGCTCGATAGTGGTGTATCTCGCTTCGCTCGATAGTGGTGTATCTCGCTTCGCTCGATAGTGGTGTATCTCGCTTCGCTCGATAGTGGTGTATCTCGCTTCGCTCGATAGTGGTGTATCTCGCTTCGCTCGATAGTGGTGTATCTCGCTTCGCTCGATAGTGGTGTATCTCGCTTCGCTCGATAGTGTCTTACTGTCTATTTGGTAGCATATCCTAGTTGAGTCATACAAGCGACTCCAGATTTTTTTTTTTTTTTTTTTTTTTTTTTTTTTTTTTTTTCTTTTTTTTTTTTTTTTNTTTGGTTGTAAAAGCGGACCCTGGTTTTTTTTTTTTTTTTTTTTTTTTTTTCTTCTTTTTGCAATCATAGGCTTATAAGCATTCTTTTTTCTATAACGATTTTTCACTTGTCTAGTACAATTTGTAAAAAGTAGCTAATTGGACAGTTGGAGAAGGTTTTGACTAGTAAAGTAAGAGGAGTATGACGAGGAATACCGATTTTTGGATCAAATATCTTGATAACCCTACGTTATCAGTGCTACCCCACGATTATTTGAAGCCAGCAAATAACAAATCTGTTGAAGGAACTTATGCGTTTAAAGTTCCCCAACCGGCTAATGATTTCCAAACAGGGTTAGCTGTCTTTGCCGCATTGATTTATAGGTTAACTGGAGATGAAGATCTTGTTATTGCCACGGAAGAGTCCGTGAACTCACCTTCTTTTATTATTAGGTTGAGTATGACTCCCGAACTCGAATTTCAACAATTGTTGAGCAAAGTAAAAGAAGAATTCACCAAGTGTGCTTATCAAGTGAACTATGAGAACTTGTCTGTCGTTAGTCAGAAAATCAAAGCTGCTAAAAAATTGGAGGAAAATCCGGAATTGTTCAAGGTTTCTTATCAGCATCAGAATCGTAATCAGCAGTTGAACACTTCGATTGAAGGATCAATTCGTGACTTTGCAATTTTCACTAATGACTCAGAGTTCACTATATATTACAATGCTTTATTATACTCTAACGAAAGAATCAAAATATTTGCCCAACAGTTTACTCAATACTTGGCAGCGGCTTTGAATGATCCTTCGATTGCCATTACAAAAATAAGTTTGGTTACTCCACTTCAGAAAAGTTTTTTGCCTGATCCAACGTTAGATTTAGATTGGAGTGGATACAGAGGTGCTATCCAGGACATTTTCCAAGAAAACGCTCAACAATTCCCCGAGAGAACATGCATAGTGGAAACAAAATCATTTATGGATCGAAATTCCAAAACCAGATCATTTTCGTACAAACAAATTAACCAAGCTTCCAACGTGGTTGGAAATTTTTTGAAATCGACCGGAATCAAAAAGGGGGACATTGTGATGATATATGCTTATCGTGGTGTTGATCTTGTGGTTGCAGTTATGGGTGTTTTGAAAGCTGGTGCCACTTTCTCAGTAATTGACCCTGCTTATCCACCGGCAAGACAAAACATTTATTTATCTGTTGCCAAACCAAAAGGATTAATCGTTTTGGAGAAAGCGGGCATTTTGGATAAGTTGGTAACAGACTACATCAAGGATGAACTTGATGTGGTTACGAAAATACCCCAATTGAGAATTGAAGATGACGGACATTTGCTTGGTGGTTTCTTGGCCAATTCTGATAAAGATAGTCTTGCCGATTATGCCGTTTACAAAGATGAGCCTACCGGGGTTATAGTTGGACCAGATTCAAATCCCACATTATCATTCACTTCTGGATCAGAAGGTATACCAAAAGGTGTATTGGGACGTCATTATTCACTAGCTTATTACTTTCCTTGGATGGCTAAAAGATTTGGATTGAGCGACAAGGATAAATTTACAATGTTATCTGGTATTGCACACGATCCAATTCAAAGAGATATGTTTACACCATTATTTTTGGGTGCTCAATTATTGGTGCCTACTGCCGACGATATTGGAACCCCAGGTAAATTAGCTGAGTGGATGGCAGCATATGGTGCAACAGTGACACATTTGACTCCAGCTATGGGTCAATTATTGAGTGCACAAGCAACAACTGCTATTCCCTCTCTACATCATGCATTTTTTGTTGGTGATATCTTGACTAAGAGAGATTGTTTAAGATTACAAACGTTGGCAGAAAACGTCTACATCGTGAACATGTATGGTACCACTGAAACTCAAAGATCAGTGTCGTATTTCGAGATTACAAGTAGAAAATCAAATCCAACTTATTTAAAAAACTTGAAAGACGTTATGCCCGCAGGTACCGGTATGCAAAATGTGCAATTACTAGTTGTTAATAGAAATGATAGATTGCAAACATGTGGTGTTGGAGAAGTTGGTGAAATTTATGTGCGTGCTGCCGGGTTGGCTGAAGGGTACCGTGGGTTGCCTGAATTGAATGCTGCTAAATTTATTACTAATTGGTACGTTGATCCAAGCAAATGGATACAAATTGATAAACAAAAAGAAAACAAGAATGAACCATGGAGGAAAGAAGGGTGGTTGGGACCACGAGACAGAATGTACAGATCCGGTGATTTAGGTAGATACTTACCAGATGGAAATGTTGAGTGTTGTGGAAGAGCGGATGATCAGGTAAAAATTAGGGGGTTCAGAATTGAGTTGGGTGAGATTGATACACACTTATCTCAACATCCATTGGTTCGAGAAAATGTAACTTTAGTTAAAAGAGATAAAAATGAAGAGCCAACCTTGGTCTCATACATTGTACCCAAGGATTCACCAGAGTTGGCAAACTTTAGTTCTCAAGTGGACGAAACTGCCGAGGAAGCAAACGATCCAATAGTCAAAAGCTTAGTGGCATATCGTGAGTTGATCAAAGATATCAAAGCTTATTTAAAAAAGAAATTGGCATCCTATGCTATTCCCACAATGATTGTACCATTAGTTAAACTTCCTTTGAATCCCAATGGTAAAGTTGATAAACCAAAATTACCATTTCCAGATACTGCTCAGTTGGCAGCTGTCTCAAAATTGAGTACTTCAACTAAAGATATAGAGGCTGCGGAAAATGAAAAGTTGAGTAATTTAGAAAGAGAGATTAAAGATCTCTGGCTTGAAGTTTTGCCTAATAAACCAGCGACTATCTCCAAAACAGATTCATTTTTTGACTTGGGTGGCCATTCTATCTTGGGAACTAGAATGATTTTTGAATTAAGGAAGAAATTAAACGTTGAAATTCCACTTGGTGTTATTTTTAAAAATCCAACTGTTGAGCAATTTGCAAAGGAAGTTGAAAAAGTGATTCAAGGTGGCAAAGATTTTGAACTAGCTGATGGTAAGAGCAATGCAAATGCTGGAACAACCGGTAAAGAAGAAGATGCTGCAAAAGATGCTACCGTTGACTACGCAGAGGATGCCAAATACCTTTCACTGACTGCTTTGAAGGCCAATTATCAATCTTTGGAGAAGTTAGACCAAACCTCAATTAACGTGTTTGTTACTGGTGTTACTGGATTTTTGGGCTCTTTTATTATTCGTGACTTGTTAGAGTTTAGAAGAGATAAACTTGACATTAAAATCTTTGCTCACGTTAGGGCTCTGACAAAGGAAAGTGGTTTGGAGAGAATCCGCCAAACTGGAAAAACATATGGTATCTGGAATGAATCTTGGGTCGATAAAATCGAGGTAGTTTTAGGTGATTTATCTAAAGAAAGTTTTGGATTAGATAAAACAGCTTGGACTCAATTAACTGAGACCATTGATGTAATTATCCATAACGGAGCTTTTGTGCACTGGGTCTATCCTTACTCACAGTTGCGTGATGCAAATGTTTTGAGTACAATAAATGTGTTGAACTTGGCTGGCGAAGGAAAAGCCAAATGCTTTGCTTTTGTATCATCGACATCTGCCTTGGACACGGATTATTTTGTTAATTTGTCGGATGAACTTCTCCAACAGGGCAAGACAGGAATACTTGAGAGTGACGATTTACAAGGATCCTCGCGAAACCTTGGAACAGGATATGGTCAATCAAAATGGAGTGCAGAATACATTATACGTCGTGCTGGAGAACGTGGATTGCGTGGATGTATAATACGGCCCGGGTATGTTACAGGTTTTACGGAAACTGGTGCTTCCAATACCGACGATTTCTTACTTCGAATGTTGAAAGGAGCAACGGAATTGGGCTTATATCCAGATATCACCAATAATGTGAATATGGTTCCGGTTGACCATGTAGCTAGAGTTGTCACATCAACGGTATTGAATCCACCAAAGTCAGACGAATTGGTAGTTGCTCATGTTACGGGACATCCTCGTATTCAATTCAATGAGTATTTAGGAAGCTTGAAACAATATGGTTATGACATTTCACCAGTAGATTATCCGCAATGGACAAGTGCCTTGGAAAATTTTGTTGTTGAAAAGAGCAAAGAAAGTGCCTTATTCCCATTATTGCATTTTGTATTGGACAATTTACCCCAGGATACAAAAGCGCCAGAATTAGACGATACTAATACTAAGGAGTCATTGGTTAAGGATGCAAAACTTACTGGAGAGGACAAGAGTAAAGGAAGCGGAGTGACTGTTGACTTGATGGGTGTTTATATAAGTTACTTGATCAAAATTGGATTTTTATCAAAGCCTAGTGGTAAGGGAGAAAAACAATTACCACAAGTCAAGTTGAGCGATGTAACATTGAATTTAATCAAGCAAGGTGGTGGTTCAAGAGCTTCTGCTGCAAAATAGCACCCACCTCAATCAACAAACCGCTGCCCTGCCGCAAAATAGCACCCACCGCAATCAACAAACCGCTTTCCTGCCGCCTTCTATATAGCACATCACAGTATATTTTAAAAAAAACAGTCCCACTATATAAACAATTTCTGGCGCATCAACCAAATCCCCTGTCCTTGTAAAGACTCACGACATCTCTTTATGACATACATACATACATACATAGATAAATTAGCGATTCCCCCCCCCCCCCCCCCCGCCCCTGCATCTTTGGTCGTTTCTTTTTTTTTTTTTCTGACCACTTTGCACGAGAAAAAAGAATAGCAAGTTGATTTGGTAGCGCACGGGTCGGTAACATTTTTCAATCTCAAAGAAGGGCACATTGAGCTTAATCAGGCCATCAAAGAGAGGTGTGTTTCTTTCCATTCAGATGATAGTGGTTTGGTATTTCGGCTGTTTGAGTGATTGGTAAACGGAATGGAATGGGATAGAAATGACGACAGAAGGAAACAAAGACGAGCTGAAGCCGTTGGACGATACGTGTCAACGAGTAAATCCCATAATAAGTATATCAGATCTAAACGATTCCAAACAAGTTAATGAAAAGATAGCAAAAAGCGATTCCAAACAAGTCAATGAAAAGATAGCAAAAAGCGATACTCATGGCAATGGTAGTGAGTATGATTACTTTGGACCTACCAAGAGTGGTGGTCATTTCAATGGACATGAGAATTATTCGTTTATAACGTCAACTATTCCCAAGGAACATAATGACAATAATGATTTTAAGGATACACCTTCTTGGCAAGCATTCTCGAACCGTTCCAAGGCTCAAGACCTTTCTCATTCCAAGACTCAAGACCTTTCTCATTCCAAGACTCAAGACCTTTCTCATTCCAAGACTCAAGACCTTTCTCATTCCAAGACTCAAGACCTTTCTCATTCCAAGACTCAAGACCTTTCTCATTCCAAGACTCAAGACCTTTCTTATTCCAAGGCTCAAGACCTTTCTTATTCCAAAAGAGGGGGATCGCTCTCAAATTTAGAAAGCAAATTTCTCTCGAGACCATCAACCGGAATCTTATCGCAATCACCAATTATTTCCAAGAATCATTCAGAAACAAATATCATCAACTTAAATTTCAACCATAAGCAGCGGAAATCTGCATCTTCATTAAGCTCAAGCTCAAACTCCACCACAACCACGCCACCCAAAATATCTAAATCGAGTGATAATATAAAAAACTTGGATATTGATAGTCTCACACCCTCGAATCCCAAATTTCAACCTATCACGCCTCCTGCTATTCTTTCCCGAGATGAGCCTAGTTTGAGCTTTTTCACCTTGGATAAGAAACTGATGATGATGAAAAGGAGATCAAAAAATAATGATCGAAATAGCCCACTGGTTTCTGGATCGGCTTTGAGTTCAGGTGTAAATTTGAATAAAATTGGTAAAAATGCGCTTCATAATGGTAGTAGTGAGCGACGGAAGTCAAATTTTGGAGATATTAATGGAGAAGGAGGAGGATTAGGATTAGGAGGAGGATTAGGATTAGGAGGAGGAGGAGGATTAGGATTAGGAGGAGGAGGAGGATACGAAGAAGGAGTAGGGGGAGGAGATAACAGATACGAAGTATTGCATAATCCCAAATTTTTAAGGGACTTGAAACTTGGTGTTAATAATGGATCTGATTTTGGAGATATTGAAATTGGGAAAAGCTATTCTTCATCGTTGATATCGAAAGTAAATACTAATACTAGCGCTTCTACTCATTCCAGAAACGAGCTGAAGAATAGATTGGTTGATCAGTTTTTCAAGCTGGGACCAGTACCTATTGCTCCATCCTCACCAGGAAAGAATGGGGGTTTAACTGGCTATTTGTCACTGAGTCAAGTGAATTTCAATATAGGGGGACCAGTAACCCCAAAGGGGCCCGATCGGAAGTTCAAGTGGCGTGTGCCTCCTTCTTCCACTACACAAGAAGAAAATACCAGTATTTGTGATACTGGTGGCGGTGAAAGTGGCACTGGGGCTGTTGAAGAGCAGGAGAAACAACTAGTCGAAAATGTTGGCGGAGGAGCGAAAGGAGGGAAAGGAGGCGGCGGTAGTAGTGGCGGAGATAGTGATGTCAAAAACCCGTCTTCATTATCTTTGCAATCTAGTGAAGACATTGTTTACTCTATATTGAACTGCGGAGGATTCAATTTCCAATATGATGAAAGACATATTATTGAAAATGACAAGTTGGTGAATTATTTGTTGAATATAGACAATATTCTTGAAGAGTTGGAAAAGAATGATAAGGACAAGGAGCTAAAAGTAGGCAATTTTTCTTCTGATCCGTTAATGCCATTAGTCAAGATAATGACAACGATATCAAACAAGCTAACGCTAAAACAGAAGGCGATACTAAATTCCGATTCTGTAGCAATGACTCCGTCATTAGTTCAGCTTGATTTGATTATTTGCTATTTAAACTTTTTAAAGAATGATATCAACAATCTTAAACACGAATTAAGCAATAATCTAGCTCAAACACGAATATCCAACAAGGACGAAATAACTGCGAGTCTAAATCAATTAGATGAAATATCCATCAATTTGGAGAAACTTGAGAACAAATCAATTTTTTATAAGGACAAAATACATGACTATAAACAATTGTTGAATTTCGATATAAATACCAAACTAGACTTGATGGAAGATATTAATAGCAAGATTACCAAGCACAAAAAATCAAAAAGGAATCTGAAAATTATCAAGATTAACGTGTTTATTGTTACTATTTTTGTTTTACTATTTTGTATTTGGTATGCTTTTTAAAACAAGGATGAATGCTCTTTAAAACAAGGATGGATGCTCGGTTTTACTACATTTGAGAGTTTATATTATAAAAATGAGAAAGGGGAGGTGGGGTAGAAAGATTCTACTATAGACAGGTAATAGCAGATTTATTTATGCTAATGATTCAAGTTGTTATTATCTTGTATTAGTTTATTTGGCGACACTGGGGAGCGAAGCGAGCTAGTGGAGCAGTATGTAGAGAGTAGAGAGTAACCCTCTTTTTGTTTTTGTGATATATATGTTATGATCACGTGTCATGAAACAAATATACACGTGACTTTATGATGTTACATCACGTGACTAATAATATATTGACTATTATACACAATACTTTACCAAGACTCGACTCTCAAGAAAATAAGACGTTGGCTTAGAAAAGAAAATTAGGAAATATAATAGCCAAACCGTTAACCATCAACACCATATATAGCGACACTATCTAGCGGAGCGAGATAGTGGGTAATTATTATCCAGTATGTCGATTAGTCTATATTATTCAATACACTGACATACACTAAAGTTTTATAGATTTTGACAAATCAAAGTTCCTTAATTATTTTTGATATCAGGAGGAGAAAGAAAGTAAAGGTAGCAAAGCCCATACATTCAACTTAATCTCGTCTGAGCTAAACTATAAGAGTGAAGCGTATGTAATGTGAGGTAGATATTTATTTTATTTTATTTTTATTTTTTCTTTCAACAATAAATATCATGGTTTGTCTCTTGAACTTTTTGTCTCCAACATTTTGCCTCATGAACTTTTTGTCTCCTACATTTTGCCTCTTCAACATTTTGCCTCCTACATTTTGCCTCCTACATTTTGCCTCTTCAACATTTTGCTGACTATTTACTCTCAACAGCTCTCACCCCTTTTCCACTTTCTACGACTTATTGTTCAATGAGTTTTAACGTTTTATTTATTTACCCCTCAAACGTAAAACAAATAGTTACGACTTGCACTACCTTGATTTATTTGAGCCTCACAGTTACTGCTCCACCATCTCGCTTCGCTCGATGGTGTAGGAATAGTACTAGTTAGAGAGAGTCAAATCGAGACAAAGTAGAAGGATACAAAAACTGCTTAAAGTTGTGGCTCAATTATTCACTAATGTAAGCATTGTGATATATTGAAAAGTTAATGAAAGCACGATAAAATAAAATAAATTAAAAAAAAAAAAAAAAAAAAAATAGGGTTGAACGGTGAAACATAACGGCTTAAACACAACGGCTAAAAAAGTAGTATGGGCTTTATAATAAATCAGTGGACACTGAGCTTGTTTCGCATGTAGCAACTTTCACCAACTTGTATATTAGTAAATTTCTTTAGACTGCTAAATAATAAATATAAACTTACAATTTAGATATTTACAATACCGGTCACATTTAGGATTAATTTACATTTATGGATTTTGTTTCACATTGTGTGGGAACTTAGCTTTGGATTTATTTTTTAATTTTTCTTTCTTTTTTTCCCAGTTTATATCTGACCAAGCTCCTCATGCGCTTACAAACCGTAGTAATTACATCAAGGTACAGTTCTCTAACAAGGAGTAAATGAACTAAGATGTGATAAAAATCTCATCCTTTAAGAGGGAAAAAAAAATTAAGGAGCTTTGATTGGTCAAAATCTATAGAACTTTAGCGTATAAGTTATATATCCTTTCGAGGAGTTGTATGAAAACCAATGTCCTTTTTCTTTAGTAAGTAATGTCCATCCTCTTTAGTGAGTATCTATGATACTTTTGTCACGAGCAAACAGTTGTGCAAGTAATGCCGGCCCATTGAGGTAATAAGCAAGTCGGTAGCAGCTAGTGTGCTCCACTATCTCGCTCTGCTCGATAGTGTCGCTCGATAGTGTCGCTCGATAGTGTCGCTCGAAAGTGTAGCTCGATAGTGTTGCTCGATAGTGTCGCACATTGAGTTTCACAACTATTGCCTGGTTTTAGTTTCTTTTTCCTCTCTCTATATATTTTTTCTATCAATTATTAGAGAGATTCTCTTAGTTGAAAGGCACACGGGAAAGACGAGGAGGTGAGTGAATTGGTTTATTCACCTGTAAAGCGATTACTCGACTAAAAAATCCATTTTATAAACAAAAGAGACATTTATCGTTTCCTGAAACCCGGTGCAAGCTTTGTTGAAGACATCACTGGTGAAATTTTTAAAAGTCACGCTCATTGGCATTTGTCCCCATCCCATACTAAGAAATAAAGCCGAAGCTCAACTGGACTACCATTATATACACACACATAGACACATAGACACATAGACACATTTTGTCAATTTGGTTTATCCACGCGGTAACATACTGAGATTTTTGTACATTTCAGCTATCAACACTATCGAGCAAAGCGAGATTGTGTTGTAATAAAGAGAAGAGAGTAGACAACACTATCGAGCAAAGCGAGATTGTGTTGTAATAAAGAGAAGAGAGTAGACAACACTATCGAGCAAAGCGAGATTGTGTTGTAATAAAGAGAAGAGAGTAGACAACACTATCGAGCAAAGCGAGATTGTGTTGTAATAAAGAGAAGAGAGAGTAGATATTGATTTCAGCTAACAAGGTGGTCTATAGTTGATCAAGACTTATCAAGATGATGCTCGAAGTATTATCACTCATCAAGGATGTACCAGATTTCAAAATAAAACCCATTAGCAAGTACAATATCCCGCAGCAGAAACAGTATCAATATTTTCCTTCATTTAAACAGTTGCTTATCCATCTTTTCAAAAAGGGTAATAACGAAACAGACTGCAATCACCCAATACTTGTAATACTAAAACCAGATGAACATCAAAAACAACAAAATATACACCAAACTGGGTTTCGACTGCAACAACAAAAAAAGACTTTAGAATCTTTAAGATTTAGGGACAAGAAGATTTTACTAAATTACTTTTTCAGTCATCATAATTTGCTAATTACGGATCATGTTGAAAAAGTATCACATATAGAAAAGAAGATCAATACAATTTTGCATACAGTACATCATAGAATATCAAGAATCGGAACTTGGACAGGTACAATAACAAGACTAGTAAGGAGACTGCAAAGAAAAGAAGAAGAAGAAGAAGAAGAAGAAGAAGGAGAAGATTATTATTACTATTATTATGATGATGACAATAGTGATGAATTGGATGATTACAACAAGGAACAATATAACACTAGAGTACCAACAATGATCACAATATTGAACAAAACAGTTAGCAGACCCTCGGGGTCTGTTCAGAAATTGATTGGATTGAAGAATCTCCTAATTTCGGAGATCGACTTTATCGATTTGTTGTCGAATACTTGTCAAAAACGTATACCTTATTTAACTTCAATTGTCAAGGACTGGTCATTCCCAGCACACGAGTTAAGTAATGATGAATTGATATATTGTGTTTATATAATGTTTACAACAGCTTTAAAGGAAATCCAACAGCCACACTGGGGGACAAAGAAGAAAAAGAGGAAAACCGATTTGAAATTTCATATACCAACGAAAAATGAACTTTTGGCTTTGATTTTTCATGTAAGGGATAGTTACCATAGTGATAACCCGTTTCATAACTTTCGTCATGCCGTGGATGTATTACAAGCGTGTTTTTATTTTTGTATTAAATTAGGTCATTTTAAGGAAAAGCAGGAGGAGCAGCAAGAACAAGAGGCACAGCAAGAACAGGAGGAACAGCAAGAAAATAAAGAAGAGAACCTGTCTCTCATGGAAAACCCACCACTACTAAATCCTATACAATGTTTTGCATTACTAGTTGCTGCGTTGGGACACGATGTTTCCCATCCTGGCACCACTAATGCGTTTTTGATTGATAATAAAGCCCCAATCTCACTCATTTATAACGAGCGCTCAGTTTTAGAATCATACCATGCGTCAATTTTCATCAACAAGATCCTAGTCATCTTTTGGCCTAGTTTATTGGAAACCAAAATTAGCGGGGATTCAAAATTAAGTATCCGGGATATAATAACAGTATCAATTATAGCCACCGATATGTCTAATCACTTTGAATATTTGGAAGATTTGAAGCAATTGACTGAAGAATGCAATAACAACGGTTTCAACAAAAACGGTTTCAATCAAGAGTTCAGCCAATATCAAGATAGTAAGATTAAATTGATATGTGCTCTGCTTATAAAATCTGCCGATATTTCCAATGTTACTCGTCCATTGGAAATCTCTTCACAATGGGCAGTAGTGCTACAACGAGAATTTGACGAAATTAAAAAGCTTGAGAAAATGTTAGAGAAGAGGGAGAAGAGAGAGTGCCATTTTCAAAATGAAATAGGTGATGATGACGAGGATGATAGTGATGATGAAGCTAGTGCATTAGATTTTTTCAAACAAAAAGAAATTATATATGAAGCAGTTCCTAGAGAGTTGGACAAAATCTTATTAAACAATCCCATGATTCCGCAAGGTCAATTGTTTTTTATTGGTACATTTGCTGAGAATTTGTTCAATAGTATTAGTCAATTGTATCCCAATCTAAGTTTTGCTTGTGAGATAATGAATGAGAATAAGAAATATTGGGAGCAGAATAAATAGAAATCTGTAACCCAACCGTGTGTGTATTGGAGGTGGGGGTGAAAGTGGAGGTGGAAAGAGATTTATAGAGTTAATAAAGCATCAAAGTTTGAAACCACAGGGCCCCCCTTTGAGGCGAGTATCTCCTCATTTCCTCATTATTGGCTAACATTTCCTTCTGTTGCCCAGTTGAGGCATTGTATATATTTAAATACAACGTACCATTCAACTCGCTTACAATCAAATGGGTCGTGTAATGTACACCGAAAAAAGATTTTCTTTTCTATTTCTATTTCTATTTTTTCTTTCAAAGCAAACCCTGTATACAATTGGAAACTAGTCCTATTGTTTTTTCTTACGGGAAAAAAAAAATCCCTGTTCAATTCAGCGACAAATAGAATCTTCTCGCCTAAGAGAAGTAGCTTCTTGGGCATTCCTTCATCCCAGCTTTAACGCCTATGCGCTAAATTTGTACACGCACCCATTCTTACTATCGAGCAGAGCGAGATAGTGGAGGACACTAACTATATATTTTTACTAATACGTTTCTGTCTCTGTCTGTCTCTCTCTCTCTGTCTCTCTCTTTTTCCCTCCCTCCTTTTCTTCCTCGCTTCCTCGCTCTCTTTCTTTTGTCACCACTATCTAACTTTTAGTCAAACCCGTGTTGCTGTTTATTTTCACCTCTGCTCTCAGTTTCACCTCTGCTCATTTTCAAAAAAATTTTCTTTTTTCTTTCTCTCCCTTGACTCTCGCTATATAGAGTTTGTTACCCATCTAGTCCGATCGTCGTTGAAGTTCATCGCGATTTCTGGTATATATGCTTGGCACTTTGATGACCCAAATTTTTTTCACCAAAAAAAGGAACATCAACTAAGTAAGAACATCAAAATAGAAGATCAATTTGTACTGCTATTTTTTTTTTCTTTTATTTTTCAACGTTGTTTTTTTTTTTTTTTTCCTTTTCCATTTTATAGACCCTGGTAAAAGTTATGGAATTCAATAATGGAAACCAGGATGCGTCAGAACTGGATCATCATCTTCCTTCTAGGCAGCAAAGTGTGGGAACAAAGTTACAGCACGAACTCGAAGCTTTGTTAGATTTGGATTTGAGGTATCAAACAGGACCAACGATGCCAGCGCAAAGTAGCACCAGCACTGCTGCTTCCTCCTCGCTGCTTCTAATACCACCTGTGAATCTGAATGGAAATAACTTTTCTGAACAGTCAACAAGTTTAAAATCTTTTACTTCAAATTTGGAGGCACCGGCTGCTGCAAAATTTGGAAGAAATCACGATATTCTTGGTACAAGCTTGTTGAACCCATCATCAAGCTCAAATTTCGGCACGAGACTTGAGGATGTGAACTCTTTGTCAACAACTCCAAAAATAGGCGCCGCCGCTGCCGCTGCATCATCATCAATATCGACAGTAGGTGCAACTGCACCGAATCTACTGCTTGGAAGCATACTTCAGCCATCTTCTTCTGTTCCTGATAGACCTCAATCTGCTACTGACTATTCAAATATATTTGGCAGATCAGGGCAATCATTTTCTACTTTTAGCACCCTGAACTTGAATTCACAACTGCAACAACTGCAACAACTGCAGCCTCTGCAGCAACAACAACAACAGCAACAGCCTACAGCACAGCCGCAAACGGAAGCCTCAGCACAGTCCAACATTTATCTGGACTTGCTAATCTTTAGTAACTGGATTGAGAACTTGAGTCCTCATGATACAGTAGCCATGATTGACTATTTGTGTGCAAATTTGCCCATTGATATTTTGCTTACTTTCCAGTCTAAATTGAATAATCATTTAAACTACCAGCAACATCAGCAACAAGTACTATTTCCAACAACAACAACGACAACATCATCAACATCATCATCACTGTACAAAAATGTCTATGGCCAAGATTTTATGGCAAATTTTGATAAGTTGAGCTTGAATGATCAAAAGGCCAAGTTTAAACAAGCACTGGCGCAAAAGTCCAGTGCCTATTATTCTCCTCCACGAAATGAAAATCATAATCAGCACAATCAAAGTCAAAATCAAAATCAAAATCAAAGTCAAAGTCAAAATAATCAATATTTGAGTGTGGATAAGGATATTGCACGTCCAAGATCTGCAGACCCTTATCAAAAAAACCACAATGTAAATCATCATTTTCTTTTAGATAGAGCAAAGTCGCCAACATCACATTTGTATGAAAAGACAAATTTCTTACAATTAGCAGCCGCGGCAAACCCTAATGGAAATGCGACATCCCAGTATCAGAATGCTTATAATGGAAATACTCAGCAACAATATTTCAATCCCAACTTGCAACCTCATCAAACGGGTACGGGCATGGGCATGGGCATGGGCACTACAGGCAATGGTCTTCATCGGGATGAAGATATTGATATGTCGCAAGCTACGCTTAAATTAGGTGCTTTAGATACAATTAATTCTAGAATTGCTTTAGATAGTCACAAGAAATATCCCTATTGGAATAATCAACACTATCACACACAGCAACAGCAACAACAACAGCAGCAACAGCAGCAACAACAGCAGCAACAGCAGCAACAGCATCAGCAACAGCAAGTTATGCCTCAGGGTTCAGAGAAGTTCAATGCATCACATCATGTATTTAATACTTTACATTATGAGGATTCGCTAAAAAGATCGGCGAACTCATCATCAGTTCCTGTTAGTTCCAGTGCTCAGAGATCCAATTTTAACCCCTTGATGGGAATGAGTTCTAAAAAACGCATTTCGCCACCAAACTCCTCGATTCAAATGCAGCAACAAAGTGTTTCATTATCTTCGGCAAACAATCAAAATGGATTTTCATCAAACACGACTTCAATGCCAAGCGAAGTAACGAGTATTGACTTATTGAATAATATACCAGCATGGTTGAAGTTGCTTAGATTGCACAAGTATACTGAATGTTTGAAAGATACTTATTGGAAAGATTTGGTTGAAATGAATGATGCACAGTTGGAAAAGAAAGGTGTTACTGCATTAGGAGCAAGGCGTAAACTATTGAAAGCATTTGATATGGTTAAGCAAACCACTTTAAAAGAATAGAGAGTAGAGCCATAGATACACACGTATATATATATATATATATTTATATATATATGTAGAATTCAATATTATAGAGTATCAAAATGGATTTTCTTTTTTGTTTTGGGACAAGTACAAGGGCTAGTATGAGGACTAGCACGATGACCAGCACAAAAGCTTTTATTTATCAGGTTCCAAAACAAATATAATATACAATTAGATATCATTGCAAAATAGGACAACACTCACACTACATAATGATACAACAAGAGTTTGTCTTTTTTGCTTGTTTGTAAAACATTCTCGAAGAACTACTCAATGCTTCGGATTTGTCCACCAAAGAATCCAATTTCTCGCCTCTTTGTAAAACACCTTCGATTGTCTTATGTAAAACTACTTTTGTATCATCTAATTCTTGTTGAACCTTCATTATTGAGTCAGCTTGAGCTGGATCCTGGTATTTTTTCAAATACGTTTCTAATTGAGGATAATTCAATGACGTGTTACTCTGTTCAATGTTGTCCCACTCTGATTTTGGGTGCAATGACAAATACTCCTCCAAAATTTTATTTATCAAAGTATATGCTGGTCTTACTGGATACTCCTTGTCTGTTATTATGACAGCAGACAAACCTTCTGATCGCGTGTATGTGTGACCTATATAGTTTCCTTCCTCTACGCTTTGTCTTTGGCCAGCAGCAGTTCTCTGTGCCACTGTTTCTGAGAAAAAGGTCATAAACTGTGATACTCCATTTCTTTCAAAAAATGAAAATTGGGACAAGTCTCTGGCTGAGGTTAGCTCTACAGTTTTGGAACCGGTAGTCTTTAATATTCCTATGTAATACACCTTCATTCTTTACCGTGAATGTACCTGTGGCCTTAAACAGCTGGGTGTTTCGTGTAAAATCTTGTTATCTCGAGAGGCTGATTTCGAGTAACGAGATAAAAATTAAAACGAGATTTGAAAAATAAAAAAAAAAAAAAAGAAAAGTCCTCTCTCTGTGCAAAAAGGACAAGGGGTGGGGGAGAAGAAAGAAAAAAAAATGCATAGATAGATGAAACACTGAGAGGTACAGACTTACATTGAGGAGTGAGAGAGATTTTCATGTGCGAGTAGACAAAAATGGTACCATTTGCTACAAAGTATTTATATGTACTGCAGATCGAATCGTAGTAAAGTCACATCCAGAGAGATTGTCTCGTGGTCGTTGTTAGAAGGGGCAGTTCTCGTCTAGAGAGAGCGCGCGCAAAGAAACTCCAAACGACGCCTTTGGTACCATCGACACTACCTGGTTATTTAGTTTGCTATTTTCCAACTGCCATTCTTTAACCTTTGAAAAGAAAAAAGAGTAAACGATTAAAATACAATAAGATTTCAAAATTACCCGGCTAACAATAAAAAGATGATATTAAGAGGTTACGATTTTGAACTTACCCGGCTAACAATAAAAAAGATGAGATTATAGGGTTGCAATTTTAAAATTACCCGGCTGACAAAAAAAATGAGCTGATAAGGTTACGATTTTGAAATTACCCGGCTGGGTTACTAGACTTTATCGTGTATGTAACATCTGTTTACAATTTTACAGATTTCCTTCGATTGTACATTACGACCACGTTTTGAGGTCCACATGGTTGCTATCACTCTGCATGGTTGCTAGCAGTATACGAAGAGCTCGGGCATTTTCTACTAGTAATTGATAGGATTCTAATTGACGGAGACACGACAAGGAAATACTCTAGCGATGTCATCAAGCCACCACCATCAACAAGTACCAACGTTGAAAATAGTGCTACTAGGAGATCTGGGAGTGGGCAAGACTTGTTTAAGGTCACAGTTTGTTCACCATGTGTTTACAAACTCATATAAAGCTACAATTGGCGGCGATTATCTCACTACAACAATTGAACTACCTCGAGAAAAACACATTCGTGGGAAAACTGTTGAAACTACCAAATCAGTTTCGCAGGCAGCACCCTTTGAGGAAGTAGAAGAGGTGCTGGAGAATAACTCTTTCCACACAGAAAAGATAAATTTGCAAATATGGGATACTGCTGGACAAGAAAGGTTTAATTCAATATCACTGGCATTCTATCGAGGTACTGATATATGTATCCTATGCTATGACATAACCAATTACGAGTCTGTACTAAGCTTGAGAGACTGGTTTGGTTGGTTTATAGAGCATTGTCGTGTTGCTAACCCAGGTGTGATTATTGTTGGGAACAAACTTGATAAGTCGAAAAATCGAGTAGTGGATAAAGAGGAAATCAAGGATATATTACCCAACAATGCAACAAAGCTGCCAGCAAATGTTGGTGATTATATTTGTAATTGGGATACAGATGTGTTGGAAGTAAGTGCAAAACAACTAGATAAAGTCAAGGAGTTATTTGTAAGGGCAGCAACATTGGGTAGAGACCTTCATCTGAGTGACTACATGGAACATCGAAGATTGCAAAATTCAAATAATATAATCGATTTGCATCAAACCATTCAAATAGATAATAAATCAAAATGTGCATGTTGATTAAGTTATGTGTACTATGTGCTAATATTATATTATGTTACTTACTTCTCTTTTGGTTTGAGTTTTCCCTCTTCAATACCAGTTTCAATTTCTTGCACTGCTGGTTCAGCTGATTCCAAAGTAGCATGCTCTACTCCTTCAGTGTCTAGCTCTTTATCATCATCATCATAGTATAATTCTTCTTTGTAATGATCAGGATGTTGCTTAAAACATGATCTCATGTTTTCAAATTTCTTTATACAATCGATACCTTTGGGTTCAGTTTCAGAAAATACAAAACATGAAAATGCCTCTTTAAACTCTTCACCGCATGGTCCATGGGCCATACCTCCTAAACATGGACAGTCCCAATTAATTTCTCCCGTTTCAGGATTGTAAGCAGCCTCCTGCTTTTCCTCACCGGTTGAGGCATCCTTATCACCTTCTTTCTCTCCTTCGCCTTCTCCTTCACCTTCACCTTCTTCTTTTTTTTCACCTTCACCTTCACCTTCACCATGTTTTTCACTTTGTTCAATTGAAGTGAGAGTTTCTTTATTGCTAGCACTCTCTTCATTTCTCTTATAAATGCCACCACTGTGTTTACTAGATTTTTCAACTGATTCATTAGACTTTGCGTCCCTTATTTCGGAATCACTGGAAATATTCTTAGTATCGGTGCCGCTTGCTTCCTGTACATTTTCTTTCTTTGACTTTTCAGCATCCTCAATTTCCTTGTCGGTCTTGTTGTTTTTCAATTTTTGCTGTTGATCTTTAAGCTTTTTTTGCTGTTGATCAGCCATAGCATCACCGTTGGTGAAATTATCTCTAATATTTCTAGCCGTTTCATTCTGTATGGAGAATGATTGATTACTGGCCAAGTAACCATATGCGATGGCAATGGAACCAACAATCGACCCCCCAACTATCAATCTGGAGTTGAGGAATGTCTTGGTTGATTGGGTAGATGCATTGGACGAGTAACATCTCGCAATTCTTGCTCTTGTTTGACGAGCAACAGTTGATCTAATAATTGGTCTATACATTTTTAGTACTTGAAAAATTTAATAACTCTTGTAAATATACTCCTCTTTCAGCTTAAAGGAGTTTGTGAAAAAAAAAGGGGGGGGAAAGAAAGAAACGTGATTGAGAACAAACAGATATATATGTATACGTAAATATGTACAGGTATATATATATATCAAATCTATCACCTATTTCCAAAAGCTATTTGAATTTGGATTGCTGTGATGAAATTTAAAGAAAACTAATGGAATTATAGAAGCAAAGTGATGATTTTTTTTTTTCAAAAATTACGTAATACGCTGGATATGTATTATATAACAGAACGGTTCCGTATTATATAATACAATTGATCCATATTACGTAACTCAGATGAGATGTCAGCGGCTCTTAGTTTCTTGCTCATCGCATTTTTACATCCGGGGTATCTACAATTTGATTGGGGGAAAACATAAACTGTAAAGTACTGCCATTTTTTCGAAAAGAAAACGTGCTTGTCAATTGAAGTTTAGCAAACACCTTGCTCGTGATTTCCTTTTTGAGGGTGTATTTTTGGGTTCAATAGATATCGTAAAAACATTCCATCAAGTTATTCTATATACAAAAAGAGTAAAGGTAAAAAACTAAATCCCAAATAGCAAAACTACCATTGATCACAGACGCAAAAAAAAAAAAGACATGTCTTATCTTATTACTTATTGGCATACCGCACATCCTCACCTAGCTTGGGCATGTACTCCTCGATTTCTATCTCCTCTATCTCCTTAGGTTTGTTGCTCTTTTCCACATAAACAGCATAGCCAATAGAAGCAAACATCACCAAAACCGAGAGAGCACCTGCTCTCCTTAAATATCCTAAAACCGTATTTGCTTCATCTGAGCCCTCAATATGTACCTGCTTTATATAGTGCTTTGTAGCTTCAAACCTTGAAATCGGCGGTGGTTGTTTCTCCAGAGAGGCGCTTTCCGAATAATTTCGAATCTGCACTTGGACTGGTCGAAGCTCAAGAATCATCATTCGACGAAAAGCTCGACTATGCTTTGAGATACCAAGTATACATTTATGCATCGGGGGAAAGGTAGTAGACTTTCAACAAGTGGGGTGAAAGCTGTGGTAAGGGGATAAAAGATTACAGCGGCAGTTGCAGTTGTAGTCAATGGTGAGAGAAAAAGGACCATTCTCAATTGATAACAAATTTTGCCTTGGTCTCGATTCGCCAGAAGGAAAAATAAAAATGAGAAATTGAAAAAAAAAAAAAAAATAAAATATAAAACTCCGAAAGTTTATGAAACGATTAGTGAATTCGCATATTGATATAAAGAAGAAGATGGGAAGGGGGGAGGGAGGGGGGATTTTCAAACAATTTCGTCCCTTAACAAATCAAAGATGGAGATTACGAGCCAATTGAGGTAGCAAGATTGGCTCGTATTCCCCGTCTTCAAATTCTTCTGTAGTACAAACCCAAAGCACGTCATCGTCAATGTACCCATAAATAGTCCTACTATTGGCACTAAATTCAATGATTTGAGACCCGCTATTTCGATGGACTTTGTCCTTTAAAATTTTGACCATGATTTCTTTGTTTGAGCAATACTCAAAAACAATATCCTTGAAGGTGGTAAGGAGTTGATGTAATGGTATGCCATGCGCGTTAGTGGTGATAGTATCCTTAAAAAAGAATTGGTCTGTATTAGGGTGCCTAAGTCCACCAAGCATCGGAAGCTCGTCACATACAGCAGCATCAAAGTTGGACTGAATTATAGTCAACCCCTTTGTCAAGTACCAAGAGATTATTTCCTGGATTGTTGTATCTACTGTATTCCATTTGGAACAAAAGTAACTGTACCACCTTGAATACCATTCAGGCACATTTTGAGGATTTCTATTGTACACCAGTATTAGTTTTCCAATCCAGGTATTGAAAACCATATACATCAATATCGCTAAAGTTGACTCGCACATGGAAACGGTTACTTCACAGATTAGAAATATAATATCAAATATCAGTTCATTGTCCAAATCACTTTGTGCAATCCAGTTGACAAAAGATTTCTCAAATAATCGTAAAAGAGACTCCCCTTGCTTTTGTTCATAAAGCGATATCTCTGGTATCCATATTTCAAGTATCAGCTTTATTTGAGGTATAATTCTGTGGTAGTCCCGCGATAGACAAAACCACACCGAGCTTGGATTTTCATAATCAATATGCTTTCTGATTTTCAAACAAAATGCTTCGTAAATCTTATGCAAGCTCATCATAGTATCTGGATTGGAAAAAAGAGTCAAATAATCCTGCACTGTAATACTTAGTAAGTTCTTTGATCCTACATCCCAGGTATTGATCATTGCCATAATATGATCTATAAATATTTCTTTCAATAATAAGCCAAACACGATTTTGGAATTAACAAAAACCGGGTTTCTCATCCATAAGGATAGTACAGTAGTTATCACCATTTCTACTTCCTCACCGTCAAACCCTTTTGAATTTTGCCCTCTTTTCAACAACTCCACAATCTGTTTGGAGTATTGCTTGAACAAAAACGAATCAAACTGACAAAGTTTATCTGCGTCAATTGTAAACTTGCTACACAGTTGCGACAAATCACAAAGAGCTGGAACAACAAGCTTCTCTTGCTCTTCTAATGAAGACAATTCAACACCTAATAACCTGTCAAGCCTTGGCTTCAATATGCTCAAAAACACAGATTCCGAGATATATGTATCCTTCATATCCAGTGTTGTCAACTGCTCCAATACTTGATCTATAGATAAATTTTCAATTTTAGTGGACAATGACCACAGCTTCACCAAATCACGTGTAGAGGACAACTGTAGAATGAGACTGTCTATATCGCTGTCATCCACTTGCTGCAACTCGTAGTCTAACAATTTTTCTCTTTGATTAAAAATGGTTAAATTTTCCAGTACTGTGATTAGCTGTTTATAGATATTTTCAATCAAGTCAATGTCAGTCTCATTTCCCTCTTTTACATCTCTCAACCAGATCTGTAGCTGATGGGGAATTGGTGCGTCAATTTTCTCCAATTTAAACATCACATCAAAAACCTTTGATTTTAATCTTTCCAACTTGATTCCAAAACTATCCTTCTTTGCATCCAAGCTCAAATCAGCTACAGCTTGGTCTTTAACGCGCATTGGATTTTCAAACCCTACACCTGACCGGCCTTTTGTTCCTATTGATTCAATGGGATTGACGATACCTGTTTGATTAGATCCTAATCCTTTACCTTCTTGGTACCCCATTCTCATTAACAATTTCGCCCCGATTCCATAACGGGAGTAGATTGAAGAGTTGGGAATATCTGTATCTAACAACTCGCGTCGTTCTGACTCCACAACGTCATCACCATCATCATCATCATGTACATTAACATTAACATCATCACTGGAATCCTCTAAATCTGAATACTCATCATGCATTCCAGACGCTGCCATTATCATCAGTAAAGACTCTCCTGTTACCGTCATATTCCCAACCTCATTCGAGCCATGTTTTGGCTTCTGAAATAGTACCTGTTCATTGCCAAAACTGGTCATATATTGAAAATTAATCCCAAGATGTATAGAGATCTATTCAATTCCTTTGGTAATCGTTACATACAAAAATCTTTTTTCTCCTGGGGAAAAAAGAAAAAAGAAATGGGTCGTGCACGGTGTTTCAAAAACGAAATTATAGCTTCATTTGTAGAAGCAAAAGTCATAAAGAAAGGACCCCCTTTTAATCTTGAAGGGAAGAGCCCCCTCCCCTCCCTCCCTCCCAAGAGCTTTGGCTTTCTCTGTTTATTGGATGAAAAGAAAGAGGGGAATAATATATCTGTAGACGGTGTCAAAGGTAGGCGTGTGTGTTTATAATATTATTTCTTATTATCAGTTTTTCCTCTTATAACTCCAGACTTTTTAACCTTTTTATCAATGCTAATAATTGTTTTTCTTCTCCCTGATTAAACTCTTCAATTCCATTGACGTTTTGAATATGTCCCAATCCTTGAGTATTCACTTGAACCACCGAGGGCATCTCTTGTTCTCCAGGAAGCTTAAACTCCTTTGGTATAAAATCTCCATACTTGGCTAACCAATTTTTGCGGTGGCTCAATTCCTCCAACTGCATTCTATATAGCTCTTCATTTAGAAACTCTCCAACTCTTCTCAAAAATTTCCTAGGATATTGGAATTGCTCGTGATGAAGTTCAGTCAAGTATTTGGATTTGTATATGTTCAAGAACTGGCTGTAATGGAATATGAGTTGTTTGATTGTTTCCGCATATATCTCACACGGTGTAAGTCGTTCGGCTAGTTCAGTATCGGTGATTGAGCACTGGTTTGTAATTTCTTTACAATTTTTCACCAAGATTAAAAAACGAGGAATTGAACTGGTTTTGAAAGTTCTGAATCTCTCCAATTCCATTTTCATTCCATTCATACTTGCGTCGATATAAGCCTTGTGTTGCTTGTATAGTTTTTCTGATTTGATTGAATTTGTCAGAATAATATTACATACTGTGTTGAGTTCCTTGAACACATCCGCAAGCTCTTGTGAATCTCGTTCGAGGACTTCTAAATTCACCCGAATAGCACTGTTTTCAGATTTTAATAATTCAACAGCCTTTTGACATTGATCGAAATGGTTTGTTATCATTTCCAACATTGATACTAACTCGTTTTCTAAGGACTCATTTTCCTTCAATATGACTCCAACCAGGCTCTTGGATTCCGATAATTTGCCATTAGTTATTCTCAACTCAAGCTGGATTGGTACTAAGAAATCGTTAGCTTTGCAAATTGTACTATGCTGCTTAATGAAACTCTGTTGTTCTTGTTTCATTTCGCAATGAAATTTTTTATGAAGAAAATCCCGTATTTTCAGACAATTGGACTTGTATACCTCAATATTCAGCTTTAGCAAAGTTACAGACTCAGTAGCAATAAAGTCTAGCAAATTTTTGTTCCCAGAGTCGTTGTCTATTTGCACAAAAGAGGGCACTTGTGTCTCTTTCAATTTGCTTATTATACCATCCAATTGGTTCAAACTTGGGTTCAAGATCTTATCAAAGTCAACTAGCTTAGCATCGATTTCTCCTAGACCATACCTTATCACCTCCAAATGTCTCTCAATGACCTCAAACTGTTTCTTATAACTAGCAAACAAAAACTCCGTAGCTTCTACCTCATTTGGTAACTTATCTATTAATAATTGATGAGTAATATGTAATTGTCTTTGAGCATTGGTACATAACCTTTGAGCCTTCCCTAGAGTATCTTCCGCTTCATCAGACCACTGTATAACCTGTTTGGAGCTAAACCTCTTGTCTCCTCCATTTACCATTAAATAGTTGGTTAAAGTACTAATGTTCTCTCTCTCTCTATATATATTTATATATATATATATATAATCGAATCTCGATTGTTCGCGCGAAACTAACAGAGTGAAAAAAAAAAAAACCCATCTATTCATCAACAGTGTTTATAATCTACAATAGGTTGTAATCAACTTGAAACTCTGGATAGAAATAGGGGAGGAATTGAAGTGGGGATAGGAGAAATGTCGGGACTAGAAGCATTAAAGGCATTACGCCAAACCACAATAGTTAAAGGTCCCATAGTGTTTTACAAAGATGATGGGGATAAGACGGAGCTAATACAAGAAGCGACAGAAGTTCAATTTGGTTCTAATCAAAAGAGATTTAAATTGGATATGCAAACGAATTTTTCAAATGAAGATCAACTACAGGATTTGAAATCTGTTGTATTTTGTTGGCTTCAAGAGAGAGAGACAAACGTCGACTATAAATCCAAGGCCGCAGAACTAGGTATAGCGAGCTTTAAATATTTAAATAGAACTGAGTTGGAAACTTGGTTAAGTGGAAGTATTGAAACGTGTCAATTTATTGAAGGACTCGGGACAGAAAAGACGAGAAAAACCGAAAATGACCTTGATGTCAAGTTGGAGACAAGAGCGGAAGAGAAAAAACGTAAACTTGAAGATCCTCAGTTGGATAGGATAAATCTGTTTGAAAGAGAGTCAATAGATCACAATGCCGCACTAAGAGGTTCCAAAAATATCGATTTTGGCTATTTGATATCCGACGCCAAAACTTTTATGCGTGAATTGAAGCGAACAGACAGCAAAAAGTCCAAATCTTCTCAGAAATCAAATATGATAAAAAAGCAACCGATTATTATAGTATCCCCTGCTACGACAGCATTATTGTCGTTATCAAATGTAAAGGAGTTTTTAGAAGAAGGTCGCTATACAGAGCCGGTCCCCACCAACAGGCCGCATTCAGGAGTGGTTATAATCAATCATCGTTCTGATAGATTGGTGTCTGCAGCACAAAAGATTATGGTGGTGGATAATACCGATTTATTTACTAGTCCAGACTATTGGAATCGAGTAATTGCAATTTTCACAACGGGTCAAACCTGGCAATTTGCAAAATACAAGATTTCCCAACCGGAAAGTTTGTTTCGGAAATTCCCCGGGTTCTATTTGGGATATCAAGGTGAAAGTACACCACCTCAAATACACGATTGGAATGTGCGTGAAATCAAGGTGGATCGCGGAGATAAAAGATTTAAAGATAAAGTAATAGTGAGAGACTTTTGGCTTGAGATTGAAAAGATACTCATTAATAAAGGATATAGCAAAGAACAATAAAAAAAAAAAAACTCCTATCAACCCCCCCCCCCCCCCCCCC